GGTTGCTGGCTCCAACTTTGCTGAAGGAATCCAAGCGTTCGTGGAGAAGAGACCAGTTAAATGGGTGAATTCGAAGCTGTGAAGCCATATGAGGGTTACTCGGGGCCGGCCGCAAGCTTTTGATCAGTAGTTCAAGATCATTTTGTATAGAAATCTATCAGCATATATTTCATGTCATGCTCTTATGAAAGGACAATGCCAAGGAAGACCATTCCATACCACCATTGTATAACAGCGTCAGGAAACATAGCGCTAGTATGCATCGTATTCATGGCAATGTCGGGTAATTCCGAACGGATCCACTGGTATTAGTCTACGCATCCTGGACCCACACTGAAAAAGGATCCGATCAGATAACTTTTCCGTCCATCTTTTGGATTCCAGGTCCAAAGAATTTTCTTTGGCTCGGGCACTCTCTGGCCGCCCTCGGATCATATCCACTACTCCCAACAGTTAAGCGAAATCTCAGGCGGGGCAGCGCTCAATCAATGCTACTGTGCTCAGAATGGACTCTACCTGGGCCAGGGCTGAAGCCCTATCTAATCAGATGATCTATGCTCTTCAGCATATGTAACCTCGGCACAAGATCCACCTCGTGATCCGCTATATTGCTCTTTGCTGCTCAGCTGAGGGAAATTAAAACTGGGGACTCTACGAAACCGTCTTTGTTCCAACGCAAGCCCAGAAGGCAATAACGTTATCAGATCAGATTGTTCTAGCCAAAAACGCGGGCAGTAGAAGATGAACCGATTTCATTCTGAGGCTACACAAATTATATACATCTAAATCAAAGGGAAGGCATTTCCATCGCCTCTCGGATCGCTACCAGCACTGTGAACCAGCTTCCCCTCGTCATAGTGCATACGGATGAGCTGACCACGACCAAACTGCGAACGCTGCCAGCCCTTCAGGACCTCAATCTTGTGGCCGAGCCGGCGCAGACCCTCGACGGCAGCATCACTAATCCCTTCCTCCACATGGACGGTGCGGTCCGTGCTATCAGACGTAACAGCAGCGATACAAATGCGCGGGGCATCTAGGGCCGCTTGTGGGTGATAACCGAAAGCCAGCATGTTGAGCAGGACCTGCACGTGGCCCTGGGGCTGCATGAAACCGCCCATGACACCGTAGACGGAATGGAGCGATCCGTCTGCGATGTTGGTGATTAACGCCGGGATGATAGTGTGGTAAGGTCGCTTGTGCGGAGCCAGCGCATTGGGATGGCCTGGCTGCAGGGAGAAGTTGGCTCCGCGGTTCTGAAGCGTGAAACCGCAGCCGGCGGGGATGATGGCTGTGCCGAAGCCGGCATAGTTGCTGTTGATGAATGACATCCCGTTACCGTAGCGATCTGTTACGGCAAAGTAGACGGTGTCGCAGTGATTGTGCGCGGGACTGCCGTGGTCCAGGATGTCAGATGCGCGGTCTGGCGAGAAGAGTTTTGCTCGCTCTGCTAGGTAGTCGCGGTCCAGCAGGCCCTGTGACGGCACCTTTTCTACGTCAGGGTCCGTCACAAACCATGCGGCGTCGGCGAAGGCGATGCGCAGACTCTCAATCACAGCATGCAGGTACTCAGCCGAGTTGTGCTGCTCGGCGCTGAACTTGGGGATCTTGCCCGCCTTCTCGAGTTCCTCCAGGATACCCAGCGCCATCAACGCCACGATACCCTGGCCGTTTGGTGGGTGTTCCCAGACCTCCACACCCTCGTTAGGTCCGCCGTCCGTCCCAGGTGTCTGCTTGGACTTTATATCCTGGCCGGTAAATTTGAGCGAGATCGCGTCAACCTCCTGGCTGCCCGTCTCCGCGTGATATGCCAGATCCTCCAGCGTCATGTATCCGCCGAGATCCTGGATCACCTTGACCACTTCCTGTGCGATGCGGCCCTTGTAGAACCCGGACTTGCCCTCTGCAGCTAGCGCGCGGAATGTCTTGGCCAGGGTGGGATTCTTCATAATTTCGCCGGCCTGGGGAGGACGCGCACCATCCTTGGCGGAGGCATCGTCCTTCAGCATCTCGCGGAAGTTTGGCGATGCATTTCGAATGAGATCTTCGCTTGCGGCCCACTGTTTGCAGTTAGTATTGGCTCCTTCACGAGGGAAATATACTGACAGAGTGTGCCGAGAGCTCCGACACGGGAAATCCTTCCTCGCCCAGCTCGATGGCCGGCTGTAGGATCTGCGCGAGAGACAGCTTCCCACTGCCAAACTTCTCGATCGTGTCGACCCATCCGGCTGCCGCGCCGGGTGTGGTTGCAGCTAGAGCACTGGGAAAGGGAATGCTGCCAACCTCACCGGGAGTAAGCTTCAGATCCTTGCGCACTTGATCCAAAGAGCCATTTGCAGGGTAGCGACCCGAGCCGTTCAGGGCGTGCACCTTCTTGGTCTGGGCATTGTAAAAGAGGCAGAACATGTCGCCTCCGATGCCAGTGGACCCAGGCTCCGTCATATTGAGCGCCGCGGCTGTGGGGAAAAAGCATATCCAGTCAGTTTGTTGACCTTTGCATTTGTGTTTCACTTCAAATCCGTCTAGATAGACATACCAACGGCGACGGCTGCATCCTGAGATAGGCAAAATCCAGGTTAGTCTTTGTGTGCTTTTTTTTTCTTGGATCTCCTTTCCCTACCGCTGCATTTCCGCCCTGGCTCAGAATCCGGTGGCCGGCCGCTGCCGCCAGTGGCTGAGTGCACGACACAATGCCATTTGTGCTGTGGACGGTGCTGCGCCGGCTGGCGAAGGGGACGAAGTCAGCGTCCTGCTTGGCGTACACTGCTCTGGCGTTGAGAGGCATCGTGGGGGTAGCGGTGGGGTACGACGAAAAGGTGGGCAGAGGAGAGTTGTTAAATAGACCGGGAGCTCCAACTTACCCCGCCACGCTGTTGGGGTAGGCTCTTATCGCGTGAGGGTGGCCTGACGCTATGGCCAAGAGTATTATTTAAGGAATGACCTTCCTATATCGACTAGCTAGCAATTAAAGTAGTGTCGGCGATTTAGGGCTCGTCCACTGTACAAACCCGCTCACCGCCCAGGCTGACGGGCCGACAGCGGAGAAGCATCTCTTTTCCGGCATCATCCCACTCAAGTCCACCTCCCCCATCCCCGACCCAGTCTGACATCCTATAAATACGTGCGATCCCTTATCAGATCACAGACTGTCGACCCTGATGGCAGCTGCAAAATGGTGGTCTTCGTCGACCTGGACCAGGACATCCTTGACAATGACAGATCGGCGTTGTCCTACCCCACGAAGGTGAACGTGGTGGCTCCCGTGGCGGACCAAGCCGACATTCCAATCTCCCCGGCCCCGTCCATTTCCTCCCGTAACTCCGGGCAAGAAGACGGCATTTTGCCGGATAAGACGCAAAATCTCCCCGCGCACCCCAACTGGAACGCGTTCTCAGCAGCGTTGAGTTGTTATCCGTGAGTGGTTCATTTTCCCCGCACGCGCGGGTCTAGTACCCGCTAACTGGCCTCAGGATCGTGAAGGAAATCGCCCGCGCGATCGACCTCAATACCCTCCATGCCCTATCTCGAACCTGTCGCCAGTTCCACGTGAACTTGGCTCCGTTCCGCCAGCAGCTAGTTCGCGAGACTTTGCGCTGCGAAAATGAGTACATTGAGACAGTGGCGGAGATGCTGGACGGCGGTGCCGTCTTGCCCGACAGCGTCAAGTCTGTGCTACGCCTTTTGAGTCAGGGCAGTGGTGACCCGAGCCGCATGACCCGTGGTAAAGTGGGCAAATGCGCGCGCGACATGGTGGGCGAGTGTCGACGCTGCGCAAAGATCGTCTGTCGAGTAAGCTTGCGCCTGGCATGTTCTGGGAAATAAGAACCTAATTAAGAACCTTATTGCATTAGAACTGCACGATCAAGCCGCCTTCCCAAACAACTCTGAAGAACCGCATTCGCCGTCTATGCCGAATCTGCGGAACCGCACCGCTCTCTCACCATCTCTCCCTCACACCTCCGACTGACAAGGAGGACCTTGAAACCGTTGGGATATCAACCTTCGCTGGCAACTACTGCACCTGCGAAGAAGCCGTCTGGCTGTGTAACCAATGCGGGCAGAGCCTACGCAGCGGCGATACAACCTATCGGCGCGTGTGGGCCTGGCGCACACGGTACAGTACCTACCTTGGGGGCGGACTGGGAACAGGCATTGGCGAGGGCTGCCAGGGCGTCAAATGTGGGAGGGGCGAGGGGTGTCTGGCGGCGCAAGAGATCGAACTTGAGGTCGACTGCGAGGCCGACGAAGGCTCCGGCAGCGATACCAACAGTACAGGAAACAGTCCTCCTACACAATGGCATCCGTTGAATCATCATCATGATATCTTGTCGACAGACAGCCACGACGAAGAAGAACCGGGCTATTTCCGGCAGGAGATAATCGGGCTAGGTGGCGTGGTCAAGCACAAAGCCAAGAAGCGGGTTATGGTGGGTGCCTGCGTCGTCGAATACGAGGATGAGCGCGAAACGGGGCGTTATCTCCTTCGCGAAGAGAGCGGGTCGCATCGCTCATGGTGTGGTTGGTGCTCGCGGGTGATTCCTGCGAAGAACGAAGCTCCTTCTATTTGACCGATCTGCTTCCTCGAGCGGTAATTGCATGGACTAGGGCAGTTTGCCTTTTAATATTGGCCATGACTTCTTCACTTTGGATACCAGTATATTTATTTCATCAAGAGCAATGATAAGTATATGACATGGACTTTTACCACTTAGTTTGGACACCATCTTCCCCATCTCCGTGTATTATTCCCCAATATTCTTAAGTTGTAAAAAGGAATCATATAAACTAGAAATAATGTTGTTAAGGACATAAATGAAGAGGAAAAAGAAATCAGCTGCTCCTGTAATGCGTCGCTCTTCCTTGCGACAATCTTGGAAACAATCTTGAAAAAGAACCGTGCATCATATAGATCTTCACATTATCATCACACTCAGCAAACGACAAATATATATGAAAGACAAGATTGAAGCAGAAAAAGAAAGAAAGAATACGCAAGATGCTCAGTAGGCAGCAATTGCCTTCAAAAGGCCTTTCAGCTTTGATTCCTTGGGCGGGGGAGACTCCTCTCTCCTCTGGCGGCGGTGGTGAGAACGTGGATTGCGACTGCTCTGGTGCTGGCGTGAGCTCTCGGACTTTCGCTCTCGCTCTCCATCTCGGTCTCGAGGCTTGCGAGGGCCAGGTTTATCAGACTCTTTACGGGATGACGTCTTCATTTCACGTTGCCGTGAGCCGTCATCCTCACGCCGGGAACGCGAGCCGCTCGACTGTCCACTGGATCGTCTCACTTCAGGTGACACTCGGCCATGACATAGACTGCTGCTCTGTCCTGTTGATGAGCGGCGTGGCTTGTCCGAGGCTGAAGCAACTGCTTTGCTGCTGTTGATGCGCAGTAGTGGCTTGTGTATATCCGACTGGCCCTCGGTCATGTATCGCAAGAAGGCACGAGGCCTGGCAGGCTCGGAAGATAGTTTCGAAGAGGTCGATTTAGCCGCTGACCGAGATTTCTTACGCACCGGGTCATCGCCGGTGTAATCAGACGGGCGACGTCTAGGCTGGGCCTCGACAAGAACCACCTCCTTGCCTGTATCTTTCGAGGGACGTCGAACCGTTTCGACGGCGACACCGCTGCGTTCGCGGTCTGCAACTAACGCACGCTTCTTCGTTTCAGCTCGACCTTTCTCTTCGCGCTGCCGCCGAGCTTCCTCGAGAGCTTGTGCCCAGCTGTTGGTGAAGAGGCCTCGTTTGGCTTTCTGGCGCTGCAGCTGGTCCCGTTCTTCAGATGAAGTCTTAGAGTATCGTCGGCCGCGTTGAGCAGGTGTGGAGCGCTTCTTGCGTCGTTTGGTGGTACCTTGTCCGTCTGCTGGAGGCGGAGCGGGCTCCTCAACGGGCTCATCTGGGAATGGCTGTGCTTTCACAGTCTCTTCAGTTGCAGCGTCAGCAGGCAGTGGTGCTTCTTCGGGGGCAACGCCTTCAGCGGAGGCTTCGATAAGACTTGTCTCTTCGGCTGGGAGATTTTCTATAGGAATATCTTTTGCGTTATCCGCGGCATTCTCGAGCAAAGAGCTTTCCAGAAGGGGCTCTTCAGCCTTGGCAGGAGGGGCCTCAGTAACTATTGAATCCTCAGGTGGTATCGGCTCCGGCTCTAGAGCTTCTTCAGGGGTTTCCTCAACGACCACAGGCACTTCTTCAGCGGATGGGACTTCAGTTGGTTCCTCTGCCGCTGTGGTTTCTGCTACCGGAGGTTCTTCAGCTGGCGTCTCCGCGGCTGGGACGTCTGCAGATGCTTCTTCAAGTGGCGCTATTTCCGAAGAGACCTCCGCAGCGACATCAGATGCACTTTGAGAAGCACTGCCTTTTTCAACAATAGGAGGCTCAGGGATCTCAGGAGCATCGGCAGTTTCTCCGGGAGATGGCTCCGCGCCGGGCTCTTCAGCAGAGACATCTGGTACACTCTCAGATGTCCCTTCTTCGGGAGCGGTAGCAATTGGCTCTGTTTCCGCAGACTTTTCCTTGTCGACGGGGAATTCTTCAGCAGCTGCTGCCTCAGGAAGAGAGCCCAGAGGAACTGGTTCGGCTGTCTCCTCAACTGGAGACTCTTCCACGGCCAATGTTTGAGTGGCAGTCCCTTCAACAGGCTCAGCTTCCGATGGTGCTCCAGCAGCAGGATCATCGGCAACAGGACTCTCCGATGCAATTTTGGGAGCTGCCGGTTCAGCTGCCGATGTTTCCCCAGCATCGGCCGTCTTATCAACATCTTCGTCGTGAGTAGCAGTCGGCTCGTCAGCTGGAGTCGCTTCAGCTGGTTGTTCGTTGACAGGCTCATCTGCAGCTGCCATTTCGGCAGGATCCTCGACAGGTGTTTTGACTTCTTCCACACCCACCTCCTCAGCAGCCAGTGAGTCGGCTTCAGGCTCAGACCTGGACTCTGTTTCGGCCTCTGCCCCCTCTGCCATTGCGACCTCTTCTGTAGACATCTTCGAAACAACCCTCACAGGCTCGGTCTTGTCGGTCTCCACCGCGGGCTCGTTCACAGCCTCGGGCACAGAGGGTTCTTCAGCTGAAGAGGCCCCAGACTCCTGAACAGGTTCTTCGAGGGGCTTTTCCTCCTCAGTTGCAGGCTTGATATCCTTAGGTTCGCTGGCTGTCGCACTTTCTGCCGGATTTCCAGCGTCGTCGTTAGGCTCTGCAACCTCCTCGCTTGCCGCTTCAGTCGGTTCTGGTGAGCTTTGTGTATTTTCATCCGGAGCCGCAACTTCGGCAGTTTCAGGCTCCTTGGTTTCCTCTGTCTTCGACTCTGGCTCCGGTGACGGTTCTGCTGCAGGTTCTGGAGTGGACGCAGGCTCAGGCTCTGACGGGGTCTCAACAGGTTTGGCTGCTTTCACATTTTTGCCCTTCTTGCCCTTCTTTTCTTTCTTCTTCTCTTTCTTTGCACTCTTGCCTTTTTTTCTTGGACTTTTCCTCCTCTTTCTCGTCTTCTGGTACGTCAAAAGTCACCTTGCAAGCACGAGGCCCTTTTCTTTCTGAGGCTGCTTGCTCCGTATCATCTGCCTGCTCTCGAGTCGACTGCTCCTCACTGACCGGTGGACTTGCTTCTGCGTCACCCTTAGTTGACTCTGCAGGTCCATCATAGCTTTCAGCGCGGTAATCTGGTGCCGCGTCGTTCTTATCGTCACTGGCCGGGGCGGCTGTGTCGTCGGCCGTCGGTGAAACCACTCCTTCCCCGGCTTCGGCGTCTTCGGCTGCTTGTTTCGCGGCTTCCCGTTTCTCCGCTTCTACTTTGTCAAGCCCTGCCTCGGGGTCACACTCTGGGAAGCCATCATCTGTATCAGTGGTCAATCAAGAGACAATAAAATATGAATTTGGGGACTTACCATTGTTGCTATTGTCATCATCCTTCTTATCAGGGCTTTCCTCTGCTGCTGCGGTTGTATTTTCCTCATCGACGGATGTAGTATTCTCGGCCGATTCTTCAGCAGGGGAGTTTGGTGGAGCTTCTTCGTTGCTAGCTTCACCCTCTGCAGCCATCGGCGGGTCATCACTAGCAGGCGCTTTCTCGCTTGGCTCTTTAGCTTCCGCCTCTCGAGAATCGCCAGCGTCTTGGGCGGGAGGCGTTGCCTCCGAGGGTCCTATATTAGGCGAATAACGTAAACATAAAGCGTCGAGTATCGATGATAAATTAGCACTTACCTGCAGAATCCGGGCTTGGGTCCTCCGTTGGAGAGGCACTCGGTCCCTCTACCGGAGCATCATCAGCAACAGGACTCTTCTCCGGTTCCGCAGCGCCATCGTTCTCCTGCTCCTTGCCCGGTGTCAGATGATCAGAATTGGAATGGAGGACGGGGTAATAGGCAAATCTCAGAGTGTCTCGATCAAACTTCTGGTATTGACGCTCGAATGTCTGATATTGATAGGTAGGGAGCTTTGCATACTGGAAAGGCTCCTTCTGCTTCATCTTCTCCCACTACTCCCGTCGGGTTGAAGGCGAAGTCGTCGGCAGCAGGGTTGGTGGTCTGGGTTGGTACAGCGCTGAGGGGGAACCGGTGGTTGTTATTGCTGCTGTTCTTATTCTTCTTCTTTTTCCTTTGGCAGGCATATCCCTCGAATGAATGACGTATCATATATCGAGGGTGCACGAATGCCAGATGGCGCGCGATGATGGGACGATATCGGAGCAATGGGAGGGTGACAAGCTAGCCGTCGGCCTGGAGGCAAGGGAAGCCTTTCTCTGGGACAGTAAAGTAATGGAAGGTTGATGAATGCAACGCCGAGCCGGGCGCTCATGTATTCGGAGACGAAAAGGGAAAGAAGCATATGCCTGCTTTATGTCCGGCCATTGTGAGGCAGCGTATAATATTTCGTCGCCCATCACCCGGTCGGACAGGGCGATATCGGGCTAGGGATTAGGTCCTGGACGGCACCGGGGAGGGACCCGATGGTATTGGCTGCCCATTGGGCCACGTCGTCGGACTCCGTCATGCTGTGGTTGACCAGCATTGACGATAGATGCGTCATGAGGCCCGGTGGAAGTATTCTCCACTTGCAGGAAGGTCGGCAGCAGCGAGGGTGAACTGGGATTGGCAATTGGGACGTGCAGGCCGGGCGAGAGTGGATGGTGCCACCGAACAATTGATTCTTATTGCACTGTTTCTGTTCGGGCTGTACACTCATGCTGCCATGCTCCACTTCCCAGGAGATAGACGCCAGACGCATTCCTGCCCAACGTCCCCGGCAACGGCGGCAAAGGGGGAGGGACAGGATGGTCGATGATTATTTTCGATTAGGAACAAGACAGAGTCCCTGTGGAGAAGGTGCATCCTCTTGCAACAGTCCAGCATCCCGACTGGAGGAGAGAACAGTCGAGATGGTGATCCAGACAAGGGATCCCAACCAGTCATGCAGCGGGCCGAGCATCCATGCCCGATCGCCTCACCCGGAACTCACTGGTTGCACCAACCATTTTCCCCGATGCCGCCAACCGCCAGTGAGTATACGAAAGGTGTTCGAACTATAAAACGGTGCGGTGATTGGTGGCCCCGTTTCCATGACATATGTTTGGTCAATCGTGTTCCACAGACGATATTTCTCGAGGATATATTCTCCTGTTCTCCTACCTCTCAGTACTTTACTGCAGGATCATGGCTGACTGGGTGGTGTTGTGAAGGAGGGAAGGTGCCTGGGTGCCTGGTGGCCTGGGGTGTCTTTCTCTCGTGCATGCCCTTTGTCTGGTCTTGACAGGCCTCCTTTTGTCTTCCACCTGTCGCTCTTCTCTCCCCCTCCAGTCTCTCTGGGTACCTCTTCTCAAGCACGGTGGCCACAGCCCTATCAGCCTTTCCCGAGCCTTGCGCATGGATGTCACAACATTGGTAGTTGTGCCTCCACCGAAAATGCCACTCCAAGACCTTCCAGTCGAGCTTCTCACCATGATCTTTCGTTTCGTCGGCCCACAACTTCAAAAGCAAGAAGCCTGCTGACTTCTCGTCTGCAAATGGTGGCACAGGCTTGCAGAATCGGTCTTGTATGAGGACCTGGTTCTCACTGCCAATGAGCTTACCCGATTACCCGTCCCTGCACTGGCGAAGCTTGAAACCTCTTAGCTACCTTATTCAGTGCCCCACCCTTTTCTTTACCCTTTTCTTTACAAAGCCGACAATGAGGTCATTTCCTGATACAGACCTTGAACTACGAGAGAGCAGGCTGAATATTTTGGCTTCTTGGCTGGTAGCGTTATATTTGGCTCTTATATATCATTGCATTCTGCAGCAGTTACATGAAGCCGTGCAGAAAGGCAATGGATAATGCAAAAAGGTTTAAAGGCATGGGCGATGTGGATCTATATGGGTTGGGGGAAAGAATTCAGCTCAAGTTCAGCTTACGTTCAGCTGTCTTGTGTTTGTTATTGTTTGCTAACATGTTGCCGGGATCACGGGGCAATTGACCACCGCTAATAAAAAGAACCACCCGCTACTAATAGTATTATTTCCGTACATCATTATAATAATTTCTATAATCTACGGCGTATTATCTATACCAATAAGCCCAAATGAAAACCCAAACGATCCTGATCACAGGCTGCTCGGCCCACGGCATCGGCGCCGCGCTGGCCCATTCCCTGGCCAAACGGGGCCATCATATCTTCGCCACCGCACGCTCGCCCAGTAAAATCCCCTCGACGCTGACTTCGCTCTCGAACGTGACGGTGGTGCCGCTGGACGTCACAGACCCTACCGCAATCTCTGCCGCGGTCCGGGCGGTAACGGCTCACGGCCAAGGATTAGACGTGCTGATCAACAATGCGGGCGCGGGTTACACTATTCCCTTACTGGATGCCGATCTGGACCTCGCCCGACAGGTCTATGAGGCTAACGTCTGGGGCCCACTGCGAGTCGTGCAGGAGTTTGCTGACCTACTCATTCGGAGTCGGGGTACGGTGGTCAATGTAAGCAGCGTAGGAGCCGCGGTGAACACGCCTTGGATTGGTGAGTGAGCGTCTATTCTATTCCGGAGATGAACTGAAGCTAATTGGAGTGAACAGGGGTGTACTCGTCTTCCAAGTCCGCCATTACGCAGCTTTCTGAGACATTACGGCTGGAATTGGGACCCCTGGGAGTGGACGTAGTATGTCTGATGGTTGGCACGATCACGACTTTCTTCCATGCCAATGAGCCGGAGGTCATCTTGCCTCCTTCGTCGCGGTATGTGGCGATTAGAGAGACAATCTCGAATTGGGCGACGGGTCGGGCTGGGCCTAAGGGCTGCTCGGCGGAGGAGTTCGCGGAATCGGTGGTTAATATGATCGTGGGCGCCAGCCATAGGCGCGGGCTGATCTGGAAAGGACCCTACAGTACCATTATCAGATTCGTGCCTAGGTGGTGCCCCACCTGGTTACTGGTGAGTTTCTAGCTTTCCCCAGAGGTTCATTATTTGACTGTCCACTAACTAACGCATGCTGGAAACTAGGATTGGATGATAAGCAACGGGCAGGGCTTGAAGGAATTGGCGAGGACAGTGAGTGAGAATTAAGCTTCATTCATAGGTAGTTGCTTGCTGATAACTGCAACTTACTATAATATTTCGCATCTATATCATAATTTGTGCTACTTCGCTAGTAGAATGTAGCTAAGCTTTGACTCGGGCCACTGACTATGTTGTGTCTGCAGGCCGAATTGTCAACTCTACCTACTATTTTATGTGATTTATTTCTTTTCTGACTTGGTCTAAGTTACCAGTGGCTTTTGAGGACCGACAGGCGACTTGGATCATTGATATTATAAACCGCTATCAGATACTCTTCAACTTATAAACTTGACATATTGGATCTCGTATGGGTTGGGCAGATAGTCATAGCAATTTCGGACAAAGAAAATCCATCATGCGAAGATCTTTTTTTCACCATACCTTTTCTGTCTTCCTGTGTGTACGATCTCTGGCTCTCACGCCCTTTACGTCATATCTGAATTCCTGGGGCATCCATCACAAGGGTGTTCTAATGCAAGCCGCTTGCCCATACCTCGGGCCGTTCACTACTCCTTAGGTCTAGTTAGTTCGGTCATCTGCATACTAAGAGGGGTTCGTTTGGTCTAGCCCGAAAAATTGAATCATGGCCACCAACAAAACCCAGAACCAGTTTTGTAGCATGCTCAAAATGCGGGGGAAGGATGTTTGGCGGTGTGACAACCGGAGACTAAGTATAACGCAGTGATCTAACTGGCCGCCATAGGATGTAAACGAGCTCCATGAACGGGATCAACCTGTCGATCTCTCGCTAGTACCTCACTAGTGCGGCTTGGACCCTTGGGGTGGGGTTTTAACCGAGTGCAATGCCGGGCCTAGTTCCGCCCTAGCTTGTACCGAGCTATGTCAACTTGTATGCAGGTAGGATTATGTGGAGATTAATCGCTTTGCGAGGAATCTCGTATCCCCCTACCATTTTCTAAAGAGAATCAAGCATATAGAGGCACTAGAGTGGAGCATTTTATACCTTTCTACTCGCCTTGTAGCCCTTTTAAAGCACAAGCTGGCTAGTCTCTGCCGTGGCCGACGACAGTCTTAGGCTATTAGGGTGGTCATCTCATATCCCTTTATCTGTAGTAGGCGCTCATCTCGGCCGGAGCAGTCTTCCCAAAACGGTAAACCCAGATGTATAATGCGGGGTAAGTTCCGTGCGCGCTATACCTATTGTCTCGGTCTAAGAGCTGCCGGACTACACAACTAGAAGATCCCTATTACACTCTTAACATAAAGGCTGCGCTCTAGCCATGCAATTGTCGTTGAGAATAAAACCTGATTCGACGTGAGCGAAGGTAGTAGCTTGCCAGCTATCATGTTGTTTTCACCATTTATCATTGCCTGCTTGCTAGCTGTAGGAGGCTCAGAAGCATCTCCTGCAAAGTCTACGGCTTTGGATGATTCAGTACCACCTCAGATACCAAATCATGACATACTACATAACGCTGCAAGCGTTCGCCCCAAAGACGAGCCGAAGTTGACTACTACCACTACTCAATTGGATGACGAGTCAACCTCAACAACCACAACGACCACAACGACCTCAATCCCATCGGGACCATCGCATGTCGAAACATCACCAGCTGCAGGGACAACTCACCATGATGCATCGTCACCAACTGACTCCTCGTCCGGGAATACTGCGGACTCCAACTCATCCGGAAATACCGCTGACTCCGACCCATCCGGTATACTTTCGTCGCTAGGGCAGGGCTCTTCGACAGGCTCCACCGGTGGCAGTATCGAAGATCTCGGAAACGCTATTAAGGATCTCGAAGAGCTGCTCACGGGCGTTCGCAGCCTGCTGAATCCTGAGCTCCTGAGCCAAGTAACAGATACCTTCAAATTCATTTCAACCGGGTTGGCACCTCCAGTGGATCACCAGATCAGGCCACTCGTGATCAACGCGAACAAACTTATGACTGATGAGTTTATTGACAAAGTCAACACACTCATCGACAATGCTAACGAGCTTTTGACCAACCAATTCGTCCAAAAGATCGACGGACTGATTGATCAAGCAAGCGCTCTCTTGACGGCCCAATTCACTAAGAAGATTGATGGTCTGATTGACAACGCCAGCAACCTTTTGACCGATCAGTTCAGCAGAAATGTGGATGCTCTGGTTCAAAATGCAAACAACCTTTTGACTGTCCAGTTCAATAAGAAGGTTGATTCTCTTATTGATAATGCCAATACCTTGTTGAGCGACCAGGGTACAAAGGCCATCGAAAGCCTTGTCAATAACGCCAATGGCTTGTTGACCACCCAGGTTACAAAGGCCATCGAGAGCCTTGTCAATAACGCCAACAATCTGCTGACTCCTGGATTCGTTGATACCACAAACGGCTTGATCAAAGACGCCGGCCCTCTTGTCACCCACGCCAATGATCTGCTCTCACCTAGCTTTATTAAGCAAACTTCGGGTCTCATCGGTGACGCCAGTGGTCTTCTCACACCTAGCTTTATTAAGCAAACTTCGAACCTCATCGGGGAAGCTAGTGATCTCCTCACACCGGCTCTATCGAATGCACTCAAACAATTACTTGGGGATATCCTTCCCATGGTACCTGACCTAAGGGAATTGATGCCTGAAATCAAACAATTGTTGACAAAGAAATACATTCGTGAGATTGGGTCTCTATTGACCAACGCCAACACCTTGCTCAGCCCTGGTTTTGTAAACCAGACATCCACCTTGATCAACAATGCCGGCGACCTCCTCACGCCCGAAATTGTGAGCGGCCTCAGTGGCCTCCTCGAGGAAATGGCTCCTCTAATTCCCGAGCTCAAACCGTTGATCCCAGAGATCAAGCCTTTCATCCCGCAGATTCAAAAGCTGCTTCCTAAGGCCCTGCCTTTCATCTCACCGGCTACTATGGATGATTTGGGGATGATGTTGATGAATGGCTACACTTTGCTCAGTGCCGACTTTGTCAACCATACGTCTACTCTGGTCAGCGATGCAAACGACCTTCTTACGCCTGAGCTTACGAAGAACCTTGGCGGCCTTCTTGATGAAGTGACTCCCCTAATTCCTAAGCTCTACCCCTTGGTTCCTGAGCTCAAACCACTTCTCAAACCGGAAGTCATAAAGGAAATTGGGTCACTTGCTACAGAGGCACTACCCTTACTCAAGGAAATGATGAACTCGATGGGCTCGCTTTGATGATAGTGAAATGATTTGAAATGTCGGATCATGATTTTTACGGATATTTTAGTTTTGCGATTGCTCCGATTGTGTCAAATATGACGGCCTTTCTACAGCATATAATTACCCTCAACCTTGAAGAAGACAAACTCTTGACGTAATACTTGCCCTCCCTAAGTGATGTGATTTGAAATCTTTTCAGTTCTAGATCAATTCTTATAGGAACCGCGGAATTATCACAATGTTGAATTCATGGTAACATCGAACCACCTACAGCCCAGATATGCTTATTATATTCTCTCCCTGAACACTAGTTGTTCGGATTGTTAGACCTTGTCTCAAGAACTCCGCTCGTTTTTTGAAACCCTCGCGAAAACTCTCATCATACTCATCAGGGAAAGTCAATATCATTCCCTTTCCCACTGTCTCCTTCTGCAAGCTCATCACTTTTTCGTACATTGACTCCGCACAAAGAAGCGCAGTCCCAACAACCATACCCATGTATTCACACCGTTTTAAAGGATAAGGATTCGACACTAACTCAGCCGGAAAGGGAAGATCCCCCAGTTCCGACTCCAAGAATTGTTTCAACTGGCCCTTAATACAGGCCTCGTGGAGGGCCATTGCATCTCCCCCCTGAGCGAAGAACTTCGTGTATATTCGTTGGAGTTCTATTCGCTCCTGTGGCGTTTGGCAGTTACAGAACCCATAGTCTTCGACGACAACTCGCATAGGATCTCGAGGTTGCAGACGAGTAAACCGCTTCAATTCCCAGACACTCTGGTACCACTTGCTGACGATACTCATGAGGGCTTCGAAATTACGCAGCCCGGTGACTGCATGGCCAAGTCCGTTTTTCTTGAATAGGTCGACCATGCTAGACCCTTCCATGGCCATCCAAAACTCTTCAAATTCACACTTCCCGAGGAGCGCTCGGTACAGATATACTATCTGTCGCACTTCATCATTGTTTCGAGCTGTACAGAAGCCAAGGAATATCCAGTTGTCTTCGTCTGCGTCTGGGATGAATCCATTTTGAAGTCCTGTGGCAATCAGTTCCAGCATATTCGCCAAGCTCTCTAGGAGTTCACGATCCTTCTCTTCCCAGGTTGCATTTCGTGCCGCAAAAATAGTAATTTCGTCTTGTCCTTCGAGCAAGGAGGTGCAAGTCACATAGTGTGCATGTTTTTTATAGCATAGTAGCTCAGCCAGTCGATCGAGAAATACCATCTTAATAGACTTGGTATCGTCCCCTGTCAAACAAGCGTTAACGTTGGTCGAAGAGCCATCACGGATGGACGCTCGTTCGTCCCCTCCGCTGTAATCGTCGTGGATTTTTTCTTCTTTTCCTGCACCAAGGGGAGTACGCTGTGGTTGGTTGACTTGGCATATAGCGGCTAGGGTTGTGATGTCCGACTCTATGTCGGCTGAGAGATGCCAATCAACACCTCCGTATCCGACTACCTGGGAAGAAGGTGGGATAACTGTAACGTGGCCCATTCTGTAAAGGGATTTAAAGACGGGACTTGGGTAAGATGTATGGCCAAAGCAAAGATTGGAGCTTGAAGTAGAGAACATATAAATTCGAGAGCAGGGTGCTGATGGCGTATGTAAGCGGAGGGGTCAGGCGCGTAAATCTTAAAACATGGATATCTCATCATGCATGGAAAGCCATGCGTAGATAACTTGATATGGGATGGAGAACTATTTTTACAGGCTTAGTGTGCTCTAGTCCGGAGTTTGGTTGGTTCTGGGATGCCCTATTGTGCATGGCTGCCTTATCGAGTAGGGTAGGGCGCTAAATGGTCTGGGATATGTAACAGCGGCCGAGGATGAATGCTACCCAACAAGCCCTCTTCAGCCGCATAGCCACCTGTCTGCTGTCATTCGTACGTTCATAAAAGAGAAAGAAAAAAATAATGATGCTATTTATAATAGGTGTCATCCTCGACGAGCATGTCAAGAACAGTCTTCTTCGAGCAAAAGATGCAGAATAATGCAAGACAGGACACAACGAGCCGAGTGAAGTAAAAACCTACTCGCTCCAGAAACCCCAAAATGAATGCCGCGTGCAGCCTGATATGGATATTTGTGCTCGACACCCTTAATCCTCTGACAGAGAGAATATCGCGCCAGCATGACATGACAACCAACGCCAAAAAATGATGCATACGCCTGCACGATTGCAGGTATTTCAAAGGGTATGAGCATGAAACAGAAACAGAAACAAGAAGAGGGAAAAAAATCAAAATCAACGCATGCGTTCCTCCATTGTCTGCCGCCAGCGGGGCCCGTAGATCCTCATTGCGAGAATAACGGACGAACTGACGAAGCTCACAATTCCCAGAATGGTGAACAGCCAACCGTTACCGATGGCACTGATGATCGGGGCCGTGACGAACGAGCCCACGCAGGAGAAGATGTTGCGCATGAAGTTGTTCAGCGCCACGCCCTCGGAGGACTTTTTCGGCATGAATTCCGTTAGCATGGTTGTTACCATAGCGAAGATGAGCATGGAGCCCATGCCGAAGAAGAAGTTGGCAATCATCTGGGAGATACGTTGTTAGTAGTGACATGATTTGGAGGTATTGTGCACTGAAACATACCGGGACAATCCAGATCACACCCTTATCCGCCGTCCAGCCGTACCAGATGAGCGCGGCGGGATATAGAAAGGCGCCGAGCCATGCATTCTCACGCATACGGTCCTCCGGCCGATATATCAGCTTCCCGTACTCGTCATACCGGTTCGCCTTCTTGGCTTCTCGTTGCATGATGTTGTCCATCCATCTCCCGCCAAAGATACTGGTGACCATGTAGCCCAACGAGTTGGGGATATATAGACAGCCGACAATAATAGTCGAGTACCCGTACGGTGACTTCTCAAATGTATCCTGCACGCTGACGTTCAAGACATAGAGCGAGCCGAAGGTGATACTGGCGTAGTATACTGTCAAGAGCACGGGAATATACTGCAGATAAAGGACGATCTTCAGCGGATCGAGGAATATGATCTTCAACAGCTTCAACCACCGTGTCGCAGACCGGACAGCCTTGGCGGATGAGACGCGACTGACGGACCGGATAACGGGCGCGCCTTCCTCTTCGTTGGTAACTTCGGGGAGAACGGGCTTCTGCACTGCCAGTGTTTCCGGGAGAGCGAAGAGGATAAAAACAACCGTAAGAGCTCCGTAGGCAGCCAGGAACCACATCGTACTCCTCCAGCCCCATCTCTGGGCCAACGCACCACCAAAGATCGGAGCCAGCAGGGGTCCGCACAGCGGACCGAGATAGAAAATACCCATTGCTCGTCCTCTTTCCCGGGGCTCCCACAGATCGGCGATTGTCCCGGCACCGACGGCCTGGACTGAGGCCGAGGCGCCACCACTTAGCATCCGGAGGACGATGAGCATTGCGATAGAGCTGGAGATGGCGCAGATGCAGTTGAAGATCGTGAAGAGCACGAACGAGACCAAGTAGATCGTCCGTCGACCGAGTCGCTCGCTGAAGGAGGACCACCATAGCGGAAAGATTGACATGCTGAGCATGTACAGGGAGATTGACAGGTTGGTTATGGTGGTGGTTGTGTTCAGATCATGGGATACTTGGGAGAGCGAAGCTGTCTGGAGTTAGTTGAATATATACCGCAACGTCAAGATATCACCACTCACGAAAGAAGATCGAGCTCCCCATCGGCGCCGTCACACCAGCCCAAGCGACAACAAAAGTGATAAACCACTTCTTCCTGCGCGTGTATGTCTTCGGGTTCTCCACTTCAGCCAACAAGGCTAACTGCCCAAACAAGCCTCTCCGCTTCAATCGCGAAACCTTGATCGGCGGCCCGAGTTCGGTCAACTGCCGTGTGATCCGCGGTTGTTCCTCATCAGGGCCATCTTTGCCCTCGTCGTCCGCCACGCTGGAAGCATTTGATCGCGATTGCCCGTCATGGTCGACTTCCTCTTTTTCTTCGTCTTTGGCGTGATCAACTATCTCCGCTGCTGGCGTGGGCGAAGCAGAGGAAATGGCGCTGTCTTTTTCTGGATCTTCGGCGCGCATCTTGGCGGATCGGCTTGCCGTGATGCGATCAATCAAGACTTGCCACTGATCAATGGCGATATCCGCAATGGGTGGTATCAATTTCTGTACAAATAAAGCGATACATTGAACGCAAAGCGCGATGGTTAATAGTCAGAATTGCGAGCGACGCAGATGTGACGGAAAGAAATCCAGGGCAGGCGCGAGTTTGCGCAGGGAAACCGAGGCGGTTCGGCCCAGAGATTGACGGACAGTGGGAATTTTCCGAGTAGTTATGTACTAGAAGATGGTGGGTTTAGAGTGCCATGCTCCGGTTCAGAATTTTCTTTTCTCCTTTTGTTCCGACAGATGATGAAAGATTGTGAGCAGCTGCAAATCAAATCGCCGACAACGACCGATGCCATCATGATCGGTATTAGTAGTATCTCCCATGTGGATAAAAATCCGCTATTGCGGCGAGAGGGGTTGACGACAAGCTGGTCAACCAGTCATCGACCAGCAACGGCGTGCCGGTCTTCCGTCGGCAAAAGAGAGGATTGGTACCGTTCTCCACTTTGTGCTGGGCGTGTGGTTCATTGTGTAATGGGACGGATAAGCTTATGCGATTAACCTCATCTTGGCTGGTGTTTCTTTCCTTTTCTTACAGGGATAATCGTGATGATCTCATGGCACACGAGCAAGGAGATCATCGTGCACGACTTGAACGAAGAAATCGCAGCAAGGAGGTTGTGCTTAATAAGCCCTGAGGAATGAAATAAACAGAGAGAGAGACTGACTGTCTTCCTTTCTATCATTTCCTCCCGTTGACCACTGAGAACACTACATACCTACTGCAAGATGACCGCCACAACTGCCTCAGCCGGCCTGAACCCCAAGCAGGTCCAGGCTGTACTGGCCGAGTACCAAGGCGACCGCTACGTCGACGGCTGGGCCGCTCTGTGGAGCAAAGGCGACAGTCTGCCGTGGGACCGGGGGTTCCCCAACCCAGCCCTGGAGGACACCCTCACCCACCGCCAGGGCACCATTGGCGGCCCCGTCACCCAGGATGCCCAGGGCCAGACCTGTCGTCGCAAGGCCCTGGTCCCCGGTTGCGGGCGAGGCGTCGATGTGCTTCTGCTTGCTAGCTTTGGGTATGATGCCTACGGCCTAGAGTATAGCTCCGGTGCGATTGAGGCGTGCAAGAAGGAAGAGGCTGAGAATGGGAGCTGGTACCGGGTTCGTGATGAGAAGGTTGGCCGTGGCAGAGTTACATTTGTTCAGGGTGACTTCTTTGACGACGCTTGGTTGAAGGAGATTGGCGTGCCGTTGAATGGGTTTGATCTGGTCTATGACTATACGGTATGTATACTTCCTCTCTGCGTCTAGGGGTTTAGCCTGACCCTTGATATAGTTCTTCTGTGCCCTGAACCCGTCAATGCGCCCCAAATGGGCGCACCGACACACCCAGCTGCTGGCGCCCTCGCCCGCCGGCAACCTGATCTGTCTCGAGTTTCCCCGCCACAAGGATCCGCAGGAGTCAGGCCCGCCCTTTCCCTCGCCTTCGGAGGCATACGTGGCTCACCTGAGCCACCCGGGTGAAGACATCCCCTACGATGCCAAGGGCGTGGTCAAACATGACCCGCTGCGCGAGCCGAGCCCGGGCGGCCTTGAGCGCGTAGCCTACTGGCAGCCGGAGCGCACGCATGTGGTGGGTCAGGGAGAGAATGGAGTGATCTATGACCGAGTGTCTATTTGGCGTCGTCGTTGAACTAGATCTAGATCTATGTGGTTCTATTTATATCCACTCAAAAGATAGAGAAGCTTTATTGGAAGAAGCTTTCCCATCAAGACTGCTTCACCAGCGCATTATAATGCTCGCCCAGCCCGTAAGAGTGCCGGTAATATGCCAACCAAACCACCCGCCTCCGCTTCTCCTCTTCATCCAGACTATCCCCATCATCCCCAGACTCAATCTTCTCCATGCGCCCATCGCTCTGCACCACATTAATCTCGACCCCATAAGCCCTCGCAATGGCCTGCAATTCTAATTGTCCCCCCCATTCAGCCGTCAACTTGATTTTCCTCGTATACGCATCCAGCGGCTCCTCCATAAACGGCTCAAAGTCCTCTTTGTGCTCCTCGATAAAATCCGCCGTCACCGCGCGCACGGCTCTATACCCATCATGCTGCGGCGAGACGACAGTCTCGATGCGGGACTGGGTGGTTGGTTTGAGGATGATCCGGCTCGGGTCCGGACGCAGGCCTATCCCGTAGTCGTCGAGCTGTTTCGCGACAGCGGAGTAGAGGCAGTGCCCGTCGGGGGTCACTTCGATTTCTTTGAGGCCGAGCCGCTTGAATACTTTCTCCATAATTTCTTGCTCGTTGCCGCGGTAGTTTGTTTGGGTCGCTGCTTCTTCTGCTGCTGCCGCGGAGAGGGCTTCCTGCTCGGCTGCGCGGCGAGCAAGGCGGGCTTTGTGGCGGTTGGGTTTCTTGGTGCTGCGTGTTGCTGCGGAGGAAGGTGGTTCTTCTGAAGTGGCTGGTTCGGTGGATGGGGTGGTTTCCGTGGGTGGTTCCTCGGCTGGCCTGTCTTCTAGACTGAGATCTTCGAGGGCCTCGCTGGGCTCAACTGTCTCGCCATTGAGTTCTGCAATCTCGGCCTGTTGTCGCTCGGAGAGCTCGCGTTGCAGGCGCTCGCACTCGTCATTGATGCCTTTGCGGGTCTTTTTGGTGGCGGACTTTTTCTTCTGCGTGATGCGCCCCTGGAGGTCTTTTTGCTCCTTCCGGTGTTTTGCTTGTAGTTCCTCCATGGTTGGTTTGTGAACACAACAATCGAAGAATGGACCGTCGCGAAACCCCGGTCCCGCAGCCCTAAATGGAGCCCCGAACGGGCATAGCCCCGGATCAATGATATTCCCTGAGCCTCGGCCCAGACGAACCGGGGAGCTCGGTCGTCGGGTAAGTGCAACTATGTCTTAAATGGTGGGAGATTCTTCGACTCGATTGAGATCACATCTTATTCACCATGGATTCGTCAAGTTTGTTCAACGTGCAGGTATATATTTCATCGCTCGACATTGATTTCCTGCCCGTACTAACCACCTTCACCAGGGCAAAGTCGTGCTGGTCACTGGCGGTGCCAAAGGCATCGGGCGCATGATCTCGGAGGGATTCGTCACCAACGGAGCGACGGTGTACATTTCCTCGCGTGACGCCAAAGCCTGTGACCAGGCAGTGCAAGAGCTCAATGCCCTGGGCAAGGGTAAAGCCCACGCCATCCCCGCCGATTTCTACAAGTACGAAGACGTGAAGAAGCTGGCCGAGGAGCTGGGCAAGCGCGAGAGCAGTAGGTAACCTCTGTCTCGAACCATAAAGGATAATTGCTAAATATCGCAGAACTGCACGTGCTCGTGAACAACTCCGGCTCCAACTGGGGCGCGCCCTACGATGAGTATCCCACCGCAGCTTTCACAAGGGTGCTCACCCTCAACTTGCACCGCGTCTTCGACCTGACCCAGTTGGTGACACCCCTGTTGGAAAAAGCGTCCGCGCCCAATGACCCGGCGCGCATCATCAATATCGGCAGCATTGACGGGCTGCGCGTGCCCTCGCTCGAGACCTTTGCCTACAGTTCCAGCAAGGCTGGCTTGCACCACCTCAGCCGGACGCTGGCGAACCATCTGGGCAAGCGCAACATTACGTGGGTGTTCTCTTTGTTCTCGATCCTGTCTTACCTTACTAAGTGTATCATATCAGGTCGAACACACTGGCCTGTGGGCCCTTTGAAAGCAAGATGATGGCCGCCACGCTCAAGACGTTCGGCGAGTCGATCAAGGCAGGTGTACCACTGGGCCGGATCGGGACTCCGCAGGATGTCGCGGGTGCCTGTCTGTTCCTGAGTAGTCGCGCTGGAGCGTATGTGAATGGCGCGACCATTGCGGTGGATGGCGGGAGTGCCATTGCGGCCAAGATTTAGACGGGGTATATATATGAATCATATAGTTCGATGTAAATGCCAACAGTGTGTGAGTTGCCTAGAGTGCCACTAACCCGATCTGTATGTGGCGTTTGCTGCGAAAGAGCGGTCTCGAGAATTCTAGAAATAGCTTCAGCAAGTACATAGACTGAATCGGGAAGATATTCGGGGAGATTCTCATTATCAGCGATAAGCAGCCGTGGAGGCAAAGAATGAGATCATTGCCATCCACCCACCCTTTTCCATTCCTATCCATTCCACTCCATCCCACTTCACTCACTCTGCACTCTTCACCGATTCGGACCGAAACTAGACCTGTCTCATTCCGACGAACAAGGATCCTCACCGACCCTAACAACTAAACCCGATCGGTGTATTTGCTTACACCTCCCTTAAAGAGAACAATTTCCCTCAGTCATCTCCGTCGGGCGCCAGATACCGAACCCTCCCACGGCTGTCAACCCTACGTTACGCACACAACCTCACTTCTGGAGCTACACTGACCCCCGTGTCGCTCGCACCACCGTCTTTTGCCTGTCAGACCATGAGCTCGTCACGCGAGCCGCACCGCCAATCGTCCATCGACCCCTTCTCCCACCCGGACATCTATTACGGAAACGAGGCATCCATTGCCAAACTCAGCGACCGCAGGCGCACTCTCTCGGCGGTAAGTAGTCACCCTTTCTTGTTTGGTCGGCAGCGGAAAACTCATTTACTCTTGTCGTGTTCTAGAGCTTGAACGACTACAATCGCGAGGATGTCCAGGAACTCTTTATTCCGTCGAGGCGCGGTAGCCACGGTATGTTTTGTTCTTTGTCCTTTCTTGGGCTTTTCGGAGCAGCGCTGACAGCGACGGTGCGCAGATGTATCGTCCGGTCGCCCCCGCAAGTTCTTGATCGAGGTCGAGGAGACACTGCAGACTTTGCTGCAGCAGGAAGACACCGATCAGAACATGCAGATCACCATTGAAGATCTCGGGCCCAAGGTCCTGTCGGTCGGAACCGCCGCCTCGTCTGGGATCAACCGCTTCGACGTGCGGGGCACGTACATGTTGTCGAATCTGCTGCAGGAATTGACCATCGCCAAAGACTACGGCCGGAAGCACATCGTCCTCGACGAGGCCCGGCTGAACGAGAACCCCGTCGCGCGGCTCAACCGACTGATCAAGAACTCCTTCTGGGTAGCGCTCACTCGGCGCATCGACGGCTCCAATATCGAAGTGGCTGGTCGGGATCCCAAGGACTGGACCGATGATCCCCGGCCCCGGATCTACATCCCGCCTGGTGCTCCGATGCAGTTTGAATACTACACGCGCATCGCCAAGGAGCACCCGGAGCTGCGGCTGGATGTGCAGATGCTGGAAGCTGTTATCACTCCTCAGTATGTGGCACATCTGAACGATAAGCCGGGTCTGCTGGCGCTGGCTATGCAGAAGAAAGACAACGATGCCACCACGGAAACGGACTTGATCGGTGTGCCCTTCGTGGTGCCTGGTGGTCGGTTTAACGAATTGTATGGTTGGGACAGTTACATGGAGTCCCTGGGCTTGCTGGTCAGCGACCGCGTCGACCTGGCCAAGGGCATGGTGATCAACTTTTGCTTCTGCATCAAGCACTACGGCAAGATTCTCAACGCCAACCGCTCCTACTATCTCACCCGTTCCCAGCCGCCTTTCCTCACCGACATGGCGTTGCGGGTATACGAGAGGATCAAGAACGAGCCCGATGCGAAGGAGTTCCTCCGCAATGCAGTTCTCGCCGCTATCAAAGAATACCACAGTGTCTGGGTTTCAGAACCTCGCTTGGACCCGGCTTCCGGTCTCTCGCGATATCGCCCGGAGGGCTTTGGCGTGCCCCCTGAGACGGAGCCGACTCATTTCACGCACATCCTCACACCTTATGCGGAAAAACACGGCATGGCATTCAAGGTATTTGTCCGAGCATACAACACCGGTGCAGTGAAGGAGCCGGAGCTGGACGAGTATTTCCTGCACGACCGAGCCGTGCGCGAGTCTGGCCACGACACCAGTTACCGACTGGAACGTGTGTGCGCAAACCTCGCCACCGTGGACCTCAACTCCCTGCTATACAAGTACGAAGTCGACATTGCCCGAATCATCCGTATCCACTTCAAAGACCGCCTCGAGATCCCCCAGGAATTCCGCACCGCGACAACACAAAACATCGAAACCGAGTCCTCATCCACCTGGGACCGGCGCGCCCGCCGACGCAAGCAAGCCATGGACAAGCTCCTCTGGTCCGAGGAGAAGGGAATGTACTTCGACTATGACACAGTCAAGCGCGAGCGTACAGACTACGAGTCGGCCACGACCTTCTGGGCGATGTGGGCGGGACTTGCGACCCCAGGCCAAGCAGCAAAGATGGTCGAGATGGCCCTCCCCCGATTCGAGGCGTATGGCGGACTCGTTTCGGGAACAGAGGAGTCGCGCGGTGCAGTGAGCCTGGAGCGTCCCAATCGCCAGTGGGATTATCCGTACGGCTGGGCGCCGCAGCAGATGCTGGCGTGGACTGGTTTTCTGCGCTATGGATACCAGGAGGAGGCTGAGCGACTGGCCTACAAGTGGTTGTACATGATCACGAAGGCGTTTGTGGATTTCAACGGCGTGGTCGTGGAGAAATATGACGTTACGCGCCCGATTGATCCGCACCGCGTTAATGCCGAGTATGGGAACCAGGGGGTGGATTTCAAGGGTGCGCCGCGTGAAGGGTAAGTCTTTTTCCTTTCCTCCTTTTTTTTTTTTTTTTTTTTCCTGGGCATTATATTTTTGGGGGGATTGACTGACGAATACATCATAGCTTCGGATGGGTCAACGCCAGCTACGTCTATGGTCTCGAGATCCTGAACGCGCACATGCGGCGCGCGCTGGGAGCGATCACGCCTTACGAGACATATCGCAAGGCAGTCACCGCGCAAGACGAAGCATATGCCGTGCAAGATGAAGCGTATTGACCGATTGTTTTTGGTTTGGTGCTTTTGGTTGTTAGTTATTGAAAGACGGCTTGCTGTAGCCTTGAAAGTAGAGATTGACTCTACTTGAACGTGCTTTACAAAAGAAATACATTGGATGCTTGCATCAAGATAGCCTAGAGGTTGGAGAATTTGGGTCGTTTTGTTCTTATTTCGTGGGGGCCTAGATACTACTGGCGTTGCACGAATGATATTGTTGTTTGAAAGAAAGTGGTTTTGATACTGGGAATGACGCGTGTGTCATTCTATAGATACAGTGCTGTATGAAACTAAAACTTGGGTGTTGTTTGGCCTTGCATCAACTTATATTTCTTGAAGCATGGCCATCTCCCGAGTGACTGATTGAGCGTTAATGCCATTCGGACTTACCTTCCATAAATTGAGTAATTAGAGCGTAGAGATATAGCTGATCTCGAAAACTACTGTACACGCAAAATACATCTCGCTCTCAAGCAGTGTCAGCTACTCCTCTGGGCCTAGCCAATTGGATCAAGGCTCCTATGGGGAGCGAAGCTTTTACCTTGGCAAACTTGTCCAAAGTTATCCCCTCGGCCTCATTCAAATTAACTACAGTGGAGCCAGGTATTAGGTGAAAAAGCAACAATAATATATTAACCAACTGAGACAGCACCTCACCTCAGTCCTTTTTTTTTGGCTTTATAGCACTGCCATGATGGAAGTGGGGCCAAATATAAAATTAGAAATAGACTTGAGACCTGCAGCAAGGCCTTGAAGTTGATTAGAAATCATTATTCTAAGGCTTTTGTCTAAGGGTAATTCATTATTGGTAAAGTCTCATGTGTTCATTTCCTTCCGTATTCTTCGCTTTTGTACCTTCTTTTGTGGTCACTTCGACTCCCACGAGGAATATTCATTGAGGGCCTTGACACGCTGTATTGATAGCACCACACCTGACTTCCGCCGTGCATGAGGTGCCCCGAGAGTAAGGACTGGAGTAGCAGTAAGAAAAATTGGAGAATCGAGGGAATTTTTATATCACGACGCTCTAAATGACATGTTTATATGTACAACCGCCAACCCAAAGTAATATATCCCACATCCGGTAAACGCCAATATGCAAGCCAAATCTAGGAGTAGCGTTGCCCAAAATTTCAGTTCATTCTCCTTAGTGATTGCCGGAGGGACCTCGATGACTTTTCATTATCGCCCTTAAATCCCGCAGGGACCTCAATGACGTCCGAGACCCCGAGGGACTTGTCGCCCTGCAAGGCCTCCACAATCAGGAACTTGGCATTCGGATCACGTAGATCCGCACTCGTTTCAAAACCGTTCCGGCGGTGGTTATTCAGCAGAGTCCCCTGTTCGATACTAGACTCGAAATCAGGCACGGAGTAGATGTTCCAGTTGTCGTACTCGGTGCATCCATTCCAGCTCATGTACACGGATATATCGCTCGTGTATTTGGAAAGATATTTGGCCACAGCGACGGGAGGGTAGTGCGGAATTGCATGCCAGGGATATTTGAGTGTGCGGTAAGCCTGCGCATGGCCAGCGTAGCCAAACTGGCCCGTCATCACGATGTTCCCATCACCGTCGAATTCTCTGAATTTAGGGAAAGAGCCATAGCTTGCAAGCATGTGGGCTGTGTTGTTGTAGTCTAGGAGCTGTAGACTGCCTTGAGTCTTAGCTTCGGCACGGTCATGGTCGTGCGAATTAACGTGGCGGAAAGTAGTCCCCTTCATATTTTTTAGGTCGACGTGGATGGCGATACCGGTTGACTCGTGTGTCGCGGTCAAGTCTCTAACAGGGACGTCGTTGTCGAATAACGTAATTACCATGCTGTCGTCGGTCTCGTTATACGCGCGCATGTCGTGCTGCCAAGCGAAGTGGGCGTCGTTGGGGATATCACCTTCATTGCCATTGGCGCCCTTTAAGGCGGTTAGCAACGTAGTTGATTAGAGAAAGATGACTTACCGAAAGCATCCAGCGCTTGGTTCCGTCGCGGTTTAGATACAGCGCGGAGAAGAAGTAGCGAACGGAGACCAGGTAGCCGTGGTTGGTGTACTGAATGGAGTTGATGTGGTAGGGGTCCCAGGGCTTCATCTGCGACTCGCCGTGTTCACCATTTGGCCCCATGTCTAATTTAGATTTTCCTAAGGGGAGGAATTCCCGGTGGTCGTATGCGCTCCAGCCGAATAGGATCTCGTTGGTCTTGATGTCGATTTCATAGAATAGACAGTCGATAATCCAAGCGCCCGGGTAGCCCTCTGGTCGCATGCTAGTGTCGGCCTGCGTGATGTTGATAGCAGAGACGATTATATTGCCTTCGGGGGTAATGAGATGCTCATGGACGTCGACATAGGTATCTCGCTTCTTCCCATCTTTCGTCACGAATCCTTGGTCTGGTAGAGTGATGACATAGATCTCCTTGTACGAAGTGTCGAGGATGTGAACGCGACCATACCCATATCCTAGCATGTTGGTCTCGCCATCCCAGTATGTAATGACATCCTCGCCGAACAGCTTCTGCATCTTGAAATCCATGGTCTTTCTCTGGACCCCTTGCCATATCATCTCGCCATCGTTGTCGTATATGGTCGGGGCTTGACCTGTCTCCGTCTCAATATTAGTTCGGACATTGATGAAGATGCTGTCCGGGTTGTAATTCCCCGTCTTGCCAAGCATAAGGTGAGGAGGGGACCATGTTCCTGTCTCAAAGTGTTGGGCTGGCCAGTCTGGTCCACCATGAAAGGCAAGGCCGCCGAGAGAGGACAGGAGTAGTCCTGATAGATATACGAGAGGGCGCATGTTGACGACGGTGTGGGTGTGTCCCTCGGCTTGAAAGGAAAAGATGAACCAGAAAGAAAGAAAATGTAAGGCACGTCGAGCCTCAGGAGGATCGAGTCATGTCCTTTTTTGAGAGAGTTTTGTTTTTTTTGGACCGTGAGTTTATTACATTACTACAAGGATCAATGGTACGCTTGATCCCAAAATTAGCAAGGCAGATACCCTTGAGATGGCATACTAGCAGAACAGCCCCGCGAGACAAGGCTGCAGATCCACAAATGGAGGACGCCCGGGCCACTTAAAGGCAGGCAGTGTCCACCAGACTCGTATCGACAACTGTTCATACAAACCCAGCTCGTTAAGGCCTCGGGAGCATTTAATTTGGTAAACTGAGAATAAAATAAAATCCAACCCAGAGCCTCGTGCGGACTGGTGGCATTGTCCCGCAGCCGGAGCAGTAAATGTCCTAAGCCAAGTCAAAAACCACAGCAGAATGGGCCCCAGAAACGGATGGCGAAAGCATCCTTAATAGTTAGTTAGAATCTACAATATCACTCGCAACAGTAGTCTGAAGCGGGAATGTTCTTCAGTATCTCGAATACTACCCAATTCTTTGGGGGGCCTTAGCTCTTGGCGAGATCCGCGCCTCCTGTGTTCGTACTTGTACGAGTACGGGTCAGAACACGAAACTTAGCCAACTCCTAAGTGGCGTTCAATCCCATTCGGAAGTGCCGCGTCGATACTACATCAGTTTACGGTCACAGTCAGTACACAAACATGGATGGCGCGGCTTGGCACGGCACTCACTAGGCCCGCAGAGTGGGAGGGCCGTCGGATTCAGTTGATGATTTGCTCTGTTTGTATCAGGCCCGATCCGACCCCCTGTTTCTATTGTTCAATTTCGGAGACTCACTGGCTGATCTCTGTAAGGCGCCGTAGTACTGTACCTTGAGATAGCTGCTTTTGTGACGATTCAATAGCAGCCTGCCAAAACTGGCACTCTGCAGTGGTTACTAGTACTGAAGAGTGTTTCCGCCGATCTGTACCACCGTAAAGAACTTAAAGTGATGCGCTTTTAATGACCTGGACCGCGACCCGGACTATTGTAAAAGAACTACTTGTCAGGGTAGGCACCTGCTAGTCAGGTGAAGAATGATGCTCCGAGAGGGTTTTGATACGCTGTCGGAAAGGTATCGAAATAGAGGTGATCCAGTGCAAGACAAAAACATACTGATTCTTAGCAGAATTAGGATCCAACTACAACGGGTTCATATTTAATCAAAGCGGGCGGGGTAAACACATGTACTAGCACGTGATATCAATCCTCAATAGCTGCGTAATAAGTCCAATCTGTAATACCGCGGTGATAGCTAGCCACTATTAGGATTATGATTTCAATCACGATAGACACTCCTATTAATTCGATGGAGGATGTCTCGACTAACTCGCATATGAGACATCTGCCTTCCTACCCTAGTTATAGCCGTTAGCACGCTATAGTTCCGCCGCAATATTAGCTGTCGAGTTCTTTGCCTATACGTTTTGTGATAATAACTAGTAAGGAGCGCATGAGTAGTTTGCGTAGTGGAAAAGAATAACCAAAATATAGAATGACACATTTTATATACTCAAAATAGTTTAGTGCAGTGGCACAGGTTGCAAACTACACTACCTAGCACTACTGCCCAGCACTTTCAATTTCCCCGCATCTAGCAGGTCTTCACACTTGCCAACCTTAGAATATAAGCCGCCAGAGAACAGATCAATCTTCAAAACGAGTACTATCTTACACCGTGAAAGGCAAGAAAAGTATGGAGGCACGAAAATTTGGCCGAAAAGGGAATCATCACAATCCCATCTTACGCTGGGACCATGGTCCATAATGAAATACATACATAGCAGCGGAGTAAAAAAGATCAGTAAATGCCTACCAATGGGACAATAGGAGTCAGACATGCCAGGTGGAGGGCCGAGAGGAGATGAAAAGTGGTCGGGCCCTTGGGTAATTTTATTTCCTTGGCACCCTCGAACGCGGGGACAATTTTAGTGGAATTTTGAGCAATTTACACTAAGCCGGCAAATCGGATGGTCTTTTTTGGATTTAGTTCTCGTTCATTCTTTCGGTTTATCGATCTTTCCTCAGTATGCTGAGACCAAGATACACGGAGCCGCGGAGCCTTTCCTCGTTAAATAAACGAGTACCTGACTGATGATTGGTCCACATTGCCGACCCCGCTGGCGCCTAGATCCTAAATCTGATAATGGAGTGACTCGTTAGTTTTTTGGAGGTAGGACTGAACATTCCTGATCTCATTGAACCCTTCAAAAACTCATTTGTACTCATTCCTAGGTTTAGCTTCCTTCAGAGGAAGAGGTTTGGAATGCTCAATATAGCGTCTCAACCGAACCCATTGTAAAGTGTCACTAGTAAACTTATTCTGATTGAGCTCCAGTCCCTAGACACCCACTCCACCACCAACTCCGCCAAGTAGCGGCTGCGAATTGTCCGATGCTCCATTATATTGGCTTTGACGGTGTGTTTATCATCAATTTTGCCTGTATGGGAATTGGATGCTCGCTCTCATGCGGGGTTGGCTCGTTCCAAGTGGGGACATTCCGCCGTGCGGCACAGTAGCACGGGGTAAGATACTAGTCCGAGTAGAGGGTAGTTTCAAGCGTCCTAGAGCTCTCAAAGGAGCGCTATTCCTTGTTAGGCCCGGCAAAAATGAGGTTATACTCCGGTGCTCTCGGCCTTGTTAGGTCCGATGGTGCATATAAAGCAAGAGCATGCGCTAATTAGCTCCTTTTGAATCTTTACACGAATGCTCATATCCGAAGCTCTCCTTTTCTTCTAAGGTTGGATATATTCCGGCTCTCTTAGTCTTAAATCATGCATTTGCTGCGGGGACTTGCGCTCTCGCTGCTAGCAGGTACTGCTCTAGCCAACCCTAGCCGCCATAGTGGAAAGGACCATGCAGTCAAGCAGGCCCGTGGCTCCGGATATGCCATGAAGCAACCTCCACTGACAACCCCATGGACGGATGATGTGGGTACGGACCCGTGGCCCGAGTATCCGCGCCCCCAAATGCAACGCTCTCAATGGAAGAATCTCAATGGCATTTGGCAGTATCAGAATGCCTCAAGCCTTAATGATGTGGAGAACCCACCATTTGGACAGAACCTGGGACAGGAAGTATTGGTTCCATCGTGCCTTGAGAGTGGCCTGTCCGGTCAGTATTACTTGTCTGTATATTTTGGCTCTTATTAAGTTTTCTATAGGTATCCAAGGGGAGTACAATCTATACTCATGGTATTCCAACTCATTCAAAGTCCCTACAGATTGGGCAGGGCAGCAAATTCTTTTGAACTTTGAAGCTGTTGACTACGAAGCCACTGTATTTGTCAATGGAAAGAAGGTCGGATTCCATCGTGGAGGGTACTTCAGATTCACTATGGATGTTACCCGATTTGTGAAGGCTGGCCATGAAAATGAATTGTGGGGCCCCTTTCCAAGAACTTTCCGTGTCAAATATGATTTACTAATACACTCCTTCCAGGCTTGTCTTTGTGCACGATCCCACTGATTCTGAGGGCTATGTGATCCCCATCGGGAAGCAGACTCTCCATCCGAGTCACATCTTCTATACTCCCTGCAGTGGCATCTGGCAGCCGGTCTGGCTCGAGAGTGCCCCGGAGAACCATATCACTAGATTGGACCTCGATGCTAACATGCACGGTATAGGTAAGCTAACATCCTAACATTTCTCTGGAACTTCAGTTAATCTTAATATATTTAGTCAACATGACTGTGCATACATCGGTTGCAAACACCACTAGCAATGTCCAAGTTATTGTCCATGACAACGGAAAGACGATCAAAACCCACAGTGGACCATCCAACCAGCCATTCCAGTTCAATGTTGATTCGCCGGATCTCTGGTCTCCGGACTCACCAAAGCTTTATAAGGTGACCGTCAAACTGGGCAAAGACGTAGTCCAGAGCTATACTGGATTCCGAACTATCTCCAAGGGTACTGTCAATGGCGTTGTCCGACCGCTATTGAACGGCAAGTCTATCTTCATGTTCGGCACCCTGGATCAGGGTTTCTGGCCAGATGGCATCTACACTCCGCCAACTAAGGAGGCCATGGTGTATGATCTGAAATTGTTGAAAAACTTGGGATTCAACGCGGTTCGCAAGCATGTTAGTGTATAATCCAGTGAGGAGTCTGAGACGCAGTGGATTGACTCACACATGGCAGATCAAAGTCGAAAACGAACTATTCTACCAGGCATGCGATGAGCTGGGAATCCTTGTTATCCAAGACATGCCTGCCATGCTTTCTCTGCCTAATGCTGCGCAGCAAGCAGAGTTTCAACGCCAACTGGAGCTGCTTGTCAATCAGCACAAGAGCTTCACTAGCATTGTGACTTGGGTAAGAGATGTGCTCAGCTGTATACGCTCTTTTCCCCCTTGACTGAAAATATCTACTAGGTAATCTATAACGAGGGCTGGGGCCAGATAACTAGCTATTACCCAGAGTTCGGTCTGACCGATCTAGTTCGGGAGCTGGACCCGACCCGTCTTGTGGATACCACCACTGGTTGGTACGACCACGGTGCTGGTGACTTCAGCGTAAGTTATGCAGGGGAAAGAGATTGGTGAGGTGACTAACATATTCTAGGATAACCACCACTACGCGAACCCACAATGCGGTACTCCATTCTACTCCATTAACTCTAGCCCCTTCGATCCCACCCGCATCGGCTTCCAGGGCGAATTCGGTGGTCTTGGAAGCAACGTCTCCATTGAACAGTGAGTTTTTTTGAACATATGAGAAGAAACTCTTTATTGATAAGATAATCCTCAGTCTCTGGAACAACCAAGCGTCCATCAACACCATCAACCAAACTTACGAGATTGACCAAACCCTCGATGCCTGGAATTATCGGTCTCACCTCCTGCTTAGCGAGCTGCAGGATCAAGTTCGCCGATTCTCCTGCAACGGCGGGATCTGGACTCAGACGACGGATGTTGAGGGTGAAGTCAACGGCCTGATGACATATGACCGCCGCCTTAAGCGTGTCGATGAGAAGCAATGGCAGGCAGACATTCAGGGTCTCTATGATGCTGCTTCTGCGCGCAGCAATTAGGCTACCTAGACATCATATTCCAAATCTGGTTACTCGATTGTCGGCAATAATGGTATATCCAGAACAATTCAGGTCGTGAAAAACGCTAGGTACCTTCTACAGTGTTTAGATCTATTACCTCCTGCACAGTTTTGCTTGTGAGCAATCAGCCTAAATAAAAGCACAACACCATACTTACCCTCAGATTCGAGGCATAGAAGTAGTTTTCGGTATAGTTCCCGGAATGTAAGCGTCGTGTTGCCCTTCACTTCCATCCTAGAGCTTTAGTTCGATTTGGTTACGAATACAACATACAATATGTAAAACAAGGCATCTGTCCTAGAGCGCAGTGAAGTGAAGACTCTGGATTTTCATAAAGCTATACAGTAGCAACCTAAATAATTTGCAGCACATGACGCAGAATAGCTTGCGGACATTCATATTGAAAGATTAAATTTCGGATCTAATCACACACCGGACTAAGAGGTTTCCATAAAAAAAATCTTCCTTTATATGGATAGATATCACTTCAATTCTTGGATTGCCGACTGGAAGACATTTCGAATTTGCATTATCCGATGAGAAAGGCTTGTATACATCGTTCCACTTGGAAATGTCGGTTGGATCAGGGACAAAAGGAAAAGAAACCACGCGTCCTCAGGCCTAGGTACCCCTCTTCATTCTTCTTGTGATATGTGAGCATCATTTGCTCGCCCGAGGATAGAAGTAGCCTTTGGTTCTGTATCCGCAAACTTGAGCCATTCCGGGGTTCGTCAAAAATCTCTGAACAAGAGTGCCCTCTGGAAACCCAAGCAAAATAGTATATAGTGAGCCTTGGTCACATGAGGTATCGTGGTACCACGTTTTATCCTTCTTGTCTTTCAGAAATGCAATTCGACACTGAGAAGTACCAGCAACAAAGGTAACATGATGCCCGAAGTGGTGGTTGATCCTGACCGGAAATGAGGATGAGATAGATCTCCACTAATTTTGGGCCTAGCGACCAACGGCCCCAATTAGCCCTCCGTCTATGATTGTGCGGGCCAGATATAGATCAGCAGCAAGGAAAATTCGTAACACTAGCCACTTCTAACCATCGTAGGTAAGGTCGTTTTTCTCTACTACTACATATCTCCGGTTGCTTTTCGCCCCCATTACCTAACTAGCTATAGTTACCAGGAGCCTATAATCAGTGGATAGAGATGACGAAGCGATGTTACACAATCAAGGTGGGTTCTAACGTACCAGCCCGCACCTTCCTTCGCAATCTACGTCAAAGTGAGGGATTTTGAGCAATGAGGGACTTTGAGCAAAGGCTTCTCGAAATAGCGTGAACGGGCTGTGCACTGGTTCATGCTCTTGGATAAATTGAATCCACTTTAGGCCGTGGTCCTATGGTCTCGCCCTGAGTGCCTATACTCGGATGAGAGACGACGATCATCCTTTGTTCGGAGATAATTGACACTCTTCACAAGCTGAAACATTTCCAGGATCTGAATACTACACAGTACATCCTAGCATACGGATGAAACCTAAATTACGATCATTTACGTATCCATGTTGTCAAAAATGAATGGGCCTTGGGTCCAAAATTAGTTCCAAAAAGATGGCTTCCATATCTAGCGGCTAAGTTTAGATCCGCAGGGGGCCAGAAGTATTGATTCGCAATGCATCCGCCGCGGTTAGGTCTAAGCGCATCTACTCTGTTACACTGCAGCCAGCCATATAGGGGTTAAGAATCTGATAGACGGAGATTCGATTCCTTATTGTACCATTGAAAGGAATACGCAAACTTAGAAGACTGCACATAGCGCGAACCCTATGTGGAAACCCCTTAATACAGGCCCCCACGATGGGGCTCCGCATTTTTGATCCCACTGTGGGGTCTGTCAGAATAATATAACGTCGCAAGCGATTAGTTAACTAGCGCATTTCCACGACCGTTACAATTGCTAAGCTCCATAGAGCATTAGGCTGTGGTCGAATCAACATTAGCCCGCGTTAACTGATGTTGGTTTCAATTTTGGTCCCTCTGTTGGTTCGCAATGCCTGATTCGATCACTTCCGGGCTAAAGCCGTAGCCTGCGAGTGATAAATAGCAAGGTCCGCTGTATGCATGTAGTTCCTCAGCTTTTTCTTTTGGTTCAATGAGACCGGTCAATATCGATACTGTCTTTATCAGGCTCTACCTCCCTGTACAACTGGCCGCAGCGTGACTTTACACAAAATCGCTCTCTTCTCTGTTTATATACCGCTAGTGTCCTACCTCAACAGACATACTTATAGCGGTATTTGCTCCACCACCACCACCACTGCCACCGCCATCAGCATCAACCAGCCTATACATTGACGGACCAACTCATTTAATAAGCTTTCTGTCTCCCGCTCATTATGAGACCTTACAAGCAATTGTTAAGCGCATTCATAGCGGTTGGTCTTGCTCAATCCGAAAGTGTGCCTGCGGGTGCAGAACTATGCGTACCTCAAGGCGAAGGCAGCTGTCAATTTGCAGCGTATCAATTGCAGCCAACAGACACGTGCGAAGACCTGCAGAAGAACGCAGCATACATTTATGACCACGAATGTAACCAGATCGGCTACACGGAAAATTTCGCAACTGATACAGCCATTGACTCGGAATTGCCATATACTGTGGACGTGTTGCTTATAACTGGTGGGCCTTCTTGTAATATCAAGTATCAGATCGGGTATAGTGACGGGACGTATGGGTTCGGAAATCCGTCTGGAGGAGTCTGGGGTTCATGCAGTGAGACAGGATACCAGTGTAACTACTACCGGGTGGCGTTTGCTTGCCCGGGGTTCTAGTTTACTAAAAACAAACTGCATGATTCAACAATCTGGAGCTGTGGTCAGTGTTTAAAATCGATTGCGCGTTGCCATGTAGCGGGTGGTCTCTCCCGTCATATATTAGTTTCTAGTTATAGGCTGGTTATTGCGTAGATGTTCGATATCTATGCTATCTCGCCAGTAGCCGAAAGGTGACGGGTAAAGATTACTTTGAGCGGCTTCGTGGAGGATCGAGCGAACGGGATAGATTCCTTTAACGAATGAGTGTATATATCCGTATCCAGAATGAGTGAACTTCCTTGCGTTTCATTGATAATATGACGCCGTCCATGTTAGTATTCATTGAGCGGACATTATTCTAATTGCATAATGAATCTTCAATGAATTAGTGCCGCTGCGTCACTTCCCTCTATCCGATTGACCCATCACTTTCTTGATTCCGTCTTTGAAGGGCGCTAGTGATGACTTCAGCTATAAGTTCATGGTACTCCATCCCGTTATTTCGCGCGATGCAAGTAAACAGAGAAAAGTCGTCTCGAAGCCCGAATAGCGGGTTTACCTGATTCCAGTTAGACCTGAGCACTAAATATAACAGAAATTCCATCGTCGAGTTCTGCCTTTTCTGAGGGAAAATTGAACGTACCTCTATCACGTTTGGAACAGAACCGTTCATTTGAGAAGTTAGACGTATATCGACACGAGCTCCATCTCGGCACCCCAATACTTGATACGCCGATAGAGCAACATTGGCGACCTTCTTCACTAGCGGATCTGCCAGGTCCGCATGGGCATGTCCCATATCTTGGCCTGGTCCACGGCCAGCTTTGGAGAAGCTTGTGGCGAAGTCAACCGACGAATTGTCATTTTCATGTCCCTCTGGATTGTACCATGTCACTTCTAATACACCTAGCACAGTGGCTGAGCTGTTAGTTCCAAGGATAGCCACTGTGAATTCTCTCCCGCCAAGGAATTCCTCTAGCATGATTTCCTGGCCTTTAAATTGACCTCGGAGATTTTCAATGGTTGTATCAAGGTCTTCATGTCGGTAGATCTTGTTCGAGGGTAGAATCCCATTTGAGGTAGATGCAGCAACTGGCTTTGCAAAGAGTGGATATGATAGTTCTTTGGCCAGTGAGGCATAATCGGCCTTGAGGCCAAATTTGGGGATTAATGCGAACGGGCTCGTTGGTATCCGATAATGCTCCAGAAGCATCTGCAGATATTCATCAGTATTAAATATGTAAAAAATGTAGGGTATCCTCAATGCGTATATGCTTATCGTACCTTAGTCTTCGCCTTGTCATTACATAGTGAAAGCGTGGCTGCGTCTGAAAACGTGTAGAGAACCTCATAAGCTTCAAGTAGTGCTGGTACTTGAGATTCGCGTGCAGAACCACGAAGCCCCTCACTAAAGTTAAACACCAAGTCCCAATTCTTCTCTTCACCCGCTGCCAGATGGCCGACGAGGTGTTTGATGCCGGGAATGTGGACTACACGGTGTCCAAGCTTGCCAAGGGCATTGGCGACAGCGTTGATTGTCACCTCATCGGCCAAATCAGCACAGTCGGTCTCCGCGTAGCCTCGTTCAAGATAATAGGCCTTCGGGTCATAAACGAAGGCGACGTTGAGTTCGGTGTCTCTTGGGTTTTTCATGTTGTCCCTTGGTAGCTGTGTGCAGTTGCCAGTCAGAGGTGCGGATAGTATTATGGAAACAAATGACGACTTTCCTGAACTTAAAAGAGATCAAGCCGTCCTTGGCCGACTTCAACAAAACGTGCTTTACTTTGACTTGAGATTCAACATGACGTCACGGCCACTTCATCGCGAACACCTGTTTACAGTACAATCATGGAACAAGATCCTTTGTATATCTACGATTGTCAAGTCAATGGTAATCTTCGTGGAAGGTTTTGTCTAGAGCCGTTCCCAGTACTGCTCAAAAGTACATCTTTGAAATGTGGTGTGCAACTTCCTATGTCGATCTTTTAATCATCGGTGCTGGCCCAGCAGGGCTCGCGGCGGCGTGTTGGGCAGCTCGGTACAATCTGTCAATACAAATAATTGACCAGAAAAGTGGTCGGACAAAGACTGGCCATGCCGATGGGCTACAAAGCCGGACACTAGAAATCCTAGAAAGCTTTGGTATTGTCGACCCAATCTTGAAACAAGGGGCTCCAGAAGTCGACATGTGCTATTGGGTTTGTCTACACAATAAGTTGAAAGTACAAAATAAGCTACTTACAAAACTACAGGCAATGAACCCTAAGACAGGGAATGTTGAACGCCGTGGGATAGACGAAGCGGAAATTGGGCGGATGTCCAGATTTGGGCAAACATTGCTCAACCAGGGTTATGTTGAACAGAATTTCATTGATCACTTATGTGCGACAAGTGATATCCGCGTTGAGTGGAATAGAAGAGCTGAGTTCTTACAATTGATGGCATCCGACGAAGATAGAGAAGCATTCCCAGTAGCCGTGGGAGTGGCTTGTCTGGATGGGCATGGTATGTAATTCGAAGCTTAGAAGTTGCTTTCTGTTAAGCAGATTGGAACTGATTCACCGAACCAGGCGAGTCACATCTCCCCTGATGCTTCGCAAATGATCCGTGCACGTTATCTGATCGCATGTGATGGTGCCCACAGCTGGACCAGACACAAGCTCAACGTTTCGACTGATGGAAGTGATAAGAGCACGGACTGGGGTGTCCTAGACATTGTCCCTATCACCGACTTTCGTATAGTCTCCCATTTTGCCGTAATTAGTCTCACTGTGTCCCTCGTCTAACAATCTTCCCTAGCCGATATCCGCCAAGCCTGTTCAGTTCAATCTGAGCCACATGGAAGCATTATGACAGTACCACGAGAGAACAAACTGGTGCGTTTCTACATTCAGCTCCAGAACGGGCTTAAAGAAGACAACTCGCCCTACTCCAGTGATCCCCCAAGGGCTTTGGTTGAAATGGCCTCGCGGACGATGAGCCCGTATAAACTGACGTACAAACATTGTGATTGGTGGTCATACTATTCGGTAAGTGCAAATAGCGATTTTTAAAGGCCTAGGGTTTACTGATAAAGGTGACGCAAATCAAGTCTGCACGTCGGGTTGCTCAAAACTTCAGACCACATAAGCGGTAAACGAAACCCTTTGAGAGTATAAGGCATTGAATAACTTCTTCTAGCATTTTCCTTGCCGGTGATGCAGCCCATACTCACTCCCCAAAAGGAGGGCAAGGCATGAATGTTTCGATCCAGGACACATACAACCTTGTCTGGAAACTGGGAGCAGTCCTCACTGAAGGCGCGGATCCTGTTATTTTAGAAACCTACGACTCTGAACGCCGTTCTGTTGCTAAGGAGTTGATGGATTTAGATGCTTGTCTTGTGGAAGCATATGAGGACAGACAGAATGGAGAAAGCACCGGAGTGTACGAGGTCCGCGAAAAGTATGCTGGCTTCATGGCAGGGGTGGAGGTGACTTACAGCCCGAGCGTCTTGGTTGCCGATGGTCCTGCGTATGGAAACCCGGCTCTGGCGCAAAATATCAAGCTGGGTATGCGTCTACCTTCATATCCGGTCACTTACCAATGCGATGGCGTCTCTACTCATTTGGCACAGAGACTTACTAGTGACGGATCGTGGAAGCTCTTGGTATTTGCAGCTGACCTAGGTCAACCGAATAAAATGGAGACACTGGCAAATTTCGCAGATTTCTTTACCAACAAGTCGCATCTGGCACATCTGCGAAAGAAAGAAGATTTGAAGAGCTGCAAGCCTATGATCGATGTTCTCCTGATACACTCAAGTTCCCGGAACACAGTCAAGTTGTTGGACTCACCATCAATTTTCCATCCATTTGATGAGGTCATGGGTTGGGATTACTGGAAACTCTTTGCCGATGACAGTGGTCAAGCGTACTCAGGCTACGGTATTGATGGGCAAGGTGATGGTTGCCTTATTCTATGTCGTCCGGATCAACACGTCGCTTGGATTGGCGGTATGGAAGATATGACTGGTCTTGATAACTATTTTTCGTTCTTCTCGTAGACCAGAAGCTTGATACATCCAAGTGATGTGGATGAGGACAAAGAACTTCAATTTAGCAGTTATAACTCCTTCAACTGTAGCAACCGACGTATCCCCTTAATAAGACAACGCTGTCCATCTGTCTGTGAAACAGTCCCTGGTATCTGAAATTTGAGGCACATGATATGGCAAGTAAACAAGACAGCCGAGCGGGTGAGGATTAATAGAAACCGAACTGACATTTTCGTTAACTAGTCACACTTGCAACCGCATCATTAGACGGATTACAGAGCAACTACTTAAACACTAATCATTGCCAAAAACCGGTCCCCAAGTTCATTCGCCGCCAAAGGGTTTCCTCCAGTGATTAACTCCCGATGCAGAGTCGTACCCCCAATCTTCTCCCGTGCGCCCTCTACCATGACAGCGCCGGAATCTCTCAACGCAGACTCGACCTTCTCGACCTCCCCGCCCCATAAAGTCTCCATCATCTTTTCTTCCGCATCACTCCAACAGGTAATCTGATACCCATCATAAACAAACGATCCGTTGCCCGCTGCCTTAGTACTCAGAAGTGCATATGGCCCATGACAGATTGCTGCAGTGGGCTTATTCTCCTGGTGGAAGTACCTCAGAATCCGTCCAAGTTCTGGGTCCGCTCCCAGATCCTCTAGCGGCGCGTGCCCACCGGGAATGAACACGCCTGCAAAAGTGGCTAGTTCATCGTCACTGATGGTACTGAATGGGCGCGGACGGTTGAACCCGTTCTCGCGCTTCATCCGGTCAATCAGTTCCTCCTCTCGTCGGCGTTCGTAAAAGTTTCCTGCGTATGCAAGGAGTGATTCACTGTTCGGATCCGGTGTTGGCTGTTGGCCCTTCGGCGAAGCAAAAGTCACCTCATGTCCTGAATCGAGGAGCTTTTGGAGAGGCTTTGCGAGTTCTTGGAGGAAGAAGCCGGAGGGTTGCTCAACTATCTTGTTTTGGTCGGACCCGCTGGTTTTTTTGAGGCGAATGGAGTGTGCGTCACTGAGGACGATGAGGATCTTCTTGGGTGGCATTGTGAATATTGCTGGCTAGAGTTGAATAATTCTGGATACGGAAATAGTCTTTGTAGCTGAAATGCGAGTTTATTTATACATGACGGGGGCTTCGTAGTTCCTTGCTGTGTGCAAACGCGGATGACGTTGGCGAGTCGTCATAAGTGAAACTACACTCAGTAATGTCAATGCATGTTTTTCCTTCACGTCAATTATTCATGACAGTGTATTGCTTTTCGCTGACTCTCCGTGGTACATGACGTAAAAAAAGTATAATATAAGTGTGGAAGGTAGGAAAGAGTATTTATGGGGTTAGCACCAAATGAGCCAATTCAGAATGGAGAAATTGGTTCACTCACAGGAAGCCAGCAATCTCGGGTATATTATACTCCTTCCACGTTAAATTTTCCCCCTAATCCGTGCAAATCAAGCCGTGAGTCAAGGCCACCGAAATAATTTCTGAGGCGGAAGTGCTTGAGTGGGTGTTGCTAGCACCAGAACCAAAACCTACCTGACCCACGTTTCTACCCAGCTGAGCATATGCTGCAGTGACCAGAATTTAGTATTAGATAAACTCATCAGGGACATGGGAGTCATTAAGCATGAAGTAACAAAGCTAAAGAACGGTCAGATTAGAGCAGAGGCTAACGATTTCTAGCCTTTGAGCGTGAAGTATAGCTAATTGCAAGGATGTGGCTTCGTCGCTTTTCTTCAATCCCTACTTCAATGCCTTTCTATCTCCCGCAACAGTGAAAACAGAACGATTGTCTTGGTCCCATGCCTCTCAATCCCCAACAAAAGAAAAGCGGAAAATACTGATCCAATATACTTTTTTCTACCTTCGACTTGCTTACCATGGCCTGCCTGGGTCCACACTCCTGGAGAATCGTGGGCTAGCAGGTAAGTTTATTTATCTTTGTATTCTTCGAATCCAAATAGCTGATATATGACTTGCCTCCAGATGGCGATATAATACTCAACAACACCGTCGACGTCTGTTGCTTTGAAAATTGTGTGATGAACTGCTGTTGTGGGGCAATCCAGTGACTCACGACAGAAGTGGCAGACACCTCAAGTAGAGTTAAACAGCCGTTCAACACTAGCGCTAGTCGCCGGAATACTGTAGAAAGATCCCGAGCCATGTTTGCAAGTACCAGAAACTTAAGTTGATGCTCCTTCCGGAACGCGAGAAAGCCAGCCGGCTGAATGATTTTGCCTACGGGTTAACATGTATTTCTATATTAATCATTAAAGAAATACAAGGCACATACTACTAGCGAGATATTTCGTAAGCTCATTGAACTATTTCCATTCGACCATTCCCCGCATATCCCCATCACAATCCCCCAGCACAGCGAAAATAACCCGGCCCCAAAGCTCCGAGCGTCAAAGCGGCTCGGTCAAGATCCGAAAACTCAAGACTAGGGATGCCGAGTGTCGGAGCCGCCAGAGCAAGGGGCCACCGACGCAGAGTGACAGCCGTCGACAATAACACGGGTGTTGGGGAGCGGAGGACCCTGGTTCTCCCGAGGCCTGTTCTCGTGGCTGGTACAGCCACCACTTTTGCTCTGCAATAATGTGTTCTTACATGATTACTGGGTGGGGTAGTTAGAACTATTGACTTCAGGACTGGAGGAGCCAAATTCAAAAGCCTGCGTTCTGACCCGACCTCTATATCCTATCTGGAATGCTGTTTGGGGTGACAGGGCGGTGGTTTGTCACAACCCTATGTTTAAAACCTCCTGCTCATACCGGAGCTTCCCTTTCTGCCACCAGAGCTTTGCGGACACTCTCAGACAAGCTGTAGAGACGGATGAGTCAGCACGTTGTTAAGCCGAGGTCCAACGAGCTGTGCGACTTTGAGTCATTTTAGGGCCTGACCACCTATCGGGGCGTGATCGTCTAGAGCTAGTTGACTGCATGTGCCGTGTCCCTGATGGCGTCAGGTTCTCCGGGAAATTTCGCGGGTTGTACAGTCTTCTCTGTTAAAAAAAAAAAAAAAAAAAAAAGAAGCAGGACTGGGCATAGTCGCTATAGATGCATAGTTTATATCCCATGCACCCTCTAGTTTATCTGTACTGGACTCTATGGATGATAATGACTACAGAAATGTATCTACTATTCATTTGATACAAATAGATGCCGCATCTGCTCTGATAGATCGACTAAAATACCCAACCAATTCGGACGCGGTAGGGACGATGAATACCGGGGCATGACAGACCGTATTGATGACTCAGGCATCAATCAATTTTCTCTCGCGCCTTTTTGCTCGAGAAGAGTCTCAAAAGAGATCGAATAATCAAACTAGGGGGCTACTATCATGTACATATTTCCCTAGAAATGTCATACAAAGCCATAGTAGGGTCTGAGTGCAATGCTACACACTATCTTCGTCGACTTTCCACTCGCACGTGAAAGGCAAAAGTTGTTATGGACTGTCACCCGGCCACATGCTTTTTGTCGACGTCATCCGATCTGCGGCACTTTCCTCACTCTCGTTTGCACAATTAAAGACAAGAGAAGCCTAGATGAGAATATAGGCGATGGGGGATACCGATAGTTATTCTGTCTTTGAATGCTGAAACCCCCGAGTAGGAGCTGTAGCAAGCATAATCCCAAAATCGCCGAGTGTAAGGTCCATTCGACCGAGGATCTAGAGAGTCTGGATCCTGTCTTCCGAACCGCACCCGCATTCCGCCTTTCGGCGGTCCAGAAGAACAGCACTGTATGCCTAGGCAAATGAAACAAGCTGAACTCCGGTGAGCCGAGAGATTACCGACCGACCCCCTTCGGTGGTGACGCATTTTGTCTTTCTGACAAGAATAAGTACCGCCGCGTGTCCCACTTGCTTGTGATCCGATTTTTTGTTAGAGTTTCAATACTTTGCTTTCCTTCCCTTTCTTCTCTTGCCACATTTTGCTTTGCATCTATCACTGCCTATATACAGAAATACCAACATTGAAATTACAGCAACCATGGGGCAGTTCGAGGACGAGGATCGGAAGTACCTGGAGGATGTCCAGGCCGTCAAGAACTGGTGGAAGGACTCGCGGTGGCGCTACACCAAGCGGCCTTTCACGGCGGAGCAGATCGTGGCCAAGCGTGGCAACCTGAAAATCGACTATCCGTCCAATGTGCAGGCTAAGAAGCTCTGGGGGATCGTGGAGAACAACTTCCAGGTGCGTTCGAATATATTCTATTGCAGAGGAGACTACTGACACATTGCGCCGCACAGAACAAGCAGGCTAGCTTCACCTACGGCTGTCTGGAGCCGACGATGATCACCCAGATGTGCAAATTCCTCGACACGATCTACGTTTCGGGCTGGCAGAGCTCGTCAACGGCTTCGTCGACCGATGAGCCTTCGCCCGATCTGGCGGATTACCCGATGGACACGGTTCCCCGCAAGGTCAACCAGCTGTTCATGGCACAGCTCTTCCACGACCGGAAACAGCGCGAGGAGCGCCTCACCACCCCCAAGGACCAGCGCGCCAAGGTGGCCAACGTCGACTACCTCCGGCCCATCATTGCCGATGCGGATACCGGCCACGGCGGTCTGACGGCCGTCATGAAGCTGACCAAGCTGTTTGTCGAGCGCGGTGCTGCTGGTATCCACATCGAGGACCAAGCTCCCGGTACGAAGAAGTGCGGCCACATGGCTGGCAAGGTGCTGGTCCCCATCAGCGAGCACATCAACCGCCTGGTTGCCATTCGTGCCCAGGCTGATATCATGGGTATGTGAATCACTGAAAGCCAAAGTCTCGCGAAGCATCTAACGGCAATTTCAGGAACTGATCTACTGGCCATCGCCCGCACTGACTCCGAGGCGGCCACTCTCATCACCTCGACGATTGACCACCGTGACCATGCCTTCGTTGTGGGCTCGACCAACCCGGGCCTGCAGCCTCTTAATGACCTGATGGTTGCTGCCGAGCAGGCAGGCAAGAACGGGGCCGAGCTACAGGCCATTGAGGACCAGTGGATGGCGCAGGCCGGGCTCAAGCTGTTCAACGAAGCCGTCATCGACGCGATCAACGCCGGGGTGCATGTCAACAAGAAGGGACTGATCGATCAGTACTTGAACGCCGTCAAGGGCAAGAGCAACAACGAAGCCCGCGCCATCGCCAAGGGCATTACCGGTGCCGACATCTACTGGGACTGGGATGCGCCGCGCACCCGCGAGGGCTACTACCGCTACCAGGGTGGCACACAGTGCGCCGTGAACCGCGCCGTGGCCTATGGGCCCTTCGCGGACCTGATCTGGATGGAGAGCAAGCTGCCCGATTACAAGCAAGCCAAGGAGTTTGCCGACGGCGTGCACGCCGTGTGGCCCGAGCAGAAGCTGGCGTACAACCTGTCGCCTTCGTTCAATTGGAAGAAGGCCATGCCGCGCGACGAGCAAGAGACCTACATTAAGCGGTTGGGCCAGCTCGGCTACTCTTGGCAGTTCATCACCCTGGCCGGTCTGCACACCACCGCGCTCATCTCGCACCAGTTCGCCAAGGCATACTCCCAGCAGGGGATGCGCGCGTACGGCGAGCTTGTCCAGGAGCCCGAGATGGAGCAGGGCGTCGACGTCGTCACGCACCAGAAATGGAGTGGTGCCAACTACGTTGACAACCTGTTGAAGATGGTGTCTGGCGGTGTGAGCAGCACTGCTGCCATGGGTAAGGGTGTGACGGAGGACCAGTTCAAATAAAACAGTCGCGGCGAGATGACCTGTATACTCTTTTGATGTTCCTGTTTTCTCGAGGATGTGGCGTTTGCCCCTTTTGGCTGTATATCGTGATCTGAAGCCCTCACTGCTTCGAGATTGTTTGCATTCTGAATAATGAGCCCTACACGATTCATATTATGATCCACTCGGATAGATTGTTTCTCCGTCACTCCCTGCGGAACCGAACGAGGAAAGCTTGCGAGAGGCGCACTGATCCCCACAAAGCGGGGACTCTGGAATCAGGGGGTTTGCCGCGGCTCCGATCGGGAAGGGTCGCGTCATGGCCACTGGACTGGATCCTGTCCGAGGAAGAGCCCAACGGTGGCGATAGTGAGGTAGTTCCGAAGATCTGGAGCCGTCTGAACGGGTTTGTTGGAGAGGGCCAAATCACGAAAAGGCAGAAGTAGGAGGTCACATGCGCAGGACCATAGTAACCATCGGTGCGACAGAAGATATAGTATGATGTTTTTGCCAACAGAGACGCCTGAATGATCGATTCTAGCCTTTTTGTAGAATTAGGTTGTAAGAGTAATCATAATCCTCCTCGTCGAACTCTATGCGCACTCGGTGCGATCGACCAGCCGAGCGCATGTGGATGCGGAGGCCCGCCAGCAGCTTAAGAACCGGCTCGGCCCATCACCTTCAGTGGTCGATCACTTTTTCCTCTCTCTCCCACACCCCTACACCTATCATCATGGGCCTCCCTGAGCTGAAGTTCACTCCCACAGAGGAGATCTCTTCGCGCATCTCCATCGCCCGCAAGACTTTCCTCGAGCACAAGACCCGCGATGTCGAGTTCCGTCTCGTGCAGCTCCGCAAGCTCTACTGGGCGTGAGTCCCCCACCCCACATACCACAGTCCCACCGAGGAAACATCAAACTGACTTGGAGCTGAACCATTCCAGCATCAAGGACTATGAGGAGGACATCGTCGAGGCCTGTGCCCAGGACCTGAACAAGCCGAGGTTCGAGACCGAGATCGCCGAGAGCCAATGGATCCTCAACGACATCGTCTTCACGACGCGCAACCTGCACAAATGGGTCAAGGATGAGAAGGCCCCCGATATCGACCTCACCTTCAAGTTTATGAACCCCAAGATCCGCAAGGACCCGCTGGGCACCGTATTGGTGATCGGGTACGTGCTACTGCGCTGAACAAACTCGCGGAAATGTGCCAATGGAGCTAACCGTTGCTCAATCTCTAGTGCTTTCAACTTCCCCTTCCAGCTGACCTTGGGCCCGGCCATCGGTGCCATCGCCGCCGGTAACACCGTGGTGATCAAGCCCAGCGAGAATGCGCCGCGCAGTGCCGCCGTCATGCAGAAGATCATCGAGGCCTCGCTCGACCCCTCCTGCTATCAGATCATCCAGGGAGGCGTCACCGAGACACAGGCCCTGCTCGCAGAGCGGTGGGACAAGATCTTCTTCACCGGTGGTGCCAACGTCGGGCGGATTATCGCCAAGGCCGCGGCGCCGCATCTCACCCCCGTGGTGCTGGAGCTTGGCGGTATCAACCCGGCCATTGTCAGCAAGAACGCCAACCCGCGACTCGTGGCGCGGCGTATGCTGTGGGGCAAGACCATGAATGCGGGCCAGGTGTGCACATCGCAAAACTACCTGCTCGTCGACAAGTCGCTCGTGCCCAAGGTGGTGGAGGAATTCAAGAAGGCCTACAAGGAGTTCTTCCCGAAGGGCGCCAAGGACTCGCCTGACTATGCCCGCATCATCAATGATGGCCACTACCAGCGTCTCAAGTCCATGATCGATAACAGCAAGGGTAAGATCCTCATGGGCGGCACCATGGACGAGAAGGAGCGGTTCATCGAGCCCACCCTCGTGCAGGTGGACTCCGTGGAAGACTCGCTGTGCAACCAAGAGAGCTTTGGGCCGTTCATTCCCATCCTCCCCGTTGAGAACCTAGACGAGGCCATCAACCTGGCCAACGGCGTGCAGAGCACCCCCCTCGGTCTGTACCCATTCGGCTCCAAGGCCGATGTCGCGAAGGGTAAGCTGCTATTTTGCCCCCTCTACTCAATATCATTTGTTAATGCCCAGTTTAGTCCTGTCCTCCACCCGCTCTGGTGGTGTCTCCTGCAACGACGCCGCGCTGCATATCCCGACCCTCCCCTTCGGCGGTGTCGGCGAGAGTGGCTACGGCGCCTACCGCGGCCGCTCCAGCTTTGACGTCTGGGTCCACCGCCGCCCCATCACCTCCAGCCCTGGTTGGCTCGAATCTCTCCTCAGCATCCGCTATCCTCCATACGAGGGTAAGCTGAAGACATTCAAGGCTAGCAGCGCGCTCGCCCCGGACTTTGACCGCAACGGCAAGGTGCATTTCGGCTGGTTGCGCTTTATCTTGACGCTGGGTGGTGGAACTGCCAAAGCTGGTGCTGGTCGGGCTGCTGTTGTTGCTGCCAGTGAGTAATACCTTTCTTTTTTTACCCCATCTTCTTCTTGTGCACTTTCCTTTCATTTGCTTTTCTGCATATATCTGCCACTGCGATCTTCTCACGGTTATTCTACTCCCCTCAGACCCTGGAGATGAAGGCAAAGACAAATAGAGGACCTCAGTCACCTGCGTGCTAAGGCCTCCACCCTGTCTGTTGAGAAGATTGATCTCCTTATACCCATCATATCCCATCTTTATATGCCCATTGTGTCTGGACTTTGTTTTGATTCTCTACCACCACTTTCTCTGCTTTTACTTGCATTGTCGGATACCCCCAACTCGTCCAGGCAAGAAGAGAGACAAAGAGCTATGTATCCTTTTAATTTGTCGGATATCAATGAATTTACCTCTTTGTCATTCCTTAACTAATCGCGGGCACGTATTCTAGTTGCCTACTTCGCCATGTACATCCTCGAGCGCCGATCTTCGAAATTGTGAGATTCGGGAAAGAGTTGGTTCAGCTAGTGGCAATAGTACTATTGTGTTTGAGTTTGTGATAGGCCGCTTTCGGCGCTGAAGATCAGGGATGTCCTTGTGTATTTACTCTATTTAGCAAATTTGTATGTAATGTACTCTGTCTGCGCAAGGCATTCATCGTGTACGATTGTAGGATTGGGACGATGAAAAAAGATTGTATTTCTCTCTCAGATATATCGTAGCTCATGCCGTCAGATCAGGAATCAGTCACTTCATACTGAATATCCGTCTACATATCTTCCACGCTGTCTGCAGCAGACACGCCACTAAATCAACATCGTCTCTCAACACCACGCTTACTCACACACAAATACTTCACCCCCTTGTACGGTTTGACACTCTCCCCCAGACCGCGACTGCGGCGCTGATCGATGTTCAGACTATCAACTCTGATACCCGACGGAAGCCAGCCGCGCACGGAGAAGGAGACAGAAGCGGAATTGGGCATGAGGCTTGCGTTGAGTTGCGCTTTCGTTCGGCGCGGTGTAGGGCGTGCGGATGTGGAGGGGGAGAAGAAGGCGGGGAGACAGGGTTGAGGTTGAGGCTGCGAGTGTGATTGTGATTGTGTTTGGGATTGGGAGGGAGGCGTTGGTGTTCGTGGTTTGGATGGATCTGGGGAGGGAGTTGAGAGCTTTGCTGAGCTTTCCGCGGGTACTTCAGTCGGGCCGTTGCCTGTATCTTCGGGGACGGTGGTGGCGGTGGTGGTGCCAGCAACAGCAGAGCGGGACGATTTTTTGGTGGACTTCTTTTTCTTCTTCTTCCGCTTAGCTGGGTCACCCGATCGTGTCTTAGTGCCGATGCTGTTGTCCTGGTCATGGTAGGAAGTCGGAGCCTCGTAGTAGCCTTGCAGGAGATTTGCATTGGCATCCTCATCTGGGCTTTCGTCTAGATCTTCGTCCGCCAACGGGTAGCCCGCGACGGAGCACCGCAGAGTTGCAGTTCCAGAGATCGTGCCGGCTTCGCGGCCCGTTGGAACCCGCCACTCGAGAAGACCGCTGCCCGGCAAGAACTGAGCGTCACCTCGGCTGGCCTGCATGTCCGTGATGTGTCGTACAGATTTGGAAATCGGGACGCTGACAACAACGTCCTCAAGCACCGGTCCGGTGGTATTACTGCCTCCACCACCTACGTTGCCCAGGAATGATGGAGTCGAGGTGCCGGATCCATTCCGCGCGGGCCCCGGCCGGGCAGATGAAGGCTGACCCGGGAAGTCTGTGTTCAGAGTCAATCGCACCTCGAAGTCGGCGCCGGAGGGCCCGAGTGATTTGCGAATCTCCACTATGGCAGGAAGGAAAAGCTTCTCCATGTGGCTTGGCGGTTCGTCGAGGTCCGAATCTATTGGGAGGAGATCAACTTCATACCCGGCCAAAATGAACCGGCCGTCTGGCGGTATAAAGCTAAGCTCGCCCGGTCGTTCCCTCCACCGCGCCAGTCGGACACATGGGTGAAAAACAGGCAGCTCTATCTTGCGAGAGATACCTTGTTGTCCCCCGGGTGTTGTTAGGTTTAATAGCAAATCTGGGACTCCGGAGAGCTTTGCCGTGAACGCAATAGTTCCAGACACTAATGCAGAGAGCAATCGCCCTGATGGAGCCATTGTCACAGATAGAGACTCAATGATGTCGACATATAACTCGTTGGATGTGTGCCGTACCCCGGGCCGGCGCCAGGGAATCGCAGGGCCTTGGGCCGAACTCGCGGCGGCCAATGATTGCTTCAAGGGATTGGCAGTTCCCATAGTGGGTGTCGATGTTCTAGACAAAATCAGCCTAATCTTTACTTGTAACAGAAATTGCTGAAGGTGATGTCACTCACCCAGGCACTCCGATCCCCCCCAATAGCTTCCCCATCCACCCCGGTACCTCAACAACTTCTTGCAGCGCATTGGGTTCAGTATTACACACCACACCAGCATCACACATTTCAGTCAAGAGCTGCGCAACAACATCATAGTTGGACTCGATCCTGCTCGAGAGCAAGGGCGGGCCCACAAAATCCTCCAGCACATCGACGACCCGATGCAGGAATTCCAACACCACAAGCGGCTCGGTGTCCACCTCGGTCAGCGCTAGGAACAGCAGGTTCGACTGGACGGTTGAAAATACCGTCACCGGCGGTGAGGCATTGGGGATGTATAGGAGGGAAGGGCGCGGGGCGGCATGGGCAAGGTAGAGGGGCAGGATGGCGGTGGCGGAGGGCGGCCGGGAGCGATATACATGCTCGACGAGGGGGTTGCTGGAGGAGGGTCAGTGCAGATTGATTATCAAGGAGAGCACGGGACGTACTTGTGCTCGTCATATATGTAGACGGCATCGATCTCGCCGCTCATCGTGGCCAGCGTGGAACGTTCCACTGGAAAGTGTCCATCGTCTCGTTTGTATACAGGTCACGAGCGGGCCTTTCTGCCGCCGATCCCCGCCTTCGGTCTGTCGCTTTCCCTTTTGCTTCGTTCTACTTTGATACATACTAAATTGTGTATACAAACTCCCTATCTTCAATGGCGCCCTCTCCCCAGAATCCCGCTTTGGACGTCCCGCCAAAAGACGCCAAGCAGGCACTGGCGGAGGACAAGTACGACGACTGCCTGTCCTGCCGAGTGACCGGTACCTTTCGCAACTGTCCTCTTGTGATCAATATGCTAATATCAAAGTGCAGGATCTGCCGCGTTCATAGGTCTCGGAGTGTACAGCTACTACACGGGCATGCAGAATCTACGGAGGCAGGAAAAGGCCATCATGACTGGTCCATCAAAGTATCGAATGGGCTCACGGCAGTTGGGGATTGCGACTATTTCGGCCACGCTCGTGGGCATGGGACTGTACCGAGCTTTTAATTAATCGGGATGGTTGGAGAAGGAGAAAGGGATAATAGTATTCTACGGAGACGGAAATTTCATGTACGATATTGATATTGATTTGTATGCCATCACCACTCGTGAAAAGCCGCCACACCGGGCACCGGGTATCATCTCTGCGGATGTCCTCTATATGCTATATAACAAAATGCAAACAGCCAGTAAAAAAACACACACCGACACCATGGAAAAGCACCTCTATAATGCACCCGGAAAGCACCCCCTCTGAACATCGAAATAGGATATTCGTCATTTCGTCGACTTCGTATGCTCGATCAAGGGTGCTAGGTAAAGCGGCCGCGCTTTCCGCCTCCGAACATGTCGCGGCCGTTGTTCAGACCGGATAGGTCGAAGAAGTCCGGGAAGGTGAATTTCCGCTTCGACCCCACGGCGGCGGGGGATTCTCGTGTCGATGAACGGGCATTCGGACGGGCGTGGTTGTTGTGGCGGTGGTGTTGGCGAGAAGGTCGGGGCATCACCGAGACGTTGACGGGGCTCTCATCTTGCGTGGACGTGGTGGAGGCGTCAGAGGACTGCATGTCCATATCCAGTTCCTGGCACTGGGAGAGTGTTGGCCCCGCGGAGAAGGTAAAGACCGTCGATCTTCCAAGGGGGTCTGTCTCGTGAGCTTGCTGGGCTGTGTCTGTTGATGGTGTAGATGTGGTAGTCGTCGGATCGAGTTTCGGTGTTGATGCCGAGGTGGTAGTGGGTGGCAGTCGGGCGGGGGATTCAGAGGCGGATTGGGGTTGCTCTTTGTGAGAAGCAGCGGGAGTGGTGCTTCGATCACCCTTATCCGCATCCCCCCGTTCATCGTCGTCGCTGTTCTGGGATGTGATTCCATCACATTTCTCCGTTGCCCACTGCCGAACCTTCCACCCTTCCCCATCGGTGAGGCCGAGGTTCTCGCGGTCCAGGAAATGAAGTAGATCCTCCACGGCTTCTTGGTAGCCGGACTGTTTCGCCTGGGCCTGCTCACAGACAGCATTCTTATAGAGGTTGGTGACAGATAAGGCAGCCGCCTTGAATGACTGCAAGAGTTGCTCGGGAGGTTGAGGGCGGGGTGTTGAGCTGGGCAAGGAGGTGTTTAACGACCTCATGGAATCCATGGTTGGAGATGATAGGTTCACCAGACTACCATGAGAGACCTATGATATAGCGGCTGGGCACTTGTGGAAGCTGTTGAGGCAAAGGCGGCGTTCAGGCGAGGTCGAAGTTGGGACGGGGCAAAAAGGCGAAAGGAAAAACAAAGAAAGAAAGAGAAGATCGGACTGGGAGATCGCCAGCACACGGTCTATCCAAGACGGACTCCTCTGGGCCAGTGTTGCCTGTCCGCTTAGTCCACGGGGCAATAGTCACAGTAGTCGATGATGTGATAGGAATGCAGGTCATGCTCCTCTCTTTTTGCTCCTTCCGAACCCACCACACCACCTGACCTGATCGGGCGGAGGTCACGTGAGTGGCTGACTCAATAATGCTTATGTCATGCGTGGGCGCGCGCTCGCTCATTTGTGCTGGTTCGGCGCGACTAGGAGGCGTTTTCGCTCCCTCAATTGTCTTGCCCGCGAGACTCATTCACTTCCCTCTTCTTCCGTTATATTCGCCATCCATCCCTTCTTCGCTGGCCAATTCCGACATCATCCTCGCGTGATCCTGATTTTGTCGGTCTCGGTCTGATCGTTGGAATTCTTGCAAAATACGTGTTCGACTATATCCACGCCTGCGCTCGGTGCGCTGAAGGAGGAAGATGGCACCGGCACCCACATCTGGCTCGCCTTCTCAGGCAGACACCCCTATGACAGATGCCAACGATGATGTCGTTCCGTCAGTCCCTGTCGATGCCCCTACGGACGGCCTGATGATGGTACGTGATTCTTTTGCTCACCACTTGACCCTGCACCGCAATCGTGGCATCGATTTGCGCGCATGCCAATTTGTGCATGCCAGAGAATGCTGACTCTTTTGTTACTCAAGGGCTACCAAGATACCCCCGATTATACGGTACGAACATCCTTCATGACGCGCCAGAGGCATTCGCGATATCAACTAACATATTCCCCCACAGGACTCAGACACCAACCCCAACACCACCGCGAGCAGCGTTGCGGGCGATGTGGCTCCGCAGGATGCCCGGCGACGTCGATCGGAGGCCTTCCAGCTGAGAAAGAGCATTTTGGGCAAAAAGCAAAGCCGCTTGGATGAATCGAAGGTGGGGAGGGCTATCTCTCGAATTTGCCAGGTCTAACTTACTGACGATTCTTGCGTTCAACAGGAAGATGACTCGATTCGTCGATTCCGATACCTCCTTGGCCTGACCGACCTCTTCCGCCATTTCATCGAGACGAATCCCAACCCCCGAATCAAAGAGATCATGGAAGAGATAGACCGACAAAATGCAGAGAAAGAGGCCAAGGCGCGCAAGGGGTCCGCACGTTCCGGTGGTGCTGGCGGGGACCGGCGCCGTCGAACGGAGCAGGAGGAAGATGCTGAGCTTCTGAAGGATGAGAAGCGTGGCGGCGAGACCACCACCGTCTTCCGAGAGTCTCCGACGTTCATCCATGGTGAGATGCGCGATTACCAGATCGCGGGATTGAACTGGCTGGCTTCACTGCATGAGAACGGTATCTCCGGCATTTTGGCCGATGAGATGGGTCTAGGAAAGACCTTGCAGACCATCTCGTTCTTGGGCTATCTGCGCTACCTCTGCGATATTACCGGTCCCCATCTAATTGCCGTGCCCAAGTCGACACTCGACAACTGGAAACGTGAATTCGCCAGATGGATACCGGACATCGACGTTTTTGTTCTCCAGGGTGATAAAGACGAGAGAGGACGGTTGATCCAGGAGCGCTTGGTTGATGAAAATTTCGATGTCTGCATTACGAGTTACGAGATGATTTTGCGCGAGAAGTCACACCTCAAGAAGTTCGCCTGGGAGTACATCATCATTGACGAGGCCCATCGCATCAAGAACGAGGAGTCTTCCTTGTCGCAAATCATCCGTCTTTTCAACTCTCGTAACCGCTTGCTGATCACCGGAACACCGCTGCAAAACAACTTGCACGAACTGTGGGCCTTGCTCAATTTCCTGCTGCCGGATGTCTTTGGCGACGCTGAGGCTTTTGACCAATGGTTCTCCAGCCAGGATTCTGACCAAGACACTGTGGTGCAGCAACTTCACCGAGTCCTGCGCCCTTTCCTGCTCCGTCGAGTGAAGAGTGATGTTGAAAAGAGTCTGCTTCCCAAGAAGGAAATGAACCTGTACGTTCCCATGTCCGAAATGCAGGTGAAGTGGTATCAGAAGATCCTGGAGAAGGACATCGACGCGGTGAATGGTGCTGCGGGAAAACGTGAATCGAAGACCCGTTTGTTGAACATCGTCATGCAACTGCGCAAGTGTTGCAACCACCCATACCTCTTCGAGGGAGCCGAACCTGGTCCTCCGTACACGACCGATGAGCACCTTGTGTACAACTCCGGCAAGATGGCTATCCTGGACAAGCTTCTGAAGCGCATGCAAGCCCAGGGCAGCCGTGTCCTTATTTTCTCCCAGATGAGCCGTGTTCTGGACATCCTCGAAGATTACTGTGTGTTCCGCGAATACCAGTACTGCCGGATTGATGGTACGACGGCACATGAGGATCGCATTGCGGCCATCGACGAGTACAACAAGCCAGGATCGGAAAAGTTCATCTTCCTTCTCACTACGCGCGCAGGTGGTTTGGGTATCAACTTGACCACGGCCGATATCGTCGTGCTCTTTGATAGTGACTGGAACCCGCAGGCCGACCTTCAAGCCATGGATCGCGCTCACCGCATTGGCCAGACCAAGCAGGTCGTGGTGTTCCGATTCATCACGGAAAACGCTATTGAGGAGAAGGTCTTGGAGCGTGCAGCGCAAAAGTTGCGTCTCGATCAGCTGGTCATTCAGCAAGGTCGCGCCCAGCAGCAGAACAAAAACGCCGCTTCGAAGGACGAGTTGCTGGGCATGATCCAGCATGGTGCCGCCAATGTCTTCAATACAAAGGGCGTTTCTACGACTTCCACCGAGATGTCCGATGACGATATCGAGGCCATTTTGCGCCGAGGTGAGGAGCGGACTGCTGAGCTCAACAAGAAGTATGAAAGCCTTGGCATCGACGATCTCCAGAAATTCAGCTCTGAGAGCGCATATGAATGGAACGGTCAGGATTTTACCGACCGCAAGAAAGACATCGGCGTCAGCTGGATTAATCCCGCCAAGCGTGAGCGCAAGGAACAGTTTTACTCCATCGACAAGTACTACCGCCAGGCTCTTTCCACCGGAGGCCGGACTGCCGACCCGAAACCCAAGGTTCCCCGAGCCCCCAAGCAGGTCGCCGTGCACGACTGGCAATTCTTCCCACCTGGCTTGCAGGAGTTGCAGGACAAGGAGACCGCCAACTTCCACAAGGAGATCGGCTACAAGGCACCCTTGCCCGAGGGGCCTGAGGAGGAGCTCAGCGAACGCGAGGCCGAGCGGGATCTCGAGCAGAAGGAGATTGATAACGCCGTGCCACTCACAGAAGAAGAACAGGCCGAAAAGGCTCGCATGTCCGAAGATGGGTTCTCCAACTGGAACCGCCGTGACTTTCAACAGTTCGTCAATGGATCGGCCAAGTTTGGACGTACGGACTACGAGGGCATCGCCACGGAAGTAGATAGTAAGGATCCCGAAGAAGTTCGGGAATACGCCGAGGTGTTCTGGCGCCGGTACACTGAGATCCAGGATTATTCGAAATACCTGCGGGTGATCGATCAGGGGGAGGAGAAGCTGCGCAAGATGAACCACCAGCGCAAGATGCTCCGGAAGAAGATGGATATGTACCGCGTGCCGCTTCAGCAGCTCAAGATCAACTACACCGTGTCGACGACGAACAAGAAGGTCTACACCGAGGAGGAGGACCGATTCCTGCTGGTCATGCTGGACAAGTACGGCGTCGAGGGCGACACCCTCTACGACAAGATCCGGGACGAGGTCCGCGAGTCGCCGCTCTTCCGCTTCGACTGGTTCTTCCTCAGCCGCACCCCTGTTGAGATCGGCCGTCGGTGCACTACGCTACTAAACACGGTGGCGAAGGAGTTTGAGCCCAACGGTGACACGGGCAAGGGTCGTGGGCGAGACCGCGACGAGGATGAGGATGAGGAGGTGGCGCCTGCGAAGAAGAAGGCTAAGAACGGAACTACGGTACGTGGCGCCTGCGCGCCTGGACACTAGTATCTGTTGGGAACACCACCCTGACTAACTATTTGCTTTTTGTAGCAGGCCAAGGCTAAAGCCGGGAAGGGCGGCAGCAAAGCCACCTCGACCGCGACCTCGCGCGCGGCGAGTGTGTCCACGGCGCCCAAGTCTAAGAGCCGGAAGAGGTAAAAGTGACCACCAAGTTTCGTGTAGTGTGTGTACGTTGCCCCGGTGTTGCTGATTATGCGGGAAGGTGGGGTGTGCTCTGTACTTTGGTGTTCCATTCTATCGGAGTTGGCGTTGGCAGATAAGATATAGTTATTTGTGTAATGCGACGATTCAAACAAGGAATGTTCCTTCCACCTGATGTGATAAACCCGCCGATCGTCGTCACTAGGCTGCCCGCCCTTTGCCACGCGCCCTGACGAGTCATCTGCAATGACGACAGCCTGGATGACCTTCATTCCTCCCCCAGCGGTTTGAAGTTATAAACCATCGTACATTCCACGAGAAGTAACTATGCCCCCAGTCCTACTATCCAGCCTTCAACCCACTCAAGGCCCCACCTACTAATCAACATGTCTATCATCAAGTCCCTGAAAGCAAAGCTGTGCCGCAGCCGCAAGTCTCCATCATCCGCCATGACGACCAAGATCAAAATCATCCCGAACCCGCAGTACCAGAAATCAGGCACGAAGTCGTACGTGCACCTGATGCGCAAGTATGGCTTCAACGCGACCAAGGAAGGGCCCTATGCCATGGGCAGCACGCTGCACCAGGTCGGAAGGCAGTATACTGACAAGCCCATTGGCGGCCGCGCGCATATTCGCCAGGTGCTGCAGAAGACCGGCGCGGACGGCCAGGTCGGCGAGGTCGGCGCGTCGGATGTCCAGAATGACTCCATGTACCTGGCACAGGTGGGCATTGGGACGCCCGCGCAGACGCTGAAATTGGATTTTGATACCGGGTCTGCGGATCTGTGGGTAAGTGGTGATGATTTATTATGCAAAATATATAGTGGCTGACCACAGATAAAAAGGTCTGGTCGACTAAATTGCCATCGGCGACCTTGTCCCAGCACAAGAATCACACTGTCTTTGACCCGACCAAGTCGAGTACCTTCCAAAACAAAGAGGGCTCAACCTGGAAGATCTCCTACGGCGATGGATCCTCCGCCTCAGGCACCGTCGGCAACGACAATGTCAACCTCGGCGGTCTCGTCGTCAAAGGCCAAGCCGTCGAGCTTGCAGACACCATGTCCACGCAGTTTGCCAGTGGGGCCGGCGATGGGTTGCTGGGTCTTGCATTCGGCAGCATCAACACGGTGAAGCCTACGGCCGTACAGACACCCGTCGAGAACATGATCTCGCAGGACGACATCCCCAAGACGGCGGAGCTATTCACCGCAAAGCTAGGTTCCTGGCGTGACAAGAACGAACCGGACCAAGGTGCGTCGTTCTACACCTTCGGGTTCATCGACCAGGACACCATCAAGGCCTCCGGCGAGGATGTGTACTACGCGCCCGTGGACAAGAGCCAGGGATTCTGGATGTTCGAGTCCGCCTCGGCGACTGTGAACGGGAAGACAATTGCCCGTGCTGGGAACAGCGCTATCGCTGACACAGGTACCACGTTGGCCCTGGTTGATGATAATACCTGCCAGGCTATCTACGATGCTATTCCGGGTGCGTACTATGATTCCACTACGCAGGGATACATCTATCCCTCCGACACGACAGTGGATAAGTTGCCCGTTGTTTCTTTTGCGGTGGGCGGTAAGCAGTTTGCTGTACAGAAGGAGGATCTAGGATTCGCCGAGGCCAAGGCTGGGTATGTCTATGGTGGGATCCAGAGCCGTGGTACCATGACATTTGATATCCTTGGCGATACGTTCCTGAAGGGGATCTACGCTGTAAGTTTTATGTCTTTCGAGGGAGTGTGACTTGGGCTGATTTATTTGTTTTTTACTAGGTCTTCGACGTGGGTAATACTCGTTTTGGAGCTGTGCAGCGCAAGGAACTCCATCAGAACCTTACTCCGCCTCCCCAGACTCAGTGAGAGATGGGGCATTGTGTATTCTTTGATGAGTATAAGTATAGTTAATTTGATATCCTATTGCTCATCCTTTTGGATGATATACAATACAACTCGATGCATTATACTTTAGAGAGTGACACTTTTTTTTTTTTTTTTTTTTTTTTTTTTTGCAGCAGCAGCAGCAGCAGCAGTGTCGGCAGCATGAGCTAATCGATATCGTAATTTTGGTGCAAAGGAAGGATTATATAACATAACGGCGAGGTCAACTCTAGCGACATAGCCTGAGGTCTGGAAAACCGACGCAAGATCCTGACATCGTTGATTCTAAACAGGCCACTGTTTCACGTTCTCGCTTGTCACTGCTGATAAGTTCCTGGGTCTCGAATCTCCAACCACGTCCAGTCTTCACGAACTTCTTCATCGACAGCGACCAGGACCGTGGCAAAAGTTCCGGTCCCAGCCTTGTGTTTTCCTTGCACGAATGCTTTATGGTTGGCATAAACCTATTCTAGCTATGCCTCACACAAGTCCTGTTGCGATTGTCTGTATCTCCGATACTCATAACACCCAAATTTGCGTTCCAGATGGAGATATCCTTATCCATGCTGGTGATCTCACTCAATCTGGATCATGTCAGGAACTCCAGGACTCGCTCGCCTGGCTACGCACCCTGCCTCATCCCATCAAAATCGTGATTGCTGGTAATCATGAGCTATTACTTGATTCAGCGTGGGATGATCCATCAGGTCGAGCAGCCTCTGAGCGAGCTCAGCTCGACTGGGGCGATGTCATCTACCTAGAAAATGAGGAAGTAACAATTTCCTGCCCGAATGGTCGTTGGCTTAGGGTCTACAGGAGTCCTCACTCTACCCGCCACGGTAACTGGGCCTTTCAATATCCCCGAGATCAAGATATATGGGCTAGTTTAGTACCAGATGGGATTGATGTGCTCATTACTCATGGACCACCCCTTGCTCATCTTGACTTACTCAAGTTGGGTTGTCCTCATCTACTACAGACGCTACGGAGAATTCGACCTAGACTGCATGTATTTGGCCATGTACACGAGGGCGCAGGAACCGACTTGATGTTGTTTAATGGACTCCAGGAGGCGTACGAGCACACTGTCGCTGCTGGCGGGGGCTTTATAAAGCTTCTACTTACAGCGTGGGAATTGGCTAAAGCATGTCTCTGCCCAGCCGTGGAAGCAAAATGTTTACTCGTAAACCCATCTATCATTGGAGGTTTGCGGGATAATGGACGGAGGCAACCCTTTAAAGTCTTTATTTAATGTCGCAATCCTGTTCACCAACTGAATTGAGTCCTACATTTCTTGACCTCTGAATTCCTCTACAGTGATACCGGGGGTCTAGATTGTGGGGAGCAAAATTGGCGTACAACCAAGATGGGATATTAAGTGCCGGGTCAGCTTCGACACGGACACTTTCGATCATGATTTGCTATGCAGAATCTTGAACTATAACTGTACGACCATATGGTATAGAAAACGGGACTTCTCGTCAGCACCAAACCAGAAGGAATACGCTAACATTGACTAAAGTAAAAAGAATTTCTCTTCATATGTAACTATAGATCTGCCCACTTAATTACAGGCTTGATGACCTGCACAGATATGTTAGCATTCCTCTCAGGATTCTGCTGTAAACCACAAGCGTACCTTTCCCGAATGTAGGTCCTGCAATGCCTGTTCGATTGAATCCGTGTCATACACCTTAGATAGCTTATCAACAGGAAACTTCCCTTGTTGATAAAGATCGACCAGTTTGGGAATGAGCTAACACCACTTCATATCAGTTTGCTGCACACAAGGTCCCCAGTTTCGCGCGACTCACCGTAGCAGGATTCGAACACCCCTCAATAACACCCAGGACCCGTTTACAGTCCATCATAAACTCCAACGGACTGATCTTGAGCTCGGCATCTTTAGGAGCGACACCAACAATAGCCAGAGTTCCTTCATGACCCAGGGCCTTGACCGAGGCCTCCTGCAGAGGCACCACGCCCGTTGTGTCGAGGATATGATCGACACCGTCCGGGAACATACCTCGAAGTCCCTGAACGAGGTCTAGGACAGTTTTTGTGTTTAGAGTGTGCGATGCACCTAGAGACGCAGCTAGCTCAAGCTTCGCGTCGACGATATCAACTGCGATAACATTCTCAACGCCCAACACTCGAGCTGCGAACATAGCTGCTAGTCCCACAGCACCCATTCCGAGAATGGCAAATCGGCTCGTGGTCTTCGGTTTCAGAACATTGAATACCGTGCCTGCACCAGTGAGATACCCACAACCTAGCGGCGCAAGGAATGCCATATCATCAACAGTGAGCGCAGAGGCACCAGACCCGGCACCGGATGGACACTTGACGACAGAGGTCTCCTTAACTACTGCCAATTTACTCAGGGAAGACTGCCCAAAGAACTGTCCCCGAATGGGCGGGCGCTGCTTGTCCGGAAAAGAAATAGGCGACTCTGCAGGATCCATACCGCGCGCTCCGCCGAAGTTGATATCTGTTATTCGCGGACAGAATCCGCATCGACCCTCTTGGCAGGGAGAGCAGTTCGCTTCCTGGCAGGAACTGAAGCTCAAGAAGACCATGTCGCCCTCGCGTAGGGACTTGTTTTTCACGTTCCTGCCGATTCGGCGGACGATGCCAGCGCCTTCGTGACCTAGAACCGCTGGGTAGGCGCCCACGGGGATGGCGCCATGTTGGACGGCTATGTCCTATTGATTTATGGTGTTAGCGTGATATTGTCGATGCTGCGGGTTGATCCTGCTGAAGGGCTTCGGTGAGCACGAGTACTTACCGTGTGGCACAATCCTGTGTACTTCATTTCCACCAGGACCTCATTATCCCGGACTTCGTCCAAAACAACATCTTGCAGAACAAACGGTGCCCCCGGTTCCTCGACAACAAATGCCCTGGTGAGGATCTGTTTCTCTGGAATCATGGTTGCGGGACTCGTGTTCAATTAAAGGTGTAACCAATCTTCTTCCGTCCGAGTAGATTGGGGACAGTTGCAATCAGAACTGAGACGGGTTGCTTTCAAAACTGGGCGTGGAGATGAAGTGCCTTTATGTTCTTAGGGATCCTCCGACCTCTCCCCGCAGAGGCCAGTACCCCACACCCACGGGAGAAGATTCGGGAGATAGCACTGCGGCAATTCGGAAGACGCCCGCCCCACATCTATATGCGGAGGAACTTTGCCAGCACGGAACCGTCGATGTTCTAGTATTACTGAGTACTTCGAATTGAATAATGAAGGAGATTTGTAATTTTGAAGCGGTTGAATCTATGTCCAGCGGAATAAACACCGTTCGCCACGCATGCAAGAGTCGTGCGTTGTACACGCTCAAGTATATTACAGTAAATGAAGAACGTATTACCACATCTTTTGCTTCTTCACTGGCCCAGACACTGCAAGTCGAGTTTGCAAGAACATATCCATAAGCAATGCGGCAGCCACGCTCACATTGAGACTGTCGATACGGGCCGGATCGGACTCAACGCCCAGATAGACACTGTGCCGGGCACCAGGGATAGTGACAGTCGCATCAGCATGCGACTTGATGTGAGCGCTCAAGCCGGACGACTCACTCCCCATCATGAGCACGCTAGGCGCTCCCGCCAACGGATGCCCATTGCTGTCCTGACTCCCGTCCATCGAGAGGCGGTCCACGTGCGTTATGGGAACGCCTGGGGTCGGTGCGTCGGCCGCATAGAACCGCCACCCATTTTCTTTGGACCGTTGAATGAATTCGACCTCGTTTCTTGCGTAGAGCATAGTCATATTTTCAGCCGCACCGGCGGAAGCCTTGATCGTCACAGGCGATAGAGGAGCCGAGTTGCGACCAGCAAAGACAATTCCGTCGATGCCCAAATAATACGCCGACCGAATGATAGCACCCACGTTACCAGAGTCGACGACTCCGTCGAGAAGCAACATCACTGGGAATCGATGTCGTGGTTGCTCCTCAGGCGTAGATGGAGCCGGGTGAAGGATGGGAATGAGATCGCTCGTGCCATTTACCGCCGCCTCCTCCCGCGTCTGCGGTGCCAGCTCTGCCCGGAAATGAGTGTCGGTAATGGCAGAAACTGATCGCAAGGACTGCACGGGAAGTTTAGGCAGAGGGGAGACCTCTAGAATGCAGCCGTTATGCGCACGGCCAGCACTCATCTGATCCATCAGCTGCACCCATTTCGCAAAGGCCATCTTGATCTTGATATCCTTGGCCAGAGCCAGCTTTCGGATTTTGATTTTCGCCGGACTTAGTTCCTCGTCTGCCCCCTGGTAGAGATATAGCTTGTAGAGCTGCCGCCGGCTGCAGCGCAGTGCCGCCTCCACCGCGCCCGTACCGTAGATGAACTCCGATGCTGGCGTGGTGTAGGGTATTGACGTTGGGATCTTCACTTCGGACTTCACACGCTCGGGAACAGCGTCTGTGGGGTGATGAACATCCTGTCCCCTCTTCCTTTTGTGCAGCTTGACGCGCTCTGGTTTTGGTGGCCGGACATCTCGGTGTTCGCGAGGCAGACCATGGAAGCTGCCCGTCCTGACGAATTCGTCCTCGTCAAACTTGGAAAAGCTGTTCCTGGCGGGCTTTTGGAAACGGGGTCTGCTTGGTGATGATCTCGCGGGCTCTGGGAATCTGGAGGGCGAGCCTCGGAGATTTTGCGACTTGCGAATGCCGCGTTCGATGGCGGAGGTTAACGAAGCATGTCGAATGGGGGTCCAAGACAGCGAGTTGATGAGAAGTGGAGAGCCGCGAAGACCTATCCTAGGAGTTGCCCAAGCCATATTCCGGCTGAGGGTTGTTCCTTTCATTCAAACGGGATGTGCTCTCCAGCATCTTTCAGACTTCACTGCTCCGATAAGATAAGCCCGGACTATCCTTGATCCACCGCGGCGTGTGTTTCTGTATACTCTTTAGTCAATATATTTACTTCTTTGCCTTGACTCTTCTCCTTCTCCTTCTCTCTCTCTCATTTGCTGGCTGCTGGAATGAACCTTCTGGTTGCGTCTGGCCCTCAAGTATCCCCAACCCAGCCCCATTGAACACACCTCCTCTCATCTACCTTCGTGTCTGGTATCACTTCCTGATAGGGAACCGCACATGCGTTCCCTACCATCAATGCCGATTGTCTTGTCACTTTCAAAACACCACAAAATCTCTCACAATGTTCTCCACTTCAGCTGAGTCCCACCCCACCTGGCTTGCCTCCAAAGATGTCCAGGTGGAGACAGGGATCGCTATTCATATTCCAGCAGTTGACAACTCCGAGGAGTACGAGTTCCTGCCCGGTCATTTTGCCATTGACCGTGTCTTGGAAGTGAATTTGACCGACCGTGGGTCTACATACACCGTCAAACTCCAAAGTGGCGAGCGCGAGACAGTAAATTAGGCCATTCTCAGTCCCCGTCCCTTGCTGATCGCTCATACCTCGCGTAGATGTCATACTCTCAGCTATCAAACATGGACAACGGACTGCAGTCGCTGGGCGAGTTCACGGAAGGATCAGAGCCCAATGAGGAATCAGACTCGAGTGACGATGAAAGTCAAGCCGTTGGAACACGTCGTTTCTCGCGATATGCATTTCTATTCACCGACGGCGCAGCATCTGAGAATGGATCCGAAATGCAATCGCCGAGATTTCCTAGCACTCGGCGCCCACCGCGCCGCGCAACTGCAGCCCGATACACTCACCCCATAGACTTTGAAGATTCAGACAACGATGATGTTAAACCCGCGTATGGTCTGCGCCGGTTGAGGAGAAAGAGGTCAACCCCTACCCGTACGTCGAGTCGACAAAGGAAATCTCTGCGGAAAAACCTACGAGAGCGATTGGAGGATGACCTTTCCGATTATGAGCCCGTGGCCAAGGCACAGCGACAACAGAAATTCGCCGGGGCGCGGGAGTTCTTCTACCAGCGTCCACCTGGCGACGAGTTTAGAGAGTGGCACTGCCTGTATTGCTCCGTCTGCAAGAGCTACGATGATCATCCCGAGAAGGGGCCTTTGGTGTTCTGCCAGGGGTGCACATCTTCATACCATCAATCTTGCCTAGGTTTGCGAAGCGCTCGAAAGCATCTAGTCACGAAAATCCAGGATGGATTTATTCTCCAGTGCCATAACTGCTTGGGAGTTGACAACGAACGGCACGATGTATGCCCTCATTTGGGCTACTGTGCGGGATGCAAGCAAGAAGGCCCGATGTCAACACCTCTGCGAGAGCGTCTTACATCCCATGAAGAACAGCAGCTGCAAATTGAAAATGGAGGCATAGGTCCAGTTGCTCCTGTGGATATGTCCACAGTCAACCGCAAAAACATGGACGGTATTCTTTTCCGTTGCGTCGATTGCCATCGAGGTTTTCATCTACGTCATTTGCTGGGAGAAGGAGATTCTGTGGCAGAACAGAGTCATATCGAGGCATTATTCGCTCAGTTTAGCCTGCACTGGCAGTGCAAGAATTGCTCTGATGCCCCTGGAGATGTGGAAACTATCGTCGCCTGGCGACCAGCCAACCCTGAAGCCAAAAAAGCCCTGACCGGCCGCCTGGTTGAGCTTGTTCCAGAGATCGACAAAGAATATCTGGTCAAATGGAAGAAAATGTCCTACTTCCGTGTCACTTGGGTCCGTGGTGACTGGCTCTGGGGTGTCACTCTCCACACGATGCGTCAAAAATTCTTCAACAAGGCTCCAAAACCTATTTCAAATGCCGAAGAAGCTATTCCCGAGGAATTTCTTCGAGTTGATATTTTATTCGACGTTGTGTACTCAGAGGCTGCGACTATGCCAGACGACAAAACGGATCCTGAGATGGTCGAACGCGCCTATGTCAAGTACAAAGGCTTACCGTATGAAGACTCGGTGTGGGAATCGCCCCCGCTCCCCTTCGAGGCTCAATGGGACGATTTCAAATCCGCTTTCAATGACTGGGCATATCAGGATAGTATTCGCCCTCCGCCTGACATGGAAGACCGTCTCTCGCAGCTTCGAACGCAAAATTTTGAGACAAGCCTTGTATTGAACTCACAGCCAGAGCTGATGACGGGGGTTGGCGTTCTCATGGAATATCAGCTGGATGGCGTCAATTGGCTCTATTACAAGTTTCTACAGCAGAAAAATTGCATTCTTGCTGACGATATGGGCCTTGGAAAAACCATTCAAGCCATTGGCCTATTTGCGACTCTCATAGAGCACGGCTGCTGGCCGTTTCTAGTGGTCGCTCCTAACTCAACTTGTCAGAATTGGCGTCGCGAGATCAAGGCTTGGGCACCTAAGATCCGGGTAGTCACATACTATGGTTCTTCGCTCGCTCGTCAGATGGCCTGGGACTATGAGATGTTCCCCGACGGCAAAGACCTCCGATGCCACGTCGTGATCGCCTCCTACGAGAGCATCGTCCACGACTGGACTAAGATTGACAAGATCAAATGGGCAGGCTTGGTGGTTGATGAGGGACAACGCCTCAAGAACGACAAGTCTCTACTCTACAAGCGTCTTCACCACATGCACCCGAAGCTCGGTTTCCGAGCCCTGCTTACAGGCACACCTCTTCAGAACAATATCCGGGAGCTGCTCAATTTGGTTCAGTTTCTTGATGCAAGCAGAGATGCGGCGCAATTAGAACAGCAGTATGGAGACCTTACTTCGGACAATATTCGGGCCTTGCACGACATGATCCGGCCTTTTTTCTTACGCCGCACCAAGGCCGAAGTTCTACCGTTCTTGCCGCCGATGGTACAGATAATCGTTCCCGTCTCTATGTCTACTGTGCAGAAGAAGCTCTACAAGTCAATACTCAGCAAAAGCCCAGAGCTGATCAAGGCAATTTGTCAGAAAGGCCAATTGAAGAAATCCGAGCGGCAGAACTTGAATAATATGTTGATGCAGCTCCGAAAGTGTCTCTGTCACCCCTTCGTTTACAGTCGCAATATCGAAGAACGGACACTTCACTATGATGCGGCTGTTTCACACCAGCACTTGGTAGGGGCGTCTGGAAAGCTTCAGCTACTTGGCCTAATGCTGCCGAGATTGCGGGAACGCGGACACCGAGTCTTGATCTTCAGCCAGTTTCTGGAGAATCTGAACATCGTTGAGGACTTCCTTGATGACCTTGGAATCGAATACAGATACCGTCGCCTGGATGGTAGTTTGACGTCGTTAGAGAAGCAGGCACAGATCGACGACTTCAATGCTTCCGATTCTCCTTATTTCGCGTTCCTATTGTCTACCCGCTCCGGCGGCGTCGGCATTAACCTTGCAAGTGCAGATACCGTCATCATTATGGACCCAGATTTCAACCCGAAGCAGGATATGCAAGCACTTTCCCGTGCACATCGAATTGGTCAGAAAAACACAGTTCTTGTATTCCACCTGGTTACCCGAGATACCGTGGAAGAACGGATTATGGAAAAGGGCAAGAAAAAATTGGCATTGGACCACGTGCTTATCGAACGCATAGAGGATGAAGACGAAGAGGATTTGGAATCTATCCTCCGACACGGCGCTGAAGCACTATTTGACGATGATTCTGCAGTTATCACATACACCCCCGAGTCAATTGACAGACTGTTGGACCGAAGCCAAGCGGAGCAGGCAATTAAAATTGTGCAGGACACAACCACTACCGACCAGTCTCAATTCAACTTTGCGCGCGTGTGGCAGAATGACCATGGAACTCTCGAGGACGTAACCGAAGGTGAAATTACGCCTGTGGATGGAACGCTTTGGGATCGGATCCTCCGAGAACGTGAGCTCGCAGCTGCAAAAGAGGCCCAGGAAAAAGCGGAGGGTCTTGGTCGTGGCAAGCGCAAGCGAGCAGCAGTCAACTACCGTACCAAGGACGAATCAATTGAGCTCCCGCCTGTGAAACAGCCGAAGATGGGCAACACTGATCAAGAGTTCGAGCCAGCAGAGGATGACGATGAGGCTGACGATGAGGCTGACGAATCGGAGTCGAGTGAAATCGAGGCAGCGCCGGAAATCATCGATTTAACGGAGAGTGAGCCGCCTCCGCTTCAAGTCAAACGTAAGGTCGTCACCTTCCGCCTGTCTGGCCGTGTCATTGCCCGGGTTTCTCTTTACTGACCGACAAACCTCCTTTCCAGCTCGTCCATTCGTTCCAGTCCAGTCTCCCAAACTACCCAACTCTTCTCCTAAACTACCAATTCCTACTCCCAACAACATCAACACCACACTTCGGCGTGCGTGCGTCGTCTGCGGCCAAAATCATCCAAGTGGTGGATGTCCACTGAAGTTGGCTGGCGTCGAGCACTGTCCGCTTTGCGGTCTAGCGCATTTCGGCAAGCATCGCTCTTGCCCACACTTACAGTCTCTAACCCAGATCCGTCGAATGATAGCCGCATTGTCAAAGAGCACCGAGAACCCAGTACACATCGTCTTGGCGCAGAAGTATCTGCGCGGTGTTGTCGGTCACTTGAACGCACTTGAACGGAAGCCGGCTCTCGCTGTGGCTGCCCAACCCACTCATCATCAAACCTCCCAGAACCCCATACCTGAAGGTTCATTCGCTGCTCGATTTCTCGCTTCTCAATCATCCGTCTTCCAACCCATCGCTACTGGCTTGACGACCGCGAAGCAGGATCGGCCGCATGAAACTTACACTTCACCATATTTTGCCCCAGCCCGCCAGGCGCCTGCTTCAATTCTTCACAGACCTCTGCCTTCTCACCCCGCTGAGGAGGTTTGAATATTTCCAACGGTTCTCATAACTTGTCGGAAATTGCGAAGCGGTGACTGAGACTCCGCGTGGTACGGTAGCTGGTGATCGACCGACGAAGATGTTTTCTTCCGAAATGGATTGCGCGATTGCGTGATTTTTCACTTTCATTTTCGTTTTCCTGGTTGTACAAATTTAAGAGCGAGATAGGGGTGTTCCCGGCGTCCTCGGTCTCTCTTCATGACTGATGATCACAAATACCCCTGTGTTTCTATGTTTTAACTACATGTAGTTTACAAATACATTCAAAATTCTATCCAATATGCCATGTAGACATGACGAAAGCACATAACAAATAGTCCTGGTCGAGTACTTTGTCTACAAGTTTGCACGTTTTGAAGATGGGTGAGTTGGCAGCAAGTAACACATTCTTCCGACCAAGTTGCAGAGCGAATCCGAATTGATTAATTTATTTCTCAATATATAATTTATGAAATTACTTTCTTTTAGCTTTCGGGTTGGACTTTCCACTATTCTTTGCTCAATGATGGTGCGGGGGTATATTCGGCGCGGCAAGCAATTAGGTCAAGCCAGGTCACTTGACCAGTGCCGACGACGTCAAGGCATCTAGAGTATGGGGTGAAGGGCTTGTTTACAGCAACTTTTTGACAATAATAAGCTTCATATATATATGCTATGTATGAAAATCCATCATGATGATAATATTCCACATTTTTGATAAAAGTCGTAAGTTTTCGTTTCGCAAACCTTTCACAACCAAACAGATCTACTTTGTAACCAAATTATATATCTCTACTGAAAGCTTTATTTTAGTTGAATTCTTCTAATTTGTACACTTTTCTGGGGTGAAATTTTAATCTAAAAAACATTAATACAATTTTTTTGTGTAAACAAACTTTCCAGGTTGCTCGCCTAGTCCTGGAAACATCAAAGGAAGGTATGTAAGGCAGTCATGGAGTAGATGTATAGCATATACGCGGCATAGAAGAAAAAAACATCTTAAGATGGCTTCTGCAGGTACCCGTGCAGCAGATGTTATACCCGTCCCGCTTAGAGCAGAGGCCCAAGATTCGCAAACTCATGGAAGGTTGTCATATTGGCTTTCTTTCCTGCAGGCAGACGTCCCTGCAGCTCTCTTGCATGTGACAGTGCACACAAATCTTGCTGTGGAGTGACTGGGTCCGGATCAGTCTATATCAACAAACCTGGAGCACTTCAAATCTAACCATCCGGAATTCACTACCATCATGATGTCGCCGCCTAGATGTTGGTAGATGCCCTCTACAATGAATAGGTTTCCTGCATGAATGCCTCTATTATTTCTAACTAGTGAACGGCGTTCTGGCAAGTTCCGCTTTGATGCATGAGAGACAATAAAGAGCGTAGATATTCACTCCAGGAAATGGGATAGTTGTCTCTACTTGCGCAAGTTCACTCTCGCTTATCTTCCCTCTTCTTCTCTTTCTTCTTTGCCTTTCCTCTTCAATTTCCCACAACAGCACTTCTTCCTTCCGACCCTCTCCACTCTTCATATCTTTACCTCTCTGTATCCCTACCGATCTATACTTACCTCTTGGTCACGTATCCGACTTCCTTGTCCGATCAGAAGACAAGCCTCTACTCATGATGAGCACTTCAAACCGTCCTATGTACTTCTGCACCCGCCCTACCGGCACCTTGACTCCGCTCATTGCGATGGACGACCTGCCCGATCATGTCCACATTCATGGCGTCCCGCGTACCATCACTGTCGCGGAGACCCATGGCATGACCAGCTGTGGTGTTTCCATGGCTCGAAATGAGGCCTGGATCATTGAAGACCTCAATATCCTTGCGAATCGTACCTACATCACCCAGGAATCCCTTATTGAGCTCCAGCGTCTGCTCAACATTATGATTACTGACCCAAACACCACCCCGAACCTGCGTGCTGCTGCCCAGAGCTTCATTTACCGCGGTATTGACCCGACCATCCCCATCGAGGGTATTCCCAACGGCAACAACATGGTTGTGGCCCTGTCCAACGCTCCTGTTGCTCAGTCCAACGATGCAAATGGTGGAAATGGTAGCGGCAGTGCCACTGGCAGTGGAAGTGGAAATGGCAAGCACGTAAGTCTCAAACAGCCCGGTATCCGGATATATTACCTATCTGACTTTGGTACTACAGCACAACAGCAAGAAGGAGTACTGTTCGTACTGGATCCGCCACGGCGAGTGCGACTACCAGCAGCAGGGTACGTATACATACACACTCTTTGCTCTCTTTCAAACTAACACCCAGCCCGGTAGGTTGCCTCTACAAGCATGAGATGCCCACCGACCTGGCCATGCTAGAGCGTCTGGGTCTTCGCGACATCCCACGTTGGTATCGCGAGAAGTTCAATGTCCACAGTCTCCTGGGCCAGGGTGGCTCTCGTGTTCCGAGCCTGACCAACGAGCAGCAAAGCAATGTCAAGGCGATCGAGTACAACCCGCAGAACGCCCCTCAGAGCCCGCCTCAGACCGCCGCGCATGTTATCACTGGGGATATCGTTGCCCGGGCCGTTACTAGTGTTCAGAAAATTACCAATCCTCAGCCTGATCTCGGCGCTGGAATGGTGCAGGTTTCCATTGCTCCTCCCATTGCTCCAGTTGCTCCTATTGCTCCTGTTGCCGCTGTTGACTCCAACCAACACCATGGGCCCCTCTATGTCCACACTGGACAGCGTGCCGTGAGTGGACCTGCATTCGCCAGCTCGGCGGCCGGTCCTTGTCAGACGTATCCTGATGTTTCCTATCCTAACGTTGACCACTTGGACAAGTTTGATCTGCTTACAGACCTTGATGAGGAGGTGCACACAACCACTTACGAACATGGCCCTGGTCACAGCAACTATGGCGGTTACCCTGGTGGCGCTAATGCGTCGAACACCCGTTTCTTTAACAATGACGGTATGCCTCGTCCATTTTCTAACGTAAAATTTCCTAGACACTAACATACACAGATCACTACACCCCCACCGCCTCTCAGCCCAAGCATTGGGAGAAGCGCAACTGGCGCGGCAGGGCTCGCCGTCTGTGGGACAACGAGACCAACTCTTCCAACGGTGGTGTGCAGATCAAGGATACTCGTCCCTTCGACCCGTTCCGATCTCGCCCCTACTACCACCGCCACCGCAAGGTTGGCGCTTCCATTGACGGCGCTGGGTCCATTGGCTCTCCCGAGCCTCTGGAGCATCTCAGCTCCCCCATCAGCGAGCTAGTTGCCGATAGCGAGCCCCTTGACCAGAATGAGGTGTTGCACCACTGGGGTTTGATCGGTTCTCGTCGCCAGCACTTGAAGCACGATAGCAATGCCACGGTAAAGGCTGGGGCTTCAGGCTACTGCCTCGTGAATGGTTCTACCGCCTCTCAGTAGGCGGACCTGAACAATATCACAACACAACTGGGTGGATCTCCTGATTCCGCTTTTTGCTTTTGTCATCTTTTGTTTCCATGTCGGGACATGGCTTTCTTCTCTTTCGACATGGAACCGGGTTGGTATGTGCCAGCTAATTAAAGAAAAAATTAGTATACCGACCCTCTCTATCAAAGCTGGTAATACTCAACGAGGACCCACCCAATACAACAACGATCTACTGGTGCATGGCGTGGAATTTTCACATGGATGATGAACCTGGAGTTGATACGGAAAATGGAGTTGATATGGAACATGGACGGCACTTGTGAAAGAACGCTTTTCTTGATTTTTTGAGTGACGGATCTTTGAATTTTTCTTCTTTTGATCTTCTTGCCTTTTTTTTCCCCCCTGTATCTTCTGCTTTTCTATGGCTCCCGCTGCCCCCGTTGTTTTGTTTCGCCTTGCCTTTTTGTTCTTCTCATGTTGTTTCCTCTATGTTTTGACGACCATTCACATGCCTCAAGATGGAGAAGGGACTTGTCCAGGTGCTTCTTGTTCACAGGGAGATAGGATGTCACTCTACAGTTCTGAGATAGTGCATGAGCTACTTAACTGGCTGCCACTGGCAAAGGGATAGATGTGTTGTTTGGGACTCGATTGACCTTGAGGTCTTGATTGGGACCCTTCCTTGATACATCTTTCCTATTGACTGCTGGCTTGGCCGGGACTTGGGTTAACAACCCGACGCTTTGTTCTTCTTTATTAATTGTGCTTCTTATCCCCATTAGATTAATCTTGCTAGTAGACTGTAGATGCATCGGAGACCTGGACTCCATGCAACCTTGATTCCACCGAGGCCTATGTACTCGCATATGTTTGGGTTCAAGGTTATCCAAATATAACAGCATTTATGCACACTTCCGATAAACATGGATAGGTATGATTGAATGAAATAATGAGTATAGTACATTTAAATGAAGCGGATAGACTTCCTGAGATATGCGCCAGCCGCAAATGTCTAAAAACCAGCTATCAAATACACAGCCCCGTACATCACCTACAGCTCTCACCGGCGAACCGGTCGCTGTGCACGAGATCCACCAACCTTGACCGCGACCTTCTCCCGCTCCGCATCAGCCTTGGCCTTCAAAGCAGGATTCAAAGACGGAAGGGTCCGGACAGCCTCTTGGAGAACAGCTTGGCCATCGACAATGGCCTGCTGCTCCTGCTCCAGACTCAATCGCTCCGCGCGCCGTGCCGCCAGCTGTTTCCGGCGCTCTTCGGTCATCTTCCACGACTCTGGGAACTGTGGCCGGACCTTGGGCTTGTGGTGGCGCAGATCGAGTGGCACGTCTGCGAAGGAGTCCCCTTCCTTGGCCTCCTTGATAAGCACGTTGACCACATCGGCCAGATACCGCTTATTCTGTGCGCGCGACCCGAATTTCTCGCAGGACATTTTCACAATGTCCGTCTGCGGGTTGTACCGCGGACCCACTAGCTTCAGGAAGGTCTGGCGCTGGGCCTCGGTGAGGTACTTGGGTGTCAGGTCCTGGGAGGCGAGTTCCACAACGACCTTGGGCTCGGCGGGATGTTGCTCGCCCAGGTATGTGGTGTAGCGGAAGCGGAGGATGTGGGTGTTAGGAGGCAGAGTAAAAGGTTTTGCGAGTTCTGTTCGGGTTAGCCGATTGCCGCTGGAATGGAAAAGGGCAACTCGTCTTACTGCTCAGCATTGGCATATCCCATGCCGTGATGCGGGCATATTCTCGCATCTCGCGGTGCAGTTCCAATTCCGCATGGGCCATCGAGGTGATTTCGTCATCGTGAATCTCCTCGTCGCCGTCCTCCACCTGGGCGAACTCGTCATCGTCGTACTTGGCCCAGAATCCACGCTGCTTGGTCCGAATATCCTCAAACCGCAGATCCTCTTCCTTGTCAATGTCGCGGACTTTCTTGTCTAGCTCCGCAAACATGGCCTTCCGCTTGTTCACGTCGTTGAACTCTGCCACCATGTGGCGGTTCTGCTCATCAAAGGCTGCCCGGTCTTCGGGCGACATCATGTCATACATAGACCGCTCCGCTTTGGAGAGCCGATCGGGCGAGTACTCGGGCATTGAAGGGAAATCTTCGGCTTGAGGGTCTGGGGGTGGAGGTGGCATGACCGGGTCTTCGGGCATGTAGCGGAAGGGAGAGGCTGAAAAGTAGCGTGTAGCGGTAATGGCTGGGCCTCTGCAGGCCAGCAGGCGAGCCGGGCGGCCCATTGACCGCAGTGGTAAGGCCATTGTCTGCGTGAAGGAAAGAACGACCAGTGACTGATGTTTTTCGGGAATATGGTCACGTGAATGTGCACTTTGCGCTAACCGCTTTTAGGATAGACTTTATCAACCTGTGACTGGCTGCACTTGTCGCTTCTTCTACTTCTTCCTCTTTTTCCGCATCATGGATGAAATGGACCACGACCGGATGCCTAACTTGGCCAAGCACTGCTTTGTCACTGTTGGAGCGACCGCCTCGTTCACGCAACTGTTAACCCATGTTGCGACTGAAGACTTCCTCGAGGCCCTGCGACAGCACAACTATACCCACCTGACCATCCAGTATGGTCCGGACCTGGCTTACGTCGCCGATTTCATTGATCGCCACCAGACAGACACTGCAAGCAATGGGGTCATCCAAGTCAACGGCTTCGATTTCAAAACGGAGGGCCTGTCTCAGGACATGAGCATGGCCAAACCTTGCCCTGCTGAGAACCGAGTCGGTGGAATGATTTTGACGCACGCTGGTACGGACGAGCACTCTTGCTACTATTGCCCCAAGCTGATGATTATAAAAGGTACTGGCAGCATCCTCGAAGCCCTGCGACTGGGTGTGCCTCTGGTGGTTGTTCCAAACCCAGACCTCCAGGACAACCACCAGATGGAACTGGCCCATGAGATGCACCGACAGGGGTATGTCGTTGCTACTGCTGCCGAGTAAGTTGCCCTGTTATTCCATGCTGCGAATACTTGATCTAACCACGCGACAGGGAATTGTGCCCAGCTGTCCGCAAGGCCGAGGCTCTCCGACTTCGCCGCCCTGGCTGGCCACCGGTTGAAAATGGCCGTAGTCCGCGCCCTTTTATTCGCGAATCCTTGAACGACGAGTTGGGATTCTTGGACTAAACGGGGTAGTTTCTCTAAAGGATGGCTTCTCTACGCAAGATGATTTTTTCAAGCAAGGCGTTTTTCCTTTTATTTATTTCGATGACTTGATGACGTTACGAAATAACGCATTGGCATAACAGGGGTTCGTTCTAGCGGTACAATTTAACAATTTGGGATTCTACTTGACTTCTTTCCTCCCGAAAGAATGCATTTTCCCTCAAGTACAGCAATTGACACATCATAAACAAAAGTAGTGTGTAGAGTATACAACCGGAGCAGCACAATGGGCCACCCCCATTGGCCCAAGCTCCTTGTTGACACCCGAGCGCGACGAAAACCAACTCCTGAACTGCATCGACGCCCATCACCGCCCACCGAACACCACCGTCCATGTTCCAATAATCCTCGCCCAATCGCCCCTGTGATACTCAGCGCCCCATTCTAGGCCGAGTGGCCACCACACACTCCGCGCACCTCGCTCACCCACACCCCCCTCTCCCCGCGCAATGGCTGAGGCAACCCTGCACAATGTGCCCATCGTCATCGACAATGGCAGCGGAACGATCCGAGCCGGGTTCGCAGGCGAGGAGATTCCGTCGTGTTACTTCCCCTCATTCGTCGGCCGTCCTAAACACCCGCGGGTGATGGCCGGCGGCCTGGAAGGAGACTCGTTCATCGGCCAGCGCGCACAGGATCTCCGCGGTCTGCTGAAGATCCGATACCCGCTGGAACATGGGATCGTCACTAACTGGGAGGATATGGAGTCTATCTGGCACTACGTCTACGAGAACGAGCTGAAAACCCTGCCCGAAGAACACCCCGTGCTCCTGACCGAGCCGCCGCTCAACCCACGCGCCAACCGCGATATCGCTGCCCAGCTCATGTTCGAGGCATTCAATGTACCCGCCCTGTACATGTCGATTCAGGCCGTACTGTCGCTTTACGCGTCGGGTCGTACGACCGGTGTGGTTCTGGATTCAGGCGATGGTGTCTCCCACGCCGTGCCCGTGTTTGAGGGATTCGCAATCCCTAACAGCATTCGGAGGATCGATGTCGCCGGTCGCGATGTCACGGAACAGCTGCAGGTGCTGCTGCGGAAGGCCGGCCATGTGCTGCACACCAGCGCCGAGAAGGAAGTGGTCCGCATGATCAAGGAGAAGGTGTGCTACGTCTCGCTGGACCCGAAACGCGAAGAGAAGGAGTGGATAAGCAGCTACCACAAATCGGATGCCAAAGCGGTTGACTACGTCTTGCCCGATGGACACAAGATCAAGGTCGGTCTTATTCGAATCGTTCAAGATAAACATACTCATGATTTGCATTATAGATCGGCCAAGAACGCTACCGTGCCCCCGAGATCCTGTTCGATCCAGAACTCATCGGCCTCGAGTACCCCGGCGTGCACCAGATTGTCCAGGACGCCATTGCCCGCACAGACCTTGACCTGCGCAAGTCACTATACCTCAACATTGTGCTCTCGGGCGGCTCGACACTGTGCAAGAACTTCCCCGACCGGTTGATGCGCGAGATCAAACGACTAGCCGTTGAGGATATGAAGATCCGAATCTCTGCACCTGCGGAGCGGAAATACACCACGTGGATTGGCGGCAGCATTCTCGCCGGCCTCAGCACGTTCAGAAAGGTATGTTCGCATCGTCCATTTCTGTCGCATTGTGCTAATCCAGGAACAGATGTGGGTGAGTGCGGACGAATGGCATGAAGATCCTGAGATCATCTTCAAGCGATTTGCTTAAGGCTCGCCGACGGCGAATGATTGGAACCATATTTTTTTCCATAATCATCACATGCCATCGCGTCGTTGCGGAATGGCGACACGCCCCAACCTCTTCTCACTACCTACACCCACCACCTCATGCATCATTGCATACAGCATCATCGCAGCATTGAGGACCATCACGCCATCCCCAATGCTGTCCGAGTCGCTTGCCCACCCGCGACTTTTGATACCCATCGTCTTTCTTCTCTCTCTCTGTCCTCGCCCTTCCCACTCCGGCTCTTCCATGTCTTATTAAACGATATATTTTACTCTTGGTCTTATGAATTGAAAATCTGTGCAAATACTTTCTTTTATTTCATGTTTGGTGGAATTTGGACTTTTTTATACAATGACAATGACATTGCAGGTTGCACATAGATCCCATTGGATATTCTCGAGGCTAGTACATCCAATCATCGGTCACTTATTTGCCGAACTTCTATGATAGGGTAATTCGGTAATTCTTAAGAGTTTACCATCTTTAATCGTCTGACAGACAACATCCACTCGCCACACTGCAACCATAAGGCTGCGTCGCCAAAAGACTACATAGTCTGAGGTATCTCTTCCGTAGGCATGAAAAACTCTGGCCTTGAACAATTAACAGCGTCTAAATATACTTCTATTAAAGAAAGAAGATTATCTTAAAAATTCCAGTAATTGAAGCCATAAAATGGGTGGCATATTGGCAAGGGTATCTCTTTCACGGATGGTTCTCTGACGGGGCCCGGCGTTGTCACTAACTTACTATGGTACAGGCGCCTTAGGGTAGTAGTACAGGTCCATTTGCCTGATCGGTGGTAGACATGAAAAAGTTCAGGGGTTTACGAGTCATACGTAGCCACCAACATGCCCCCAACATGCATAAACTGAAGCTGAAAGGGGCCATAATTCACGGCTTGCACGATCCTGCATATCTTTAGCATGTTTCGGTATTATTGACCACGCTATGAAGGGCTTGGCAAAGGATGAATGAAAAGAATGATATTCGCCTATATAATCTGAATGATCTCCCGAGGACTAACGACCTTGGAACATACCCATACAACCCGAATATTCTCACTTCAAAGATTATTAAGTACTTTTCTACCCCTCAATGATATGGCCAGGAAATAAATACTGACTAGAACTAATCTAGGCCGGACTCAAAATGAAATACTACACTACTTTGGTTCTCGCCCTCGCCTCCGTGGCCACCGCCGACTGGTCTCTCTACTGCGGCAATTCCGTACGTTTGATTGAATCTTACAGTTATCCTACAATCAGAAATTATTGACTGATGGGTACTGACTTACCACGTAGTGCTCCGGCGGTACACTCGTTGCATCCGGCTCGGATGCTCAAGGCGCATGCACCAGCCTCGGCGGGACCTATGATTACTGCTATGTTGAGGCTGAATCCTCATATTCTCCGACTTGGTGGAAGGCGATCTTCTTTGAGAGTGCTTCCTGTGAAGTCAATAGTGACGTACCTGGAATGCACGAGAGTAGTGGGGTGTTTAATGGCGGTTGTACTGATGCTGGCTCTTGGACTTCTTACAATGTGGTTGTGAATGCTTAAGCTATGCATTTAGTCAGATTTCGGCCTTTCCTCGGTCTTTCTTGCAAGTCATTCTTCGCTTCGCTTTCAATCACCAAGGGTCTTTTTAGGAGACCAAAATAAGAAGCGGATATTTGCCGCCGGCGGATAACCAGCGTCATTGTCATCGTAATGAACCTGAGTTGAGGCGTCGCAGTGTAGATGTCTGTAAAAAGAGAGCAATAGAAACTTATGCGGGTCTAAATATTCCCATCGCCGGAGGCAAAGACATTTTCTGTTGTGGAGTGTACCCCGGATTATTTGATTTCCCCACCACAACATCATGTATCACAACTACGTATTTCCGGTATAGTATATCTCGTCGCTGTTTCGTAATTAGTGGCGATTCCATAGGATGAATTATATGGATTTCAGCAGGCCTCACCCGTGAAAGAAAGGCATTTCATTATTCACCACACTATTGGCGCTGCATTGGTATGAGCATGGTTGCTCGGCCCGAGGAAATGTGGGAGCTGTCCCCGCGCAGTCTTTTGATCATTGGAGATCGCAAGTCCCAGTTTCGTGTGCCGTTCTCCGCAAAAAAGAGGGGTTACTATTACCAGACTCTAATTTCCTTAAATACTCTCCTCTGTAAGAAGAACGAACCGCTAGAAAAGGTAAAATATATTTGAAAAGAATTATCATGGCAGGTAGGCAAACAGAAGCACTACTAACTAGTGATTAAGATATAACTGATCTTCTTGGCCCATACAGGAACAATCGCCGCCACAGCACTGGGATCTCTCACTCTCGCTGGGTATCTAGATGCCAAATTTCACATTCGCAACGATATCAAGGCCCTTTTCTTGAGCAACAACCCCAGTGCCGGACAAAAATATGTTGCTCAGAAAGTCAAAGAGGACCGGCTGCTCTTGTACCATGTTCTGGAAGACCATGCCGCAAACCCCGCAATTGCCAACAACTTGTTCCTGATATTCCCCACCGATGGTAGGACCTGGACATATAAGCAATTTCTAGCAGATGTCAATAAGGCCGGCAACTGGCTGTTCGAGGAGCTGGGAGTGCGAAAGGGGGAGATGGTCGCCCTCGATGGACCCAACAGCCCCGAGTATCTGATCATGTCGTTTGCGATAGACTCGGTCGGAGCAGTTCCATGTTTTATTAACTACAACCTGACGAGCCAGTCCCTCGAACATTGTATCAAGGTACGTACGTTGTCAAGTTACAACAATAATTTTGTTCAAAGGGATTCAGAACGTTGACTTGTTCTCTTTAGCTGTGTGAGGCTAGATACTGTTTAGTGGATGAGGAAATTAGACATCTGGCTGAGCCAGTCGCACCGAAGCTCGAATCATGCACCATGGTGTATTACTCGAAGCAATACCTCTCATCACTGCCCTTTGACGCAACCCCGCCGCCTCCAGAACAACGCAGCAATATAGATCCAACTTCGCCCAGATTACTGATGTTTACCAGTGGCACCACTGGGTTGCCTAAGGCACTCGTCAAGGCTACATCTTACGAAGTCTACAGTGGCCTCAGAACTGCTCTTTACCTGGGGCTGAAGCCTACGACGCGCTTTTATACCTGCTTGCCACTATTCCATGGCGCGGCGCATACATTGTGCCTTACCGCTGTTTTACATGCCGGGTGCACTCTCATTCTGGGGTAACTATTCTCCTATCCACTATGGCTTACGACATATCTCTTCTTCTGAGGCGGGTTCTGACAATATATGTAGAACTAAATTCTCCCATTCGACCTTTTGGCCGGAAGTTGTCACACACAAAGCGGATATTATGCAATATGTCGGGGAGCTATGCCGATATCTTCTCAATGGCAAACCGAGCCCGCTTGATCGACAGCATAACCTGAAGATGGCCTGGGGCAATGGCATGAGGCCTGATGTTTGGGAGCCCTTCCGACAGCGGTTTGGAATCCCTATCATCCACGAACTCTACGCTGCCACCGACGGGATGGGTTCGATGTTTAATCTAAACAAGGGCGAGTTTAGCCGGCATGCCATTGGTGTTAGGGGCCTTCTTTGGAACATGATCAATGGCCCCCGGGAGAAGATCGTGAGAATAGATGTGGACACACAGGAGATACTTCGCGACCCAAAAACAGGATTTGCAACGGAATGCCCCCGAGGAGAGGCAGGGGAAACCATTCATTGGATTGACCCGGCAGCTCCGCTGGCAAAGGTTCACTTCCAGGGCTACTATAAGAATGAAGAGGCGACCCGAAAACGCTTCATTCGTGATGTTTTCCAAAAGGATGACATGTGGTTTCGGTCTGGCGATATGATGCGACAGGAAGAGACAGGTTGCGTCTATTTCGCAGATCGTCTCGGCGACACCTTTCGATGGAAGTCGGAGAACGTCTCTACAAATGAAGTTTCCGATCTTCTAGGCCAGTTCCCAGGAATCGCGGAGTGCAATGTCTATGGCGTTCTGGTCCCCAATGCAGACGGGAGAGCTGGGTGTGCAGCAATTGTGCTTTCGGAGGGTCTGTCGGAGGATAAGTTTGACTTTAAAGGGCTGGCGGAACATGCCTTGGCGCTGATGCCCCGGTACGCAGCACCCGTTTTCTTGAGACTCACGTCCGCTTTGGGGTATACTAGTACCATGAAATTACAGAAAGGTAAGCTGAGGCAGGAGGGCTGTGACATTGAAAAGGCCGAGGCTTCAGGGGATAAACTGTATTGGCTGCCTCCCAACAAAGCCAACTACGTTCCATTCACACGTGAAGAGTACATCAAGATCCAGAATGGTCAGATCCAGCTATAGAGTCGGTATTTAAGTTGTTCATGGTTAACTTTATTTGGTAACCCAACTTTGATAGCAGAACTTGCAGCGAAGGATAGTCTTGCAATCGTTTATCTGTAGTATCAGAACATAGGTTTGGAAAGGACTGACGGACGAAACCTTGTCGTATCTATTCATCCTCAATGGGCAAAAGGCTGAATTTCTCCCAAAACAAAGCCGTCTTTTCTATATATCCCGTATCCTTCAAAGGCATGCTCCAATCCGGTCGTTCCTCTTTGGATATAGTAATATATGGATAAATATGTGCACCTAGATTCTCTGTCCCCGGGAAGTGAACAAGGAGATCTCCAGGATGTACTAGCATGTCATCGGGTAAGGGTTCAGTTGTTGGTAATTCCCCATTCTCAGACCTCCTGTAGGGATTGAACCATCGCGACGGACAATATACGGTAGATCGGGCAAAATAGTCACTTTCATCGAGAATGTTCACCAAGGCGGATTGGTCACCCCAAAGCGGATCAAAACCTGGGTTCAGGAAGGGGTATGCAATCACGGAATTGAGCAACTCGACGGACCATGGATGCACGCGGATAAAAAAATTCCCATTATTTAATCCATTCTGATCCTTGGAGAGTAAGATATGGAAATTTGAGAGATTCGAAGGAGGTATGAAGGTCTCTAGTGGCAGGTTCAGATTCATAAGTACTGTGTCACTATCAAACCAACTAGATCAATATTTATATTCATTAGTTCAGGGTCAATATATAATGCCCGGGGTCGCGAACTCACAAAAGCCACTGTAGTCGCTGACCTACGGGCTTCTCCAATTCCCGAAGTATCGTGGATAGAATGATAAGGGGTTTGTTCCATAGGCCGTCAATGATTGGCTCGTAAAGGATGAACATTGGATAATTGTGCCGGCGGCTATGCTCTTCGTGTGATGCTAGCGCCATGTCATAAATCGTGCCTCTATCGTAGATCGTGTGACCACCAAGTATCATTGAAACTTTGCCGATCGTTGGCTGGGGCGTTGTCGTCGGTGCGAGGGGCATAGGTTGAGATTTATTCAGCAAAGCTATGATTTCGGTCAGCGAACACTGCTATACAAATGCTGGGATGCATAGGTTCAACGAGGGCAAACAGACAGTATAGGCTGAGTAGCCCCAAAATCCCCGATAAAGCCAGAACCTGACGTAGCTCTGGTTTTCGCATCTTGCAATATGTTTATCATAGATACTATGGGGGGCTCAAAATATTGACGTGGCTCCTCGGTAGAATTTGGAGCTTGGGATGAGCGAGACAAGCCTATTCATGGACAAATTTAAATCCTCCGGCAGCTGGACCCTACAGGGACTTGACGTGATATTCTTCCATAATAGGGGTCTTGTATCCCACACTACTGTACTAGCCCCAACAAGTCGGGAAGGGGGCTTGGGGGCCATTTGTATGTTGTTAAACGCACTATAGGGCCAGTGAATTCCTTTAAGGGTTGATTTGCCTCACCGTTTGGCGCTCCCTGATACGCTGGCATAATCTCTCTACAGTGGAAAGCAGAGGGCCATGAATAGAAAGGCAGGGTGTGCACAGGAGTTGATTTGCCAAACATCCTTATATTCCCTAACTTCGCTCTAAGTCCATGTATTTCTCTAAACCCCACCCCCCACCAAGGTCTACGGTAAAACTGTTCTTCAACCTGACGACTGAAGGTGCGGATTCAGATATCAAGTACCAAGCCCTGGTGCTGATATAATAAACTCCTATAACTATTGATAACTATAACTATTGTCAAGCAGCTGTAGGGGTACTCCGGAAAACTCCCAGATTAGACTAGTGTGTCTTGGTGTTGGGGGCTGAGAGAATCAATCGTAAGAGTGCAGTGGCATTGCTAAAGTGAACAGTCGCGACCGTTATTGCCTTCCATGTCGGAAACATAGAGACGCTCTTTCAAACCCTAATCATGTGATACAATAAACCTGATGTGAATTATACGTAAATGACCAGTTTTGTACGTACTCGGTAATAATACTTGCCATGTAGCCTCAGATTCCAAGCGTTGCATCCACACAACCTCAGAATTGTTTCCAATATACCCAGTCGCTCGCTCGGCTCTTTTCATGTCGATTTAGATCTTCATTGAGGACTTCGTTCTCGTCTAGGGAACTGAGCGATGACGAGGAGGAAGCACTAGAAGTTTTTCTTCGGTTTAGACACATTCTACCTAGCCGATCAGGTTCCTCTATACCTTAGGTTGTTTAATTTGCCACTCCCCGTATATTCTCGTTATCTACAAGAGCATGCCTATAATCTTCAATTTGCGACCTCTGGTTCACCTAGTGAAACGCAATATTCGCTGTCATTCAATACTAGCCTTCCGAATTAATCGACCACTATGAACCCGAAAGAATTTGACAAAGAGTCATTGAATTCCGACACGGCAGGAAAGGACGGCTTGGTTACATCAGATACATGCCCGACGTATAGAGAAGCACAAAATGGCTCTGTTAGCGGTAATAGAGGGCGGGAGCCACATGGTCCTTGTAATGATTGTTCGTGGGTCCGATTTACTATTTGAATCGAGTCCGAGTATACGCTGACTTTTCAAAACAACAAAGCAGACTACCCTCTCTCTCTCTCTTCTCTGTGTGTGTGTGTGTGTGTGTGTGTGTGTGTGTGTGTGTACCCATCTATACACATTGTATACTAGCGCTCCAGGCAGTCAGCCAGTCTATTGCCTCATTATTCAGCCGGACATTTCATTACCGCCCCACAATACTAGTTAACTTCGTTATTGTGATGGCCTGTTAAGCCAAGCTGCAAATGCCTCTGGATAACTAAGCGAGTGCTATCGACTGTTGTCACCTCATGATCTCGAACTTATCGCGTCGATTCAATACAAATAGAGGACGACCATTGTCCTCTTTCGGTTCCAACATCTCGAGGAAGTAAAAGAGTACGACACATAGCACGAAAGTCACGACGAAAGCACGACGAACATTCCAGAATTAAAACATAAAAGCTGCAACACCGAACACGACAAATGACCAGAAACCGTTAATCTGCGTGGAAGAGATTCCCATATTGGTCGGCGTGGCTGATGAGCTCAGCGTGGTCGATGTTTGAGTCCCATTCTGCGTTGATTGGTTCCTAACTTTTGCAAATCCCATGCTCCCATCCTGGACATTGTGGTCGATATAGAGGCCATGGAAAAATGCTATAGTCTATTAACTGCGAGAACACCGGAGATATTTGAGCAGACTTACGCTGACCCACAACCCATAAGGTGGGATATAAAGGAACAGTAGCACCAGAGAGAACGGCAGTGCAATTATTGTTTCCATTGTCGGCTGCAATCCACTGCTCTGGTGCAATGTCGAAAATTGCACTCTTGTGGCTGATACTTCCTGAGTTCGCGTTCACAGCTGTAGACACATTTGCCCGAGACGGAATGCTGAACCCGATAGTCGGCGGCTTATCACAGGGGAAATACCCCGTCACAGTCACACCATCTGTAGTATTGTGTACCACTGACTGAATGGATGTAGCATTGAAGATTGACAGAACATCATTTACAGGACTATCATGTCTTAGCTATGCCAATTTGTAGGCGAAGAACGGGAGAGTACTTACCCAGTTATTGTTGCTGTTCCAGTGTCCAGCTCCACCGGGACATCAGTTTTGATAATTTTTCCACCAATTGCAAGATCAGCAAATATAGCCCATTCCTGGACGATAGATGTGGTGGTGAGGTCTCCCTCGAAAAGAGATTTGTCGAGCTCTCCAAGCACCTGAATGCCGTTTCCATTATATCCCAATGCAACACCAAATCTACAGGAAGCAACTTTACCCTCATTGCAAAGCGTATGGAACCAAGGGGCAGCGCCATTAGGGAATTGAGCCACTGCTGCTCCAGCAAATCCAACAATTCCGTCACTAGGGATTTGGGCAGCACCCTTCGCGGAGCCAATAGTTTGAGTAGCACCCAGGGACCCAAAAGAGACGGTATCATTGTACAGGGTACCAATGACCTTTATAAGAACAAATACTCTATTAGCTGTTTGCCAATTATCTACAGTATCAAAGAATTGGGAGGTTACATACGGAGCCCGTTCCCGAGCCATCACTCTTTGTAGTACCATAAGAGTTCTCAAAACGCATATGGAGATTGGTTGACTTTGGGCCAGTTTTGTAAAGACCGGGATTGATAATTACATCAGATGAACCGGTGTCGATTAACATACTTAGGTTCTTCGAATTTCCAATGTCAAAGTTTCCGAACCAGAAGCCCTGTAGTAACAGTTAGTAATAGGGCTCGGAATTCTATGAGGGCTGAATACAGCTGATTCTGAGATCTGTTCAACGTCATATTTATTCCGACGGACCAGATTGACCCCTAGGTTTGAGCGATGGATTAAGTTGACTCGGGAAGGAATATAATTGAAAGAAGCAATTGGTGAACAAGCGCATAAAGGAGCAAGCCCAAGGGTAGCAAGAAGCACCAATTGCTGTATGTCTGTAAACATCTGGAGCGAGTAATAGTAACTTAATACTGCACAGTAATTGAATGGTGACTCTGAATTTAATGGTTAGAATGCGAGGAGTCTATTGCAGGTTATATTCATGCTGCTAGCGCTAGGCAGACTCAATACCAACTTTCCGGGCTATGCCTTGGTGACTGGCATTTCGCCGGCGTCAGTTGTTTCTAGACTGGATCGCTCAAAATGTGTCCTATTCCTGGAGATCCTAAGCCCCCAGCCCCAAACAATAAACTCGGTGGGCGGTAGAAAGAATCATCTCCGGTGATGACTGGTCCTACCGCATAAAGCCAACCTAAAGGAAGTTTTTTGTACACTGGCCGCAGCAGCCTTGGCTGCATGGAACAGCTAAAATTGGGATTAGGGGCTAGTTCTTCAACCAACCATCTTTAAGGCTCTCCTTGCCGTGGCTTTTGCGCCACCAACGTTCGTATCCTCGGGTACGCTAGTCAAAAGATGATTAGGTCTCGATTGCATTGCCCCTCAGCTGAACAATCAAACGGTTTCCCTTGGCCTGCAAGCTACCTTGAAATTGTCTGCCGTGGAACGGCCTACTCGTGCAAAGTTTTGGAATGAAAAGCTGATTGCCTTCCCGAGATGTTATGTTCAAACAGGAATGGTCGAGACAGGTACTCTCAACCCGATCCCGAAATGGTTGCACAACTCGCAAGTGAGTCTTCAGGCCTGCTCTCAGGTAGTATTGGTTATTCTACGCATATTAATTGCTAGGAATTGTAAGTGGCATTATTTGCAGAGTTCACGCCGAGTAGTAAAGAACTACTCTGCCTATATCCCACCCCTTTCATCACATCCGGATTCATCAATTAAAACTAGATGATACGAACGAAACTCGAATAGTTTATACTAGTAGAAATCTCGTTGTTGAGGGTTCTATTCTTTGGCTTTCTGCTAGGCTTTCTTTTTCTTCTAGCTAGCCTAGGAAAGAGCACGTTTGATGCTAGATAATGATAGTAATATGTTGAACTCGTTCCATAGAAAGACAGCCAATCTCTTCGACATATAGGCCGGGGTTTTCAGTGACGTGGTCATAGAGGGCGTGTAGTATCACAGGAGTTATGCTCGGTGGCGGGCCGGGAGGGATTGGGGGAGATCTGAGACCATTGAACATCCGCATGTTCTTGCGTATGATAGTGATAGAACGCTCACTATACTTCGCTAGCTTGGCCATTTGTAATGTAGTGAGTTTGTCCTTGCTGCGTATCATATGGACGATCATCTTACGCTGCTAGGGATCGCGGTTTTGTGCCATTTTGCAACGGATTTGGGCGCTGTTGGCGGGTTGACCTGGTGGTACGCTTGAGTTAGAAGGACAGTAGGTAGGCGTGGGGTTTTTTTGGGGGCCTATTGCAAAACATGAACATATAGCTTATTTCATGATTTCAGGCGCATAGTATTAAACTATTCAACCTCAGTACTGATCTTTAAATACATAAATATCCTTATCGAGATTAGCTTATCATGTGATTAGGGTTTGAAAAAACATCTCTATGTTCCTAACATGGAAGGCAATAACGGTCGCTACTGTAGGCGGTCGCGGGGCGCACTGTAACAAAAAGCGACCACCTACGTACATGACTTGCGGTTTTAGCGCAAAAAGATCACCCAAGACACTGATCGGCTTGGCACGGCTGCTGTCGCATACCCACGGCTACGACCGTGCCATCCGCAAAAGCCAGTATTGTCGCCAGTCGCCATCGGTTCAGCCACGTCACGTTTACGCCAGCACATTGTCTTGCTTATTCTTTACGAGACACAATAAGAGTTTGCACGTTCAGCAGTTACAGCCACCGAATAGGCAGCATGCAATAATCCATTAGGATGAGAAACCAGAAGCTAGAAAGTAGTAGCTAATGGCGCGATATCGGGGGAATATGTAATAACAGAGGACATCATCCAAAAAGAAAACATGAACATGATACAAGGAGACTCCGAGAGATGATGCGTTCAGAAAACCAAGAGCAAGGGTCTAGCACTTGTAGTCGTGGCGCAAGCGATCCAGCGGGAAAATGCGAAACCACCCGATACCCTGAGAACGTGAAGCACTCGACAGGCAAGCTGCGCGAGTGTTGGTGTTGTTCCGAGATGGAAGAGAAAAACGCCGGGTTCCCATGACATGATGGTTGATTGGAGTGAGGAGATTTCAATGTCCAATAAAAGCAAAGCAGGATTAAAAGAGGAAAAGTAGCAGAAAAATCGACGAGTCAAGGACTCAGTTGCAAGCAACGTTGATCTTGTTCTTGTTGAAGACATGGTCGCCAAGAACAGGGGTAATTAGGCGACACACGCGGTAAACAGACGAGGCGTAGAATGGCCGGTGATAGGTCTTCGGCTGCTCTCAACCTATCCTCTTTGTTTTGTGTCTTTGTTCGGCCCGGAATGGGAGTGGCTCCCACACGGTGCGGAGGCGAGGACAAAGAAACAAAGAGAGGAGAGAAAAACGTCGTCGAGAAAATCGAAAAAGGTTGAAAAGAACACGAACTTTTATGGGGGGTCGTTATGTATGTCGTAGTCATCATGAAAAATGGGACGAATCCCAAGAGATCGTGATCGCGGTCGAAAAGCAATCTAGGCCATGCCCTTGAGCTTGCCCCAGCCCTTCTCCAGACCTCTTCGGGCCTTCTGGGCAGCGCGATCAGCCGTGGAGCCACTACTGCTAGCAGTGGTAGCGCTGCCAGCGGAGAACTTGCGGCTCAGGCTGCTGCTGCTGGAATCGTCGAAGATCATATTTCCCGCGCCGCCACGGCCGACGTGGTAGACCGGCGCGGCACGGCGGAGGTCACGTTCGAGCTCCTCGTCGAAGCTGAAGATGGCGCGCTCGCCACTGCTGTGGACGTTGCCGGCGCCTCCACGGCCCGTGATGAAGGTGGATGGGGCGCGCGAGTCCAGACGGGTCAGCGAGGCCGGACCCGTGGCGGTCTGCGAATTGGTCGTCTTGGTGTTCTTCAGGCTGACGACGTTGCCTGCGCCCCCGCGGCCAGCGTAGACGGCGGGGCGTGTGGTGTGCGGCACCGAGGGGTGCGGCTCAATGACGCGGTACGTTTTAGTTGGCATGATGATAATGAGAGACAGTCGGGACTGCTAGTTCAGCACAGGCTATAATATCCAGGCCATGTGAGGCAGGGAGTGTGTTGCAAAGAATAGAATCCAACTTGACAGTTAAAAATCTGTTGCCATGACACACGGCGGGTCCGGGTTATATAGTTCTTGTTTCGCCGGCCAGGGACACCCACGGGTCACACGCGGTGGAGTGGGTGTGGATTTTCCCTGCGTATTTTTCATCGAGTAATAAAGTCAGGAGACCGACCCGGTGGGGTTTAGTCTGTCTGTTGTTATACATGGGCTGGTGAGGGCAGTCTGGGCCCTCACTGGGCCCTCACTGGCCCTTCCTGTCTATAAACCACCCACGCCGACTGCCTGGCCCACGGTCATCTGATCCCGCGTACGTAACAGAAACCTCGACCCCACCAACCAGCATTTCCATTACCCCCAGAAAACCACAAAAACCACTCACCGCATCCACTCTTGCATCATCTGGGAAACATCTGGCCAGCTGCTTCATTACATTGCTCGGCTCTGTCCGAGCACGTCAGGTGTCGATTACATGTCGAGAGAGATGGCGACGACGAACAGAGTCCTCTACATCAATTGCGACTCAGATGGTGTACACGGCGAGCGAACGAGGGATTGGGGTCTGCACAATGACCCCATTGTCGCATCCTGCGGACCCATTCATCCCCCCCTCCTCTCAGTCGATCCGGTCTAGGGCTCTCGCTAGTCCCACACGGTACCTGGCCGATCAGTAATAATGCACCAGCCGAGGAGTGACCTGCCGTGTCCAGGAGAGGCGATGACGACAAGGGGTGGTGGTCCCGCACAGTCCAACCCTGGAAATGTCGAGAAAAAATTCTGCCGCTCACGCGTGCTGAGTGGCCAAGAGGTCCGTGGCCGGGGTGGCCATCCAATCACGCCGTCTGCTCGGTGGTCTCCTTCCCCAGATTTTCTTTCTTCCCCGGACTGCCGACTCGCTTTGGGTGAGAATGTCCCTTCCCCAGTCGCCGGTCGCCGCATTCTCTCGTCCTGGAATTGTAGCCGAGGAACTTCCGCTCAGGTGACGAATATCAAACATTCTGGACTACGTGTTGCGAATCGTCTCTCTCCTCAGCCCCAGTCTCGGCATCCTTTATTTTTTGTCGTTTTGGGTGCGTTCCAATCCGCCCCATTCCCGGCAATCCGGTGCTGAACCTGGTGACCGACCCTTGCACTGAGGCGAAACACGAGTGCAGTGCACTGACGCTCCAACAACGTGTCTAGGACCAAGAATCCGCACTCTGCATCCCTCCCACCTGCATTTCCAGCGTCATCACACGCCTTCACCGATGCAAACTGGTGGAGCCGGGCGCCCAGGAACTAACTTGGCCAATTATTAGATAATAGCGCGTCTGCACCGCGACCCAGCATGACACATGATTATCGGTGCGGTGCTGGTCGAGACCACCGGCACGGCTACCGGGAAGGAGACGGTTCAGCAAAACGGCTCATATGTAGTCCGAGTAGTCAAAGCACAGCCTATCATTCTTGATTTGATGATGCAAGGGTGCTTGAGACAATCATTTCGGGTGTATGTCAATGGCGTGATCGGCTTAGCACGGCCATTGCCGAAGCTGTAGGACGTACGTGTAGCATTGAGAGGTCTGGGACCGGATTCGATGTCGCAGATGCGGCCAGGTGCATCACACATACCATATCGAAAAGATCAAGCTCATGTCTATACAGTGCCGACCATTATTGCCGTCCGTGCCGAACATAGAGAAGTCTTTCGAACCTACTCATATGGTCTTCGTCAGCCGTTTCTGCAGGCGCTACGTCGCCAGACAGCTATGTCTGTACAGGATGGATCGAAATCAGTTTCACCAATTTACTTTCATGGATTCTTTCTCATTACCTCTTTAAAAAGCACGGTAACCCATTACAATGGCTCTAACCTTGGCCCCTGCCCTTGGCAGGACGGAAAGGGAAAGATATACCGGGGTTTGTGATACGACGACTTAATGCTCCGTCGGCTGCACTCCTTGCTCTTTATTCTTGGCCAGCAGTTTCCAATATCTCTCTCGCGAGCGAATCCGGCACCTCTTGCCGAACTTGATCATGACCAGATACAACGATGCACAAGCCATGCCAACAAAGGCGGCGGAAATGAAGCAGTTCTGATACCCCAGATCCGTGACCCATGGAGTAATCCTATAAACAATCAGTGACGTGTATTTGGCCGGCTTGAATAACCCAGAAAGGAAATAGCAAAGGAGAGCAAGCAGAAAGGAAACGCGAGCCCTGACTTACCCATAACCCATAGCGAACACCATGGTGTTCCGAACAAAAATGACACCGCAAATGGCAATGCCACTGAGCTCACGGTAGCTGTCTATCATGTAGTTGATACTCAGCGTCACTCCACATACAACACAGAACGCCATAATAAACTCGGCTACTATGAGGCCGAACCAATGGACATGGTGCGCCGCACCAACGCCCCACAAGAGCAGGCCTCCCGGCACCAGGAACAGGCAGATTGTAAAGGGCCACAATCGATACTCGGCTTCCAGAACGCCATGATTGCGTCGAGCAAGTTTGAGATTGAGCCAATCGCTGAAGGGGCCAACGATGAAGACACTGCCGATATTATGCCATTTAGTTGTCATGCCCACCGACAAATCTGAGGATCTCACTCACGCTGCCACCACTCCCAGACAACTAGACAAGTAGCTCAGACCAACCCATGAGGACCTGATACTAGATTAGATTTTAAAACTCGGTCTCTGGAATATGCGTGGACGTACTTGAAGTTGTAAGGAGGGGACCCCAGGATAATTGATGCGGTCCCGTTGAGGACACTAAACCAGATAATATAGGAGCCGTATGAGAACCTATCCCAAAAAGGAAAAGGATTAATCAATGACTTTGGTGGCTTCACCATAAGAGTTTGGGATAGGTAAGCAGATAGGTAAGCAGACGTACCCGCAGTAAAGAATAATCGGCCAGCTCAACAAGTAGAGCGATTGCCACAGCCGGAGCAAGATTACGTTTTGACCCTTGCTCACGTTCAATAGCGACAGTTTCCTCCAGTACGGCTTCTTTTTGTACAGGAACGTGGGCGTGGTGACATCGCGAGCCTCCACGCTTTCGATAGATGTATTGGTGTTATTCTGGCCGGCTTCCTTCTCGGACGCAGCAGGATCTAAAGTGTTTTGGTCGCTGCTGTCGGCTATACTATTCAATTTTCTGTCGTAGTTCGTTTCCTCCAAGAAGAAAAACAGGAAGACGAACATAACCGCCATGAAGATGCTTGGGTAATAGAACACCCATTGCCAGCTCTGGTATTGGGCAATGAACCCACTGATGACCGGCGCGAAATAGTTACTTCCAGAGACAGCGAGGGCGTACAGGCTCATGTATGTTCCTCGTTGGTGGGTAAAATACTAAGCAAGCAAGCGGGTATTGTGTGAGTGCAAGCCGGCAACCAAGTTGTCAGAGCTGAAGAAGAATCTTGAGGGCTCACCAGGTCAGTGATGGAGATCTCTGGGAGAGCTTCGGTAGGTGCTGCAAAAAAACCGAGCAGGATGCAGCGGCCAATCCACTGGGCGTTAGTCGAACAATATGGTCTGATAGCGATTAGCTGGTCATTATCAAGGAAATAATGACAAGGAACAGCGACCCTGGGATTCAGCCCGCAGAACCCGGGGCTACTCACCCCCACATCGTCACTGCCTAACCAGAGTCAATCAGATCAGTCTAGTCCTCGGAAGACAAGACAAAGGAGGAAGACACGGTGTGCAGACTTACGATCCCCCCCAGGACTGATATAAGGTATGTCAAGCGTTTCCCATACTGATGGGCAAAAGGTTGCCAGAACAGTAGACCCCAGCCAGCAAGAAGAAACATGTAGCCAGTACCCTGGTTTAGCGTTGCGATTGATATTCCGCGTTCTTCAGACAGCGGAACCAGCACCGCGTATAACATCGACCCGGCCAGGCCGACAAAGAAAGTATATCTGTACTCGAGTCAGCACATCCTTTGGGGACCGTCAGCTGCGACTTGGTCCCTGTATCTGAGGAGATCAAGATAGCGCTTAAGCTCTTCAATGCAATGCATACAAGCTCACACAAACTGTAGCTAAAAGTTTCCGGCGCGGGGACCAGTTCAGAGGGTCATTGGGATCCGAAGAGGGTGTGGGGACTAGAATAATATCGGTGTCGCCATGCTCAAGATGACGAGCAGCAATATCGTGGTTGACATCCACCAAGGTGACGGTGCCTGGGATGGCAGTATTCGACCCTTCCATTGCGGCGTTTCTGACACAGTTATCTTGAGGAAGTAGTTTGAATTGTATGAACGAGCTTATCAACGACAAAAGGAAGGAATTCAGTCTAATATATAGTGAAAATATGGTAACATAAGCTACAACCTTTTGTTTGCCCTTCAACCATCAAAAAGGAGACAGACGGTCGCGTGTATTTGAATACAATCAGTCCAAGGTATTGATATCGTAAACGCCACTACGTTCTCGACCAGTGAAGCTCAAGATAAGCCCTTACAGGGGACAAATGAAATTCCGTTGCGCGCTTCGGTTAGATTCGACAAGCCGAGCCTTCGTTAGGATTAGCTTCATCTGTGACCAATAGAATTTCATTGCGCGCAGATTTTTAAGCTCGGGCTCTCCAAACTCTAAACCAGACCATGAGCGAAGCTAATTGTCAGACTGGGGTAGCCGTTCCCGTGTGATCAAAGTGACCCCGGATAATGGGGATCTGCCATTTCTCCTTTCCATCCATGCATTGAGCAAGACATCTCCGAGCTCGGCTCATAAATTCGGCATATACAGGATGGTAAACACGGCAAGTCGTATATTGTCTTCCGTCTGCAGCATTTGGGCAATATTCCGAAGACTCAATGGCGCATTACTATCGCGGTCGTATAACTAATTTAAAGTCCAGCAGTTGTAAGCCGAAGATCTTCACCATGGCAAGCGGTAACTAGAAGTAGTCAAGAGCAAAGTTCATATGATTCTATAACTTCCAGTATCAGCAATTACTGAAGCAAACAAATACTATATATTGACGTATAAGCTCCGCTATCTCACAAAGATGACCGAACCTGGAGCGAATCCTCCTTGATCAAGTCCACCGCTTTCTCCGCCACAGCATACACAGTTGACAGGATATTCCCGCTCACGTTTCCCGGGAATACACTGGCGTCGACCACTCTCAATCTTTGTACGCCATAAACTTTGAGCTTCTCGTCCACCACCTGCTCTATGGCGCACGTCCCGCAAGGATGATACTCGGTCATGCAGAAGTCTTTCACGGCCTCGGAAGCAGCGGCTCGATCATGCAAATTGACATTCTCCGGAGGATATGCGCGCCGGTGAACCTTATCCTTCAACGCAGAGGACTGGGCAATCTTGTCACAGAAGCCCAGACCAGCAGCGAGGACGTCAACATCCGCGGGATGAGTCAGGAATGCAGGATCAACAGCAGGGTTCTTGGCCGGTTCGGTGCTAGTGATATGGACGGTGCCTCTGGATGCGGGATACTGGAGACAAGCTACGATTGTAAACCCGTCCCGGTCGCCCTCAGCGAGGGTTTTCGCGAACTTGCCCTGGTTACCGATGACCTCCTCAACGTTTAGCGTTCCCTGCGTCAAGATAAACTGGATATTGCCTGACGAGTGGCTTCTCAACTGCTCGACGATCTGTTCTTGTTGTTTCCGCTGGAAAGGCGTCTTTGCTGGAGATCTCAGGATCTTTTGGCATGTCTGCTCCAACTCAGCAGAACAGACTATCTTCGAGTAAGGCAGAAAGCCCATGCCACTGGTAGCATAAGCTAGAATGCCCTGAGAATCCTTGCTGTACATGTCTAGGTGTTCTTGCATGATGCGCGGGTCGCGCAACGCGTCGAAGGAAGAGGTGCCGTCTTTCAACTCATATACGGCAGCGGTGACGATGTGATCCTGTAGATTTGCACCCACGCCCGGCAGGGGCACTTTGCATGAAACTCCTGCCTGGGCGAGGATATTCGGATCGCCAATTCCTGAGAGCTCCAGGATCTGTGGAGACTTGTACGTGCCGCAGCTCAGCACGACTTCTCTTGCAGCGCTTATGTCGTGTGTCTGCCCGGAACAATGAATGCGAACGCCACACGCCACTGTGCCCTGCAAGATCACCTTCATAGCCAGAGCATCGGTGAGTATCCGAAGATTTGGACGCCGTATATTGGGCAACAAGTAAGCGCTCGCTGCGTAGCTGCGGGTCCCCTTCCGTGTTTTTCGGTCGACTGTAGCCAAGGATGAGAAGAAGCCCAGGTGATCTCCGCCCCATGGATCTCGTGGACTTTCCATAATCCCGGAAGCCTCTTTCCCGGCGTCAATGAAGCTCCGCTCGAGTGGGGTCCTCCAGTTGTTGAAGCTGGTCTGAATCGCTCCAGACCTTCCATGACTTCCCGCGTTATAGTTGGTAATATTGGCGTCGGACGGAAGACCGGTGCGGGTATCGTCGAAGGTTTCGTGCCGTCGAAAATACGGCGCCATGGACGGCCAGGACCATCCTCTTCCAAAGGCGGACCAGTCATCGTAGTCTCGCTTTGAGCCGCGGACGTACATCATCTGCGAATCGAATTTGAGCAATCTGCATATTAATTATTTGGAACAGGGAACACTGACACCATTTGTGGCACTCGAGCCTCCCAGCATTTTCCCACGAGTCAGAGCATGCACTTTGTCACGGTTTGCTTTCTTGACGGCGTTAATATCGTGACAGGGGTTGGACAAGGCAAGCTGGAATCATGATCGTACCTGAGGTACCGTAAACAGCATCCAGTCATACTCTGGTATGCCCAGCATTTGGGGGAAAAGAGCCGGGGTTTGAACAAGCTCATTCTTTGTCTGATCTTTCCCGGCCTCAATCACGCCCACGTTTACGCTCGGGTCTTCACTGAGCCCTGCAGCCACTGCCAGACCAGCTGTGCCACCGCCGATGATAATGTAGTCGTAGGAAACTCGGAGGAATTCTTCCAGAGAGCAGATTGCACCCCCGGAATTGTTAGTAGCTATGGCTGCCATGATGGGCGTTGAATGAAATGCGAGAAATTCAGAGAATGCAATGCAGACAGGTGCGATTGAAGTCTGCAAAACGTCGCTACAGGGTGATATTTATGTTTGTCGCTTCTTGTATCTACTGCTTTCTCTTTGCTGTGGTCCATGCCCGTCGGACCAATCACGATGCATTGCGCGCTCTAGGGCTTCCCCTCCGCCATCGCTCAGATTGGAAAAGCCATGCCAATGAGAAGTCATTCCGCGCCTCCGCAAAGGAAATGATTCATGTCCGAGCAATTTGCTGATTTCATAAAGAGAAGTCATATCTCTCTCAACCATCAGACCGAGGGTATCATACAATTCAACCCGCTTAAAAGAGGTTAGACTACGACATTCAATAGCTCTACTGTCAGCTCGCCTCAAGTACAATGGACACTCCGCGAAGTTTCCAGACCAAACTGTTTATAAACAACCAGGTATAGTAATTACAAAGAAAACAACCTGAAATCTCAACTGACATGCTGTAGTATGTGCCCGCCAAGTCCGGGACACACTGCACCGTACGCAACCCTTACAACAACACAGTTGTGAGCGACAAGGTCCATTGCGCCGGCAAAGAAGACGTCGATGACGCGGTGACCGCTGCACTGTGCGCGTACAGAGGCGCATGGGGACAGATGTCCGGACAAGAGAGAGCGAAATGCATGCTGGCGCTTGCGGACCTCCTGGACGCGCGCGCGGCCGAGCTATCCCACCTCGAAACGCTCTCGATCGGGCTGCCTATTGCCATTTCACGCAGCTTAGCTAACGCGCTGGGCGCCATCTGGCGCTATTACGCTGGATTCTGCGACAAGTTGCCCGGGGAATTTATCCCCGAGGGAGACGACCGCGTTTACAAGATTGTCCGGTATGATCCATTCGGAGTCTGCGCTGGCATTGGGGCATGGAATGCGAGTCTCTTCTTCTTGTCCATGAAAGCCGCCCCGGCCATCGCTGCCGGTAACACCTTTATCTTCAAGTCCTCTGAGAAGTCCCCCCTCGGCGCTATCCAGCTTGGCGAGCTGGTTGTTCGAGCCGGATTTCCGCCGGGAGTAATCAATCTTCTGAGTGGCGACGGCTCGACCGGGACGCTTCTCGCTTCGCACATGGATATTCAGAAAATCGGGTTCACCGGCTCGCTCGAGACGGGAAAGAAGATACAGATAGCTGCCGCCCAGAGTAATCTCAAAAGGGTGACGCTGGAACTGGGGGGAAAGTCTCCGTCGATCGTCTTTGACGATGCAGATATAGACAATGCCCTCCAGCACGCGTCACAGAGCTTCCTCGTCCACTCGGGGCAGATCTGTGTGGCTGCGTCCCGACTCCTAGTCCACAGCTCAATCTTCGAGCAATTCGTCGACAAATTGAAGGCCAGATTCGAAATGCTAGCGCAGGCATCTGGCAATCCGGAAAGTGAGACCACATTCCTCGGCCCAGTGGTCGACGAAGGCCAGAGGGACCGCATTTTGTCGCTGGTGAAAGGGTCACAGGACACGCGAGGAGACGTCCTGTTGACTGGAGGAGCATCGTCCAAAGGGAATTTCGTGACTCCAACCATCTTGAAGAATCCACCTCTGGATTCTGATGCTTGGACTCAGGAAATCTTCGGGCCCGTCCTCTGTATTCGCGCGTTTGATACCGAAGACGAGGCCATTGAGCTGGCCAATGCATCCAAGTATGGTCTGTCCTCCTGTGTCTACACTCGAGATATCCCCCGCGCCTTGCGCGCGGCCAAGCGCCTGCAGGCCGCTGGAGTCGCCATCAATTCTAACCACCAGCCCGAGTTTGACGTCCCCTTGGGAGGATGGAAGCAGAGTGGGAATGGCGGCTACGAAGGAGGTCAGACGGCTTTGATGGAATACCTTCAGGCCAAAACAGTACTTCTCAATATGGCAAAGCTTTGAGGAAACGGAAGTGGTGCCGGTCATGTTAGTAGGCATACTCTATGTATGCAACCAATCGCACATAGTCTGCAACGTGCATTCTCATACAAGAGCATGTCTGCCGTCTAAGCCGATCAGAAGCAACGTCTAGTGACTCACTTCAACTTGATAAGGTGTAGCGCCGATACTAGGCACCGAATCATATGTGCCGTTCACTATCGCCTCTTGTGGAATCGAGGACACCTCATCCCACATTTGCCCAGGAAGTAGACTCCAACCAGTTTGACCCCCGTCAGAGGTACGTTCGCAGTTGAAGGGGTCTTTGCGGATGTAGGTGGATTTGAGCACAGCGTGTCGAATCCTCTATTGCTTCACAACTGCGGCCGCCAATGTGTAGAGACAATAAACCTCTTGGGCTTATTTAACCCATGGCATGAAACGTCATCCATCAACCATGAACTGCGGCAGCCAATCGCCATGAAGCAAGAAATCAAACAGGTCAGGGCAATTAGAAGACCGCGCATCCCGTAGTGACGCAAGCTGGCCATTCCGTCGTCGGTACTCCAGCATCGTTCGAAAGAGGTTGGTAGTCCGTTGAATGTCGCCCCAGTGAGATCTCTCCCACAGCTTTTCCAGTCGCCCCAGCAAGAACAACATCTCCGTCTCGCGCTGCACGACACAGCCGAGGATGGCAAATGGCCACGAGTAATGCTGGTTCCAGAAAATTCCCTGCACATCAGATTGCAGGGCATTCATGATCTGCTTGACTTGACTCTGGACCCGGCTGTCCTTGGCCGTAAGGTCAGGCTGCATGGCCTTTAGTAGCAGAATGTCAGCGGCTAGCGCGTACAGCTCGGCTGCTTTTTTAATCTGTTCCGCTCGCTCATCGAGCCCTTCTTCGCTGTAGACGCCTTCCGAAGCGGGTTGGAGGGGCAGGTATGGACGTAACTGATTGCGCAGATCATTGGCAAGCTGGCTGTCCCGATCACTTAGAGGCGTGCGACGAGCAAGGCGAGATGTCTCAAGAATGAGTCGGCACAAGGTTGGCGGTATGGCAAAGAGGGTGTTATAACTAGGTTCAAGGAACTGTTCGAACTGTTTCCACGTCGCACTCTCCGGTAGCCACGAGATGTCTGGATTCAGAAATGCAGTTGTCGCGGCATGGTAGAGCAATGAGGAAGCACACATCTGCTGGAAGGGACTGGCCCCGGTCGACGGGGATGGGAGGTTTCTCACTATCAGCGCCATAATGTGCGACGCACCGAGCAAGTGAGCCATGGCTCCACAGGATGGGCCGGATTGAGCACGCTGTTATGTTGCAACTCTCTTTAGCTCCGGTTAATATCAGGTTTCGAAGTTGTTGCTGCACTTACCTCGAAGATACACAGTAATAAGGCTTGCAGGAGCAGCCAATCTTCTGTGCCCTTGACCCGGGACTCTTGAATCATGCGTCTGGTGGCACGAACGGCATCTGAATAGTATGCGACAGCGTCCGGAGGAACAGGCGGACCGCTGTTGGATAGGAGCAAGGTCGCACAAGCTAGAAACGAGTCCCTGACACTAGGGTACTGCGCTCCCAGAGCAATCAGATCGTTTCCCGAGGCCCAGGGGGTTCCAGGAATCAGCAACTGCGGCAACATGGCTGACACATAGCACCGGAACCGGGACTCTCTGGAAGGATTCTCGAACGGGAAAGGAGGATCGAAGGAAGGAACGCGAGTATCATCGACATTAGGGCCGGTGAGGGTGTCGCGCTGACTGTTTGCAGTCGTCGTTTTCGACGCCCAAATGCAGGTGAGGTGATTCCGGCAACACGCTCGACAAGCCGGGGATTCCTCGTCGCATTTCTTCCGTCTCATGCGGCCTAGGCGACAATCAACATACAAAGGAACCGAGGCAGGTTTCAGGATCACATTTTGCTAACACGTAAGACAGCCCGACTTGGTCCTCCACTTAGCTGGCATGACGGGCAGCTCTCTCAGCCAAGGCACGATTCAACCGACGGAAGTCAGAACATGACAGAAGGACGTCCCCGCAATAGAGTATGGGGTGACCCACTGAGCTCGTGGGGCCAGTACCAACCATATCCGTCGTGGTAGAAATGGGAGGCTGTTTCTTTTCCATTTGGTCAAAAGATGGACCACAAAAGACGGTCTAAGTTCCGATATAACAGTTGCGTTTAGCCCCCACATACACTGGGATTTTTTTGTCCGAGAACGTTGTGTTGTAGAATGGGGGCCCAAAGGTGGACTTCACACCCATCTCCACCATCACACCTTGAATCTCACTCGCAAGTTCCATATCGGAGACCAAACTACAGCGAAGCAAAATGTCGATCGAAGCTCTTCCAGCAGAGATACTGGAGCTGGTGACAACACACCTCGCGACGTACGATCCACGGAGCCTCGTAAGCCTCGCCCTCGTCAACAAGGCGTTTTTTCGTTGGTGCAAGCCCTTGGTGAACACTCTCCTCTTCCATGACGCACATATCAGCATCACCCCGGCGGATTCGGTCCAAGGCAGCCGTGAATTCACTGAAAAAGCCAACAGCTATATTCGAAAGCTCGAAGAGAAAGGCGCTATGGCGTACGTTCGTCGACTGGTGATCGACGATTATTGCTGCGATATATGCGCAAATAATACTTTCTCGAATTTGCATTCTGTAGAGGGTTTGAGATGCGACATGCCTGGCCAGCCATACGTGCCATTCTACGAAAACTTGTCTTATCAACACGATCGCCGATACCGGCCTGTGTGGTGTGATGGAGAGTGTCTCCGTCGCTCTTCCAATCCGCCACAAACAGTTACCAGCTCTGATCCATCGATCTGGGAGCCGGTTGCTACATTGATCCAGAAGTTGACCCAGCTGAAGGATTTGGTATGGTTATGTGCTGAACGATTACCCCGCTGTCTGCTTGAGACGTTAGAGGAATGCCAGCCTAGGTGTAGGCTTCGGCTTCATTCACTCCGACTGGACACTCTCTATCATTACCCTGTTCTTCAAATCTTAACGACCCCTTTGTTGTACAGTGTCGTGCTCATACGGCAGGTCACTAGTTGGTATCGCCTCTCGGCAGGGTTTGATATGGAAGCTGCGGACACCGACTACTGTTTTCTGCTTTGGCTACGACTGGCCCCAAATCTAAAAGAGGTATACAATGCTGGCAATACCCAGCCCTGGATCACCGGAACAAGTGCGGGACCACCCATCAGCCTTCCATGGCCCCCAAAGTCTGAACTTAACCCACCTCCAACTAACGTGTGTGAATTGACGCATCTTCAAATTATCGATTTATGGTCAACCCTAGGAGCGTGGAAAGACCATACAGATTTTTCTGTCCTCGAAAGTCTGGTGGTAGAAGCAGGGGTAAACAAGAGAGCACTTAGCCTCTGGTCTTGTGAATGTTCATTTCCGTCGCTCCGCAGGCTAGTAATTTGCATGAAGCAACGTGAGCAGCCATTTGATTTTTACGACTTGGCGAGACAGTTTCTTTGTACTCTTCCGCCATTGGAAGAGCTTGAGATTGAAGGATGGCACTCGCTTCTTTCCGTGGAATCTATTGTGGAGCATCACGGACCTCGACTGCGAAGACTAGCTCTCCTCTACGAGCACCGCCATCACCAACGCTGTCTCACAGGGACTGAAATAAAAACAATTGCCAGAGCCTGCCCGCTCCTTGAAGAGCTAGCTTGCAAAATCCAGAGATCCCAAGGAGATGCCTCGGAGGTCGCTTCCTACCGAGCGTTGGGTACTATCAATCGCCTGAAATACTTGACCTTGTATCTTGCCGCATACGATCCCTCGTTAAACGGGGGTGAAGAGACAGAAGTGATAAATTCTTCCCCAATATGGGGAGGATGGGGGGACCCCTCTCATCCTGTGTCCTCAACACACAATTCTTGGGATAGATTCGACAACCGGGTCTCCTCCCACGACCTGGGCGGATACTTTCGCAGCCGCAATGGCCACCTTCGTCGGTTCATGATCAACAGTGCTGTGGATGAAAGTCTCGCCTGTGCAATCTTCAGAGTCGTTTCTTCAAGCAAGAACCAAAGTCCAGACACTCTACCTCTGGAAGGAATTAATATTCGCATAGACGAGCCAGAGAAAAATCGCATTTTTGCTCATTGCTGGCAAGTTGGGCGCATGCGAGACGGTTGCAAGGAGCTTTTCGCCCACGAAGCTGAGCTCACAGATGAAATTCGTCAGAGAAGAAGAATGCCGCTGCCGCTATGGCAAGAGATCATTTTTCGAAAAATATGGCCTATTAAAGATGAGCCCTGGCAGAGCAGTTTGCAATGGCAAAAGGAAAAAGTTTTATCAAAATGGTTGATTGGGAGTAGGACGGAAAAGAGGGAGAGAGAGACTCAGAACTCTGCAGGGCGCCATTGGTGGAAGGAATGGTCCAGTTTCCCTCTCGCAACGTCTTGAAGTAGTCGCAACTGGTACATTACTAAAATTACGATATATCAGTACATCCGTTTCCATATGATTCCTGCATGTGAGGATGGAAATGTAACAGCAGCAGTAGAAGGATAATGCAGATAATTATGGATATGCAAATTGAATAACGGGTTTAAATGAATTTCCTATCTGCCAATAAAATAAAAGAAACGTCTCATAAAATTATCTCCAGTCTAACTATATAGCTCCGTTAAATTAATTTCAACAAGCAGGGTTCATCATCTCCATAAACTTGTCTGCCACTCTGTACTCTGAAAAAGCGAAATTAATGCTCTCTAAATCCTGATATGCAAGGCAAAAGCATGGCTTCTCGAACGAGCCTAAGTGCTTCTCAAATAGGATCAATCACCAAACGTACGTCAACACTAGCCCTCAAAGTCAGGGCACATACATTCAATTTCGCAGTTACATCGTGCAAGCGAACGTAGTCGCACGTCAAAGCCGTGGCCGTTTGGGCGATCCCACCAGACAGTTTCAACCCCTGTCCTTTTCATCAGGAGCCACGCCACTCCCCTAACCATGCCCTTGCCCGCCCAGTCGAGTACCGTGTTTCCTTCGTCGTCTCTCGATTGTGGGTCAACATCATCTCGCTCTAGAAGTAGCCTTACTAAGGCAATAGCACCTCGTGCGGTAGCGTGTGATAAAGGCGTCCGTCCATGGTGATCCCTCGAATCAGCTTCCACATCCCGCCGGCCGAGGAGAACTTTGGCAATCTCCAAAGATGCTGACGCGTCATCATTAGTTGACGCTGCTAATGCAAGCGGCGTCTTGCCGTAGGCATCCCTTGAATTGGCATCCACATCATCTCTTCCCACTAGTAGCTTTACAACCTCAGGTTGCCCAAATCGTGCTGCTAGTGCCAATGGTGTTCGCTGGAATTTAGTTTCTTTATGGTCCACTTCAACCCCAGTCTGGCGTAGGAGCAAATTCACCAAATGCGTGGGACCATCAGTAGCTGCACATGACAGTGGCGTTAGCCCATATAAATTACGGCTTCTGATAGATGCACCGTGGTCTAGTAGCAACTCAGCTATTTCATAATTTCCGTATGAAGCAGCTATCGCAAGGGGTGTAGATCCTGTTCTATCCGTCTCATCCACCCTAACTCCATTACTCTTTAGCAAGAGCTTCACTGTCGTAGAATGTCCAGCCTCCGCTGCTAAGGCCAGTGGTGTTTGCTCCCATGAAGACTTTGAATTGACATCAACATTCTTGTTATGGCAGAGTAGCGTGTATAGCAAGTCGTTGTCATTTTCTATCACGAGCAGATGTAAGATCGTGTTTCTGCTATCATCTTCACATTTGGTATGTTGAGCTGATAACAATGGGACGAAATGTGGGAAGGAACGAATGCAAGACAATAAGTCCTCAGGACCAAGATGGTCCAGGATTAGAAGAATAATCTCAACTGGGAGTTCCTTCATTATAGAAGATCAAGTGGCAAGACAAATTTTGGGTTGATACAAGTCTATGAGATTATGGAAAATAGCATTCAGGCTTCGCCCGAGATTTTAGTGAGCCAGTCGAGCTTGGAACGTGACTTGACTACGGAAGTAACCATATATGGATTAGCGGATCTTGTCACCTAGGGAGCAACACAGTCCATGCCGAATTACATCGATGTGGGAACGGGAACAGTGTCATACTGAGGTAAACACCAGCGCTACGAGGAGGTGTTCAGGACGAGACAGCGGGTGAAGAATGGTTGCAACAAGCAATATTCACCCGATCTGGCCTGAGTGAATGTGTCGAGGAGTTAGGGTAACATTGTTGTTGTTATCTATTAACCTTGTACTGGCCCTATAGGCCACACTACTTAATTGTAACCCGCTGATACGGGGCTTGAGAATGACTTTAATCCTTTTCTTGACTATATAGATGTCGAGCTTGGTGGGACGAATGTAGCAGGTCGATTCTGCCGTGCCCCACCGCCTCAGCAACGTTCGACCGTTGACGACCGGCGAGTCTTGCCCCTTCTCCTGCTGCAGCTTCCACAGTCGTGTTTCGCTTCAATTCTGAGCTGGAACGATATCCTAACGGACACCATTACCATCGCACCGCCCTTCCTGACTGCGCCCCCGAAAAATCGCCGCTACTCCCAAACGGGAATTTTCCGCTTCCCGCGTCGACACCAAACCCGCGCTGAGAAACGGACAAGATGCCGAAATATAAGTACCCCCCAATCCATCAATACTTGGATCTGCAAGCTGACCGTCGCCGCACTCTTCTGTAGGTTTCCTTCTCCCTCCGAACGACCGAGCTGTGCCGTGTCAACCTGCCTCCGCGAAGGGCGCCACGCGACAGTTCCCCTATGAAACCAATCAACCTGCAATAGCAACCCATGTGAAACTGGCAGAATACTGACGTGTGCCCTGGATATGTAGGCGACTACTGCGATGTCTACCTCACGCACGACTCGATGAGCGTGCGCAAGGCGCATAATTCAGGCCGAAACCATTTGCGGAACGTCGTGGAGTACTATCAGCGTACGTCTTTCGAGTGTGCCACTCGCCAATTCCTTTGGTGGAAGACAGAGTTGTTTCTCGAGCTTGGCTGACAGTTCTTTCACAGAAATCGGCCAGGAAAAGGCACAGTCGGTCATCGATTCGATCACCTCTTCCTACGCTGCTGAGGGACAGCTTCCTCCGAATCCCGCCCTCGCTCCACCGGGAGCATTCCCGCCGCCATTTGGCTTTCCTGGTACGATGCTACAACCTTGCTTTTTGTGGAAGCAGACTGACCCAGTTTCCGTACAGGTCAACCAGGTCAAGTGCCTCCTCCTTTTGGAATCCCTCCTCCAGGTGCTCCCGGAGCTCCAGGAATGCTGCCTCGTACGTCTTCTCTCTCTCCACACCGCGAATATTTTGGTGTCTGACACTCGCTCAATAGCACCTGGTAGCCATGGTCTCCCCTTCCCTCCGCCTTTCCCCCCAAATGCCAGCGGCACTCCTCCTACTGGGGGTTTCCCGCCACCACCCTTCCCCAACATGCCCCCAGGTTCAGGATTTCCGCCGCCGCCAGGTGGCTTCCCGCCAAACTTCCAGATTCCCCCTCCTGGTGGGCCGGGCGGATACCCTCCACCGCAGATGCCGGATCAGCAAGGCCACGGCCCTCCTCCGGGTGCATCTGGCTCTCGTGGGCCGCCTACTGGTCCTCGCGGGTCAGAAGGATACGGTCCACCTCCGGGATCTGGAGACCGGTGGTGATGGTCCCTTTCTTTGGAGTTTTCTGCTTGGGCTAGGTGTTACTGCTTTCCTTCTTCCTTGGGTTTCGTCTCTATCTCGTTTTCCTTTCTTGTACTTCTGCCTTCACTGAATACCCGCTCCTCTCCCCGGTGCCAATCCTAGGAGAGAGAGCACTGACTGTGAAGCTTCCTCCTGGACTGCCTCAAAGACGAAGTCTGGTATGAATAGTCGGAATCGAAACATGACTTCTTGCAAATGAAAGGGTTGAATTGAGAGCGTGTCAGATGAAAAACACTATACCTAAGGTGGTGATCCCTCGATCACTGTTGTATAATACTTACGATCGTCCCTTGACTACGAAATGGAAAATATTTAGAGCGCGTCTACTCGCAGTGCAATTTGGCTGTTCAAAATGCAGTTGCAGTAAGATCGAGATTCCAATCGGTACTAGACTTGCAACTTTATTGTTACTTCCCTACTAGTGTTAGAATGTATTAGCTCTCCGTATTAGCTCTGAACTAACTGAATGATAATTCAAGTAGCCCGACTCCTATAAAACTGCATGATTGGTTTAAGTTAATTGGTGCGGACGGATCAACGTCAGCGACCCGGGGAGGAGGAGCCCCCGCACAGGAGCGAGCCACATTCGGGTAAAGTGCAACAACTCTCTCCATTGTCTCTGGCAAATTGATCACTATCCTCGGCCGTACACGGGTCCACATGACAAGCGGGGACCGAGAAACCACCATATCCACTACAATAGCTGGCGAGACGCCTATGTGACAACACACTAAGCCTGCGTTGAATAACACCGAGAACAATGACAGCCTTAGATGAGTCTTCGCCCCTGAGAGCTACTTTCCTGGGCGTGAGCACCATTCTCTTCGACGATGGAGTTGACTCGATCTTGATCGACGGATTCTTTACTCGGCCTTGGTACTTTTCCACACTACTCGGATCCATAAGCCCCAATGAGCAGAAAGTATCAGAGTGTCTCCAGCGAGCGGGTATTGATCAGCGTCTGCATGCGGTCCTTGTCGCCCACTCGCACTATGATCATGTTCTAGACGCTCCTACCGTTTGTAAAATGACTGGGGCAAAGCTTGTCGGATCCAGTTCTACGCAGCAGGTCGGTAAGGGGCACGGGCTATCAGACGAACAGATCGTTGTCTGTGAAGACCAGCAAAAAATCGGCTTTGGAAACTTCCAGGTGACCATCATTGAGGGCATACATTCCCCCGGCGATGTGGCACCTGGGGACATCACAGAGCCTCTGCAAACGCCTTGTTCCATGACCAAGTTTCGAACCGGCAAATGCTTCTCATTCTTTATTCAACATGGATCAACTCGCATCTTTGTCCACCCAAGCGCCAACTTCGTCCCCGGGAAGCTCTGCGGTTTTCAATCTCCCACGCTTTTTCTAGGCATTGGAGCCGTGGGTAAACAATCCTCTGATTTCCGAGAGCAGTACTGGGAACACGTTGTCCAGGCTATTCAGCCGAACCGAATTATCCCTATCCACTGGGATAATTTCTTCTATTCGTTGGATCGTCCTCTGTTTCCCTTACCTTGGTTTGCAGACACATTTTCGGTGACGGAAACATGGCTGAAAGAGGGATGTGCAGCTGCTGGGATTACCTTGCGTTTCCCAAAGTCGTGGGAAGTGATGGATCACTCGTATTCCAGTGAGTCACTGATCGCGACGAAGTAAGGACGTCGGAGCAAAACATGCCCGTGATTCCGTTTGGCTGTTGGTTGGGGCCGTATTATGTAAAGAAGGAGACCAGGACTGTCCGTTTATTCTGGTGGTGCCAATCATCCGTTGTTCTTGAATCTTCAAGACTTGATCTAGGGCTTGGCGCGGGACAATATCCTTCCGGTCGGCGCATCGGTCAACTATAACGGCGGAGCTAGGCTCTAAGCCCCTTTTATTTCCGCTCGGAGTCGGGAAACGACGAGAATTTTCTTTCAAATCAGGTGGCGTAGGAAGAGTACCGTTATCCTCTCTGGGATCAGGAACCGCTATTAAATCCATGGTTGTCCCCACTTCTTGAAAACTTCTCCTCTACAGCATCCTCACATTCATTCCAGCGGCTCGTTCATTTCCATACAATCATGGATAGCGAGGCGGCCTCCACGAAAGTGCCTAGCATGGCACCGTCGGAGAATGATCTAAATGAAAAGACTGCCGCAACAACATCATCCCGCCGCTCGTCCACAGAGGCGGGCCCAGAGCTGGAGAATATCAGAACCACCGCCTCAAAGGAAGGCCGTAGTGATGTCGCCCCAATCGAGCAGACCATCAGCCAACAGCGCCGGAGTAACGAAGCTGGAAAGGAATATCCAACAGGTCTGAAGCTGGCCATCATCATCATCGGTCTGGAGCTGGCCGTGCTATGCGTCGCCCTCGACAACACAATCATCGCGACTGCTATCCCACGCATCTCAGACGACTTCCATGCTCTCAACGACGTGGGTTGGTACGGATCAGCATATCTCCTCACCGTCTCGGCCTTCCAGCTCTTCTTTGGCCGCCTGTACACCATCTTCAACATCAAGTGGATCTTCCTGCTCGCCCTGTTCATATTTGAAATTGGCTCCTTAATCTGCGGCGTCGCTCCAAGCTCCACGGTTCTCATCGTCGGCCGCGCCATCGCCGGCCTAGGCGCCTCGGGTCTTTTCTCAGGCGCCTTGATCATCCTCGCACACAACACCCCTCTCGAAAAACGCCCCCTCTACACCGGCATCATCACCGCCGTGTACGGCATCGCGAGTGTGGTCGGCCCGCTTCTCGGCGGCGTGTTCACTGACCACGTCACCTGGCGCTGGTGCTTCTATATCAACCTGCCTCTCGGCGGCGTCACAGCCGTTGCGCTACTCTTCTTCCTCAACTCACCCCCTCAAGGACCCAAGGTGACCCGGACCTGGCGCGAGACCATCGCCATCTTCGACCCGGTCGGCACAGTCCTGTTCCTACCCTGCATCATCTGTCTGCTCCTCGCGCTGCAATGGGGCGGCACGACATACCCATGGAGCGACGGGCGGATCATCGCGCTCTTCGTCGTCTTCGGCATCCTCATGTTTGCATTCATCGGAGTCCAATTCTGGGCCGGCGACAACGCCACAGTCCCGCTCCGCATCGCGAAACAGCGCAGCATCGCCTTTGGCTGTTTGTTTGCCGTCTGCATTGGCGCTTCCTTCTTCATCATGGTGTACTACGTCCCGATCTGGTTCCAGGCTATTCGCGGCGCGTCGGCCATGCACTCCGGTATCGACACCCTGCCCATGCTGATCGCAGTCACCCTGGCTAGCATCTTCGCCGGCGGGACTGTCTCGATGATGGGGTACTACACACCGTTCATGTTTGCGTTTGTCGTGGTGGGATCCATCGGCGCGGGTCTGATCACGACGTGGACAACCGACACCTCGTCCGGCAAGTGGATCGGATACCAGATTCTCTACGGCTGGGGGATAGGCATGGGTCTACAGCAGACGCTGGTCGCGGCACAGACAGTGCTGCCTTTGGCAGATGTGCCAACGGGAACGGCGCTCATCGTGTTCGCGCAGATGTTCGGCGGCGCGCTGTTCGTCAGCGTTGCGGAGAACACCTTCACGAATAACCTCGTCTCGGGACTGGAGGGGATTCGTGGCATCGACCCCAAGGCCGTGGTCCGTATGGGCGCCACCCAAATTGGATCCTTGATCAAGGACCCGGGTGTTTTGCATACGGTCCAGGTTGTTTATAATGATGCTCTCATGAAGGCGTTCCAAGTTGCGCTTATTATGAGCTGTCTCTGTCTGTTTGGTGCGGCTGGTATGGAGTGGAAGAGTGTCAAGAGCAAGAAGACGGAGGCTGCACCACCGGCTTAGAAGGGTCTGGTTTCTTTTCAAGAATGGAATGGGCGTATTCCTCGGTATAGAGTGGTTGGACATGTATAGTCTCGCTAATAGATCAACTCAACTCAGGAAGGAGCATGGAGTTTGCTTTCAACTGTTGTTACGTTATGAACCATATAATATGTACGATAATTAATAGCTTAATGCTCGATTTTGATCATCAGTCAACTCTGGAACCGGGACTCGGAACACTACACTGCGTAAAAATACTGCTACAAATCCACTAACCGGCACTGAGATGCCATACTCATGATTGAACAAAGTTGGAAGATGAAATTTCTTATTTCACTGATAACTGTAAGTCCACAAAACAACCAAGGCCGATATCCATATCCCAAAATGCAACAGGAACGCCGAGTTGTAGGTAGTAGAGACAGAGAAGTACAGGGGCCACGAGGACCGCACGAGCGAGGAAAAAGTCAAGGCAGGAAAGGCAAAGGAAAAAAAAAAGGAAGGTCAGGCGTAAAAAGTGTTTGAAAAGATATGGCTGACACCAAAAATGGCGGGCCAGGTAGAAAGGAAAGCGGAAAGTGAATTCAAACAAGTCGGTATCAGTACACCCGAGAACACGACACAAAAGACAGAAAGGAAGAACGACAAAACCGGACCCAGAGAGAGGATGGCGAATGAAAAGATTCAGTCCACCCCAGTCTCGCGCTAAAAACAACACATATCTTCATCTAAGAGGATTTGGGAGATCACCACCACGACACAAGGAGACCTGAGACCACAGTTTTAGTGGTCGTACCCAGCTCCTCGTTGCCATGGGCTTGAGTTGTTTTGAGCCCTGTAGGTTGTCGTCAAGGCCGAGGCGCCCACGGGGCCATCGTAAGGCGAGGGCGAAGCGGTCCGGTACTGGTCGTAGCCGGGAGGAGGACCACGGCTGCTAGGGAAGAGCGGCACCGATGGGTCCACGGGCGATGCCGGAGGCTGGCGAGCATCGTGGGGATGAACGCTGGCGCCATTTCCACTGGAGATGGACGCATGGTCATCCTCGAACGGGTTGTGCTGGTATCCTCCCTTGGGCTCGTTGCGGGCAGTCGCACCTAAGGCATCCAACTCGGTGTTTAGTTGAGTTTGCGACTTGATGAAGGAGCCACGGTCATCCCGCATCGGCTGGTACCGCGTATCCGGGTTCTTCGAAAAGACGGCATAGCCCGCAGAGATCAGAACAAGGACTAGAAGAACTAGAGCAAAGACCGCGTTGTAGACGAAGAAAATGACGCCCATAACACCCATGACCATGCCTGGCGGGTTAAACACGTCGGAAAAGACGAGAAGGAAGATCGCGTTGAGGAAATTGACTGCCGCAATCGAGATATTGAAGACGTTGGTCTTCTTATCCATCCATGGGCGGAGAACGGAGACACCGACTAGCATGCCTGCCTCGAGAATGACTAGAGCGACGGTCTGAACGACGGGAGCGGGCTGGCTGAGACCAATGAACATTCCCTTGACGAGGATGTAAAATAGAACTGGCACAACAAAGTAGTATGCTGTCGCACGGTACTGCACGTAGAGGAAACCCCATTTGTTGAGGGCGGTAGGATCCGAGTATAGGATATAGGCCGGGTTTTTGTGAAGCATCACCGAGCGTTTAGCTAGCCGGATGACCTTTTGCGCCGCCCAACCAAGCACAATTAGCAAGGAGAGGATCATGACCACCGCTAGGACGACTTCGGCGGGCGAGTCCCGCTGAGTGAATTCCCACATGCAAAGAACACACATTTGGGGGAAGCCAATCAGCGCCATTCGGAAAAGAATGCCACGAAGGACGACCTTCCAGCCATTCCGGAAGTCTTGGAACTTGTCGCTCTGCATCTTGCCATGCTTAACAAGCAATTCGCAGATCCCCTTGAATGACGTAACGATAATCATGACGAGGACGACGAAGACCACAAAGAAGATGAGACCGGTCAGGAAGACATTGGTTTCTTCGATGTTCGCCTTGAATCCAACACGACCAATACCCCGTACAACGACGAGTTGTTGGTTGCCCGAGTTGTCCCTCCTCATTAGAAACGAGGCCCCCCTCTTAGCGAGCGACACCATCGAGGCCGGGGCCCCTCTTTTAGCGAACGAAACCATAGTATCCATCATCGGGTCAATCACATCACGCTTGCGACGCTTGAGAACCTCGACTGACGTAGTCGAAAGTTTGGATAGTAGAGTCGTGGGAGTTCCACCGGTGGATCGTTGATACCAGGTACAAATGGTTTCGAGAAAGTCCACATGGATGATTCCCATACTCCATTGGAAGTTCTGGGTCCATGCTTCCACGATCGGGGGCATGTGAACTGAAGTCATGCCCATCATTGCTTGGCCCTGCATGAATCCGAAGAGGGAGAGGGCATTGGCAGCAACGTGGGCCGCCGTGTTGGAATGTCCTAGTCCAGAAGTGATAGCGGAGGCTGCCAAGCCTAGACCGGAGATAATCGCAGTAACCCAAGCGACTGATTCTTGGTAGACAGTTTTGCCGTTGGAAAGCGAAGCTTGTACACACGCAATCTTCTCTCTGGTGTCCTTACTAAGAAGGACGACCTGGACGTTCGCATCGAGATCGGGAACAGTGTATGCGATACCTTGCAAATGTCATTCGTCAGCATATTGGAATTTTCAGGAGCAAGACTGCATGACTTACTGGGAATGCCTTCAATTGTCGACTCGGGAATCGGGATATGAATGGGGGGAGGATCGATGGCACCTGCGGGCATCGGACACAATTTCACACCCTGGTCCTGGAAGGAGCAAGGATCGATGCTCTTCTGCACTACCGTGTAGCCATAGGCAGTGAGGGTGATCTCAGCCAGGATCTTGCCCTTGACTGCTGACACACCCTTGAAATCAAGCTCCAAGGTTTTGTTTCCGGGATAGAACATCACATGGAAGTAGGTTGCGGTAAAGTTGCTGCTCTCCATGCACACACTGAGCGCATCGGACTCGATGAAGTCGACCGCTGATGCCAGCGGCGCCAGGAAGGCGACGAAGTAGGTGAGAAGCGATATTAACCGCATGATGGCGGTTTGTGATTAAGAGTTGAGTCACCGGTGGGAGGGACGAGGAGGAGGGGGAGAAAGGGTGAGCGAAGAATATGACAGCCGGGTGCCGGGTACTCCAGTACCACGTTGCGGACGGCCGGATGCGGAAGTCTCAGGAAGTGATGGGCTCTGCCAGTGTGACCCGATGCGAACGATATCCGGGCTGATCACACCACGAATCTGGGGTGTCTCTTTCTTTCCTTTCAAGTCGAGGATTATCGCGGGGTGTGGTGGTCACCCTTTACGGCGTCATCGAACGGCTTCAGTCGAACAAAGATCGCCAGGCGACCAACGGGCGCAGAGTATAGAACGAGAGTAGTCGGACGCTAGAGGTCCCAGGATGAGCGAGGGAGGATGCGGGCCTTTCTCGAAGCCGGTAGTGAAAGCGAGTGAATGGCGACGGTCCGTCCGGGAAGGGATGGGAGGTCGCAAGAGCGGCGGGTGATCAAGGGGGGAGGGAGCAGGGAGGTTCGGGAGAGTTGACAACGACGAGTATTCCCCAGGAGTGTCGATCAGGAGAAGAAACGAAAGAGAGAAAGGCGAGCGAGGGGATCGATCGAAGGAGAAGGGGCGTTGTTTAGATTTTTGTTTTGGGGCAAAAGTGAGGGAACGAGCGAGAGTTGGATTGCAGCAGCAGATTGTCACTGCAGGGGACAGGAATGTGTATTGCTGACCCGTATTTTTACCGAGGCGCCCATCCCTCGGCCAATCAGCGTGGAGCGGTGCCGTATTGCAGCGGCTGCACGAGTCAGCCACTTTCGTGATCCTGGTCCGTTTTCTTCATTGTATCTATCGGTCTCATAGAGTTTAATTCCTCTCTCTCACGGAATCATCCTTCTGCTCCCAATGAACTACCAACTCCTGCACGACGGTCTGGGATACGCGCGTTCAGGACTGGACCCCGGAAGCGGACGATGGAGCGTGGCGGGCTCCAGCGGGTCAGTGACGCCTTGAGATTTGCAGAGACTGGGGATTATCTCAGCGGTACCAGAGGAACTGTGGTGGTGGGTCAGTCCCCTTCAGGACCGTTCGCGGTCCTCTTTTTTGACATGGTCTCCACCTGGTATTTCTTCTGCCTGCTCTTCCGCGCGGTTGGCGTAATTACTTCCTACGGAGAGCGAGCGATGGATCCTTCAACTCGTTCAAAGAAAGCGGAGATGTACCGATGCTGACCGGGCTAGAGTAATTAACTACGTATCCGTATTCGAAGCAGATCGAGCCGACCGACGGGACTACTAGCCACAGAGGCTAGTCGTTAGACTACCCGGGGGGACACATTGAGTCTAGATCGTCGAATGGGTGAATTGGTTAGGATATTATTTGAGCACATCGCTCTTGATGTAAACGAACTGCATAAATACTCAGGCTGTCCAAACGGAAATACGTGCCCGGCCACCGCCAGTAGTCGCAGTGGACCTGGTGGTGCAGGGGCGTCGCAATCTAATTTACCACGGGACTTGCACAGCCTCCTTGGCGATTGCAACGAGACCTACTGCCGAGAAGTCCAGGCTGCGACGATGCTCTAAGCATGATTCAGGGGAATGCCATTGTGAGACGAAATGTCTCAACCATTCCACCTTTCTAGAGACACGATTCTCCATGCGTAGAGAACACCGATTTACACGCCTAATTTACGAGGAGCGCTGATCTGCGGCGGAGAGTGCGCGGCATGACGTCGGGTCGGTGGTCGGACAGCAACGCCATCCCCATATGTAGGGGGTCTGCACACGCAGAACAGGATCGTGATGGTGTCTTCGGGTATAGCAGTCACTACATGGTCGCATGATCGGGGCATGGATCAGGGGACGGACTGCGGCATCTGACCCATGGGTACTCACCGGGTTATTTTTGGCTCTGAAAATTCGGTGTCGCTGACTGTACCCCTGGCTCGGCCCGGATCAACTTGGGCCACCTCCCCCGGGCAGAATTAATCATTTGATGCTCCTAGAAGAACATCTGTGGCTGAGCAAAATAGATCTCTGGAGGGGAATGCCTAATTCGGCATTTATTGTCTTAAGGAGGATTGTTTTCTGGGTGGACACCGCCCCACCTCATAGAGTAGTAGTGTCGACAGCATGAAGCTTTCTCTCTGCGATCTCCCCAACTTGCCCCTCCCATGTTGGATATAGGATGTTCTTAATGAGGGTCAATTTCCAAATCAATGACTTGTTGACTACTCTGTGTCCTATGCAGGCTGATTGGTTTGTATTGTAAAGTGGATGTGAGCGTGGTAAGTGAGCGGTATACATATCCACATTGCTAAGATATATATGTATTGTTGCGACCCAAAATCAGCATGTTTAACCCCACCAAGGATAAACCATTTCATCCATATAAACACCTTCAGTAATAGTTTTCAACACCGGTGCTTTGGACCTCTTCATCCAACGTTCCATTGTATAGGGTGGATCAGGCAGACGAATTTTTGTGTTGGAAACCGTTTACTACAGAATAGGGGACTCCTGAGTGTAAACAATGGTATAAAATGAGAACCACCGAATCTCCGTTTAATCGCGATCATACTTTGATGTATACCCTAATTTAATACATCGTAAAAGTCCCAGATTTGACACCCCCAAAATCAGGCACCACATACAATCGTCCTATCAGCACGTGATGTGGAGTTTTGCCAGCGAAAAAAAAAAGTTGTTCCGCCTGGACTTTTGACTCGTGATTGACTCGAGCGAGGCTATTTCCTCCACACACCCGACCTTTTGCATTATCACCTGGTTCGCTCAATCATACTACCCCATTGCCGGACCAAATTCCACAATGGCCGGCCCTGTCGACGCACAGTCGATCTCCAAGAAGCGGAAGAGAAAGCACGCCGTAAAACCGGCGACAGACAATGCCCCGAAGCCGGCGACCGAGACAGATGCACGCTCGCCCGCAACGGTGAAGAAAGCTACTGCACCTGCTACAAAGACTGCGGTTGACAAGTCGACTAAGAAGCGCAAAGTGAGCCAATCGCCAAGTGACGACGAAAGCGACGCAGACGAGCACGCCGATGAGGAGGAGGAAGAGGAGGAGGAGGTTTCAGCGAACGGAAATGGCGCTGCTACGGATCTTCCTGCCATGGACGACGTTACCCTTCCCCAGACGGGCGCCGAGCTGCAGAAGTTCACGGAGCTGAATCTCTCGGAGAAGACCATGCAGGCGATCAACGATATGGGCTTTGAGACGATGACCGAGATCCAGCAGCGTACCATTCCTCCACTGCTGGCAGGCCGGGATGTTCTTGGTGCTGCCAAGACGGGCTCTGGAAAGACGCTGTCGTTCTTGATTCCTGCCGTGGAGATGCTGAGCGCACTACGATTCAAGCCTCGGAATGGTACTGGTGTCATTGTCGTGTCTCCTACCCGTGAACTGGCGCTACAGATCTTTGGAGTCGCCCGAGAACTCATGGCGCACCACTCGCAAACGTATGGAATTGTCATCGGGGGTGCCAACCGACGGGCTGAGGCGGACAAGTTGGTCAAGGGTGTCAACCTTATCATTGCCACGCCCGGCCGTCTTCTTGATCACCTGCAAAACACACAGGGATTCGTGTTCAAGAACCTCAAGACCCTGGTTATCGATGAGGCGGATCGGATTCTGGAGGTCGGATTCGAGGATGAGATGCGACAGATCGTGAAGATTCTACCGTCGGAGGAACGCCAGACCATGCTGTTCTCTGCCACTCAGACCACCAAGGTCGAGGATCTGGCACGGATATCCCTGCGACCCGGTCCGCTGTACATCAACGTCGACCACCGCAAGGAACACAGCACCGTGGAAGGCTTGGAGCAAGGATACGTGGTCTGCGAGGCCGACAAGCGCTTTTTGCTCCTGTTTTCCTTCCTCAAGCGTAATTTGAAGAAGAAGATCATTGTATTCTTCTCGAGCTGCAACTGTGTCAAGTACCACGCCGAGCTCCTGAACTACATCGACCTGCCCGTCCTGGAGTTGCACGGGAAACAGAAGCAGCAGAAGCGCACCAACACCTTTTTCGAATTCTGCAACGCCAAACAAGGCACTCTGATTTGTACCGACGTCGCCGCTCGTGGCTTGGATGTTCGTTTCCCGCTTCCCCCTTTCTGTTTTTGAACCCCTGCTCATTTCCTGATGATAGATTCCCGCCGTCGACTGGATCATCCAGTTCGATCCCCCCGATGATCCCCGTGACTACATCCACCGTGTCGGACGAACCGCCCGCGGTGCCGACGGCAAGGGCCGCAGCCTGATGTTCCTGCAGCCATCGGAGGTTGGGTTCCTGAAGCACCTGAAGGAAGCCCGCGTGCCCGTCGTCGAGTTTGAGTTCCCGGCGTCGAAGATTGTCAACGTGCAGTCTCAACTGGAGAAGCTGATCGGGCAGAACTACTATCTCAACAAGGTACGTTTTGATTTGTCTTGGCTATTTTCAATACTAATCCACTCCATCTAGTCGGCCAAGGAAGGATACCGGTCGTACCTCCAGGCGTACGCCTCGCACTCGCTGCGGTCGGTGTTCGATGTGCACAAGCTGGACTTGGTCAAGGTGGCCAAGGGCTTTGGATTCTCTACGCCGCCGCGGATCGACATCCAGCTGGGTGCTGGCCTGAGCCGGGACAAGAAGCAGCAGCAGCAGGGTCGGCGCACGTACGGCAGCCAGCCGAACAACAAGGGGCTGAAGTTCAAGCGGAAGCATGACGATTGAGTCTCCAAAAGCATTTTCTTTGTGGCGTTCCGTGGATACTTGAATATAATGAAGTCTGTACAACCTCTGTGGTTATCCGTGCCCGATGGATATGTACATTCCTGCCTCCATGCATACTTCGTAGAATAAAACCATGTGGACACGAGGATATCTCCCACGTGACACGTTCCAGCCCCAAATCTTCAATGTGATGAGTTGGCAGACGCTGGGGCCAATGATGGATCTCGGCGTCGTCAGGGCGACCGTGACGAACCGGTTCTTGGTTGGTGCGGGTCGGACGGGGGAGATGCGGTGTGACGGGCTGTGTCTGTGGAGGTATCGTGGGAGTGTATCATACATAGTGGCAGAGCCAAATAGGACGGAGTGAGAAGACCTAAACGACGGCCAGCGAACCACGGAACCGCAGCAGATCCCGTTTGTTTACTATCACAAGTACTGTTCAGGTACTCTTTGTAGGGTGGGCCCCGCCCCCAGTGACCTACCCGGTACCTCGGGTGCCAGCGCATCCAGCCATCTTCTTTTCCCTGCCTGGAGGCTGGGTCGTAGTTTGTCCCTCTTGAGAGCTTTCATGCATTCATCCATCCCTCCTTCTCTCTCTGTCTCTCTATCCCTCGCGTCTCTTTTCTTTCTTTCTTCCCTCCTTCCCCCCCCCCAGCCCCAGCCCAATCGTCTGGTCTCATTGAATGTGAGGGATCGGCGCACCTGCTCGTTCGTCCCCTCCCAGACCGACGTTGCTTTTCCCTCTCGCCTCTCCCCTATCTGCCATTTTCATCTCTTCTCTACACCATTCAGGTGCTTGCGCTGGTACGCCTCAACTCCTGTCAAATACCAATATCCCCCGGGAATCCTCTCAACCCGTCTTCTCCCTCCCTCCTCCCCCAACACCACACACCTCGTGTCGACAAGCACGATTACACATCAGTCCGGGACCAGCCCTCCTGCATCCCCCTCCTCTATCGGCTGCAACAGAGCATGCGATTGCGGGCCTGAAGACGCCGTCTCCATCATGGGGGTCGACACCCGCAAACCGATCCTACCCGCTCCCACGGAATCCATTATCGATACCGGCGACAGCGCTGAGGGCACAGATCTAGCAACTGACCTTTCTCGCCGCACAGACAAGACGTCGTACTCTATCCCAGACGACGGCAGCCCAGTTACGGTCTCCACTCGTCGCCATCGGGACCGCGACGACTCCAAGCTGTCTCGTTCGCACCGGGACTCGCAGACCTCTCTGCTGATCGAGTACTTCGAGGGCGGCAAAGGATCAGGCGCCGTGGTCTCCCGTCCCAGTGTGCGAGTTCGGGTCACACCCTCATCCGCTAGGAAGTCCAAGGACCGACGAGAGCACATCCAGATCACCGAGTCCGGCTCCAGTCGCAAACCGTCATACACGCGGCGCATCTCGCTGACGCCATCGTCCAAGCAGAAGAAGCTGTCCGAGGCGGATGACCAGAGCGTCAGCTCCTCCAATTCTGCTGTGGAAGAGGGCGATCAGTCCTCCCCTCGGCGTCCGCCAGTCGAGATCGAATTTGTCAACAATCGAGACCAGGGAAGCGAGCTTTCCACTGTTTCGCGTGACACCAGATACATGCCTGTCGCATCTGACGTTTCGTCCATGCCTCCAGACAGCATGGTGGAAGGCACCTCGTCGGCCGGTCCGCGGCGGAAACGCAGCCAGAGCCTCGAGAGAGGCTCGGCCCGCGAAGACAAGGGATTCCTAAAGACGCCATCTCGACAAAGAAGCCGCAGCCTGAGCACGGAGCGAATTGCGCACCTCGCAGCAGAAAAGCTCAGCGGATCGCCTCAAGAGGCCTCCAGCGGCAAGCACCGAACCAAGAGCGGCAGCAAGGATTACTTGGAAGCCGAATCGAAGCCATCCCGTCGACGACGCCATGCACACAAGGATGAAGACGTCGTCCCCAGTGTTGAGTCGAGCCTTTTGAGCACATCTGCGGTCTCCTCAAACCGCAGATCTGACCAGTACTCGATTCGATCCGGTGCCTCCAAGTCCTCCATCAACAACCCGAAGCTGCTCGAAACGGTCGAGGATGCAATCCGAAGATTGATTCTGCCCGAGCTCAAGGAGCTCAAAAAAGATCAGAAGGTCATGTCGAATAAGTCCAAGTTTGACCGCGATATGACAACATCCTATTCGTCTACCAGTTCCAGAGATGAGTTGGGCCGACGCCTCTCCAAACATGCGAGCGCACCAGATGTCATGAAACCCAAGGTTGTCTTGAACAGGGACAGCAAAGACGAAGGCATCATCCTCGCGGGCGACTCTACCCGAAGCAAGGATCGCAAGTCGAGCAAAAGCAGCGAGACTTCCGATCCGGCATTTCTGAAGATGGCCAATCGGCCCGAGCTCACCGAGAGCGACAAAATTCGACGACAGCGGAGCAAAGGTCTTCGTGATGCTCATGCTGCTGGGCTCGTGGGTACGGCCCTGACGGCAGCTGCATTGAACCATCACGACTCCAAATCCAGTCTCGACAAGAAGGAACGCCGGAGGAAGAAGAGTGGTTCTCGGAAGAGTAGTGGAAGCTTCAACGAGACCGAGCTCGTCTTCCAGAAACACAAAGTGCCTCCCATGCCGATGCGCAGCGAGATCGATTCGGAATTGACCCGCGACTCCCTCCTCTCCCAGCGTACTGAAAGCCCTACTCCTCGGAAGAAGAAATCACAGGTGGAGGAGGTCCTTCGAGGTTCGCCAAGACAGCTTTCAGTGTCTCCGAAATCCCGCACTCCGACCCGGGCACCTCTCAATACTCTGGGTATGCGCCACAACAACCAGTCGTCTCACCACATCTCGACACACAGTGGCTCTGACCGTGACTTGCCTGCGAAGAGCGGGTCCCCCGGCACTGACGCTGATGACTGGGCCATTGCTGCAGCCGCGGCGGCCAACCTCCTCGATGCTGCCCAGCCGGGAGATCACACGCCAGAGGGCAAATATTTTGACGAGGGCGCTGGCCGAGCTTTGAGCCCAATCCAGAGTGTTGCTAGTGACCAGACAGAGACGCATGCTACGCATCATCAAGCTCAGTACGAGAAGCAGGCTGGCTACGAAGGCCCGCGAGATATTGAGCCCCGGCTTTCCATCGGCTCCCTTTCTTCGGCACCCAGTACCAACCTGGCGCGTTCCACGCAGAAAGATGGACAGGCGGGCCCTGCATTCCCTTTTGAACGATCACGCCGAGCTTCGGAAGATGACATGTACGGCCCTGACGATGACGCCAGACACTCGATGCTCACAGACGCCGACAGCGACGTTAACTATCTTGACAAGATCAAAGAGGGCCAACATGTCGCCGACGGTGCCGCAGCCAACCCTGAGTTTGTTCATCCGGTGGGAATCGAATCAGCCGTTGCCTCCTTGATGGACCCTTCCGTCCTGGAATCGCAATCGACCCAATCTGGCAATCGTTCGCAGAGCGACCTGGTAGAGCGAGGAGTCAGTCGCAGCCCGGAGAAGCCAGCCAGCGAGGGATATCGTAGCAGTCCTCTGAAGCAACGCCAGGATGCTTCCAGTCCCGATGATACTTCCTTCCCACGACGTATTGGAGCCACCTCACCCCCGCAAAGTGTTACCCAATCTATCGAAGAACTTGATGAGGCAGCTCTCCTTGGTGCCGGTGCAGCCGGTGCAGCTCTTGCTGCCCGTGGAATGGAGAGTCCAGTTGGAGATGGAGCTCGCAGCCTAGACTCCGAGTCTGAAATCAACACCAACCCCTCAATCATCCAGGGACCCATTGGCGGCGCCACCCAGGGAAGCAGAGACCACTGGGCGTACGACTCTCGGTCACCCGATCGAGTTCCTTACTACGAATCTGCTGCTGCCCAGGCCACTGGACTCAAGAAGCTGAGCTCCGAACAGCAGCGAGGACTCGATGCGGAATACTACCAGACCGCCAGGGACATTTTTGGTGACGATGATGTTTATGGGCCAGATGACCGTGCTGCAGCTCGACAGTTGTTTGGTACGCCACCGGGAGCTAAGGACGAGGGCTATGTGTCGGCTGCCAATCCTATGTCTCCAAGCATTGGCACTCCCAAGCAAGGCACTAGAGGCGTTGGCGGCCTGGATGCTGCGGGTATGGACGCATTTGACAGCCCTGCTTCAGCAGATGATCCTTTTGTGCCCGGTCACCAGAGACACCTGAGCGGTTTCTCCCATGGTGTTGGCTTGCCTCTTTATGATAGCGCAACCGGCCGTGGCATCGAGAGAATCCAGTCTCAGGACATCGTTGCTCTTATGGACCATGTAAGTTGACTTTTCCCGCTTCATTGTTTTGAAAGTGCTAACACACTCTTCCAGCTCACCGTTCGTGACGCGCAGCGCAATGCCAGGGACACCGAAATCCTTGTCACTCTGGTCCGAAGTGCAGCGGAAATGCGCACTTCCTTTGAGCAGATGAAGAAATTCATTGCTCAGCAGGATGATCTCATCATGGAATCCAGCGACAAGCAACACGAACGTACTCAAAAGGCACTCGGTGGACCTCGGCCTTTGCCTCCCAGTGGGTCCAGGCCCCGTGGGCTCAACATGGAAGATGGCGAAGATGCGCAGTCGAAGCGCAAGAATGTCTTCAAGCGTGCGCTCAAAGGACTGAGTCTCAAGTCGGGCAATGACTTGACCAAGATTGAGGGGATGCTCGAACAGCTACTGGAGGAGGTCGAGATGCTGCGGGCAGAGCAAGGCCTGAGCCCTCGCAATGGTGCTGCTGGCTTGGCAGGTCTTGACCAGGACTACTATGAGCCCACCGGTCCTGGCGCGACAACTCCAACAAAAAGCCCCGCTGCCTATTTGCCCAATACCCCTCGACCAGCCAATGGACAGCGCAGAGACTCGGACCGGGTTAGTCCTGTTCATCAGGCGGACGACGAGGATGTTGAGCTTGATGACGACGACGTCTACATGACTGAGCATCTTCCTGTACAGGAACCAGCTCGTCATGAGAGAGCTGGATCTTTGCCACTGGCACTTGCCACACCTCCTCGCAAGCCAGTGGCCTCTGGTGTTCGAAGCACTGAGACAACTCCCCAAGCAGCTGACAAGTCACGGAAGCACAAGTCGAACAGCTCGTCGATCTTCCCCAAAATCTCTCGCTGGTCCAAGACCACTGCTTCAACCTTTAGCGACAACTTCCGGAGCAGCATGCAGCCTGGCCGAAAGGAGCGTCCCTACTCGGAGGTGTCTCGCTCTGGGTCTGATCTCGCCGACGACGCCTATAAGGCTGACCATTACGATCCTCGTGGCGACGACCGCATCAGGTCCACATACACATTGGACGACAACCTGCAGCAGGAGAACCGTCCGCCATCGCCGTTGGTGCCATCCCAGGTCTCCGAGGCTCCCAAGTATCGTGCGCACCGAGGAAGCCTTGATCTCCAGCATCCTCAACCGCGGCAGGGCCCCACCGGCCGATTCCAGACGCACTTGGAGTCCCAAGCTCAAACATACGGGTCTCCCGTGTCCCCGACCTCCGACCAGTGGGCAGGATCAAACCCCATCCTGGCCGCAGTCCACCCCAACCAGAAGCGCTACAGTGGTGTCAGCGGCGGCAGTCGACTTTCCCCCATTTCGGATACGGGCCATTCCGAGACGAGCTCTCGCGCCACAGGCCCGCCCCGACCACCAAAGGTCAAGGATGAAGGACCTCTCATCCCTGAAAGACCGCCCAAGGTCCGGGAGGACGAGACAGGTGCTTATGGAGGAGACCGTATTACATCACGGGTATGTATTCCTCGCCATGCCACTTCATCGATCCACCTTCACGGTATTCAAGACTAACATCCATCCCATCAGAGCTCCGCCATGCGCCCCGCTTCCCAGCAAACAACACCCCCAGCCCGCAAACCAACGGGTCCTCGGCCCTTGAACTCCAGTGGCACTTACAGCCCGAGCAATATCAAGCGCACGCGCTACCGAGGCAGTCCGACGCAGATCGATTACGAGGACGACTATTGAAGACACAACTTAGTGCGATTGATAATACCCTGGAGTGCTTTTCTCCCTCTTGCTTTCTATCTATCCATCTAGCGATTTTTGGTTTCTTATGACAGTGATGACCGTACATCTTCGTGTTTTAGCCCTTGCCTTGCCGTCTTGCCGTCCCTTTTTCTGAGGGCAAAAATCTTCTTGTGCTATTTTACTTTTCTGTTAATAGGCATGGGGATGAGCGGGTGATCTATGTTATGTATCTCGTCTGGTGTCTATCTTTCTTCGTCGGTGACATATTTGAGAAGACCTGATGTTACTTGTTCGGTACAGACTTTGTTGTTGTAGATAGGACATCCGAAGTTGTCGATAGTGGGCTCCAGCGCAAGGTGCTGATCTACGAAGCACTAATTACTCTACCTGGTCAATGCATCTAAACCTTAAAAAGAGTGTATCCACAATTCCCATCATGAGTAAAGCATAGCTCTTCAACACCACGCCTAGTCTATAAAGTAACACCTTCCCTCATCCACCAATGATCCACAACACAGCGAATAACCATACCATCCCACCAACTCCCTCAAAGAACCACCTAACGCTACATATCAGAAAACGGCCGCACAGAAGTAACTCCCCTCCCTCGAACAGAATACGGCGCCGCCAAATCCCCCGTCTCACTAACAGGGAACTTGCCCGGATAGCTATCCACCGAGCGATACTTCGACGAGCGCTTCACCTGCAACATTGACGAGTTGTCACTCGCACTAACCCACGACGACATCGACGGACGGCCGGGGTCACTGTGGAACGTGCGCAGTGACGAGCCGGGGGACTCGCGCGGCGGCGGTGTTTCCGGATCGTCGTCTGAGAAGAGATGGAAGACGGGTCCGCACTCGCAGTCGCCGCCTTCGGCTTGTTGCAGGATCGAAGCCATGCTTGGGGGTGGCGGGAGCGGAATCGGCCAATACATGTCTGCTTCTCTCTGCTGGTGAGTTGGCGGGGTGACCATGACAGAAGGTCTTGACAGGCAAGGCGAAGAAATATATTCCTGGACGGTGACGTAAAAAGAACCGTTCTTTAGCTGTTCTCCGTCTCCGCTCTGCGAGGGAGGCGGAGGAGTACTGGGATCGAGGCGGAAAGTGTGATTGTTCTCTGCTGAAATGGAGCGCTCAGCCGCTGAGTCGGGATAGCACTGCGGCAGGCGAGTACTGCTGTGTGAGACGCTGGATGGTGCACTGGATAGAGGTTGCAGGAATATGGTATTATTGCTAGAAAAGCGGCTTCCATTGCTGACTGGGATAACTGGACCGGGGTAATCCTCGTGCAGTTGGCCTGTAGCCACGAGGACGGCACGGCAGGCTGACGCTGGGACGATTTCTAGACAGAGTTTAATGATCTTGTTCTCTGTGTGGATGATAGACCTTTTGAACGGTTGTTCTGACTGTGTGTAGTCGCCGATTTGCTGGGCGAGGTATGATAGGCCGCGCAGGAGATGGAGGTATAGGAGGGTCCCGATGAGGGAGATGGATTCGGAGAGGGTTACGGTGACCGAGTCGGGAAGGAAATGGAGCGGCCGGTCTGCCATTTTGGAGTGTGAGCGAGAGAGAAGGAGAAACAGTTGTGGTCGAGTAGAAGTAGATAACCGACACTAAACTGCCCAAACGAGGAAGGCGCGAACTCCACTTGACTTACTTTACCTCAACTTCATCCGACTTCCTCAACGCGGGACGCCTAAGTGTCGACCACAACCCTGCGTCTATCTGCCTATATATTCACCTAGGTCTTCATTCATGCGACCGTCTCTTTCACCCCTAAGATCCATCCCCGCATCTATCATGGCCTCGGCAGCGGAATGCTCTCATCTCCGCCCTCGGAGATTCGCGCCCCTCGATCCCGCCCGGGCATCCGATGCGCCGCCGCTGAAGGGGATCGTGTTTGATGTAGATGGTACTTTGTGGTAAGTCTTTCTCTTGGAGATTGTTTTGCATCATCGCGCTGGGAACCAGACGCTGGGTTCGCCATTGGTGGTCGACTAGTTGCCACCTCTTGATTGGTAGTGGTTAATCCGCTATATCTATACTTCTCTATATCTATCACTAGAAGAACGCTGGACTGACATAATAAAGCCTTCCACAGCATCACATGTTTGCGGAAATGAGGTAAGTCTATACAATTCCTCCGCTGCCATAACAAGGGTCTGAATGATCCCACATGCACACCCAAAAAGCATCTTACTAACCCACATCTAGATCCGCCCTGGGCATCGACCGCTCAATCGACATCCTCCAACACATCCGCGATATCCCGACAACAGAAGAGCGCGCCGCAGCCGTCGCAAAGATTCAAGCCGTCGAGCGGCGCGCCATGCTAGAGCAGCAGCCTCAGCCCGGTCTCGTGCGGCTAATGGAATATCTACAGTCGCGTGGACTGAAGCGGGCGCTGTGCACCCGGAATTTCGAGTATGAATTTATTCAAGATATGTGACTATCGGCGAATATCAACTGACAATTACCTTAGAGCACCTGTGATGCATTTGATCCAAAGCCACCTCCCGAGTCATATCTTCCTCCCGATCATCACTCGCGATACCCCTGATATCATCCCCAAGCCTGACCCGGCGGGTATTCTACACATCGCCCAGGGATGGGGTCTTTCAAATCGAGCTGAGAATCTGATTATGGTGAGTATCTCGGTTTCTATCACTTCCTCCTCCCAATTCCAGACAGGCTAGACGCAGCTAACTGACTACTTACTTCGTGGTATGTAGGTTGGAGACAGCATCGATGATATGACGGCCGGTCACACTGCCGGTGCGGCAACGGTGTTGCTGCTAAATGACCGCAACGTGCACCTGCAAGAACATGCGCATACGGATCTCTGTATCAGTCGACTGGATGATCTGGTTGATATCCTTGAACGGGGATTTGTGGGTGTGAAGGAAGGGATGTGCATGGAGTGCAATAAAATAGATGCTGCTGAGATTGGATCGGGTGTATAGAACTGAACAAAACTGTATATTGCTACATTTATTGGATGATTTAAACCTGATCAGTGGTGTATTGCAAGTCTTTTTCTTTTGGGGTCATGGAATCATGAAAGAGGTATTGTACAGTGCGTAGACACACGCAAGCTAGAGTCCCGATGATAATTTACAATTGCTAATTCAAGACGCCTTGTCTGGTCAATGAATCAACTCCAACGGAATCTATCATTTCCCTCTCCGTCCTCTGCCACCACCACCCCCGCGTGGAGGCCCACGACCACGACCTCCCCCTCTGGGCGGAGGACCACCGCCGCCAAAGTTGCGATTATTGAAACCAACGTTTCCAATACGAATATTTCCGCGACCTCTTCCGCGCGGCCCAGCAGGCGGCGGGCGTCGATCTGAGCGGAACATGTCGTCGTCGCTGTCTGGAGACGGAGATCGTGGACGGCCACCGCCGCCGCGTCCACGGGGTCCCATGCCGCGCGGGACCCTGCCGACAGGACCACTGCGCGGGACAGGGTGGGAATTGAGATTGGTGATTGAGTTGGGGTCGATGCCCGCGAGAGTAAATGAGGATGTCGTAATTGGTCGGGAGAGAGATGGGCAGTCGCCAATGAGGTGTTTCGAGCTGGCGCAGTGGGCGCAGGAGAGGGAGACCGAGACGGCGTTGGAGGAGAGGTCAAGGGAGGGATACTTCCATAGGTAATCGCACTGCTGTTCCAGATGGGCAGACGAGCCGCACAGATCACAGGGAACCTCTGCGGCGGAGCTTTTCAGGGCGGACGAGCACTGATTTTCGTCGTGGCCGCGTTCGCGACATCGTTGGCATCTGCGCCATGTGGGACATGATGTGCTTTGGTGCTGGTTCCAGACACCACAATGGACACACTTATCACTTGTCAGTATATTGCTCTTGCGCATATGGGGACAGGAAATTCCTACCTCTTTGGTGGGACACACCTCGGCCAGATGGCCCTCTCGCAGACACTCGATACAGGTGATTGGCAAGTTCAGATCGATATCGTGAATGTCCCGATCGAAAAACAGATACTTGGCGTGGAGCTCCAGGTCCGCCTTGTCCAAGTCCATCAGAGTAGTCGGCACAGTAGGATACTTGCGCGAAAGGAGCTGGAACGCTTCTTCCTTTGACCGAGGTGCTGCGTGCGTGGATTCGATACCCAGCGCCGGCGCAGAGGGCTTTCCATTGGGATGGCCTCGACCGAGAACTAGAGGTTGAAGGGAATCTGTGGCCCCGTCTGCGGAGTCTAGTGGCTCGGTGTTCAGCATGATGGAATCATCAGCTTCCGGGTCCGAGGACACCGAGTCCGCGGAATCGCTATCAGGATCGATCTCGCCGTCTTCTAGCTCGCCATTTTTCTGGGGTTGGTCTTTCATCTCTGTGTCTTTCTCGGCTGACGAAACAGACGCACTGCGAGTGCCCCAGTATGCGCCATTCACTGTATTGAATTGATCCGCCGATGCACTCTTGTCATTGCCCGGCTGAGCCGTCCGCTTGCCCAAGGTTGTCCGCACCGCGCTTTTCCTCCCCTGGTTCCAGCTAATAGCCGGAGCCGTATTTCCAGCATGGGGGTTTGCAGGTGCTGGGGCATCCGAGTCTCCGTCGTCGTCATCGCTCGAGTCCGAGCTAGATCCGGAGCTGGACGTGCTGTCGGGATCGACTGCCAGGGAATTGGCACTGAAGGCCGCACCCCGAGGAACAAAGTCGGCTACCTCGCGGTCTCCCTCACGGCCGTTTCTGCGCCGCTTCTTGGAGGGACGGAGGCTGTCGTCCGATCCGTGGCGCGATGAGACCGCAGACTGGGGGTTCGAGCGGGAACGCTGCACGCCGACCGCGGCTGTTCGCGAGTCAGCGTCTTCGTCGGACAGGTCGGGCATCGGCGGCGGTGGTGGGGTGCGTAATGGGAGAAGAAGAGAAGAACCGCGGAGATTCCCCAGCGACAGATAAATTTTACGGGGCGGCACGCAGGCCATGACGGCAAAAGTGCTGGAAATGCTACCTAGGGTCGCAATCCTGGTAAATAAATAAATATCTAAATACAAAACACTAAATAAAAGCCTTGAAACCTATCTAGACAATTAGATAGAATTAAGATGTCACTATAACCGTATTCATACTGTGGAATCGGACACCGTCCGACTCCTAGAGCACGTGCTTTGGGCATCGTTCATCCTCATTCTTCATCAGCATCTTGTTTCTCCTGCATCGTGTCCAGGAGATAAGTAATCTCCTTCTTTCCTGCTCCAGTTCTAATAATATCATATTTGTTGGGCCCTGTCTCGGCCAGACCCTCCCAGCCTACCGTGACCGCCCCGGCTCTCGGCCTCCTCTCCGTCAGTCAGCCAGCCAACCTCATCATCCCCACGCTCCTTTTCCTCTCCTTCCCCCCGACCTCTTCCTTCCCCCCCAATATCCCTCCTCCCAAAACCAGTCACGCTGGCTTCCGACAATTCCACCAAGGTGTCTTCCCTGCTGGTTCCCCGTGCCATCTCCTTCCCTCCGGAGGTTGGCACTGGCCAGCAGCGGTTGAGCCCGAACTCCAGCATGTCCCAATCCAAGCAGGGCCGGCGGCGACGCTCCAGCAGTATCATCTACCAGGAACCTCCCGAGTCCATCGAACACACCAGTGACCAAGCCGCCTTGCCCAACCTGAACGCGAATTGGGTGAATGCCAAGGGTGAGTGATGCGCCGCACCGGTTGAGCTGAAAGACCTGGCCATCCGGCAAAGCACCACGGAAAAAAGACCGAATGCTAACCCGGACTTTTGTACAGGTGCCTGGACCATCCACTTCGTCCTCATCGCCGCCCTCAAGATCTTCTACGATATCATGCCCGGTGTCTCCCAGGAGACCTCGTGGACCCTCACCAACATCAGCTACATGTTCGGCTCATTTCTCATGTTCCACTGGGTGCGGGGCATCCCCTTCGAGTTCAACGCCGGGGCCTACGATAATCTCAATATGTGGGAGCAGATCGATAATGGCGACCAGTACACGCCGGCCAAGAAGTTCTTGCTCTGCGTGCCCATCGTCCTCTTCCTCCTCAGCACCCACTACACCCACTACGACCTCACCTACTTCACCATCAACTTCCTAGCCACGCTGGGCGTCGTGATCCCGAAACTACCTTTCGTGCGTGCTCTTTCTTTTCTGTCCGAATGACTTACAATTTGCTAACATGCTGGCTTGCAGTCTCATCGGTTGCGTATAGGCTTTTTTTCCGACATACCGGAGGAGTCATAGTTGTTGTTGTAACCTTCATTGTGTCAATTTGTTTCTTTTTTTTGAACTGGCCCTCCACGTTGGTGTCTCTCGGTTTCTTTGTTCCTTGAGCGCGTTCGGCTTTCCTTTTATCCTTGTCTCCGCAAGACCGAGGGAACCAAAAAAAAGCCCCTTGCATTGTGAAACCAGTGGAGTCGCAGCAATAATGGACGCGTGACAGTGACACCCTCAAAGGACACGGTCCTTTGGTTCTGTCCATCCGCTCCCTGTCTAGATCTCTCAATATTCAAGCCTTGCATTTCTTATTCTCCTACTCGCTCTTTCGGGTGTTCTACCCAGTAGCTGCCCTTTTACTCTGTAGCTTCCAGTCTATGGCTGGTACTGTCAGCCCTGTATTACTTGGCTTCTGCCTATCTTTGTGGTTTTGGGTCTTGGCTTCTTTCCCGAGCGGGTCCCATTGCATCATCGCGCGAGATCGGACCTTACCCTCTCGTCTTGGCCCAGTGCGTCTATTGAGACGGAGCTTGTACACAGTGAGTAGAACTGAACTGGTAACAGACCTTGCCTTGTTTCCAAGATAGAGTGCTTTTGCTAGTTGTTACTTAGTATAACGTCGGGGTATACATAACCACTTCGGACCACGTAGGCCCGAAGCTAAAAATAGAGATGAACGTGTCTAGAACACATGTCTCAGTATATATCTTAAGTTACAGAAAATATAGAAACCTGCCATTTGCCAGAGTAGTGTACAGCAAGTGCTCCATCCATTGTTATTTTGAGCTGCTCATCTCCAATCTCCGATATACGTCTGCGAGTGCTTGCTGGGATCGTACTAGACCAGGGTGCCCTTCAGCTCAGCAATTCTCTTTTCCACTGTAACCATATGCTCCAGCAGCTGAAGTGCCTTGTAAAGCTGACAATTGGTTTCATATAGCGCTGCGCGTGCACCCTTTGATAATGGTAGGCTAGGGTGCCCCTCAACGAGTATTTTCTCTTGCAATGTGGCCACGTGCTCTAATAGCTGTATTGCCTTGTCATCCTGGCGGTTCATCATATATGCTTTTCCGAGCATAGCCTTTACTTCCAACGCATCTTTTATGGGCCACCACCAAGACCGTGAATGAAGATAATGCTTTCAAGGAAACGTCTGTTAGAACGGGACTTTGTCAGTGAATAGGCGACAGCTCACTTGACTGTTGATAGGGTCTGAGACTCGGTCTCGCCAGGAAGTGGATAGAGCAGAGTCAGACCCTGCTCATTGCCATGAGCTACCATATTTAGTTATCTATGATTGTCACAATGTCTTTCTGGTGAAAGGTATCATTATAAACCACGGGCTCAGCTGAACGCAGCCGTAGACCGCCTGGGTAGTTAGCGTGTGATAGGTTGCATATCCTGCATTTAACAACCCTGCAAGCGCCAACAACACAAAAGGCGGTGATATAGCCGGTTTTTCCATCAGAAATGTGACTGACAGCATTCTATCCCATTCAAGAGTAATTAGGGTTTGGGCGTTGTCGTTATTTGTTTGTATGCATCACGTGCCAAGATACAGCCGCGCTCTTATCGATAAGAGTTTCCATATCCAGTCCAGCTTCTTCCTCCACTTCCACTTCCCTCCCCTGAGCCGGCCATGGGCACCGCGGACGAGAGCTCGTGTCGCGCGCTCGAGCCACTCCCGTTTGAATTGGTTCAGCATACAGGCATTTTTTTCGAGGAGAAGCTCTGTTCGTGTACCCCACCCCCACGAGAACAAAGTCGCGTTGCTAACATCTTCCAATCGCGAACGCCAGACACCCAAGCACTGAACCTCCTGCTAACCACTCTCACTTCTGGAACTATTACCTCGGGGAAAGTGATATCTCCATGCCCACAACATCTCGCAGTCGCAGCCACCTTCCTCGTTCACCCATCGACCACGACGCGCGCCAGATCCGCAGAAGAAAAAGAAGCTGCGAATGTAGCGCTACGCCTTCTCCGCCTGACAAACACCCTAATAGGGCCTCGGGAGGCTAAATTTGGCATTGCATTTTCCTTCACACATTTTGAAACCTCGCGTCATGGAGGCCGGCGACGTGCCGCGGACGATACCCATACTTCCACCGAGCTGGCAAGCGATGATACCAAGCCCCTGAATCTCGATTTGGGTCAGTCTGCATCCTTGTGGTCTCGTGCTACCGATTTTTGGCATGCGGTCGGTTGGGCCTTTAATTGCTCCGTGCTGCACCCTGAGAGATGGGAACGGTGGCAGGTCTGGCTGCAGTATATGTGTGAGGTGATCAGTGATGACTGGGACGAGCGGATGAAGATATTTACAGAGCAACAAATTGAAAAGAAGAAGTCCCAGGATGATGTTGCCCCTGGCCAAGTCCAAGGGAAGGGAAAAGGAGGCTTGAAGATGGAAGACGGTCGAGCCGTTTTACGGGAGAGCCTCATTTTCCAATACATAGTGACAGGCACCCCGGGGTTTGGGCGGAACCGTCGTATCCTGAGATCTATCTTTGCGGATGGCGGCCCATCTTCCACGAGCGAGTTTCGGGAAGTGTTTAGCAAGGAGCTGAAGCTGCTCAAGCGCGACAAGGCCGCGAAGAATACCAAGAAGAGGGAGGTCGAGGTCAACATTGATCAAGATGAATATGGAGATTACTTGTCGCGTGGTGACGCCACGGACGAAGAGAACACTGCCACAGATACGAACAAAGACCCTTCTCGGCCCCCATCGCCCTCATCCAAAACCCGGCGGTCGAAGCGCACTAGGCGAGGGACTAGGAACGCAGCGGATCCGTCGGGTGATACGAATGCCGCAGAGAGCACTGGAGATGCAGAACAAGTCGCTCGCACTCAACACCTCAGCGTGTCTAATCTAGGCGGACACAACTCGCTCGCTCTGCGCCAACGGCTCCTTAATATCTTATCATTTGTATCTGACCAACTTCCAAATGATTTCATTTCTCTGGACGACCTCTATCACTTGTTCGTGGAGAATATTCGCCCTCTTCCGCTACCGATATTCCAAGCCATCGTGAGCCCATATATTCTCCCGGGCTTTTGTCCAGCAACGCAAAGCACTCTCTGCGAAAAGCTCATGTGGGAAATGGTCGAGAGCGCTGCCCCGGGTTCTGAGGAGCTGTATCTCACCCAGGCCAAGCTTGAGCAATGCTTTCTACCGTTCGGCGCCGCCACAGCCAGTGCCGCCGACAATGCCAAGATATCCATTTTGCTTGAGTCAATGATCATTCTACTAGCCAATGACAACACACTGTCGTTGAGTCCGTCTCTCAGAGAAGCACTGATGCAGGGGATTCAGGCCCGAGCAGATAAGGCGCAGGAAGAGATCCGGCGCAACCAGACTAGCCGTAATATGGAGCCTCTGGAGTGGTCCTGGCTGCTAGAAAGCGGCGAGAGGCTGATCCTTTTGCTTGAAGCGGTGTTGCCATCGGACCGAAACTCCGCATGATGGCGATTTTTCATGACAATATTTATGTATGACTACGACCATGACAACTTGATGAATTTCATTTAAACATTTCTCATCCACTGTGCATTTCATCTCTCCCTCCACAACGTCGGCAGCCATTCCAACTAAATTGGAGGCCCCAATAGCTGTTGATTCACTATAGCACCGGCATCTATCCTTCTATTTCGTCTTCCATTGAGACCGGCAAGTCGTCATCCAGCAATGAGGCGGCATATGGACCCGTAAGCAATTTTGCTATGTCGTCAAACCCTTTTTCAAGAGCCGCCTTGATGTCATCTTCGGTCACCCTCGCTCCATGATCTACTAGCAAGCGAACCGTCTCACTGTGTCCACGACGTGCAGCTACATTCAACGCCGTCCCAGACCGCGGGCTTAGGGAAACATTGGGTGTCAACCCCTTTGCCAAGAGCACGCGGACGATCTCCACATGGCCGTCTCTACTCGCACTCCACAGCGCTCCAATGCCATAGATTCGGAAATGGATCCCATGGTCCAACAGTATCTGCACAACCTCATAATGTCCATTACCAGCCGCCGCTTCCAAGGGATTTCCTGCAACTTTCAGGCCGATGTGGAGTTTTGCGCCTCGGTCTAGGAGAATCTGCACAATCTCGCGATGTCCTTTGGAACAAGCTCCATGCAAAGGACTGCACTCGCCGTGGGAATTGACGTTTATATCCCACCCATGGTCAAGCAGCATGTTCACAGCCTCTGCATTTCCATCGCAAGCCGCCCAGTAAACCAAATTCTCACAGCAGGCACTGGCATGCATTGTCCATCCCCTGTCGATAAGAAGCCGCCCTATCTCAGTATAACCATTCCTTATGGCTATATCCAGCGCACAACAACTTGATACTGGAACGCTGGGCAAATGATGCAAAGAGTCGTGGTGTTTGCTGCTATCCTGCGGCTGCTCCAGCATCTCTCGAGCCAGGGGAAGAGCACCTACACACAGCGCAGTGATGACGCCTGGCTGGACACAGCGAGGAGCTTTGTGGAGGTACAGCCAGCTGTTTATCTCGGGTCCATCTTTGCAGCAGAGAGTCCGGGCTGACTCGATGGTTGCTTTGGCGACTGGCTCGGGTTGTGAATCGTAGTGGTACGGCCATTGGGTGGCTGAGTAGATCAGGAATGCCATATTTTTCTTAACCAAGTTCATTCTTCTGACATTGTCGTTGTATTCGATCCATTCCCCCGGCAGGTCTGAGGGCGGCACCTTTAGTGTTAGGAGGAAGGATAGGGTGATACGAGAGAGCGTTGCGTGTGCGTCGCGGATGTCCACGCGGCCTTTCCAAGACGATCCAATTGATGGCGAGTTATCGTCTGACTTGATCAGGTACTGCCTGGCGGACTGATTTACGAAATCCGATAGCATGGGCCTCATATCAAGTATGATTCCATGCAGGTCATCGACCATGTTGGCCCATTCCGGACGGGTCTCCGTGAGTTCGTCGTAAGTGTGTCCTGTCGACGAGGAAGCTGCTGTGACGGGGTCTGACTCTGCAAATTCCAAAGCCAGTAGCACCTCCTTATTGGAAAGAGGCCGTTTAGCAGCAAGTATAATATGCAGCAGATACTCGACTCGTCTGGCGCCATATATGGCGGATGCTATATTGAGAGCTTTGTCGTAAACGCCCCCGACATCCCGCGGCATGTTGTCAAATTCGCTTGAAGGGAATGGCAGCTCGTCTCGCTTTGGATTGGCAAACGTAAAAAGCAAATTGGTGGCCGTATACGTCCATAGCCAACAGCGGTTGGGATTCTCATTCAACATCCTGGTGACGCGCGGTTGCTGATCTTCAGGAAAGGACTTGGCCGTTTTCTCGATATAGGGTTTCATTTCGTCTGCAATCTCTCCAACTTTCTCATCGGCATCAAACAAGACCGTCTCATCCGCTCCTGCAGCAGCACGTAGCCTCTTCAGATCCTCCATCATCTCGCCTTGCAACGGACCACTGGTAATAAGAACCTTGAACTTGGACCGTGGTTCCTCTTGCGAACGACGAGACAGAGCGCGAAAAACACGACAGAATTCGCCGAGCAAGACCCTCCGCTCCTCGGGCTCCATTTCGTCCACTCCATCCAAGAGACACGCCCACTGCCCAACCTGGTTGTCAGCGGCACATTCCTCAAAGAGATCCCAGGGATCACAGATAGTCTGCGCCCACCACCGCGGCGAAGCCTTGTGAATCAACCCAGATGGCGTGTAGCCAAACAGCTGATGCAGCAGCCCTGCGCACGCAGGATACGCTGTCATTCGGCGCGGATCGCCAGCCCGGAAGAAATAGTAGCAGACAGTCGTGTGTGGAGCAACAGGGCTTTCGATTTCCTGCCACCAGGCTCCGCCGCGCTTGACCAGGGATTTGGTGAGTTGGGATTTGCCCCGACCGTGTTGGCCTGTTAGCCAGACGATGCTGGAATTGGCACTGTCGCGCCATTGGCGTACTCGTGGGTCGTCGAAGAACCATCTCCCTGTGTTTTGTTGGGGGTTTCGGTGTGCGTGCTTGTTTACGTCGTATCCTTCTCGTAAGGTTTCCATTACCCGGGCCTCACGGTACCAGGTGTATTCCCTAATTGGTTGTGCTGGTTGAGGCGGCATGGCGGATCTGGAATTGAAGATAATGGAGTTCCTTTGCTGGTCTCCTCTCTTCGTGGATTCTTGGTAGCTTAATTCTTCTTTGGGTTAGAATCACCGGACCTTTTGTGTACAGGCATCTGGTATTGCCTTCTATTTATGGAGTTCTTGAGTGAAGAGTGCAATTTGCAGAAGGGCGGTCTTTGGCCCCGCTTTATTTTAGTCGAGGCTGCCTGGACAATGGGGCTAAGAAGGATCTGCTTTGGCCAGAGCCTCACTAATTCAATTCATAATTGCCTAAATTGAGGCTGGTGGATAGGTTGCATTCAATACCTCTCTTTCAGTTATAAATATTTTGTCTCATGCAGCCGGTACCAAATATGTCCCAACCAATGATGTTTACACAATACTCACGCACGACCCCGGTATCGGGTACATGCTCGTAGTAGTCGGTTGAGATATCAAACCCGAGGCTCCAGTATAAGCGGATCAAAAGTCTGTTGACGGATTTTGAGTTTCCAGTAGAGTTAAATGTGATGACAAAACCCACGACTTCGGGCATAGCAAATAGCGAGAGCAGAAGACAAGATAAAACTATTATGCTGAAATGATAGACTTTTCCGGTGAAAACATGAAGATAACGGAAAAGTAGTGGAATAAAAAGCCATAAGAAGACTCGAAATTCACATCAATGCAGTATCTTTCTTGCCTTCACCGGCGGGCACAAAAAGAAAGGACATGGCTGAGAACGCGCGTTGGACAAACCTCAGGTCAATCGACGTTCGTGCATATTACCCAAACTATACAGTCAGTGGGCCAAGAAAGACCACTTCCGGGTTCAAAGCCTTGGCTGTGTGTTAGTAAAAGATCATCCCTCGTAGCTGCATATCCGTTTTGGTGGGTTCACGGCACCAACCTTGTACATCATGACGAATCCAAGGTGGGAAATCCTGCAATTGGACCATCCCTATGAACAGAATTAAGTAAGCTCGATCGTGGCTTTCGTGGCTTGCGGGTCCCTAGAAAGAACTAACCGATGATAAGAACGGTATCAGTCTGTGTTGTTTTCTAGAAGCTGAGGTCAAAAACAGACGGCCCAACAACCGAGGGCAGAATCTGCTGCTTCACCAGCTACACTCTGAATTGTGACTTGGAGCGAATGTTGAAATCGATTGGCCAAGTACCACCACCATCCCTGCACACTCTGAATCAAGATCAACAGGTAGAGGAAAATAGGCGTCGATGAAACAAGCAAATGTTGTTCTCCCAATTTATAACTAGGGATTCGCTGATGGGATAGGAACTAAAACGGAAGAAAAATCCATATATCCGGTTCTATCACCGTATTCGTATGATCCTTCCGACAATGTACCCCTCGTTATCCTCCTAGCCCAACTACTTTCAAACCTTCCCTTCCTCCGCCTGCCCGCGTTTCATGTATGTCGGCCGACCCGTCCAGCTCCGTCAGGTCTTAGGACAAATGACAGGGGGCTTGAGGTATCGATACTTTGGCCCTGTGGCAGACGGTCAAGACAGAGGATTCATGGATAGAGTTATTCCAGACTCATAAATTTGAACATTTATCAAACGGCATTCGTTACCATCTAGAATACCTCAGAGAAGTAAGACCTAGAGTAGTCATTGCGTATGATCCCAGCAGTGCTGAGTTCGGGAACTTATTGCCTCGTTCACTCGGCCCAAGACAGTGTTCTTAAGAGCAATCCACGAAATGGGCATCTCGGCGTATCAATGATAAGGTAGGTGGGATGGAGATAGAGCTGCCCAGTTAGACTTAGTTATGATTGGGTTACGACAAGTGCACCCCAGATTTTACCCCGCAAAGTGGGCAGACGATCCCACTCAATCCCACGCAAGATGTCTAGTCTTAGATAGCAGCATCAAAGCGTTATGATTAAGGTTTTTAGGAAATTGGCTATCAAAGAATATAAATTCATAATAAGGGAGCGTTACCATGGGCGGGGTTAAACCTGGGATCACTACGGTAATAACCAGGCAAGGGCCAAGCACGGACAACGGATTAACGCGATAAAACAGAAGCACAACGGTCTCAATGACGACGACGACTGCTGGGCCGGAGAGCACAGACAGGGCCTCGGAGATTATAAGAACCAAGGACAATGAGAACGACCGCGACTCGGAAGCGAGTGGCCAGGAGCAGGAACGGTTTCCAGTGCCTCAGCCGTACAAGCTGGGGTCGTTGCGAATCCCTAACTACCGGAGTCCATATACGCAGGTCTGCCTAGCAGGACTTACCACGTTTTTGGCGGTCGGATTTTTTGGTGTACTCGCCGGACTTGGTAAGTGGAAGGTAGTAAGGACCACACTTCACATGCTGACGTTTGACTAGGGGGAGCTGGTCAGGTGAATCCAATTATCGCAGATGATGCGAACATCATCCTATACAGCATGTTTGCAGGCGTTGCTCTGCTTTCGGGACCAATCATCACGTACTTTGGGCCTAAAAAGTGTGTTTCTCTCGGGGGCATTGGCTACGCACTGTATGGGGCATCGTTCTGGTGCTATAACAATACACACAACAAGGGCTTCGTCTTGTTTGGCGGTGCGGCCTGCGGCGTTGGAGCCGCGCTGCTATGGACTTCGTGCTCGGTAGTGATGCTTACCTACTCGACCGAGGAACAGAAGGGCCGATTCATTTCGATTCTGTTTGCCATTTTCTACATGGGCATCACGGTGGGTGGATGTATTCCGTTGGGGCTGAACTTTCACAATGCTCAGAGAGGCAGCATCAGCAACGGCACGTATGCGGTACTGACAATCTTGATGGCGCTTTCAGTCGTCCCGGGACTTCTCATCATTGACCCACAACACATGGTTCGAACGGACGGCACCAAGGTCCAGCTCGAGAGCCGACCGATTTTACACGAGTTTAAAAACATCTGGTTTACCCTCAAGAGGGACCCTTGGATTCTCATGTTCATGCCGTTCTCATTTGGATCGCTCTACTATGGAGCCTATCAGGGCAGCGACTTTGAGGTGTACTTTTTTGATGTCCGCACGCGGGCACTGGACGGCTTCTTGATCGGCCTCGCTCAAGTGTCGGCATCCATCATCTTTGGCTGCTTTCTGGACCTAAGAATCTGGCGGCGGCGCCAACGGGCCTTTATTGGCTGGGCCATTCTAACTGTGTTCATAGTGGCGATTAATACGTGCGGCTATTTCGCCATGAAACTGTCCAACCGTGACAAGGTGATAGACGCTCTTGACGTGCAAGGCGGAGGCCTGGCATCCAAGCTGATTACGCTGGAGTTTTTCTATGGCTTCCAAGATGGCTTGGACAATGCGCTTGCTTACTGGCTCATTGGCTGCTTTTCCAACGATCCACGCATGGTGGCCACGCTCACGGGCTTCTTCAAGGTCTTTGGGGCTACGGGCAGCGCAGTGGCCTTCGGCCAGGACATTCATCTACTGCCGTACACGACCATGTTCGGGTCGTATTTTGGAATCATCTTGGGTGGTGTGTTCCTATTGTTTCCGTTGATTTACTTCAGAATCCATAACACCGAGAAGGATGTCGAGGTGGAGTGATTCGTCATGGACGTTTAGTTGATTTCGATGTATCCATAGGCCAACGCAGCTTAGGAATTAATTTGACCTACAATTCTCAGAAGAGCCTATCTCCTATAGATGGATGTCAGGAATAGATATTTCGAGGGCTTCAGCAGAGTTGATATGATCAGGGCTTGCTTAGTACATATACCAATTGCTATCTACAGGAAATAAAGCTGCCGCCTAGTAACAGAAAAGGAAGAGTAGCAGAAGGAAGGCTGAGTATATCAGCGAGAATCGTAGAGGAATCATGAAAGACAAAAGAAAAGGGACACATAAAGGGGTAGTTCATCCACCGAGTTGCCAAAAGTAAGCATACAAAACCAGTCATCTTGGCGGGCCGAGACATAAAGCATCAGTGCGATGCACCATTTACGGCGGTGGCCGAGGCCCAATGATCTGACGTCTGGCACCACCTACACCGAGACCCGTGCCGCCGCGGTTCTGGTTGTCACCACCCAGGTAGCCATACTGATGGACATCCCAGGACTGGCCCGGTCCGGAGCCAGAAGTTGGATCACGCGCGCCGCGCTGGGCAGCCGCGCTGGTCTGTTTCTGGTTCTCCTCCCACTCGCGCTGCCGTTCGCGCTCGCGCTCCATCTCACGCTCCAGTAGGGATTTGGAGGCCCATCCGCCGGCGCGCGTGTTCTCCTGAGCAGCTTTGCGGCGGCTATTCTCAGCGTCGACCTCGGATGTCGTGCTGTAGTCCTGGGGGCGGTGGGAAGCCGGTGTGGGGGCTACAGGAGCTGGATTTGAAGCCAGGAAGCGGTCGGTACGGTTATCACGGCCACGGTTGGCAGTATATGCGACTGGGTCTGGCAGTGGGCGCTCTGGAAGCGGGCGTGGAGACGTTGCGGGCTCCCTTGGGGGTGCTTCTGGCGCGGGCACAGTCGACGACGGAACAGGCTGTGGTAGAGGCCGAGGAGGTCGGAGAGGCGTCTGCTCCTCTTCGGCGTCATCGGGTTCCTCAGAAGTGGATGGCATATCTTGGTTATGCTGCCACTCCGTCCGTAGAAGCCGTCGTTCCTGCTCAAGGGAAGAAAGGTCGTAGCTTGGCTTGGCAGGTACGGGACGAGGTTTACTGCGGCTGCGGGACTGAGACTCGCCGGCCTTGCGAGCCTGGATGTCCTGACGTTCATTTTGATATTGCTGTTCTCGCTCCTTGGCCAATTGCAGCTCACGCTCGAGTTCCTTGATGCGCTGGATTTCCGGTGTTTCCTCGGGGGCCGCAGCCGCGGGCTCACCGGAGTGGCTGGCTTGGTACTGACTCAAGAATTGACCATTCAGACGGGCATCGCTAAGTCCTCGTCGGCGTTGCCGTTCCTGCTCCAAGCGTTGCTCGGCATCGTTCTCTTCCGTGGCACGTTTCTGTTCCTCCAGCTCCCACTGGCGCTTTTCTTCGTCCCAGCGTCTGCGCTCCTCTTCCATCTCACGGCGCTCTTTCTCCCTCAGACGAGCAGTCTCTTCCTCCCAACGACGCTGCTCCTCGGCTCTTGCGTGGGCCTCCTGCGCTTCAAGCTCCCGCTGGCGTTGCTGTTCCGCTTCTTCCCTATCTGCCTGCTCCTGCCGCAATCTCTCCTCTTCCTCGCGTCGCCGCTTTTCCTTTTCCGCAATGCTCGGGACAGCGGGTCCGGGGGTGGTGATCTGTCGTCGGGCACCAAAAGCAATGCCTTGGTTGCCCTGGCTGGCCCCGCCCAGGTAGCCATACTGATGAATGTTCCAGGCGGGGGAAGTGTTGTTCTCATCGCCCTTCTTAGACCAAGAGCTGAGCGAACCGGACTTGGAAGAGGAAATAGGAGAATTCGCGTCGCTGACATTGCTAGTAGCACGGGTTGTCCGCGTGGGGTACGACCCCGGGCTAGATGAACCCGTCGCATCGGGGCTGATGACACCCCGTTTGCTCTGGGGGCCAACAGACCGAGGGAATTTACCGGGCTGGAGAGCATGGGCTCGTCGGCTGAACGCTGCCAGACACTGGAGGACCTGCGCTGGGTCCTTGGCCTCGTAGAGATCGACCGTAAGGAAAACGTCGTGCGGAGGGAGATTCAGGGGCGCCATTTGGCATGCGCGTAGAAAATGGGAGATGTTTTCCATCTGAACGAAGGGCATTGGCGATTGTTTATACTTGACGCCCGGCGACACGGCGAGGTTCACGAGCCTGATTGGCCGCGGGGTCAGTCCAGGTTTCCAGTCGCATCAATCGCAGTGGCAATTGCCGAAACTTACTTGCAAAGCGCGACACCGTCCTTGAGGCCTTCCAGCAGGTCCTGAGAAGGCAGTTTCTCGCGCAACACGTCCTCGATCCAGTCGCGAATCTCGGCCGCAGCCTGCGGGGTATAGCGGGACAGGCGCATGTTGCGCAGGTCCTTATCTAGCGAGGACACTGAAGCCATCTTGAGGATTCAATCGATCATGTAGCATATAATGGGAGATATGGCCGGGTGCTGGGACTGTTTGGGCTATCCCGCGTCTGCCTGATCGGCGCAACGGTGGGGGACGGGCAGTTAGGAGATCAGGGATGAAGTCTGCGGAGAGTAGGACTGTGAGGCAGAGAGAGAAATCCAGATAAATAGGAGACAGCTGGCGAGGAATTCAAAGGAAGAGGGAGAGTGTCAAAGCGACCAAGGAAGAAGAGTGAAAGTAAGAGAGAAAGAGGAAGTGCCAGTGTGGCTGATGAGGCGGAATGGAATGTTTGGGTTCGCGCCCGATGACGTTTTTCTCCTCCACTTTCTCTCCTTCACGACTAGCACGATGGTCAACAGTTTGTGGTTTAAATGGAAGGGTCTACGCCTGCCATGGCGCAAATCCTTCCTCGTCGGTTGGTCTCTCTACATTGCGCTCATGGCTCAACTGAAATGCGCTAACCCAACGGTGCAGGCTCGGACCTCAAAGGGAACACCTTCTGGGAATTTAAGGATGTCGCCAACGCCAGCAAATTCCGCCGGATCGTCAAATTTGATCCCAAAACACACTTTGGGGATGTTCAAGTGTCGCGTGAGAGTCAATCGGACCAAAATACAACAGGCTTTGGCTAATATGCTTCTTTCATGGCAGCGCAATGGCACCAATGGCTCCGACACGTCCGAGAACACCCACCCAGCATCGAAGAGCAGCAGCAGGATCTTGTCCGCCAAGCCCAAATAAAGCAACTCGCCCGTCTGGCTGATGAGCGCTGGGCTAGCAAACCCTCGTTTCTCGATAAGCCTCAGACGCAGCAACCGAGTCCCGCCACCAATGCAACGGATGCCACGTTAAATCGCCCGGCTGAGGAGGCTGCAAAAGGAGCCACTTCCACACAGACCGCATCAGCATCTGCAACCGCTGCTGGTATGGACACTGCACCGAAACCAGGCGAGACAAGATCGGAGACAAAGCCCGCCTCCACTGAAGAGACCGCTAAAAAAGAGGATCCATGGGCGAAAGCTAGCAACCCAGGCGACAATTGGCAACCTGAATCATGGAAGCCTACCTCTCAGCGGTGAATAGCCTCGATATGCTTGAGTATATCCGGTTTGGGGGAATGGAAGGTTTTGTTTTGGAGAGTGACTATCAAAAAGGCCAACGCAAAGCCCATAAAACAGGCCATCCGCATCGATGGCTGATTATCCGGTTGTTGGTGGGACTATGAGCCTCCCACCGGCGAGAAAGTCCGAGATTTATGCGGTGGATGCTGCCCGGACCTTGTCTTTGCCGCCCGAGCCAGAACATGAGCTCGACTCGTCTGTACATTATCGCATACTTAATATCAAGGCCACGCCCTATGTACTCTACTCAATCCACTATTGCTCCATAACGTCACTCCTTGATGATTTGAAAGCAGGGTCACCCGGAACACCCGTAAGACTATGATTTACGAGCAGTAGAGAGCCGTGTTGGCCATTGCTTTTCCTTTTGCATTTCTCATTTCCAACTAAATAACGTACATCATCCCCTTTTTTGTGTGTTTCATCTTTTCTCCGCGTCACACACTCTGCAAAGCAAAGAGAACAAGCAAATAAAGAAAAACAGAACATATCAGAAGCATGATGGAAGAAACAGAGAAGAAGCAAATCTGGATGTCATCAAAAATGAATGTATAGACCATGTTGCCACCTTCAAATGTAAACCATGCTTTCCCGAGCCCCACTTGCGAGCCGCACCTCAGACTCACCGGGAGGAGGAAGGGAGAACCTGTCTTGGCCAGTGCTGATCTCCTTGTCTGTGTAGTATGCCCGCACATATTTCCGAGCTCGATCGCAGAACTTGTCTGCCAGGAAGGCAGGAGTGCTGTAGCTGATAGACCGAGTGCAACGGCCCATCACGTAGCAGATGTTGTGCGTGAGAGACTCGAGTGAATCGGCAGGTCGAGATTCCTTCGAAACATCCCGGTTTGTGAAGATTTCATCGTGAATGACGAAGTAATGCGCTGGGCGAGCAGAGCCCTGCAGTGGAGCCTGGGCTTGCAGGTAAAAGTCCCAGTCTCGCGGCCGTGTAACGCCTCGGTCAACCACCGTGCCATTGATTGGATTCTGGGTTTTATCTTGATCGCCTTCCGTTGTTGGATAAAAGCGCACGTTATGGCGCTTTCCGACAACGATGATCGTGATATTCGGCAGCTCATCAGGCTTGTACATCGACTGAGTAGCATGTTTTACCAACGGGAGCTCTTCCGTGAGCACCATGGGGTATTGCCCTTCACTGACACCATCTCGATAGACGATGATGTTCTTTGGCAGCTGGCCGTTGTTTGACTTCTGCCACATCTCCAAGCGGGAAATCATCATGTTCTTCAAGAACTGAAGATTCTCTCGGCGACGCTCTTGAATGCGCACCTCACCTGGCCACTGGCCCAGCCGGCCGTCCGTGCTTGCAACAATAGTTGCAATGCTAGGGAACGATTCTGGGTCCGTCGTGGAAGGATGGGTAACGTCCAGTCCCACGATCATGGTCTTTCCGCTCACTATCAGAGGCGACTGGCTCGAAGAGTCCAGTGTTTGGTTGACTCCACCAAGTTTGAGATTGACTTTCATGGCGTTATTCGCCAGATATTGGCCATTCGACAATGCAAACTTGTCAGCCAGCACGCAGTGGGTCAACACTCCAGCCCTAGTCTCACCGATCCATTTGATGTAATCAAAGATTCGATCCTCAGGTGTAGGGAGGAGTACAACCACAAAGCGATAGTCTTTTGCCAATAAGGCTCGGAAGACCTTCTGGGTTTGCTCCATGAAGTCTTTCATGTTGATTGACTTGTCTTCCTCCTTAACCTTGATGGTGATAGTTGGGCCAGGAACAACTGGTGGGCCCACTCGCATGCCCAGCTCATTCATCTTCTGCTGGAAGGCATTCAAGGCATTGGAAGGATTGCCGGATTGGAAAGCATCTCTGCATCCCTCCTTTTTTACCCAGATGCAAGTCCAGTTCTTGAGAGAGGCACCCTGGCAGAACTTCTTGCCCACGAGGTTCCAAGAGCCATTCCGCGGAGGAACTTTGGATGCTCCGTATTTCAGACTGGGAGGGTTGAGGATCCGGCCATACACCGTAATCATCTCTTTGTGGAATTTCATTCCCACTTGCATGGTCCCATTGTTGATACCCATCATGTCCAAGCCGTCAGTTAATTGACTGGTAGTTTTGCGGAGGCCGCCGGCAGCTGAATTGGATCATGTTCTGACGCTGCACCGTGACATAGTCCCCATGGTAAGGCTGTCCTGGCAGGATGATACACACCTCGGCGGGCAAGTAGATCGGTCGATCCTTGCTACCAACATTGACCACTGGTCTGTCGGCATATTTCAGAACGATGTTGTAGGCTAAGTCCAATATTAGCAAATCCTGCCTCAATTACTGAATATCAGATAGAGTGCTTACTTCGTTTGAAATAGTCCGCGACACTGATGTACTGCTCGTGAGTGTCTTCGTAGAATTTCACATTGTTTGCGCAAGAACCCAGCCGGGGAACCTGTGGAGGATACTTAAGTCGGCGACCGTCTTTGTCTTTGGCATCTCTGGCATCACTTGGGGATGCGAGTGCCCAGATGGACTTGTATCGGGGCCTCTTCTTGCCTGACTTCGTAGGAGTGCGCTGGAGGTGGGTGGCATGCACTCGAAGACCCCGGATATAGCGATTGAAAAGACTCCGATCACGACCGAAGGTGCTTTCAAACTCCAAGATGAAGTTAATGAAAGGCATTTCTTTGTAGAAAGCGCCATGGTTGACATTGAGGTTCAAGAGAGCTCGTCCGCCCGCGAGTCTCATGCTAGAAAAGTAACCTCGAACAACCTGGAGACCGCCTCGAAGATCGGCAGCAGTCATTCGACTGTCAATCCAGAACCACCTCGTCCTACCACGACCTATGGTGGCCACTCCAGGATCCTGCGAAGGGTGTCGACCCATGAGCAGGTTCAACGAGCGCACTGCAATCAGTTCCAGTGAATACTCCTCCCGAGGGTCCGTCTGACGAAGACTGCTGAGCAGCTCCGAAGGACGCACGACGCCATTTTCCCTTAAGGTGACTGTAAACACCTTCCGGGGTCTAGAAGGTTCGTCACCGATTTTGATGTCCACAGGGACTGTAGGCAATTTTCCACAGGCGACAATCTCTGAGGCTCTGTCACTTGCCGCATTGCAAGAAAGCACGGGAGGAAGTTGCATGAGCTTCTCAAATACCTCCCTAATCTGGCCGCGGGGAGCTCCCTCAGGACGGATGGAGACAGAGTAGAAGAAATATTCCACGTTGGGCTTGAACTCAACTTCAAAGAAGTTGGCCCTCAGCACGATCGAACGGCCTTGGGTACCGTAGCCGGGTCGATATGCAAGACCATTGGACACCAGGTCCTGCATCTGCTTCACGGTCTGGTCCTCCAACTGAGTGACCTTGGAGTCTGGGTTCTTCACCTCCCCGGTGGTCGGACTATATGTGCACATGTTAGACGAGTATTTGGTGGTTAAGGGTATATAACTTACCCTGAGGCGCGCTGGCCTCCATCGTTGCCGCCTCTAATCGGCATGCTCGCTTGTGAGCCTCCCCGCGGAGCGTGCGACATCGTCAAATCGTGCGTTGGAAGGTAGATGGATAGAAAAGAATAATTTCGGCGCCGTCACAAGAAATTCTGCGGACGGTAAGTATCCAAGCAAGATCGATGTGCAGAATGAGGCGCGGAGGGCGGAACAATACGCACGAGACAGGGGTGCCAACGATGACTTTTCCCGTGGAGAGGGATGGTGAGATATGCGGAAGTGTGAAAGAAGCAGCAAAGTAAAAAAATTTGACAAAGGTTAAGATGAGTGCGTGGACGAGCAGTGTTGTAGGTAACGCGGAATCAAAAGCGGCGAAATACGTGAAAAAGTGATAACAGCAGCATGTGGTGCAAATTCAAGTTAAAAATTAAAAAGAGAGAAAAATGTGTGAAAAAAAGAGAAGAATAATGCAGCGAGTGAGGCGTATATGGTGAAGGGAATGACTACCTAGTGATGACTGCGTAGGCAAATTGGTGAGGTGAAGGTCAAAAGTAGAACAGCATGATACTGACCAGTTTTATGTGTGAGATGCAGAAATCAAGAGGTAAATGATAGTGAGAGAATCAGATGTAGGGAAGGAGGATAAGCGGCGGGGTAAATTGAGATGATGCGAAAGAAACCGGAAAGGGAAGCAAAGAACGGAGTAAATAAGCTGGTGATGAGTAGAGGAATGAGGACAAAGCGATGATCTGGATGACTTACCTAGATTTGGTATTGACGGGGGTGGACCAAATGAGTGATGGGTAGAGATGGGTGAATTGTATGCGAGAGTGACAGACGTAGAGGTAATGGGAGAAGTCAGGGCACGCCTCGAGAGCGGAGGTCACATAGGAAAATAGAGAAGTAGAAGCATAGAAGCAATTTCTGGATTAATTGCAGTGGGGGAGTTGAAGAGGCAGTGAAAATGCTTGTAGATGTAGAAGCGGAAGTGCGAAGGTATTTCGCAAGGAGAAAATTGGCAAGCAAGGATATGGGCAGCTCCAATATACAGGATGGAGTCCCAATGGCATGGGAGAACAAAAGGTGGATAGACGATTAGCTGCGGTAAAGATCGAGAGCAGTGATGTGCCCTGCAAGCTGCAAAAGGAAAGCCGGACAAACACAAGCAGTTTTACTAGACTCACAAAAAGGGCGTCCTGCAAAAGAGAGTCTCGTGTGTGTCTCTAATAGTAGAAGGCCCCGAACATTGTGAAGATATATATTTAAAGTCTGGCTATAAAACTTGACCCATAAACAAAATTCTATTTGTTCTTATGGCAGCATGGTACCAGTGCACCTCAATATATATTGAGGTGAACCATGGACAACTCTATGGAAACCCATGAGAAATCACCTTGCCCACCCCAATATTTTCCAGCACCTGCTATTTGGGTTTATATGTCGTTCTAGAGACTCGTCTCCGTTGGACTCAGCCCTGTGAACGGGATCTGTTACTTCACATGGTGGACATAGTCATGTGATGCCTGAGGTGTTAGGGACGGGCTCATAAATAGCATGGACAATGATTTTGTTGATTACATTGCAAGAGAGCAAGTACAACCAGATTTACCGATTTTACCACCTTTCAGCATACCTAGGTGGTTCATCCATCAGCTCATATGAAAAATATAGTGACATGATGAAATCGGGAGTGCCAGTTCGAGCCATGGGTCATGAAGTGGTCTCCTGAGACGGTGTCGGTAGGTTGTTTGGGTGAAAGAGGAAGAAGAGGATGGTGGATGTTGATATGCAGGACGGAGCTAGTGCTATCCCTAGCAAGCAGGAAATCACTGGTTGCGGTGTATTTTCCCTATTACTTTCTGAAATCCAGAGACTTTGACGATAATGGTATTCATGGCATTTTCTCTCTCGCGACATGCTCATATAGAACATATCCACGTAACTAGAAAAAAATGTGAAAAAAAGATCCTAACCGATTAAGATACTTGAACCACAACCTAAAGTCGACCATTTCTGGCAAGTTGCACAGGATGAACAATTGCTAGCGCAGTCCTCTTGAAGAACGGGACGTATACAACGCCAATAATGTACTGTCCACAACCCGAATACTCTTGTCAGAAGTCCGTTAGTGAAAGCAAAAAATTAGATTAGGCCAGGACTTTGCAATCGCCATCCAATGAGGTCAGACCGGAACTGATGGTATATGGTTATCGTCAGCATTTACTACGGATAAGGGCAGATGGATAAAGAGTCACGAGAAAGTCTCATGCTTAGACAACCATATATATATGTGTCTATATTAGAACATATCTAACATTTTGGGGAGGGATATAGCCCAGTTAAGAAAAACAAAACCGAAACACCAATTATCGCTGAAAATGATCAAAAAAAGTACAACAAAAAACTCCAAAGAATACAGCAATAAACAAGGAAAACCATGCATAAATTAACAAAAGACAGCCTCCAGAGCCTCGACGTCGCCGCCAGCATTGCGCACGGCCTTCAGTGCGGCCTCACTGAGCTTCCGGCGACGATCACGGGCTTCTTGTTCCCGGCGGGCTTTTGTCTTGGAGCTGCCTGAGGGGGCCACACCAGTCAAGATCTTCTTGCTGTCATTGGAGGTGAAGTTCACGAATGAGACGCTGACAGCCTTGTTCGCGCCCCGGGGGCTTCCCGAGGATTTGACCGGCTTGGGGCCACTCATGCCCTGGGCTGAGAGCTTGCGGCTGTGGTTGCGGCGGTGGTTGGCCTTCATCCGGGTGTCTTTCGGAGAGGAGCCAGCTTTGGGGGAGAGAGATGGAGAGCGTGATGGGTGGACCTGGGTGGTGAAGGGTGTCACGAAGCTGTGGTTGGTAGAGACGTTGTACTGGCTCTCTTGATTGCCGGGGATAGAGTGCATGTTGGCGGATGAGAATGAAGAGTCCGCGGTGGAGGGCATTTCGAAGGACGGATCGAACTGGATCATCAGGCCTCCTTGCATCATGTCATTTTGGTTCCCGACGCTTCCCATAGAGCGTTGAGGGGCTGATGATGCAAACTGTGGCTGTGGGACGCCGGAAGACATGGGCGACCACCACGTCTGTGCGTCGTGGCCGTGGAGATCCGGGGTGAATGTGAGTGAAGGTGTGCCAAGGGCGTCAGAATGCCACGAGGACAGGGACTGGGGATCGGAGGAATGTGATGAAGAGAAGATGTCATCTGTGGAAGGCGAGCTGGAGTTGGTCAAGTTTGAGGAGTTGGTATGGCTCTGAAGGTATTGTTGCCGTGCGAGTGCTTGAGCGGAAGGTGATGGCATCGAGACGGCTTGTGACTGATGGAAGAGCCTCGCATCATACTGAGGAGGCATTTCGGCGGAATCTCGTGGTTGGTTCAAGGCAGTGTGATCGGCGGGAATGTTCTCTTGCTGCACGAGAACATCCGAGGGTGGGGGGGACAACGGTAGGCGGTCGTCTGAGTTGTGGAGATTGAAGTTCTGGATGCGCTGGGCCCAAGCCTCAGGATATGCCATCCTCCCTTTCTGGAGGTTGGCCGAGCGCATCAAGCTTGGGGAGAAGCTTTGCTTGCGCAGAGGAGCGCGGCGATCAGTCGGATCACGATGACGGATAGATTTGGGGGTGAGGAGAGCGCTCTTGGTAGCTTGCCGTCTCGGGGTAGCTGGAGGAGTCGACGGGGAAGTAGAAGAGACTCTGTTGGAGCGTACAGGGCGAGAAGAGGATTCAAAGTTGAGATCGGAGATGGCGGAGGGATGAACAGTGTCATGGACGGCAAAGCCCTGATCGGCCGACCCGTCGCCCTGCAGAGACCAATCTTGGCTCCAGGGTTGCGGTGACTGACGATGGCGTTTAGAAGTGGAGATGGGGGGAGAAAGATCGCCACATTCACTCGACAAGGAGTCTAGGGGGAAGATCGGGTCCAAGTCACTGGACAAGGTCTGGTCTTTGTTGCCATCGGCTCCAGAGGTCTCCATGTTGACGTATTGGTTGAATAAGTCATTGAAAGAATGATCAAATGGTTGGGCGAACATCTTGCTTTGTTTCCGTTTGCGGCGATGGCAAAGTAAGCAGGCAAGACTAGTCAGCGAGTGCTCAAAGGGTCCAGAGGTCGACTGTGATTGGCAACCACAGATCGGGGGACAGATCCAGCGTTCGGGGAGAATGCGCCGGGAGATCGACGGGAAAAAGAGAGAGAGTATGGATTGTTTGACTGGTTGTCAATCAAGTAAAACACTGCAGAGGATGCAAAGAAAGCAAAGCAAACAAACAGCAGATCGGTGGCGCTATTTGAATGGTGGTGAGGCCTACCAGCCTCGGGATTTTCCCTACACATTCCAGAGGGCCCTCGATATGAGGGAGGAATGCGCGCTGAGGCGCCTGGTTGGCTATAGACCTGGCCCACTGTCTCCCTCAGGAATGATTCAAGCACTCTTCAGAGCTCGCAGGCCAATGACATGCCCAGAAAGCTTGTGTGGCGCCTAAGACTGCCACTGTTCATCCACACCTCCCCGAGAGGCTCCGCTCGGAATAGCCACCCGGGAGAATGCAACCCTCCTTCTCTAGACCAGAAGCAGCGAATTCAAAGAGCCTCAGATGAATGGGTGTGGCGGGGAGAGGGAGGATCAGGTATGCGTAACCAATAACCTCTCTAGGAGATCGGCATCACTCCAGAGAAAGAAAGAGCCGAACACGAGTGCTGGTCATGGATCGGAGCGGTGTCCGATCCATTCAAAGGCCGGGGAAGGAACCAGGACAAGGGATTTGACTGGTCAAAGAAGATTCTTGGATCTCGGGACAAAGAGTGTAATACGTCATGACCCTATAGTGGCTGCGGAGGAGCTTAACTCGGGGAGACACAGTAGGATCAGCGGATCTGCAGCGGCTGACGCGAGTCTGTTCTTTTTTTGTTTCACTGTTCCATTGGTCAATGCCTTCTCAATCACAGTGGGGATTACAATGGTCGAGGGTCCAATGTCCAGAGGCTGATAAGCGATTTGGAATGTGTGGTCTGGAATGTTGAGGCTGGGCGGAATGTCACGCCCGCTCCAGCAATGCGCCGAGAAGCCGTTGGTATCCAAGGAACAAGCAGAGGGCCAATCGAGCACGAAATAACAAAGCCTGACCTGCAGGAGATCAGCGGCTGATTGAACTATTTTAGTCTCGCGGTGTTCTATATTTGTCGACATCTTCAGATCTCGCCGATAGAGCCGTGATCGCATGCAGTAAACCACGAGCCTGGGAGAAACTCAATTCCTGCTGTCCCTGCGTGGAATCTGGGGTTAGCCAGCGGCCCGGAGGGTGGGCTCCCTCCAAGACAGGCCATTAGCCATTTCCGTCAGTGGATTCGGCATGGCAGGTGGTAGTGTAGTGTGGGCCGTCCGTTGTTACTTTCTTTGTCCGCAGAGGTAAGTCTGGCCCGGGTGTAAGGCTGTGAGACCGCCATTTTGTCCCCAAAAGATTGTCCCAGAAATGGGGTGCGGACAAGAGGGATTTTCCATCGTCTCCGATAGTACTGTTGTTACACCAGTCCGCTTGTGACTGGGGACTCCCACAAAGCAAAGTCGTGGGACGTGGAGAATCAATGTCCCTGACCAGAGCCCAAGGACCGAGGTATCGACCGTCTGATGGGCGGACAGTCCGCTCCGTGTACTTTTTGTTAGTGATCCGAGTCAGAATAAACCCATCGTAGTTGTTGATCGGACGGACGAAAAAAGCAACCGGCGCAGCTGACTGACTCCGGCTGAGTCAGAAATGACGGCCTTGCAGCAAAAAGAGGCAAAAGGCAATCATCTTCCGTCCCTCGCTTCTCTTCCCCTTCGACCTGCTCTCCTGCCAGTCGCGTGTCGTGGTACTGTGGTCTATTGTCGCGTCTCTCATTCTCGCCATTGTGCGCTCTCATCCGAACCTCCCCCACACCCTCTCCTCCTTCACTGCCGACCCGTCCGCGGTGACTCAACTCGGCCCCTCCACAACCGGTCTCCCCCCACGCGCGAAACCTGAACTTCCGCTCGTCTTCCCCACGCCTTCGATCGTCTTCTCCTCCTCTCTCTCTCCTCCTCTGCGGCAACTCTCCTCTCCAATTCTCCTCCCCCGCGACAGAGGCGACATTCCACGCCGTTTTCATCGCGTCGCGCCAACAACCCTCCTCCCTCTCCTCTCCGGCTTTCTGACCGAACCCCCGACTGCATGCACCTCCCATCAGGCCCGCTCGAGACGCGGGCAAGCAACCCTCAGCATGGGTATTGATCACAGGGAGTCATGGGATTCTCTCACGTCCGCGCTCTCCAGCCTTGATGTTTCGTTTTCGCAAGATAGCTGCTATGGCTCGGATGAATACTCGATCACGTCAAACCCTGCCGGCCCGCTCCAGTCGAGTGTGTCGAGCGTGTCGACCTGTCTCGCTACACGGGAGCCGGACCTGCACAAGTTTTTGAAGCCGATCTTGAAGAACTCTACCAGTTATGTGGAGCTTGATGCGCATTCTGAATCGGGCTATGGCTCGGACGAAATCGACTCGGATTACGACGAACTGTCTGACCAGAAAGAGGACGACGAAGAGGATGACGACGACGGCAACTCTTCCGACTTCTCGGTCTGGGACGAGACTTCTGGGGACGTTCCGGAGACCCAGGAGGACCACACCGAATCCTTTGACGATTCCTTCATCACGTTCGAGACCGTGGGCGTTCACTTTGATACCGACGTGCATTATATCGACACTCCTGAACTCTCCGAGGACGACGAAGCCTCCGGCTCCCAGATGACCGTCCATGAGATGATGCTCGCGCACAAACCCGGCTCCCCGAATGTAGTGAATTACCTCAATGGCGTTGACACTTCGGAGAATGAAGACGGCCACCAAGAGTTCGTCCGTCACGTTGCAAACCCACCAGAAGAATTCAGCCGCGATGCAGTCGACCTGGACCGGCGCCTGTTCGTCGCTTACATGAACGGCATCCATGGAATTGCCGACAGCAAATACAAAACCTACCTTCACGCCCAAGTGGACAACATCCGGGTGGGTCTGGAGAGCGACTCCTTCGACTCGGACGACTCGGCCTGCATGTACCTCGATCTGATTTCGAACCATGTCAACGGCGTTTTTCGCAATTTGCTGGCCGATGACGAAGTCAACGAGCTCGTCGCCCTGTACGAAGAAGAACAAACGACCACCCTTACCCCGACCCCTCACCAGACCTTGCTCGACAAAATCGAGCATTTGTTACAGGATCGTCTGGCGAATGGGCGTGTGGAAGTCTGCCCGGACGAGCTGAGCTTTTTCGCCGGCGGGGTGGTGCACGCCATCGGCGGCTGGCAGTGATATCGTGCAAAGCAGTCAGTCCATTTAGTGGGCAGTTACGACCTTACGATAACGAAATGAAAAAAGGCGCTATTTCGAGGTTAGCAGTGAGATTTGAGAGCATTGGCTGAACGTAACGATGAATCTCGTGTTTCTATTCCAACCTCACGTCTGTCAGACAAGTAGTACTACGTATGCATCCGGTCTAGACCCCACTTCATCAAAAATCTGAGCGCCAAAGGATCAAGAATAATAATCCCAAAGAAGAAATCACCGGCCTCTTAGCCTACACTCAGGCCGCGGAACGCATCCTTCGGCGCATCGAAGAAACTCAACGTCGGCCCCTTTCCGAACTGTCTCAGACCAAGTTCGTGAGCATTCGCGTTCGAGCAGACCACCTTGAAGGCCTGCCTGCAAGGGGAGAAAGAAAAAGGGGAACTATGCTCGTTTGTTGATCTTAGTTTATTCTCCGATGATTCAACCAGAGACTTCGACAGCAACAAACATAGATAATGAGGTACCCGTGTGGTTTGTTTCAGATTGCGGTTCTCCACTACTAGTGAACCCCTGAGTCGGGGTGAGTCTGAGTCTTAGTCTCAGGAATTGTAACCAAGGCACGTAAGTCTGACACCAAACCAGGAAATTGAAACATTCCTGGCAGACGCCACCAGCCCCAAACAGGGCATGGCATGGGTTTGGGGCAGAAGTGGAGAAATGCCGTTGAGACGTTAGAGCCACCGGAGGGTAGAAAAAAAGCAATTGGTCTTCGTCTCTCTTGGCGTGGACATCTTGCCTCATCGGGTAGGGATGGCCCCTTCCGTGAAGGATGAGACGGGATCGTTTAAGCTAATTGCGGGTGGGGATCTGGTTGTCAGTGCTTTGATTGGGACCGGCATTGGTTACGATTCGGGTCGGAGAATTATCCACTGCGGAAGAGGCGTTGGCATGTGCTCCTGGACCAGAGGGCAGGGGCGCGTGGATTAGGTTCTGGCTGCTGCTTGCCTCTGTTTAGGGTATCTATGGGTTGTTAATACAGATTTTAAGATGGAAACAAGATACTCGCCCCCACGTCCGCTTAGGGCGAGTATAGAACTGGAATCAGGTTACCCCAAGGCACACTCTTTCATCGACAGATTGAAAGACTAGGTTAGGCTATGGCAGCTAAATAGTCTACGTAGCAGTCTCTGCTCCAGCCTTGCCATTTTGTTTCTTCTCTAGTCCATTTCCGTACATAATATGGATACCCCCCAAACCTGAAACGAAGCTATATAGTAGTAGTGGATCAACAACAAGCTTGACAACGCCAACTTTAATTTCGGTTGATGCCGTTTTGACCCCATTCACCCACATGAATATCACCGAACGACCGTCTACCAGGAGACTCGTCACTTCGGGGTCCTTCCCGAATGAGATTGTATACAATGCATGCCGTGAGGGAATGATTCAGGTCTGCCTCGTGATCTGTCATGTCGGACCGTGCCCGGCCCTGAGGCGTCAACCTCGTTGTCGATCACACGAGACGTGGCTATTATACAGCGCACATGCATGCAGCTGCCATCACGGTGCCGGCAGTTCTGTATACATCAGTTGCTCGCTCACCGTAAGTTGACCAACTCTGTACATCATATAGACCTACTGTAGGGATCTGCACAATTTCAAATCACTCTAGCGAATCACTGCGGAGAATTAAGTCCTTCAGCAGTCTTGGCTCTCTGGTGGAGTCGCCCTGACAGCCAGGGAGAGGTGGAGAGGATCGTCAACCAGGACAGGAAACCCTTTGGAGGTGATCATTTCCACATGCGCAACGACTCGGCACGACGGTGCGACCGGCATGAAGCACCGCTGGGGGGTGACTAGTCAGATATTAGCTGACAAGCCGGCAATCCTAGTGATAGGCAGGCAAGTATATCGGCAGTAGGGCACGGGGAGAGCCCTCCCCGACACACCTTACTCCTCCCTATAGATGATAGATAGTGTGAAGGAATATTCCCGGAGATAGCGCGACCCACGTAACCTATCCTCCCCGGTCGGGATGGTGGATAGTCGGCAAAGGCAGCGTTCGGGAATCCGGTTGGCAGGCAGTGATTGGGCGCCAGAGTTGGGGATATCTGGGTCCGATCAGAGTCGGTCAACCAGATCTCATCGTCGGATTGCATTCGACATCCTCAGTGGTCAATGGTTCAGCCCCTATTAGTTAGGATGGCCCTGGGCGCCACACTCCAATAGTCGCAGTTCCAGAAGGACCACTTTGCCCTGGTCAATGCATTGGGTCCAGTCCGCGTGGTTCTTTGGTGTGTCGATCAGCCACTAGCGATTCTTCCCCCACCTCGTGCCCCCGAATGGAACGGGGCAGTCGAACAGGGGCCGAAATATTAGAATGATGCCATCTATTCACGGCGGAGGCTTTTCTCTTCTCCGTCCTTCTCTCTCTCCTTCTCTACACTCTCCCAAACACCTACACCCACACTCTCTTTGACACCCCGACATGCTGTGAGAGTCCTCCATCACTGCGGGTACGTTGGAAATCCACCGACGGGTCTTGCCCTCGTGCTACTCCAGGGGCGAAAGAAAATGCCCCCAATCCCTCCTGTCCACCACGCTCAGGCTGACCATGTCCCAGGATGATTTAGGATTACGTTTCCACCCACTGTCCCTTTCCTCTTTCCTGGCCCCGTTTTTATCCAGGACCGCCCCGGGCGCTTGATTCCCTACCGAGACTTTTTTTTTTTTTGCCTTTTTTTCCCCTGGTCAGCCGAGATATATACCCACCAGCCGGACCAGGGTTGCCCAGCATGCGTCCCTTTAAAGCCTCCGACCTCCTGGACGCGGGGACCCGTACGCGCAGCACCTCCGTCTCCAGCGACACGCCGCTCACCCGAGTCAACCTGATGTCCCCGCCGTTTGTGACGCCGCCGCCGGGGTTTATCTCCTCCTCTGCCGCCTCTGAGATCATCACCGCCGACCAGGAGTTTAATGCGGCCGATTTTGTTGCCGAAGACGACGAGGGCGCCGCCATCGGCGCAACGGCCGTGGTTACGCCCGCGGCGCTGTCGCTGCTGAACGGATTCCTCGACAATATTCTCTTCAATATTCTCGGAATCTCCAAATCCACCCAATTGACATGCATCCGACCTGCCGTAACGGACGTGCTGAAGCCCCGACTCGCGGCGGAAGTCGTCACGGCCGCCGACGATGAATTGAGCGAATACATGGGCGGGGCGGAGGACGAGGAAAATGAATTTCGGGGTGGCCAGGAACCCGGTGGGGATTTTGACCTGATCCGGTCATGGAAACTCACACGACTCCGCTGCATGGTCTACACCCGCCTCGGCGACATGGAAGAGGACGACGAAGACGAGTTTATCGCCCAGGATAGCTTGGGAGACTCGCACGGTGCACCGCGCCGGTTTTCCAGCCATGTCGACAATATCACCCCGGCCGCGGCTATTTTCTTGACTTCGATCATTGAATATATTGGCGAGCGCGCCCTGGTCATTGCCGGAGAAACAGCGCGGTCTCGCTTGTCAGTCAAGCTGAACGACAATGGCAGCGAAGACGCAGACCGAACCAGTATCGATCGGCTCGTGGTGGAGGACCTGGATATGGAGAAGCTCGCGCTCAATGCAACCCTGGGCCGCCTATGGCGCACATGGCGAAAACGCAGACGCGGAGCCACCTTGTCTCGCACCTTGTCGCGCGACTCCTTCCACCGCCGGCGATACACCACGATGGGCGCCAGTCGCAAGAGCAGCATTTCCACCATCGAGGAACCAATCACACCCAGAGAGATCAAGGACTCTGATCCAGCTTCGATTCCGCTACCCATGAACGACCACGATATTCAAGAAATTGAGATTCCTGGTTACAAATTCAATCACGACGCCGAGGTCCAAACCATGAAAGCCATTGTCGCCCACAAAGTGCGCCCGCGAAGTCTAATGGTTCTTCCCTCGCCGCTGCCACCCAACTCACCGCTGGCGTCCAAGGGGCCGCCATCGACTAACGCCTCTCCCGTGGACCCCGCCAGCCCCGGTCAGCGCAAAGTGATCCGTCACGTTCGCTCAAGATCGTTGCCAAGCTCCACATCCAGCCCGGTCGTGCAAGTCGCCACGGGCATAGAATCGCTGCAATCGCCCACTTCCGACAAGCACCAGGAGGCTGTGGAGGATGACGACGAATCCGCAGAGTTTGTGGACGCGGCTGAATCTGCACCTGGCTTGGCTATTAGCACGTCTCCCACAGCTGACGAGCTTTCACCTGCTGAGAGGCAGAGGATGTCTGTGGTGCCCGAAGAGGAAGAAGAAGCAACTCCGCACCCGGACAACTTGCATGTGAGCGACACGGTAGCACCCCTGCGATCCAGCGATACCGGCGAACCGTTGAGTGAGGTCTCCTCCCTGAATGAGCGCGATCTGCGAGCCAGCGATCAAGCGTCGATCTCGTCTTTGAGTGAACACGGCAATGACAACTCGGAGGTAATTGAAGGTCGCGGCACGTACGAAAAACCTAAGCAGACTGCTACGATTCAACGCCCGAAACGCAAATCCAGCAGGGGTATCACGCAGCCGTCGCCGATCTCCGCAGAGGCTATGCCCCCACCGACGCAAGGGGCAGAAACCACGCATACACTTGAGAACGAGGCTATCAAGTATTCTAGCGATTATGATGCCATGGATGGCGATGAACATAAATCTCCCATGATGGCCGCCCTGGGATACGACCGAGAGCCAGAGGAACCTCGACCAGATTCGACCTCCAGCAATTATTCACAGCGATCGCAGAGCTCGCGTCGCAGCAAGCCTTCTCCGTTAATAGTCGCAGCTAGCAACCGGAGCAGTTCGCGCCGAACAGACTCCAGCAGCTCGACGGCGACCGAACGAGCCGCTGTTCAGCGAATGCCTCGAGCATCGACATCCGTGCCTACAACCACTGTTCAAGTTCGACCGGCTCGCTCCGAGAGTCTCAACCAGCGCCCGATGACCGCGAACTCGACGACATCTCAGGTGTCCACCAAACTGAAGGGGTTTATAAGCCGTCAGCCAGGCGACTCTCCCTCTCTTCGTCTTCGTAGCTCGTCTGACACGAGTCGGGCTTCTGGTGACACCGGGGACTCTGCCGCGGACGGCGCGGACTTGGACAAGTTGATCAACAGTGACGAGACTATCCATTACACGCTAACTCCTCGGAGCGTGCGAGAAATGGGCTTCCCTGACGTGCCGCCCAAGCCGATTCCTCGGACGGACACAACGGGGACTTCAGATCTGGCAGATTTCCTGAAGAACACCGGTCCTCCAGGAGACGATATGCCCCGAGCACGGCCGTCTGTCTCTTCCAAGACAAATCGCGACTCGGTCAAGCACGTTCCCATTGCATCCCGCATGAGCACATCTTCAACACGGGCGAAGGTGCCGGTCCAGGCACGAGACGCTCGATTGGGCGGTGATTCCACTCGGGACCTGGCCGAATTCATGAAGGCTACCGGTCCCATCAACGGACCGACCAGTGCCCCGTTGAAGCCCAGCGCACCCAATGTTTTGCCTGCCAAGCCTTCCTCGCCTAATCCGAACCGACCTCGACTACAGGCTCGCGGCGCAGACACCGCGGCGGGATCGCAGACTTCAGAGCTTATTGATTTCATCCGGGAAGGGCCGCCACGGCCCGGGGGCGCCCACCGCATTCCTCGAACGGTTGCACCCTTTCGGAACACCGTTGATTCGGACGACCTCCAGCTGGATCAGGCCACGCGCAACTCCCTTGCGAGCACACAGGATAGATCCGCACCCACTTCTGGCTCGCAAGCAACACTCGACTCCGCAAGTCGCCTAAAGGGCCGAATGGAGTATGCCGCTGCAAGTAAAGCAGCGGCCCAAGATGCCGCTGTACCTGTCCGCAGGAATCGATTCCAGAGCGCCCCAGACCCCTATGCCATTGACGATGACGAAGATGACGACCTACTCGAAGAGCTGCTAGAAGCAGAACAAGTCCAACCCAAGCGACAGGAGGAAAGCCTAATGGATTTCCTGCGCGACGCTCCTCCTCCGCCACCGAGCGACCCTCAACCCCTGTCAGTCAATATCCCTCAGAACAACAACTCCTCTTCCAACGGATTCGCAAGCGACTTCAAGGCCCGTCTGCTTCGTTCCGCCGGCGGAGATCGGACGGACAAGTCCCCGTCCACAAAAGTATCCAGGACATCTCTTCGCTCGCAAACGAGCAACTACACTGCCCCGCCCTCGAACTATACGGCCAAGGTTGGCATGGAGCGAAACGCCGGGACCATGCCTTCAATGCCCAACACGTCTAACCGTGCAACGGAGACAGGTGCACTGGCGGACTTCCTTCGCAACACTGGACCCCCGGAGCCGGTTTCGCCGCGGCCGTCGTCGAGCTCGATGGGGAATAACATGAACAACACATTCTCGCGCCTGTTTGTGCGTCGGAGGAAGGTTGAAGCTTAATTTTTCTATTTTCTTCCTTGCTTCGTTGAGCGATTTCAAGCCGTTTTGACGACCACCATCCATCCACTCGGATCATGCCCATTATTTTTGGCATCTTTTTTTCCTTTAGTTCGACGATCTGTCAATCCTTCTTGTGTATAAATTCTCATGTGCTCCCCCGACTTCTTACTATCTTTTGATCTTCTGCGTGGGCGAAGCCCGGTGGCATTTTTCTTCTGTTTCTAATCTGCACCACTTCTGGTTAATCGCTTTTTTCTTTCCTTTGCTTTTTTTCCTTTTCCCTCGCACATGCAACGTCATTTCTGGGATGAAAACGACTATCTAATAGACTCGTGTCCGTTCTCTCTGTCTGCTCTTTGACTGGGATGTCCTTGAATTGCTTTGTGGAATTGCGCTAGATACCAGATTTTTTTTCTCTCTTGTTATTGTGTCTATTATTTGAGCCTAGCGCTAAGAAAGTACCTATTTGATCTGTTTGATGACCTTCAATTTACTGTGCTTTAAACTCGTTACAAGGAATGTGTACAAAGACAAAGAAATCCGCTTGTCAATAGACCATAGTACTGGGTTCTCAAAAGGGCAGGCGGAACCCCCTGTCCTGATCCCGTGACCGTCCCCTTAGGTGGCATCAACAAGCAGCACAACACCAACTGCCTTGTCCGGCACGACATTCTACTCCACGCACTCGCAGCCAGCCATGGGCTCCTCTCGGTTCAACATGGGGTCCCTCCTCAGTTTTCTCCTTCTCGTCGTCCAGATCGCATCGGCCCTGAAATTCGACCTTGCCGCCTCCGGGGGCTACGGCGGTGGTAACGAACGATGCATCCGTAACTTCGTCGCCAAGGACCAGCTCGTCGTCGTTACAGCTATTGTAAGCGGCCAGAAGGGAGATGGACAGAAGGTCAATTTGCACGTAAGTGAATTGCTCGTTGCGGGACTGCTCACGTTTCTTGTTTTTCTTTCCCTTTTGTTTTTTGGGTACCCTACAAGCAACGCAATTGCAACGACTAATGATATTCCCCGACATACAGATTAAGGATGCTATGGGCAATGACCATGGTAAAGCGAAGGATATCGCAGGCGAGACTCGCCAGGCGTTCACTTCACCAGGCGACACTGCCTTTGACGTGTGTTTCGACAATCAGCTTGTTTCACACCGTAAGAGCCCCCAACACCCAAAGGATTCCCCCTTGTTTCTGACAGCAACCATCAACAGGCGGCGTCCAAAACCCCTCCCGCTCCATCGAGCTCGACGTCGACATCGGTGCCGACGCCCGCGACTGGTCCAGCATCGCGATCAATGAGAAGCTACAGCCCATCGAGACTGACCTCCGCCGCATGGAAGAGACGGTCGCGGAGATTGTGACGGAGATGGAGTACCTTCGCTCGCGTGAACAGAAACTGCGCGATACCAATGAAAGCACCAATGAGCGGGTGAAGTGGTTTGCGTTCGGGACGATGGGTATGCTCGTTGGGCTTGGGACCTGGCAGGTTGTTTACCTGAGGGCTTACTTCCGGTACGTACACCTTCCTATCATGCTATCGGACACGAATCCGTGCTGGTGACATTATTGGCTGACATTGCTGCTTTCTAGATCCAAGCATCTCATCTAGACAATTGCATTATTTTTTTTGTGAAGTTTTTTTGGGGCGAGGGGTTTCACTGCAGCGCATGATGGGGAGTAGTATGTAATGTCTTGTGGCATTCTGTTCCAACACTCATGATGATCTCAATGGTATAAAATATTCGCTGTCCTGCCTAGCCTAGCTGCGGGTCGGTGGTCATAATCAAGATGTGCTATAATGTTCGAATTGCTCGCCACGCCACAAGTAGTGTATGTAGCCGAGTTTCTGCTGGTTAGACTTGTAGATCCATAACAATTGGTGCTCTTTAATACTCAGTATATTCTACAATCATACCCTGCCCTGGTCCATTGACGGAATCACCTCGAGCTGCTTATTTCCACCACTGCAAACAGTGCAAACATCGGAGAAACACGCCAATGACTCGGGGATGATGTCAAGCTCCAACCGAGCGACTCGCCATTCTTCCTCTGGCCAACTACTGCACTCTCACCGAGGCCAGTGACCTGCTACGATGTCAATTCCACGTCTCATCCCACGGAGCCTCCTACGGCCGTCGCCGTTCGCTCCCAGCGCTCTCCCAGCATCCAGCCGGGCATTCGGCACGACAGCTCTACGCCTGCAAAATGTCAAGATCAACGACCGCGCCCCTTCCACGGCGGCAGCACATCGCGACAACCAGACCAAGAAGCAGCCCAATCAGTCCGTGCCAAATACAACCTCCACCATGACCAAGGACTTCCCCAATGTCGGGGAGAAGCCGGCGCCGCCGGAGATGCTGAACTCCGTGGATCCGAACTACCGTCCGGCGGATCCCTACCCAGGCAGAATTGAGCATTTCACGGGTGGACGGCAGCAGAGCGGTGCGCAGAAGCCCGAGCTTGGGGTTGGAGAGATGGAGGGGATTACCTTCAGGGTTGAGCCGCTGAAGAGGGATGGGGAGGATGCTGCAACTATGCGGGCTCGATTACTATGTTTGTTCGCCCTCTTCTGCGTACAGATCTGTCTTTAGATAAAGATGTCGTGTCGCAAGCAAAGACGAAAGCTAATAAAGTATCTCCAGACCAAAGCCGGAAGCGAGGCATCCTGGAATCCGACCTGCTCCTCTCCACCTTCGCAGACGTCTACCTCGCGCAAATGACCCCAGCCCAACTTCAGGAATACGACCGCTTCCTCGACGAGAACGACTGGGACATCTACTACTGGGCCACGCAAGACCCGCCGTCGACTGCAGAGGCGCAAGAAACCGAAGCCTCTGCTGAAAAGCCCCAGGATACCGTAACGGAAACCTGGAAGCGCACTGGCGCCAAGAGCGGCGAGTGGGCGCAGACGATCGGTGCCTTCAAGGCTGCTTACCGGCCTGTGCCATCACGATGGGCTGAGTCGGAGGTCTTGCAGCTCCTGCGGCAGCATGTGCGTGATAAGAGCGCGACTGGGTTTGAGTCGGCGAAGAATAAGAAGACTGGAGGTGGGGGCTTGGGGCGCATGCCTAATGTGCAGGTGTTTAATTCGTGAGCATCTGCGAGTATATTATCATCATCCTTATCATTGTAGAAGAGAATGCCATCCTATTTACTTTGTCCCTCTATACTTGGGCTTGGCGGTCTCTCACGTGACGGGACTCGCTTGTTAGGGCTGCCCACAGAAAAGTTGGCTTAGGGTTACCCGCTCAGTGCGATTTTCTCCAACGACATCTCGTCAACCCTATCACTCTCTCCTTCCCCCCTCCATCCGTCTCAATCCTCATCATGGCTGAGCAGCTGGTTCTTCGCGGCACCCTCGAGGGCCACAATGGCTGGGTTACCTCTCTGGCTACCTCTCTGGAGAAGTAAGGCGCATCCAAAATTACCGGTTGATTGCATTGAAGACTAACTCGGATGACAATAGCCCCAACATGCTGCTGTCGGGCTCCCGCGACAAGACCCTGATCATCTGGAACCTCACCCGCGACGAGCAGGCTTACGGCTACCCCAAGCGCAGCCTGGAGGGTCACTCCCACATCGTCTCTGACTGTGTATGTTCTCGTCCCGAATTGAAAAAAAAAAAGGAATACAAGACAAGGAATGGCAGCGGTTTTTCTGGAACTGGGCTGATGATTAGTCTGCGCTATAGGTGATCTCCTCCGACGGTGCCTACGCTCTGTCCTCCTCGTGGGACAAGTCGCTCCGTCTCTGGGAGCTGTCCACCGGCAACACCACCCGCACCTTCGTCGGCCACACCAACGACGTCCTCTCCGTCTCGTTCTCCGCCGACAACCGTCAGATCGTCTCCGGTTCGCGTGACCGCACCATCAAGCTGTGGAACACCCTGGGTGACTGCAAGTTCACCATCACCGAGAAGGGCCACACCGAGTGGGTGTCGTGCGTCCGCTTCAGCCCCAACCCCCAGAACCCCGTCATTGTCTCTGCTGGCTGGGACAAGCTCGTCAAGGTACGCTATCTCTCTTCCACCCGAACCCGTTGCAGCAGCAGCTCGAACCACATGATGTTTGCATATTCTACGTATTTGCTACTTCAGAGCCCCATTGGGGGCGATGAGACAATTTTTCACCATAATGCCTGATGGGAAACAAGAGGAGGAAATTTTTCCCCACAAAGATTCACATATATCTTGTTGGAATTTTATGCTGACAAGTGATTTCACAATCAGGTGTGGGAGCTCGCTTCCTGCCGTCTCCAGACCGACCACATCGGTCACACCGGCTACATCAACACCGTCACCATCTCGCCCGACGGTTCGCTCTGCGCCTCCGGTGGCAAGGACGGCACCACCATGCTCTGGGATCTGAACGAGTCCAAGCACCTCTACTCCCTCCACGCCGGTGACGAGATCCACGCGCTCGTCTTCTCCCCCAACCGCTACTGGCTGTGCGCTGCCACCAGCAGCAGCATCACCATCTTCGACCTCGAGAAGAAGAGCAAGGTCGACGAGCTGAAGCCCGAGTACGTCGAGAAGGGCAAGAAGTCCCGCGACCCCGAGTGTGTCAGCCTGGCCTGGTCCGCCGACGGCCAGACCCTGTTCGCCGGTTACACCGACAACAAGATCCGTGCCTGGGGCGTTATGTCGCGGGCATAGATGGAGTCTTTGTGTATGTGGTGGATTGATGGGTTGACTGGTCAAGCGCTGTATGGAGGGAGCCTCTATTCTTTTCTTTTCTGATCTATCGACCTTGAATGAAGAGGGCAATTTAAAAAAAGTTCAAAAAATTACCCGCACAAGAAGACACAAAATCGGGCATATAGGTTGTTTTGGGAATGTATGAGCCACGAGCAATGAAGCAAGCACTCTGGGTCCGATGGGCCCGGTGGGTTTCTTGACATATCTAGCTTCGATCCGTCATGATAAAATCGAAATATCTAGATTCTTGTGATAGCATTCAAGTACCGCAGTTTCGGTGTGTATGGTCCGTCGATGGATAATGTACTCGATAGGAAAGAATATATAGAAGCCCTATCCGGTCGAAAAGAGAGAAGCTTCCATTCTTGCTGGATATATAATATATACATCATCTAATGTTCATATTGTACACATTGACTAGAATTATTTTTTCGACACTCTTTTCAGTGCCTCTTCCGTCATGGCAATTCCTTCCTCATACTCGAGACCCTTTGCCAGAGACTGCGCCTCAACATAGAGCTGGCGTGCCGCGTCCGGCTTGTTCTGCAACTCAGCCAACTCTCCGAGGTTGTAGGTGGCCACGACGCAGGTGATATCGCACTCTTCGTCGCGCACAGGTGGCTGGATACGCGCCGCCACATCCAGAGCTTTCTGTGCCCACTGTCGGGATGCTTCGATGATCTGTTCCCGAGAGACTGGTTGCTGCTGCTGCTGTTTTTGAATCAGCGGCCGCTGTGCCTGCCCGGCCATGGCGCTGGCCACATCGTTCAAAAGAACAACCTGCTTGCAGCTTGGCGAGTCGCCCTCAGTGACGCGGACCATTTCCAATGCGCGCATGTACAGCGGCATGGCTAGCTCGTGCCGCTCCTTGGCCGAGTAGGTGTTTGCTAGCTCTGTAAGCGCCGTGGCAATTTCCGGCAGGCTCAGCCATGTATCGGTGTCGGATCCATCACCATTGCCGCTGCCACTACCACCACCACCAACAGGGAGACCAAGCTTCTGGCGACGGTGCATCTCTTTCAGGCACAGCTCCACAGCGGCGACCTGCGCAGCCTCGGCTTTCTGGTCCTCCTGGATATGGTCGCTCGAGTACAGCTCTGCCAATTTCATCTCTATGCCGATGACTTTCTGGAGGGTCTTGGTGCGCTGACGAGCTTCAAACTCCTGCGTCTCCTTCAATTCATTCTCGGCGTCCTGGAGCGCCGCATCGTCAATTTGGACATTAGGTGGCGTGGACTTGTCCTCCTTCTTCAAAGGGCTCGGCGCAGCAGTTTCCGCGTCGAGTTTCTCAACCCACTCCAAGGCCTCATTCTTTGTCCGCTCCAGCACCTCAATAGCTGGCTTCATCAAGCCCGCCTTCTCCAGCATCATTGCCACCTGCAGCTTGATACCCATCACCTCGTCCGAGAACGGGTGCATGCCCATCTCCAGCGCCATCCGCAGAGCTGCCTTGTACGCCTTCAGCGCCTTGGGCGCGTTGAGGTTGATCTCGGTGTAATAGACCCCCGTGCGCAGTGCGTCTGCCACGGGGGCGGGAATTTGCTGTACTGGGGAGCCACCTGCGTCAATTCCACGTAGGAGATGTACGCGAATGTGGCGACGCCGCCTACGACGGAGAGGATGGCTAGCGGGAAGAGAATTGGGTTCTTGCGCCAGATGCCTTTTGAAGCTTCGCGGAAGCTGCGTCGGACACGTTGCGCAAGCGAGAAGTGTCGTGGTAGTGGGAGGCGCGGTGCGAGTAGTGTGTTGGCATTATTGGTGTGTCGCGAGAGCAGCGTTGGTCGTGCAGTGTTGGTGCGGATCGACCGTGTCGTGGTTTGAAATACATTGGAGGCAGAGGCGCCGGTGCGCCTTGATGCTATTCGGAACATTGGGGGTTGTGTGGTGGTGTGGTGAGAGAGAAGGTGTCTCGGAGAACGAAGAAGAATGAAGACGACGTGATTTTGTCAGCTCGACTGACTGACTTCCCGCCATGACGTCGCGACCTCAGGAAACCGAGTCAACCACCACAACAAAGCAGATGAATTAATACATACCACCCAGACATGTGTGGCCGCTATGCATTGGGCGTCGTAGGTTTTTGTTCTATTTCTCGCACCTACACGATGGGACTAACCATCACCAGCGCCTGGCATACATCCGGCAGCGCCTCCAGGACAACGGCATGCAAGTGGATGAAGCGCCCGACGACGATGAGGTCAGAGAGACATACAACTTTGCGCCCGGCAATCTTGGTGCTGTCTATCGTGCCGACACTCCAGAGCATGGACATCAGCAAGGGAACAAGGAAAGCGAAGAGCCAACTGAGACCCAGAATGAGGATGTCCAAAAAGAGACTAAGTACAAGCTTCAGAGCATGAAATGGGGTCTCATCCCATTTTGGACAAAGCGACAACCGGATTACGGCTCTATGATGCGCACGATCAACTGTCGCGATGATTCACTGATCGAGGACCGTGGCATGTGGACGACGATGAAGCGGCGTAAAAGGTGCATCGTGCTCTGCCAGGGATTCTATGAGTGGCTGAAGAAGGATCCCGGGGGCAAAGTGAAGATTCCGCACTTTGTGAAACGCAAAGATGGGGATCTGATGTGTTTCGCCGGTCTATGGGATTGTGTATCATATGAAGGTAAGAGTGCCTTTCCAACTATGGTCTTTCCATCTGACCCTTGCTCGGTGGAAAAGGCTCCGACGAGAAGCTTTACACTTACACGGTCATCACAACCTCCTCCAATCCATACTTGAAGTTCCTTCATGACCGCATGCCCGTCATTCTGGATCCTGGCAGCGATGCCATAAAGACGTGGCTCGACCCTAGCCGCACCACCTGGTCAAAGGAGCTGCAGTCTATCCTCAAGCCGTACGAGGGCGAACTAGAATGCTACGCTGTCCCAAATGAGGTTGGCAAGGTTGGGAATAACTCGCCTGATTTTATTGTACCTGTGAACAGCAAAGAAAACAAGAACAACATCGCCAATTTCTTTGCGAATGCTAAGAAGAAGCAAGACTCCTCCCCGAAAAAGGAATCTCCAGAGACGAAGAGTTTCAAACATGAGGAGTTCAGTGATCCGGTGCCCGGCGTCAAGAGAGAACATACACCGGATACCCCGGTTGAACCCAAGAAACCAAAGATCCATGCGACTCCCGCAACCCCTTCACCACAGAAAACAGCCAAGAAGATGCGTAGTGCTACTCACAATTCTCCTATGAAGAAAACCGATCGGAAGAAAACAACGGATGGGTCACAGCAGATTACCAATTTTTTCAAGAAATGATAACAGCTTATGAATAGTGATCGTTAGGCGATAGGATATAGTCCATGTTGTCTGTAGGGAATATAATACATGTTGTTCCTCCATATCCTATTTCTTCTCCAGTTCGCGTAGTCTTTGCACCAGCTTTTCTCGAAGAAAAGGGCTCAATCCCAAACTAAATGTCCGATTAGCGTATTCTTTTTCGAGAGAAAAGGAGGACTTACATTCCATCCCGAGTCACAATTCTGTAAGTGCCTATATCGGATTAGCATGGGTTGAACACCGCTTCTCAAGAAAGCATACCACTCGGTTGATAGTTCCCACCGCCGCCAGCAAACTGACCGTTCCCATCCACCTCCAGGCTTCCAAATATATCTTCCGGCCTGCAAAGCGGTCAACCACTAGTTACTCCCCAAACCAAAGGTGCATCTTACCAAGCGATTCTTCCAAATTCAGGCGGCCGCCTGCTATCGGATATATGGATCCAGCCGCCTCTACCCCCCGATCCCGCACCGCCTTGACCACTGGCTCCGCCACTGGAGTCGCCAGTTTCTGCGCGGCGTCTCCTGCCTCGCTGCCCGGTCAGGAGCACGCCGCCGGAGCTCAGGTTCGCTCCGGAGGTTGATGCCATGACCTGCGCCTGCGATTTGGCATCCGGATCCTCATGCGCATGTTTGGATACCACTTCTTGAAGTGTGCCGAGGAACTTGGGGTTCTCTGTGAATGAATCTGTGGTGGGTGGCAGCTTGGTCGAGACTCCGATAGCTAGCTCTGGGTTGACAGGATCGGATGGAAGCAAAGAGAGAATGTGACTTCCATTTGAGGCGTCCTTGTTGGGGAAGACGTACTGTTCGAGGTATCGACGTCAACTGAAAGCTTCCCCAGAATTTTACTTGGAGGCATCTTACTATGTGTGGGTTGCCCTCCAAAGATGATACCCAGCGAATCTGAGATCGCTTAGACAATGAGAAGGCCTGGCGAGCAATTGATCTTGTGGCGAACATTTCCAAGGATCAGTAACGACTTGGAGACAGAGAGGAAGTGGAAAGTGTTGTTGTTGTCGCAAGGAGGCAGAATATAGGCGGTATGGAAGACGGTGAACCGATCAACCATTCACCGAAGGCTATTGTTGCTCCATTGATGACTTCCATCTTCACTTGCGCCGACAGCCCTGGTCAATTGCAATGGGGGACTTCCAGGCTCCGGCATATATGAATTGCGCTTCTCCGTCGTGATTTCCCTTCTTACATGTCTCTCGATCGACGCACCCTTGAACCATCAAGTTGTTGCGCTTCGAGACGGCTGCTTCAGTTTCAGCTTCATTCATGACACCCATTTGATCGCCTCGGTTTCACCTGTCTCTCTCTAACCATGGCGACTCCATCGGCGAAGCCAGGTGCGACGCCCACTCACCTCACGTCCTCCCCACACCCAACCGCACCCATTCCTCGATCCTTCGCGCATAAATCACCCTTGACAAGAACGCCGTCTGCCTCGGGACCCGCTCAGCTACACCAGATCAGCACTTCTTCTCTTCAATATGCCACACCTCTTGCTGTGACAAGTGGTGTGGATGATACCGTGAGCTTCAGCTCGCCGTCTGCACTCTTGGCTCTTGGCAGCTATACCGGGATCAGCCCCTCGCCGGCCGTCAATGATGGTCTTGTCGGTGCGGCAATGCATGAGAACGACATCCAGAATCTGGGAATGGGATTCAAGCTCCGTGTTCCTCGAGACAATGACGCAGTACAACAACGCCGGATTGAAGAGGTGGTCCAGTGTCTACGTGCGCGCGTTGCGGGGCGAGGTGTATCGCGGGAAGGCATTGAACGACTCAGCCGGCTAGAAGGATTTGAGTCGATCTGGCAAGAAGACAACATCAACATTGCGGGAAATTTCGTCGACCTGGAAATCGAGTTTCACCCTGGTCATAATGCTGTGAAGGACGTGAGCTTGCGATATGCCACCCCAGAATACACAGAAGGCGAACGGCGTGAGGAAGCCACTGCTGTGTTGAAACGCAACCTCGTTCAGTCGCCCCTTGACGCTGAATGTGGAAATTGGAAGATACCCCAGGGATTTTACGAGAACTTGCAATGGCTTGCCAAACATGATAAACTCAGCCAGGAGATCAATTGCTTTGAAGCATTGGAGGGACTGGAAGAGAACTTCAGACGCATATGGGGAGAAGAGGCCAAGACATCAAAACATGGCGGAGATCATGAGCATCTATGTACGGGAGTTATTGGTCGCCCAAGCATGCACAAGGGAGCTCGAATCGGACTCGGCTTAGAGTACTGGGTTGAGCAGGCCAAAGTCCTGGATGCAAAAGAACAAGCCACATCCCCAGACGCCATGGTGATTGACCGACCAGAATGCCAGGATCGGGATGATCAGCCCCGGATATGGAGTATTATGCTTGAGTGCGAAGATGGATATCCCTCACTGCGCATCTCGAAAGAGTGGGTGGGCAGCGAGGTCTTCACAGCGGGCGAGAGAAACGACTCCCTGCCTTCAAATGGAGCCGCGGGGTCTGTGAATTGGCTTGATCCTCCGCAAACGATGCGTCTGTCGCATGGAAATCATCCTGATCCCATGGCGCTTGACTCTAGCATGCTAGAATCGTCAGCTCCGAATCGTCGATTTGTCGCTAAGCTTGACCCCGCTCTTGACGTCCCTATACTCGCAGCCTCAGACATTTACCGACATCTGGGTATGCAGCTACCCCAGGAATTCAAAATATTCACCTATGACGGTTTGCTCGTACCGGAGTGGTCGCCATTGTCGTCAACAGACCCCTCCCCTCATTCAGGCCGAAGAAGACAGACGATGTCAGTGCAAGCGTTTGACTCGAAGGGCGAGCCGTACAACAACAAACAACACAGCTACACTTTCCAGGCATTTGAGTCTGTTGCTGGTCGTACAATCCGTGATCTTCCATTCTCGCATCCTCGACAGCTCGCGGATATCCTTCCGGTAAATATTCTGTCCCATTTCAAAATCTTTGATCAACGCTGACCGGGGCTCAGATTCTTCGTCAATATGCCTTGTTGGCCAGTTTGATCCGAACCACCTTTCGCTCTTCTAAGAAAGCAGACGAGAAACAAAAGTCTTCTGAGAAGCGACCAAAGAGTTCCTCTCCTGCCATGGAACCATGTATCTTCAAGGGTACTAACGGACTCATCACCTTGAGCAACGACAACCCCAACGAAAGCAGACTAGACTCGTTGCTTGGCAAAAATGATGCAGATGACTCTGAAGACGGGTCAATCAAACGCGAGGACACAAATGGGGTATCCAAAGACGACGTGAAAGTGGACGTGACTTTGCGCACGCAACTCGGACATGCTCCGGCACTGATGTTGCTTCTCACAATACCCGGGGGAAATGATCCAACTTCCTCTGAATCTACCCAGCCTGTGCCGGAACCTCAACAAATTTCGATCTGCCTCGAGGTTGGGTTGAATGGCCGGATTTCGACGGTGGACCTTGCTGGGCTTCCGGACGAGGAAACTACCGATGGTGGGGACGCTGAAATGCAGGGAGCGGACGAGACCGGCTCTAGCGCGCAGGATATGCGCAAGAAGATTGCCAGGGTTCTCGAGATCTCGCAGGATTTGGGTATTTTGGTGGAGTGGGTTCTCCGCTGGTTGCGAGAGCGGGCTGGCTCACAAGGTTGATGCATGTCTTTTGTCTGATACCATTGCTTGCCAGGCAATTCGACTAGCTTCCCGTCAACAAAATATTGGTAATATGACTCTTGTATCATATAGATCGTTGAATGATCAGCGTCTACCTCAATTATAGCTGCTTTGGCAGCCATCCTATCTATTGCATCTGAAATCATGATTTGTCGCTTACTCCGTTCCATGCCCGCCTAATGGACAAACGCTCTTTACTTTCGGACGACTCCTCCCTCTACCGAGTCTTGAGGCGCCGTGGGCGTTTGGTTAGTTTCACCCTCACTCTTCGGAGCTGCAGACTCATTTTTGTTGCTCCGACCTAGCACGCGGATGCCTCGATGTTTTGCAGCCCATTGTTTACCTTCTTCCTGCAGCCTTGCATCGTCATCGCGCTTGAGACTGTGGCCGCGGACGAAAAGTATAGTTATGAAGAAAGATGTGCAGCAGCATGCAACCATGAAATAATATATATTTTGGATCCCACGGGCTACTGTCAGTTAGTACAAGAAAGAAGGTTCCGGCATATGGGACCTACAATAAGCTTGGATGGCAGCTGCTCTCTGAGACTCCGTGAGGCCTAGTAGGGGGGAGTTTATCCGCGTGGGATCCGCGAGAAGATCCGAGAGGGTATCAGGTGAGATCAAAGAAGAAAGGCCAGTCCTGCAGAGGTTTCAAAATCAGCCACTTAAACGCTCAAACATATGCCTGCTCAAAACCAACCGAGCTGTATTGTTCAGTATTGCCGCACAGGCCGATAGGGCCACCGTGCCACCCAACATGCGCAGGAAATTCCGAGTTGAAGTGGCAACGGCCATATCACTTCTCTTGACACTCGCCTGAATAGCCACCAGGTTTGTCTGCAGCGTCTGCCCAGACCCAATCCCACTGAGGATTTGATACCCGACTAGTTTTGCAATGGAAATGGTTGGGGAGATTGTCGAGAGGAGCCCGCATGCAATAGCCCAAATGGCAAACCCGGCCCAGATGTTGATTGTATAGTTACCTGTTTTCGAGACTATAAATCCAGATGTAAAAGAGACGATGCATTGGGTGACCACGAGGGGGAGAAGAAGAACACCTGATTTAAGGGGGGAGGCGTTGTAGACGACTTGATAGAATTGAGGAAGCTGTAGGTCATCAGTGCTGTTATTTGGGACATCGGGATAGGGAAACGGTCTCACGTAGTACAGGTTGCAGTAGAACATAAATCCTGTGAAAAATGCTCCACCCAAGGCACCAGAGACGGTTGAGTTTTTGAATATGTGCACTGCCGCAGAAAATCAGCGCTGTGAGAACAAGAATGACCACCGAAGGAAGAATAAATACTGGGAATGAGAGGCAATGCGGCCAGTTTAAGTTCAATAAGGATGAATATCCCGAAAAAAAGATACCGAGAACTAGAGGAGCAACAACGCCGGCTGAACTCCAGGCATATTTAGTTCCACCCCTGTTATAGTGATGTCAGTACCGACTTGCGTTGGGTATGAGAATCCCACGAACCAAGAGATTGGGAGTAAGATAAGAATGGCGGATATCAACATAGTTGCACACCCCAGATAGTCAATCTTCTTGAGCTTTCCCTTGACATCTCCCTTGACCCGTTTCAAAGGGAGCACAAATGCAACAACGAAAATGGATATGCCTGTTAGGGGGATGTTGATATACTATCATTCCCATCAGCGGGGACATATACAAGCAGAGCCAGAGATACCGGAACTTACAAAACACCACCGCCACGAGACTTTCTCCGTAAACAGTCCACCTATCAAGGGACCCAGCGAATTGGACAGCGCAACTACCACCCCAAGAATGCCCTGGTAAGTGCCACGCTTTTCGAGAGAAACCACATCGGAAACGACGATCATGACAGAAGTCAGTATGCCACCTCCGCCAATTCCCGCGATTGCTCCTACAGGCCAATGGAATCAGATGGAATCGTTAAAGGAAGGAATGACGGGACAGTGACCTACGGAAGATGATAAGCATGGTCATGCTGCGTGACACCGCACACAGAATTGACCCGATCAAAAAGAATCCCATGCTGGTGAGAAGGATGATTTTGCGCCCAAAAATATCCGATAAACGGCCATAGAGCGGTTGGCAGGAGGTTGAGGTAAGGAGGTATGCGGTTCCGACCCATGACTCGATCGAGGCATCGTTGAAGACGCGGCCGAGAGTCGGCAAGGCGGTTGACACGCTATTTATATAGTCTTAGTATTACTTATTTGGTTTGAGGGGGCCACATATCATCGTACATCGTTTGGTCGAGAAGTGAGCCTGTAATTTAGAGTATACGATAAGCAATTTATTCCTACAAATCTTATTCAAAGACAGACTCACAAAATAGAGCACAGCTCAAGCCAGCAAAAACAACAAGCAATTGTTTCATCGGCAGCAGATTAGTCTGGTCTTGGAGCTTCATCTTTTCATTATCAGTAGGCGCCGATGGAGGGGTTTGGGCCTCGGCTTGGCCCGGCTCTTGTTTTGCGACTTCATTCTTTTCGGACTGTGTCTCTTCCGTAGCGGCTGGAGGGCGAGGCGGTGGTTGAGATGAATGCTCATGCATCACGAAGTATACAATTGAAACTCTAACTCTGAAACAATACTTGGCTTGGAAGAATGCACTATTTGAAAATGGATGACGAAAAAGAGGGAAGAAAACAAGACTTGGCCGGAGACTTATCCGAGTCTCGGAGATAATTGCTATTCCTGCCACTCACTATAACCCCACCGGAGACCCGCTACGTAGAAGACAACTAAGGAGCTATCGCCTACGGCACATTTTCCCGCGTGCTTCGGAGTCTCTCGCTCCCGCAAACGAATCTCCGGTTCCATTTAATAGCCCTATTCAATGGACCCACGGTCTCCCCCGCATTTCATTTGTTCCCCATGGGGACCTGGGTTCAGGTATTTCGATTCAGCCTCTGAACGATGGGCAATACGATGCTTTCCATGAGCCGCTTTACATAGATGATACCCTAGTCTTACAAGGATGGGGGAGGAAACCGTCGTGCTGTTTCTCCGTTTTCACTGATCCAACCTCTTATCGATTGGGATCAAGATGTCGTCTCCTAACGACAAGGATGCAGACATCGCTCATGTCGAAGAGTGCGGATAGAATGCCGATCCAAATAATCGTATTGTAATGCTTGCCGCTGCTCAGGACTATCGGAAGTTACTTCGCGCTTCTTCAATCTGCAATGAACCTGTTAGATTGGCTGAGTTGAAGGTTTTCTCTTCTCTTGTCTATAGATAGAGAGAAGCGTACCTTAAGTAAAATGAATTTTGTCTGAAATCTCCATACAATTTATATATGACTTAAAAGCTTTCTTTGTTAGTCTTTCCGAGTTCCTTTGTAGATCAGCCCTGATCGATAAGAAGAACCACCACGTGGGGTCGATCTGCCCCCATGAGGCTGAGTGAGTGGACGCCCGACTCAGCCACACAGCTTACCTGGTTGAAACAACTCGGCACCTATAAACACTACTGCGAGTCTGCAGTGCAGCTTGCTTGACGCCTGGTACCTCAGTCCCGCCAGAAAGGAGAAGATGCTACCTCTGTCTTCACTCAACCTGGCCGAGGAGCCTAAAGATGCTAATTTCATTACGCCCGACCAGTGTGTCGCCTATATCAAGTTTATCACGGCCCTTGGTCGCTTGCGGATGAACATCGCCAGCCAAGATGGTATCTTTGGGCTCTGGGATGAAGACACAGCTCAATTTGGTAACAGCAATGAAGTCCTCGCCCGGATCAGAGAGAAACGCTGGGCCGTATATACCGCACGCGCGGTTGACCGGTACACGAAATGGTGGGATGCATGTCTTCCCACGGCCAATCCGATGCCAACAATGGCAGACATGCGCAAGAGCACGTTTGGCCGGATCTTACGTCCTGATAATGAGGTGGTATGGCTGGAGAAATACCTCCCACCACTGGGTAAGCTCCTAACATATGTTTCTATTGTTTTGAGGCTGATATGTCATGTAGATGTGTTAATGGTCTGGCATAGTCATATGCTCAACCCGTGGGAATATCTTGAGGATTGTATCCGACATGGTAAAGTGAGCACTTGGGCGAGCAAATTTCCCTGGGAAATGATCAATCGCAGAATCGACGACCACACAATACAATATATTGCCACCGAGGAAGCTCAAGCTTCCTTTGAGAGTCTTCTCGCGTTGAAATGGGATAACTTGGATGATCCACTGAACACTATGATCGCATGTCCCAGTTGTAACAAACCCATTACCGTCGACTGGACCACTCGAAACTGGATCAAAGGCAGCTCTGACATCGATACTGCCTTTGCGAGCTGCACCGGCCTTGCTGACAAGAGCTTCCGGGTAGTCTGCCCGACTGCACATTGTCAGCTCTCAACCGACCATGACCGACTCAAACTGGCGAAGTTGCACAAGGACATTCGAGCCCTGGTGCACGAGGATGTATCACTGCGAGGATCATACTATAATCTAAACGGCATCCTCACAGTATCTTCTGCCCAGCAAAGAAGAAAATCCCCTCTATTCCCCAGCGAGCTTTTTAAGATCCTTTCACTAGAGCTGCTGGCGTTTACGGACCCGAAACAAGACATATGTCGCAAAATCACCAATCTGCACAGCTATTTGGAGACCAAGCTGCGCGATCAGGCAACTCTGGACCGTGCATACCGGGAAGTTACTGTGTGTGTTATCGGCTCTCCAGAGAAAAAATATCTCAACCGCATGCTTTCACGGTACTGGGACACCTCGACCCCATTCAGTTTGGACCTTGTCGGTGCCGTGGTTCGGCAAGGCACGTTTACGCAGCACATAGATCACCTAGATTGGGTGCATTCGCCAGATATCTTTGCCATCGCAGACAGGCTAGTGAATAAATACTCAGTTTTCTTCAGCATCGAGAAAAAGAACCCAAAACAGATGGCTGTACCTACGTTGGATGCGGACATCGCATGGCATACACATCTCCTCTCTCCGGCAAAATACTACGCCTACAGCAGCACAGCGACGACAAAGCCCCGTCTTTTCAGCCATGATGACCCTGTCGACCCCTGGCAGATGCATCTAGCATTTATCGAGACGAGCAGGGAATACCGCAAAGCCACATCTGGAGCGATCTACAGCGAGTGTGTCTGCTGGTACTGCGCAACCATTGTCCAGAACGATCTATATGAGAGCTCCATGCCCAGCGCCTCAAAGGGGCGCGCCCGAAAAGCAGCTGACGCGCTGTATGGACAGGGAGATATCTCGTCAAATGCATGCTGCGGCCCTCATATTTCCGCTCATAACGCCATTGCCAGGAGCAACATGTCCTCGCCCGCCCGACCCTATGAGCGACATCGCCCGAACTATCAGCAGCAGATGGAAAATGTACGACGGTTGACGTTGTCCCGGAGTCTTGAAAAGGCCTGCCAGCGACTGCAAAAGGGCAAGATTTCCGTTAACGCCGCCGCAGCCGCGGATCTTATGACTGCTCCAGTGTCTGTCTGGGGATATCAAGTGGATGTGGGCTTCTATGCGCCCTACATGGCAGATCCAGGCATTCATGCAGATCTGTATGCTCATGATCCCCGGCTCCAGTGCCCAGAACTACAAGGGAAGAAGGTCATCAATAACGAATGATTATGAATTGCGCAGATGACAAAGGGAGTTGGATGGAGCAGTCTATACCATGGACTGATACTCTTATAGATGAGTCCATAATAATGCATTTCGGGCCAAGGCCAGCTGTCAGTCAATGTACACTGTAGGCTTCAGTAAACTTCTAAGCACTCAGACCATATAAGGTCTAGAGCATATGATCTGCACTGGAACTGTGGTTCCGCTAGGTACCATGAAGGATAAACCTCCATCGGTACAATGATCTATTTAACCGGCCAGCCATGTCTGCCCAGCGGTCTATGCTGGGCCCTATCGCAGTCAAATCAACCGGGCTCCACTGCGGCTTGTCTGAGAAAACGTGCTGCCCCTCTCAAAAACCATAGTGCTGTATAGTATCTGTAAACACCACTATAGCGCGCCGCTGCTTCAGAATAGTCGACCCCTCAATCGCTATTTCGGCATCCGGTGAGGCATTTTCTCCAGTAATTGCTTTTGACAGGATCGGGCGGGATGTGCACAGTGCATGCCCGGTGACTCTCTGTGGGCAGTCTCTTGTACCTGCCCGAGACTAGCATCTGTTGACAGCCGCTACAGCCTCGACACTATGCCTGTCCCTCCAATCAGTCAACCCTGTTTGTCACTCACTAGCCGACCAACCAATCAGAGGCAAGCGATAATGCAATCAGTCGATCTGCGCCCGCCTTGACCATGATATACGCCGACGCTGGTTTGATTTTACTCTCACACGATACTACTGAGTCAGAATAAGAAAAAAGAGTTGCTAATTTAATCTTCGCGTTGTGCGACTGTCTCACGGCTATTCTTATCCGAACACAAAATTCAGTCACACACGCGAGCATGTCCTGATCCGGCGAGCTCAGCCACCCAGTCGCCGTCCGATCCCTGAATCTCCCGACTTTGAGCCAGCTGCCATTTGCGGGTACGGAAAAAAGGGTAGATCGAGTTCGCCACCCGTTTTTTGATTCCTGGATCGCCTGCTCTCCCCGGACCTAGAAATATTAGTTCGTTGGTTAGCTCCCGGTTATACCCCAATAATAGCGATTCTTTCCCTAGGGCCAAAAGCGAAAAAAAAAAAAAAAAAAATAAAGAGAACGAAAATGTGCTCCGGTTCGGACGAGAATCGTATCCATGGCCGGTGTCGGGGCTACTGTGGTCGTGTGATTGGTGCGTTTCCTGGGTTGTTTCCAGAACGTCTTTGCCACGCTCCACACTTCCGATCTGATGGTATTGGATTTACATGGGATCACACGATTTTTATAGTGGTCAGGACCAACTCCTGCCGGGCATGTGCTGGGATCCAACCCCGGCTAAGTGATAACGAATCGCACAATTGCAATTAGTAGGCAACATCCTTCAGGGGACGCCGGTGGAGTAGCTAGCCGTCTTATTTCGATCACGTCGCACACAGATCGTGGTGACGGTTGAGGCAGAGAGAAAATTCTCAATAAAGAAAAATATCGTACGAAACGCGCGAGCCTGAGAATAGTGTTGTTGCTTTTTGTCGTTCTTTCTTCCGGTGTGATTTAGCACTCTCTACCCTGGGATGCCGCTGATATGCACCAGTGCAGGGATCCTGACAGTCCCGTTGCTAAAAAGAATTAGCAACTCTTACGAGACTATCTGAGGCGACTTAAAAGTCTATATGTACGTCTATCGGGTGGTGGGATCCCCAGACAGGGATAATCGGAGGGGGGCGAACATCCCCCGGAAAGGCCCTTGACCAAGTCAGTCGCGGGGAGTTCCTGGGGGACGAAAGGGCCAGGAACGAACGAGCAGGGCGTGGTCTATCTTTCGCCAGCCAGCGTTATCGGCCCAACAGGAAAATCCAGATTGATCATATTACTGGGACCTATGACAAGGGCTGAATGCTGATTGGACCCGTCCCAGTTATCGGCCTCTGGGAGGGGTGGCGGGAGGTGGTATTGCTATTACCGCGCACACGACGGGTGCGAGGTGCGCGTGAAGTCTGGAGTACCTAGTCAAAACTGTAAAGGGGAACGGGGGATCGGCCGTGGACATTGACTCGGCCCAAGGGGCGATCGTGACGGTGTCCTCGGCGACAACCGGCTGGACAGCGTGGTAGATGATGCGACGATGATGTTTACACGCAGGTTAAGGTGGCGGAAAAAGGAAGATCCCCTTTAGGCCGGGGGAGATGTTCATGGGAATGTAGTTTTGAGGGACATATTGAGTCCATAAGCGCTAATCAACGGATAGTTAGCTGGTGAGCAGGCGCGAAGAAGAGAATGAGGCATTAACGAGTTTCCCCAACGACCGGGAATGGAATGGGAACCCGAAATCGAGAGACGGTAAAATACGTCGGGTGCGTACGGTACGGTCAGGGCTGTGTGGCGCATGGAAAAAGACTCACTCTAAATTTAAATCTTTATCTCTGCCTTCTTCTCTTCCTTTTCCTTTCACTCTTCCCCACCACCTTCCTCCTTCTCATCCTTCTCTCTTCTGGAGATTTAATTCTCATCTCTCACCTCCTCCTTTTTGCTTGAGACCCTGTTCTCTCTTTCAAGTGACCCGTCACACACACATCCCATAATCCTTCATTATGGTACGTTGACCCGGTGGACCTCAATTTTTGGCTCTGCAGAGATCGTGTGCTGACCCTCCTTCGCTGCAGGCCGCTGAATCAACTGTCGTCTCCAACACGGAGAATGTGCGTTCGATCTCGCCTTTGAATTTCCGCAATGGCCGTTGAGCCAGAGGGAAACTCCCATACTGACTTGATCCCCTCCCGGGTACACAGCTCATGAAGTACATGTCCCTCGACCAGCGTGGTCGCGTTCAGGCCGAATACATCTGGATCGACTCGATCGGTGGCACCCGCTCCAAGACGAAGGTATGCATGACTCAGCCCCGTTATCGGATCCTCCTCGGGAGGAGGGGTCCGATAAGCCCTACGCACGTGAAGAAGTGCTAACGGAAAATCCCATCAGACTCTCGCCAAGCCCGTCAAGAGCGTCGACGAGCTCCCCGAATGGAACTTTGACGGTTCCTCCACCGCCCAGGCCCCCGGTGACAACTCCGATGTCTACCTCCGCCCCGTCGCATTCTACCCCGATCCCTTCCGCCAGGGTGACAACATCCTTGTTCTCTGCGAGACCTGGGATTCCGATGGCAGCCCCAACAAGTACAACTTCCGCCATGACGCCAACCGTCAGATGGAGACCCACGCCAAGGAGGGCTTCTGGTTCGGTCTGGAGCAGGAGTACACCCTCCTCGGCACCGATGGCTGGCCCTACGGCTGGCCCCGTGGCGGTTTCCCCGGTGCCCAGGGCCCATACTACTGCGGTGTCGGTACCGGCAAGGTCTACTGCCGTGATATCGTCGAGGCCCACTACCGCGCCTGCCTGTACGCCGGCATCAACATCTCCGGTATCAACGCTGAGGTCATGCCCTCCCAGTGGGAGTACCAGGTCGGCCCTTGCGCCGGTATTGACAGTGAGTGTCTCTTGACATAAATAATTGGGGCGTAAAATTCTAACTGTTTACAGTGGGTGACCAGCTGTGGATGTCCCGTTTCCTCCTTCACCGCGTCGCCGAAGAGTTCGGCGTTCGCATTTCCTTCGAGCCCAAGCCCGTCAAGGGTGACTGGAACGGTGCCGGTCTGCACACCAACGTCTCCACCGATGCCACCCGTGCCGACGGCGGCATGAAGGTGATTGAGGCCGCCATGAAGAAGCTCGAGGCCCGTCACGTTGAGCACATTGCCGTCTACGGCGAGGGCAACGAGGAGCGTCTCACCGGTCGTCACGAGACCGGCAACATCGACAAGTTCTCCTACGGTGTCGCCGACCGCGGTGGCAGCATTCGGATTCCCCGCCAGGTCGCCAAGGACGGCAAGGGCTACTTCGAGGACCGTCGCCCGGCCTCGAATGCCGACCCCTACCAGATCACCGGTATCATCGTCGAGACTATGTGTGGTGGCCTCTAAATTTTTAAAATATTTGGTCTTAGCGCTCCGATACCCTTTATCGGCGTGAAACCATGAGAGTGGGGACCAGGGGAACTTGCCTGGCTTGCGTGAGGGGTTGAAAAGCCCCCCATAGATTCCTCTTATTTTCTTTCTATCTGCTTTCTTTTCCTGTGGACCTCATTTCTTGCCTGCAATCGCCAGTGCCGGCCTCTGGATTCCCATCCTTTTGACTCTCTTGTTGCATTCCGCCGACCTCTTTGTTTTCTTCAGTACCAATTATGTGTGAACGTACAATAGCATAGAATTACATGGATTGAAATCCGCTTTATTACTGTATCTCATCATTCTAATAAATCAAGGGCCTTTCCGACTTATTTGCTTTCCACCTTTGCACTCCGCCTCCCCCACCTCCCCGTCACCCCGGACAGCAAGCCGTGCAATCCACGCTGTCTTACCTCCCGCCTGCCTGCCTCATCAACAGCAGCATCAGCCTGCCTCTCAACATGCCGGTACCTACCATCAACAAAGCGCAACAGAATCTCCATCAGCGCCGCAGAGAGAATGCTCGCAATGAGTATCCCAATCATAACGAGGTTGCTCTTGCGGTACTTCTGGCGCCCCGGTGCCTCATAGTCACTCTTCCAGCCCGAGTACAGTGCGTACGTGGTGAGGATACTGCCGAGGTTACCCAGGCCCGAGACGACGGCCGACGCCGCGGCTACACCGACCTCACCGTGCCGCGGCTGGAAGATCTCCGTTGTCCAGGTCATGGTGATGGGCACCGTGGGGCCGAGGCCGAAGCCTACGATCAGTAGACCGCCGTATCGGGGCCACGGGTTGGCGTCTGAGCCCGCATAGCTTGTTAAGAGGAGACCTAGGATCTGGAGGCTTGCTGGAATTGAGAAAAATATCGCGCGGTGGCGATGGAAGCGGTCTGATAGGGGGGTTACAAGGAGGATGGCGATGAGGTCCATCTGTGTGTAGGGTTAGCGGTGTGGATATGAGAAGAGAAGAGGAGAGGGAGGAAAGACACATACAATCCAAATTGGCGCACTCAACAGGCTCAGATCAACGGTACTCAAGGACGGGTTGATCGCCTGGATAATGACGGTGGCATACAACTGCGTACCGATACCGACACCCACGACGCCAAAGTACATAACCAGCAAGGGCCACAGACGCCAGTCCATAAAGACATGCAGCAAGTCCCGTAGCGTCCACCCAGGGGCATGGTACACGCGCTTCAGATCACGGTAGTGTACCTCAGCGTCCTGCCCCGTCAGCGCCGGAGAACTGCGCGGCAGCCAGCGCATGAACCAGCGGCGCTCGGGACGGGGCTCACCGGGAGGCGTGGGACGGTCCGGCAGCCACCAGAGCAGGGAAATACCAACGGCGATAGTCACGACGCCGTAGACGAGGAACATCCACTGGAATCCCACGTAGCCGCGCGTGCCGTCCATCTCTTGGAAGCCGGCGGAGACGAGCCCGACTACCGCAGCGGAGACCTGTGCTGCGGTGAAGTACTGGCCGATGCGCTTGCCTGTGCGCGAGGGCGGGTAGAAGAGGGTTAGGTAGTAGGTCATTCCGGGCCACATGCCCGCCGTGACGATTCCCAGGAGGAGACGGAGGAGACTGGTGGGTCTTTGTTAGACATTGGAGCTAAGAAAAAGAAAAAGGAGAGCGCGTGAGCATACTAGAAACTCCAGGCAGCTTTCATAGCCGTCATACAAGTCCCAATCAACCCCACACTGATCACGATCCGACTCATCCAGACATGCGGACTGAGCCGAGTCATGATCAGGTTGGATGGGAGATCAAATACAACATAGCAGACGTAGAAAAGCGCTAGGCCCGTCGAGATCTGATGTTTGTTCAGATGAAGCACAGAAGCGAGATCGTGTCCCGAGTCCTCGTTCATCGTCTGTGCCAGTCCGACATTGGATCGGATGGCTGAGCAGAGGAAGTAGAGAACCCAAAAAGCGGGGATGATGCGGCGGTCTAGTTTTCTGGTGGTTGGAAGTGTTTTAGCAAGGATCTAAACCTCCTTGACACGAATTGAAAATAGCATACGCACCTGTAGATCCGCTCAATTTCCGCGACGCTGGCCTCGCCGCCGGACTCGACGTCGTCGTCCACGGCCGCGGAGCCTGTTGTCACCGGAAACTGTTCGTGAACGCCTTCGGAACCGGGCTGCTTGGTCCCGCTCATGGCGGGAATCTTTTGTTTGTCGGCCGACATTATGATTTATATATTAATGTGTCTCGTCTTGTTTCCCGGGCGTAGGGAGTGGCCGTGAAGATCTCAACTAGATGCACAGTGCGTCGTCAAACTCTGAGCATTGACTTTTCAGGGCTATTTCAGCACAAGGATCTTTCCACTAAGTCCTTGTTAGCATTGCCGGTGACTTGGAATACACATCATGTATGATAAATAGTGATGGTACACCCAACCGAGGTCCATCAACAACCGACAGGGAGAAGAAAGATAACCTCGGAGAGAGAAAAGGAACAAACCGACATACCTCCAGCGTATATGAGCGCGAAGTCCTTCAACTCCTTTTCAAAGGCCACTCTTCAAACCAGGCCACTCGAGCAGAAAGATAGAAGATAGACGTAGAAAAGCACCTCCCGTTTGCGGATCAGATAAAGCAGCGCGCGGGGTCTTGGCAGAACAAGAAAAAACCAAGCACCGCCCAACAAGTGACAGTAAAAAGAAAGGGAAAAAGGGAGAAACTATGTAGAAAAGAACGTTTAAGGCTCAGAAGGAACAATAACCAGCTCAGTCCATCCACACTAGCAGAGCTGTTGAGAGTGTTGAGGTTGACCGCGAGAAAAAAAAAAGTTAATCAGAAAATCCTTCCGACCCTCGGCGCAGCGGGTGGGCGGGCTCCCAAAGGCGTGCGCGAGAAACCCCAACAACAGGCTTGTTGCTTCACCGAGGAAAATTCGGGATGCGTCTGTGACTCACTTTCCTGGTGTCATGCAAATGTAGAATTTTTAGAAGTTTCCTGCTTTTTTAGAGGGAATATGCATATTTTACATGCCAGCCATCTGGCCATTGCAGCATTCCGTATGTACCCCGGGCCTTGAGCCACACGGGAGAACATCTTGGCGATGTCAGGAAAGCAATTTAATATCATGATTTGACATTACTGTATACACAGAGATGTTTTGCGGATAGAAATAATCGAAATAACCAACTACTCTCTGTGATGGAGGTCACGGGTACCGCAAGCCCTAACAAACTGAGTTCGCCGTTCTATTCATTGATCTACGTGGACACCATCAATGAAAATGTAATAGCCTTAAATTCATCATAATCACTTTGCACGTCAATACACAATATCAGGCTCAACCAGTTCGACTACAGTCGAAGCCCCTTCTAGGCCAGGCCCTCAAGGCCGACCATCAGCATCTATGCAGGGTGGACAGGTGGAGAAAAAAAAGACAGTAAAGGACAAGAATCCCAAACGGGAAAGGGCTGCATCAGCGCACCGGGGCGAGCAGCCATCTATTCTGACGGACTTTGTCCATATCCGCGAGCAGAACGACTTGAACGATCGGCAACGCAGTGGAAGATACATATCACAAAGCCATTTGTCCGAGCAGTCCCAAAACTGCTGGATTGTACAAAGACTGTAATTTCGCAAAATTTCAATGCAGGCGACCCCGAAAAACTAACTGCTTTGAGACAAGTCATCCTTGTGATCTTCAACATGGGTGCCCTTTCCATTCTCCAGGTCAGGATTTTGGCTGGAACGGCGCGCAGCCTTTTCCGAGGCGTAACTGGCGCGGCGCAGGTGCTCCTCGGTTTCCTCGTAGTTGATTAGCAGTTCACCATGCTTGCCGTAGCGGTGAGGCTCGTTTCGGGCAACGGAAACAGCGTTGAAGATGCTTGAGGTCTTGTGGAAGATGGTGTCCATCTCCTCCAGAGATCGGTAGGCGGTCTCGGGGTAGAAGAAGTAGACAACAGGGAAGATGAAGGCGTTACTATTGTTGTAATAGTGGTTAGCAATTGAAACTTGACAATCATCAGAGGCAAAACTCACATCACAGCAAAGATAATATAGGTCTTGTATCCGATGGAGTCGAATGCCACAGGAGTGATCATCACCACCAAAAAGTTGAAAATCCAGTTACCCGAAGTAGACAGAGCGTTGGCAGGGGCACGGATACGGAGCGGGACAATCTCGGCGGGATATAGCCAGGTCATTCCCAGCCAGCCCCAGGCAAAGAACGTATTGAAGACAAAAAGGAACACGGCAGCTGCAATACCGGGCCCAGTCTGGTGTTTGAAGCTGGTGGTGACGGCGAGGACGGCCATAGAGACGGACATGCCAGCAGCGCCAACTAACATGAGTTGTCGACGGCCCACCTTCTCAATGATAAAAATAGGGATTAACGACGCAAGGAAATACTCCGTTCCATTGCAGGCTGCCAGAATTCGGGACATTAGACCGCTCATGCCAATGGACTTCTCGTAGATGGTGGCGGCATAGTATGTGATGAGGTTAATACCAGAGATCTGCTGGAACATCTGGTTCACATAGGCCAGAACAACACGGTGGAAGTGGCGGTTCTCGTCCATGGTGAGAAGATCACGGAAGCTGACCTCCGAGGCGATCAGGACAGCATCTTTGATAGCGGCGAATTCCGAGTGCACGTAGGGGTCGTTTTCGGGTAGATCCAAGATGGCCGACAGCACACCCACTGCCCGGTCCTCACGGCCCTTCAGGATCAACCATCTAGGAGATTCTGGCAGAGGCAGTACGAATATCATAATGATCAACGCAAAGAAGACCTGAAATGCAATCGGGAACCGCCACGAGACAGAGTTAGGATCGAGGAAGGAGAACCCGAGATCCAACCAGTAACTGATGGTAATGCCACCCGCGATCAAAGCACCTTCCACCATGACCAGTCGTCCACGATGGTGCGACTTGGAGCATTCCTAGATACGTGGACGTCAGAGCTTTGTTTCCAGTGTCATTAGTACTGCGCGTGACCTACCGATTGCCATGTCGGGACAGTCGAAGTGTTCATGCCGTTTCCGATACCGGTCACAACGCGACCAACGATCAGATGTGGGAGAGAAAAAGCAGTGCATTGCAGCGTGGCACCGATCACCATGATAATCGAGCCGGTGAAGATGGTCTTGCGTCGGCCCAAGTAGTTGCCAACCCAGATACAGAGGATTGCACCACAGAAGCAGCCCAGGTTGTAGCAGGCAATTGTGATTCCTGGTAAGAGTCAGCATATATTGTAGGTTTGCTAGAATGGCCGACGTGCCTTGAACGGTAGACCGGCGTGACGTTTGCGCAGGACTCAGACCCTTCTCGCCAGCCGCGGTGGTGTCGATCTCAGGAAATGTGGCAACAAATGAGTTCAATGTGAGCAGTCCACCCATAACACCCCTAGTTAAACCGACGTTAGTATTATGACATTGGACACTCCTTCGCCCACGTACTGGTCATATCCGAATAGCCTGTAGAGATCATAGTCAGCATTTTGTTGCAGTACACGGGAGCTATTCCGACATACAGGAAATCAAGACCGGCGACAAGGCTAATGACAATATTGAGCCTCGTGCCCCGCAGCCCGAAATATGGCTTCATGATGGCGGGCTATCCTTGATGACGGCAAAGACACTAAGTGAACCGGTGGTGGGTTGGTACAGGAACCCGCAAAGAAGCCCAAAGAAGCCCAATCAGGACAAACAGAAACAAAAGTCCGACAACGAGGCTGAACGGAATGGGATTGGAATGGTGGCTTGGAGAGTGTTAAAAGAGGCGTTACAGCCAGGTCCGGGGAAGCAGCTGGGGTTTATGAACCCCGAGCGAAACGGGGGCAGACCGAAGTGCCATTCATGTTTGAGGAACGGGGCTCCACCGCTGGCATGATCAAGATTGGAAAGGTGATTCGGGTTCGAAAACAGAGTGGAATGAATTAGCGTACCAACAAGAAGGTCGTATTATTATTACGTGGGATGGAGTCGCCGGATTAGGAAATGGAGGCACGTATCGGCCTATGATTATTAGACCTCTTGATTCCACTCCGTTTATGGTGGCTAACGAGAAGATAACTGGCGGAAATACATTTTCGTTTTGAATTAATTTATTGGATCGGCTGGACGATCCCGATATGAAGCAGAGAAGAGGTCTGAAGCTGCGATAATAAATTACACGATCCACGTAACGGGCCCTACTGACAACGCACCGCTTTCGTCGACGATGACCATATCGATGATGCAGGTCTCGCATGGCACGCATGGTCAATGAAATAGTGAGTTGGTAATCCTCTCAGGAATATACTGCGCGTGATATACTGAAATCCCCAATGCCATCGTCTAACTTTGCATACTTCACTTCGGGTAGGCAGTAGAGATAGCGATTTTAATTAAGGCTAATAGCCAGGCATTATAGACAAGGTATCAAGTCTCGTAAATTCCTCGCTCTCCGTTTGGCCGTGGTCTCGAGCGTCGGCGCAATCCGTATCAGCGCCGTGTCTGACAGGGGTCGGCACCCCGAAAGAGAACCACATCGTCGGATGTAAACCTTGCTCTTCCGCGCCGCGGATTTGCACACACGACGTATGCCTGCTAACATCGGCCACGGCAAGGAACAGACTCTTGTTCCTGGCCTGATGTCCACGATGGGATAATGCGCGTCTACAATCCCAAGTAGCATTATTGTTCTTTACCGTTACAACAATCAAAGCAATGACGTCATCAGGTACGGCCCGGCCACGGGTGGAGGATTCACGGGAGGCCGATGACTGGTAGGTGGCTAACCGCGCGAATATTCGCCGGTTCAGTACCCCAGTTACGGAGCCGAAGCTCGGTGTTCCCCGTGGATGCAGTGTTTCTCGTCGGGATACCTCTTTCGGCAGACACGTTGTCAAGCGTAAGAGTGCGACCCTGACCAGGCAAGAATACTACCATGAGATTTCAATGGATACCTCTTAGATTTTGCGCTGGCGACGTGAAAATAGTTCACAGAGATATTCTCACTATAACCGCGCGAATTGTTGCCTGATTGGAACGGGTTGAATAGCGTCTCATTGCCACAAAATTGTGGAGCATTGATCAGCTCATTCGATTAGAATACCGGTGACCTGATTTCCGCTAAAAATCATAGGATAACCATGCATAGACCGGACTGGACTCTCTATTCTTAACCGCTTCGTGGATATGTACCTAGTTTTACACCCACAGCGCAATCATTCAATCAATAATGGCCAGTCGCACGATCAGCGGCCGAAAAAACACAGTCGGACCCCGTTTCCCTGCGGGCTACTAGTTAAGCCGGGGGATAGAAATCTTCCTGTCCCTACAAGACCAATCCGACTATCATTAAACATATATTCTGTCGTAGCCAACGACAAAAGTCGGAGCCTTTCAGAATCAAAATGTGCCCGCCGTCTAAATCAACAGAAACATTGGAACGGGCGTATTTTATTCCATGTAGGTCATGCATAATCAGAAAGAAAAGCTGAGCAAGCAAGTGCGCCGTAGCTGAGATAGTGCACGATTGCGTCAGGACATGCATACATAGGTTGAAGGAATCCGACAAAAAACCGGCTCGGGCGTCCCCAAGCCCGAGCTTAGCCCCGAATCGGCTGGGCTAAGAATTGATCAGCCAACGCCGAAGAGCCGAGAATCCCGTGTCGGGACCTAACTCGGTAACGGCATCCCGTGTCTTGGTGTCTGATATCAATTGCCAGTCAACAACAGGTGCATTCTACAAGGATTTGAAAAGCCAGGATGGTCGGGCTATGCTGTCATAAGTTCTCCACGCAATGCATCCCGCGTGCCCCGCCCCACACACTGGCTGCCCCGTGGGTATCGGTAGCGTAGGTCCACGGTGCTTTGGTCTGTCAGGGGTGGAGGGCAGCGTCGACGTAAATTATTACTGTGGATTATTACCCACGTTGTTCAGGACATGTGTAAAGGCAAGGAATTTGAATCGCATTGCAAAGAACAGAAAAGGGGGAAAAGGAAAAGAAAAACAAAAGCAACTAACTTCCGTTAGGATCAAAAGTCTTGGTCGTAACCGGTCAGCATCTGTCCCATAACCAAGGATATTTGTCTCCTATTTTCCGGTAGGAAAAGGAATCAAACTCCCCAAGTCTGGTATCAATCGCCAGGCCAGTAACCAAAACAAAGATCCAACTCGAAAAGCGCAAGTGGGCAAAAGAAGTATAAAAAAGAGGGAAAATCGCAGATGTTGAAAAAATCAAAAGAAAAGGGCAGATCAGAATAGGACTGAACAGAGCGCGAGAGACACCACTATATGGTTGCGGCGATTGCGCAAGAAACAAGATCTGCGCGGTGCCAAATCAACCATAATTCAATGCAGCAAGTCGTCGATCGCTAACTCCAGACCAAGTCCAGACTTCCCACTGTCAATGAACCATCACTCCGTATCCTTGTCACTTCATTTTTCATTTCATGCTTCGTCACCCCGTGTCATCATATCTTCGCGTGTCAATCACCAAAGTCCACCATTGTCCGCCGCCGGATCAGTCAGGAAGGCCGAATCAGTCGCCATGCCAGTGCCCCAGTTGTCACCAGCGCCACCGGAGACGCTAGCCTGCCCCTGCTCAGGAGCCTGAGGGCAGCGTCGAATAGTGTGTCCCACTGCTTTATGATTAGCGGACCACAAGGACATATCAACTGTGGGTGTCAACCTACTTTCACCGCACTGATTACACTTGACTCGCGACCAATCCTTCTTCTTGGTGCAATCACGAGACATATGGCCAACTGTAGACGAAGTGTGTTAATCGCCATCACAAGATGATAAAAGAAACTCAGGAAAGCTTACCTTCATCGCAGTTGCGGCAAGTCATTGTAGAGGGATCGCGAGGCTTGTCACATTCACGGGCAATGTGATCCTCCGAGCTGCCGTCTCGTTAGATCAATGTGGCTTTTATGACTTGAGGTACTAACCCGCAGTTACGGCAAGTGCGAACCTCCTTGGTCGGGCAATCGCGAGCAATGTGGTCCTCGGAACTGTTATTGGGTTAGAAACCAGCAGATACGGTAGTTTATGATACTTACCCGCAGTTGCGGCAAGTGCGAGCCTCCTTGGTGGGACAATCCTTTGCAAAATGTCCGACTAGACAATAACCATCAGCATATAAAGTTTCCACCAGGCATAAATAACACAGTACTTTGGTTGCAACGACGGCACTCGACCGTGTTGGGTTCTGGGCAGTTATCGGCTTCGTGAAGCTCCGATCTTGATCGAGGTCAGTATAATATTACATCTTGGATGTCACAAAAGACTTACCCGCAGTTGCGGCACCCAAACTTGCTGCGGCGTTTCTCAGTGCAGTCGCGCACACGGTGTCCAATGGCATTGCAGTTTGCACACTTGATCTCGACTTGCTCAACCACAACACGCTCCTCCTTGCACCACTTGGCAATGTGGCCCAGTTCTAATTTTTTTGTTAGCAACTCGTCTCATCGGTTGTCGGTTTCCTTCTTACCTCCGCAGTTGAGGCACTTGGGCACCATGCGATCGAACGGAAGACCGGCGTCTGCAAGATGCTCCAGGTTGACTTCCTCGTTCTCGGGCCAGCGGACGCGGAGAGTAGTGCGCTGCGGCTTCGGGCTGTAGAAGAATCCGACGGAGTAGGTGCAACCCAGTTTGCCCTGGAGGTTGATCAAGCTGATAACATCACCAACGTCCTTTTGCTGCAACCGAAATGTGTTACTGGATGGTCTCGAGACAAAAAGGCACATATAAATTACCAGAGCAATGAAATAGATGTTGAAATTCTCATCACGCATCTTCTTCTCGATGTCCACAAAGGTGGCGGCAGGAACGGCCTTTGAGTAGATAGACAGAGCCTGTATACGCAAGTCAGTGGAGGTTAGTTTCACGAAAGGCGCAAATTACTACCGTGCGGAAGTCCTCGAGGTCCCGCTCATCGCTCGCCTGCTTCATCATGGCCCATGCCTCCGTCGGAACCTTGTCAGCGACCATATTGAGATCGAATTTGCGGGGGTTGGTGCAATCCTGCGTCTTGTGGCCTATTGTTGAACCAGACCAGGTCAGACACGCTCACGTCAAGTTCAGAAATCGGTTTTCTTACCTTCTGTCTGGCAGTTCTTGCAAATAGTGGGAGGCTTCTCCGGGCAAAGAGCAGCAGGGTGTCCCTCCTTGTTGCAGATATTGCAAGTGCCCTGGAAGACACGGGGATTCGGGCAGTCGACCTTGGCATGGCTGTATGTACACGTATTAGCAGATCGCAAATATTGCAGCAAGTATTGGCTTACCCTTCTTGGCCACAGTTAAAGCAAGCCGTGGTCTTGGGAGGTTCGGGGCAATCCGCCTTGGAGTGGCTGCATCGTTTACCGTTAGCATACAGTCAGTCGCAGTGTGGTTCGTTCACATACCCTTCCAGGCCGCAGTTGAAGCAAGCCATGGTCTTGCGAGGCTGGTTGCAGTCCGCCTTCTCGTGACTGTAGCGACAGTATGTCAGTAAAACGTTCGAGAATCTTGCAATGTATGCGGCTCACCCGGGCTGGTTGCAATTGAAGCACTTCATGGGGTTGTTGCAATTACGAGCGAAATGGCCAGGCTCGTCACAGCTGTTGTTCTGTCAGAACTCTCCCGTTGTACCTTGGACGCCGAAGAAGAACTTACTAGCGGCACCGCATCTCCATGTCATTCGCCTTCCCGTCGCTGGAGTGCGCGCCCGTAGAGAGCTGGGCAGGAGACAAACGGCCAGATTGGCCACGGCCAGGAGAGATGGCGGCACCGGGCATGGCATTTTCGCGGCCTTTGTGTATCCTGTCAGGTTCAATGGGGGCTAGAGATAATGTACGGAGCTTACCAGTCGCGCTCGGATGCCAGCCAACGGTCTCGACACTCTGGGGCTTGTTGTCCTCGCCCCAGCTGTCGAAGCCCTTCTTGGGGGACTCTTGGCCCCAGTCGTTAGACATCGTTGGATGAGAAGTTTCTGTAAAGAGATAAAGCGATCAGTTCTGCAGGAATCAGCATCTTGCTAACTGAGCTTGCAGTGCAAATGAAAGCCAGGACTCCACCCTGCAAGTTCCTTAGGGAGGCAAGGTACATATGGTCTGGAGGAAGAAAGGGGGAAGAAAGAAGGCAAAATGGGAAAAGACAAGACAGACGGGGCAGGATGTATAACGGATGAGGGTCACATGGCCCAATAAAGCAAAGGAGAGGGTATCTGGAGTTAGGGCACTTACCAGCCGTGCTCTTGAGTCTCGAAACACCAGCAAAGATGGAAGGTTGAAAGGGAAGGTCGAGGTTGAAGGGAAAAGACGGGGAGGAAATGGAAGAAGAGAAGAGGGGGGAAGAAGACAGAAGCAGTGTTGGGAGGTGCCTTCCCTTGGGGGTACTTTCTGTTGGCAGGCAGGCACCTGCCAGGCAGCGGTACCCCAGCGCGGACTACGACATGGGACGACAGCATCGGTCGTGAACCAACAATTGTATAGATGGTGTGAATACTTGGAACAGTAAGACATATCAGCACAGAGCACAGACACGAAAGATGATCCACCCACCATCAATCGCATTGATCAAAATGCACGATCTATAAAAGAAGAGTTCGAGTGGCTTAAATACAGGATAATTCCGAAGATCTGAAGACTGCACAGCAGCATAATCATCACACCAAAGCACACACGCACACACCTCAATCTGATAGAAATACACACTCCACAGGAAGACACCTCAGAGGATTATCCCATGCACCAGGCCGATCAATCACCTGAAGAGCCTGCCCAGCAGACCACCAGCCAGATTGTTGACAATTCCACCACCCAGTGCCCGGTTGGCATACGTCGAGGCCTGGCTGAATTTATCACAGCGAGAGAAGGCCATGGTGTTGGTGACAGTCAAGATGAGGGCAATAGCTAGATCACGTTAGTCTTCGTGCGGCAGCTACCTAGGGGAAAGAATAGCTAACCAATGAGACTCAGCCAGATGACACCGACCAATCTCACAATGGCCAAGATAGCCAGTCCAACCCACAGGGCCGGGGTGGCATACATGCTGAGCCAGAAGAAGCGCTTATCGGTGGTATTGATGGTGCGGACGTTAGGGTCGGAAGACTCGAAGACCCAGTGCGAGTCACCGGTGGATGTATTGACCTCATTCCACCAGCGCAGGCCAACGAGTCGCCGGCCGGCAATGTTCTTCAAGTAGTAAAAGTCGGCAGAGAGGAGCAGGAGGGTCAGGATGAAGACGAGGATGCTAGTGTTGAGGTGTTAGTTGGAACTGGAGCTATTGGACAGGGAGAGGGATGGGTACAAGTTGTTAATGAAGAGAACACCAAAGAGGTACATCAATAGAGCACCTGGATTCAAAATTAGTCCTTCATTGACCCTCTGGTAGCACTGGGGACGAACCGATGCGGAAGCCTAAGAAGACAAGTAGCGTGATCGGGTGTGCGCTGAGGCGCCAGTTCAAATCGCCGGATTGCGTTTGATCCATGGTGAACAAAACAGATGATCGGTGGGCCTGGGATGCCGGCGGCGAGAACCACGTTAGTCGGTCGAAGCTCTAACGGAGATCTGTCCGTTGTTGATGAGTGCTGATCCCCGGCGGCGCGAGACATGGGGCGGCGCGAGGGCGGTGGCGGACGGCAGATTGAAGACTGACACAGGAATCAATCAATCAATCAATCAATCAATCAATGCTGGGAGGAAAGTAATCAACAAAACGATACTTTATGTATATGGTTAGCGCTTGCTTGAGAGACGAGCAGCTCCTCGTGTCTGGATTTTGTTCACAAGCCATGACTGTCGCTTCGCTCGGCGACTTGAAGCCGATCCTTGCGCGAACGAGTACGGAGTTCATACATCCAGCGGCATTGGAAAAGTCTCAGTCTGAGGCAGCGCGCGCCGTCGATTGTGAATAGTATTGTGACGTCGTTAGCAGGCAATCGCCTTTCGAAGTAGCGCTTGGCCGCCAAAGAATGTCCCGTTTCTCATACGTCGACCCCGCAACGGTTTCGCCTGATCGACAAGAAGTTTCTACACATTCGCTACGGGCCCACGCGGGACATACCACCGGAGATTTCCTGCTTAGGGACTGGCGCTGGAGGCACGGTGCCATCGACATTCAATCACCAAAGCATAGAGGGATTCGTTGACGGTTTTCATTGATGGAAGAGCCTATTAAGGGGTACGTCACACGGAAGAACAGACCCTGCTGTCTGGACTATATTACCCCATATTCAGCCGATAACTGAAGGTATGGGATCTGTTGTATGCAATTAGGTCTATATAGCCATGCCGTAGGTATATAAACCCAGTGATTCTCTGCCTCGTCCTTCCGTGGCCATCATTTGAATGACCAAACTTCTTCCTTTCTATCATTGCCAAGAGAATAGCTAAGATGCGTTTCGTAAAGTCCAATGTTAGCCAAGCGACAACCAGCCTCGCGTTGCTAGCGTCGGTTCCAATTGTCTCGGCCTCGTGCAGTCTTCCGTCGTCGTATCAGTGGACATCGACTGGACCGCTGGCGAGCCCGGAGTCAGGATGGGTCTCGGTCAAGGACTTCACTCATGTCCCTTACAACGGCCAGCATCTTGTGTATGCGTCGGACGTCAATACGGCAGGGTCCTACGGCTCGATGAACTTCGGCCTTTTCTCGGACTGGTCTGACATGGCCTCAGCGAGCCAGAACGGGATGAGTTCGGGCGCCGTTGCGCCTACACTTTTCTACTTCTCCCCGAAGAGCATTTGGGTACTCGCCTATGAATGGTGTGCGTCCCCATTCTGCTACATGACGTCAAGCGATCCCACCAATGCGGATGGATGGTCATCGGCGCAAACGCTCTACTCCGGAAGCATCTCCGGCTCCAGCACCGGTCCGATCGACCCGGCACTCATCGCCGACAGCTCAGACATGTACCTATTCTTTGCAGGAGACGATGGCAGCATATACCGGGCCAGTATGCCCATCGGAGATTTCCCGGGCAGCTTCGGCTCATCAGCGACAGTGGTCTTAACCGACTCGACTGACAACCTATTCGAAGCAGTTGGTGTCTACACTGTCTCGGGCCAGAACCAATACCTCATGATCGTTGAAGCGATTGGAGCAAACGGGCGATACTTCCGCTCATTCACGGCCACCAGTCTGAGCGGTTCATGGACACCGCAGGCCACAAGCGAGAGTGCCCCTTTCGCTGGTAAAGCCAACAGTGGTGCCACCTGGACCAACGACATTAGTTCCGGAGATCTGATTCGCAGCACCAACGACCAGACAATGACCATTGATCCGTGCAATCTGCAGTTACTCTACCAGGGAAGATCCACATCGTCGAGCGGCTCCTATAACCTCCTGCCTTATCAGCCCGGTCTGTTGACTCTGGCAACCTAGTCCAGTGATACATAACCTCATGTTCGTTCACCACGGTGGATAACCGAAGCGAATAAACGTGACACTGCACAAGGTTGAGGGGTGCGGGCCAGCGGCAGGCTCAGTATAAGGGCAAGCCCGTCATGTGGACCTTGCGATAGTCCTAAGGTTTAGGTAGCAATACAAAATTATATCTAGAATGTCTGCTTTCGACTCAAAAATCGTGGTGCAAAACGGCCGAGGAAACACAGAGGTGACAAACTCATCAACTTCCTTGCGTCCCCATGTTCCAGCTGAGTGAAAGTACCAAGATTTCGCTTTCTTTGGGCTTGCATTGGAAGCGCTAATGCCCCGTATTTAGCGAGTGCGACTCTTGACGGGGGTCCATTGTAGTCAAGTCTGGTACCTTCGAATAGATAGGCTATAAATACAGGAAGCTATGTCAAACCCCATTCTCGACAAAAGGACATCGTGATGCTGGGGAAGTTGGTCTTTTTAAAAGGAGAGGAGCTGGGCATCAGTTTCATTGTCACACAAAGGAGCTTTTGGATCTGTACCCGGCTTCGCTGAATCCGTCAGGTGTTATGAGGAGCGAACAGACCGACAACGCAAGTGTCACTGGTCTCATGACAGGATAGACGAATGCAGAGATGTTTTTCTTCCACGCTGGAGCAGTGAAGGGGTTGCTTTAAGGGTGTAGGGACAAAAGGTTACTAAGTGGGGCTCGTATGGCCGTGTCGACCTCCACATGTTAGCCGCCAATTATGTATAAGCGCGCCCCGAAAGAGCTCTTGGTATCGGATATTGTTGTGGCCATATTCCAGTCTGACTTCCAATACGACTACCAATATAGCTCGTTTGTGTGATCGGTTCGCTTGCAAAATACGTTAGTCTGCAATTAATCAGCTGCTCCAACACTCAATCAACCATCTGCTGCCGTCCACTAATGAGACGAACGGGGCATGGCAGCAAAATAGACATCTGATAGTTCTATGAGGATGGTATGAAATCTGGCCCCCTAGAAAAATTGGATTGGATTGCCATCGTTGAATAAAGTAGGAGATTTGTTAGTGCTATGATCAGCTTGAGACGGTGATTCCTCACGTGCCCCACTTTTTGTTGACGCCACTCTTGCGTCTTTAAATGAGAAAGCAAGTTGTGGATAATTTACGATCGCGAATTCGAGAGCCAAGAGATCAAGATGCTGGATCAGGTTTTTGAGAGAGAAAACGTAGGTGTACAAGTAAATTGGGTGAGCTCTAGACATTGCCCGGGTTGCTGGCATGAATAGACGTCATTCTGACGAGATCGACGGGTTCTTACCAAATATCAACAATATCAAGAACGTTTAGCAGCCATTTTGACGTTGCAAATCTCTCATATTTCACTTGCTCAATCATATCTCGCTACCTCTTGACCATTGGTATACTATCTCCATTGCGGCTCCCCACAACCGTCTGAACAAAAACATCGCCCAAATGCAACAGGAAGTGGAAAAGCCCTCTCGGGGACCTCAGTCCCAATTTCAACAGGGTAAGCTAATGTATAATTCAACTTAATTTGTCTCCTTTTCATAAGAAGTGCAGGTCATCAAATCCCTGTTGAGCACCACGAAAAGCCCGGCTTACAGGCTGAGATGGAAGGTCCAAAGCCAACCTCAGAACAAATCCCAACTGAGGATAACGGGTATCAGACCTACAAAGCAGCGGGGAAGCTCTCAGGGAAGAATGCCATAATCACTGGTGGCGACTCAGGAATCGGTCGCGCAATTGCCATTCTATTTGCCATGGAAGGAGCGTCTAGCCTGATCACGTATCTGCCAGAAGAGGAAAAAGATGCGCAGGAGACAAAGAAACGAGTGGAAGAAATAGGGCAGCGCTGTTATTGCTTCGCAACCGACCTTCGGTATAAAAATAATTGCCAAAAGGTGGTCGACACAGCCCTGAAGAGCTTGGGTGGTATTGATATCCTAGTCAACAATGCTGGGACTCAAACGATGATTGACGATATCAAGGATTTAAAAGAGTATGTTTCTATCTGTTCTGTTGACACCGAGAATCCTACATTGACCTATTTAATAGGTCCCAATGGGAAAGCACATTCGACACTAATATTCACCCTATCTTCTATCTCTCGAAGTACACGCTTCCTCACCTCAATAACGGGTCGACGATAATTAATTGCGCTTCCGTCAACCACTATATCGGTCGCCCTGATCTGCTTGACTATACGTCAACAAAGGGAGCAATCGTTGCGTTTACCAGGGCATTGTCCAACCAGCAAGTCAAGAATGGAATCCGGGTGAATTGTGTGTGTCCTGGGCCAAGTAAGTAGAGAGCTCCACAGAAAGGAATGTGCAAATACTAATAATAACATAGTATGGACCCCTCTGATTCCGGCAACCATGAATACTTCTGCTCAGGAGCAGTTTAGCGGCACACCAATGGGTCGCCCGGGACAACCAAGTGAGGTTGCAACATGTTTCGTCTTCCTTGCCAGCCAGGATAGTAGCTTTATTTCTGGCCAAAGTTTGCACCCTAACGGGGGAGTTGTAGTCAATGGATAGGCGGTAGATATAAATTGAAATGAACTACTTCCTGAAAACGAATCGAGAAACCCAACCAAACCTACCGTACCCCAATCGCATACCGTACTTAGGATACCCCGCAGGCGTGCGATTTTGAAATATTTGTGACGCCGCCGCGAAATCCAGGACTTCATCGTCGTGGCTCGTGATGTGTCGTCAGGCTTACCTCTCCCCACATCCTCACAGCCTTCCTCCGTAGCTCACTTCGCAGTGCTCTCAATTCACTTGAAAAGTTTCCAGAACATGTGTCGAGCCTAAATCTAAAGCAAGTCGCTTGCGGCTCTCCAAGAGCTCGACAACTATAATCACCTTGGCACCCTGCAATTCGACCACCACCCACATCCAAGACATTTTCAGTACTTTTGAAAGGAGAGGCATTGACCGCATACCAGGTCACAGCCAGCGGCTCAACTAATGCTGAAAAAGAGACGCCCGTTCTGGGTGCAGGGGCGAGAAACCTTCGGAGGTGTACCAACGCACGGTTCATCTGGCCCCGTCTTCCATCCAATTAGCCAACAGCTGCATCTATCTACGTCCATTTTCCTGGAACTCGGCCGCCGCAGCCTGGTTGTATCATCGAATTCTGACACCCCTGCACAGAGGTGAATGTTATCAAAAGTGTGATTGGGCGTAGAGGAGGTCTCTCGAACCTGGCGGTCCGTACATGGTAGTGAGCATATTTAGACAAATTCCCCATCGAATGAAGAGACAGCAGGATGGCATGGGCTACTTCAACGACCTTGCGATCGTGACTCAGGCGACATTTTACTTTTCTCCACCTCGCCGGTTTTGATTTGCCGGCATATCATTTATTGTTCTGCCATATGCCGGATTAAAGGTGAATCGAGATCTCGCGACCGTCAGCATGATACAATATTCTTGTTTCGTGGGCCCAGAGGGATGCATACTGAATGGAAGAAACAGGGAAGCCATGCCCCGCATCCGGTATTGCGCCCGTCCATTCAGGTACAAGGGCCTAGAAAAGCACGGAACGCTGTTGTAGTCATGACTTCACACCTTAACCAGCCAACCGTGTTACCTCATATTCGCCCCTTTGTTTGATTTAAGTTTCACTTCGTCGAATACCGACTAACTGACGTAAAATACATAATTTCGATCTATAAAAGTACTGGCGCCGCAAGCTCAGCGATGGCTTACCGATCTGTCTTGGGACGAATTTGCCGGAATTTCTCAACCAACATCGGACCAGCCCTCAGAATGTCTGCTCAAGATACCAACCAGAGCTTCAAGCTCGAGAATGTCTTCAATGTCAAGGATAGAGGTGAGTGTGCCATATACTTGAATGCGGGGCGGTGCCAACTAACGAACTAGTCGCCCTTGTCACCGGTGGCGGATCGGGAATTGGTTTGATGGCCACTCAATCGCTCGCTGTCAACGGTGCTAAGGTGTACATCACCGGTCGCACGGGCGAGAAACTCGAGCGGGTGGCAGAATTGTACGGAAAGAATATTCCCGGCCAGATTATCCCTATCACCGCAGACATTACCTCCAAGGAATCGATTAAGAAGCTCGTCGACGAGATTTCAACTAAGGAGTCCAAGTTGCACATCTTAATCAACAACGCTGGCATCAGTTCTTCACATCATACGACGGAGTACGAGGATCCGAAAGAACTTCAAGAAGAGCTTTTCCACAACACCAGCACAGTCGAAGAATGGGAAGATGTGATGCGCACTAACGTAACTCAGCTATTTTTTACAACCACGGCATTCCTACCATTGCTTAACAAGGGTACGGAGGACGAGCCAGGGTGGTCTAGTACCGTGGTTAACATCTCCTCCATCTCGGGTATTGTCAAGACAGCTCAGCACCACTTCGCCTACAACGCTAGTAAAGCGGCTGCTATTCATGTGACTAAAATGCTAGCACATGAAATCGCCTCGTCGAAAATCAAACTCCGGGTGAACAACATCGCACCTGGAGTCTTCCCGTCAGAGATGACGGCTAAGGACAGTGATGAGAAGCAAAAGAGCTCGATTCCCAAGGAGAGGTATGAGGGCAAGGTCCCTGCTGGACGTCCAGGAAAGGATGAGGATATGGCAGGTGCCGTTCTTTTCACTGTTTCGAACCAATACCTCAACGGGCAGACTATCGTTGTTGATGGTGGATACGTGCTGGCAGCTGGAACTGTTTGAAAAGCTTAGTACTACTGCGTTCTTGAATAGTCGGACCTGTCGGGAGAAAATGAAATTGGGGAAATCGTACTGTATGATAGGCAAAATGAATCTGACAAACAGTTCTTTCGCACGGTCATCGCGAGTAGGACAATAATAGAATACCTCTGTCTCGCGTATGGCACATGTCGAAGTGGATGCGCTTCCACCCCATATATGACGGCTCGAAGCTTAATGAGGTTGATACAAGAGATTTCACAGCAAGACTTCGAATAAAACCAGCAGACAACATGGTAAAAATAGCGAGAATAGCTTGCCAAGTAGTTGAATTTAGTCTAGTCATCTTTAGGCATAGTCAGGGACCGACACACTTTCCTAGCAGTAGTAGGTCCAGATTCGAAAACCTCACGTCTCCTCTGAGGGCTATTATAAACAGACGTCGACATCGTGGTTCAGTGCTTGATAGCTCTTTATGCTTGACTTTCTAAGACCATCTCATAAGAAGAACTAGACAGGCTAAATTGACCGCTTTCGACCACGTTGAAGGACAAAGGTAAATAGGAGATAACGCAAACAGCTGCAGTTAGAGTAGCTAGAGTTTGCCTAGTTGCCATTCGATTGTTAGGCTACCCTCGTGGCGCGCGACTTCGAAACTGTTGTGACGCATTGGTGATACCGAGAATGCCACCAAGGACCGAAGTGAGCAGATGCTACACGTTTCGACGAAAGAAGAATTGTAAAGTATCTGTCAAAGCGGGACTAGTCTAGTGGATGCTGAGAGACTTATTAAGATCATTATTAAGTCTTTCGCGCCATCGAGGGAACAGCACAAATTCCGCGCATATATCCTGAGGGTTGTCCAGGATTGGTCCAACCGGAACTCAACCTAAGTTCATGCCTGGGCAGGTCTCGTATCGAACACTTAATTTAAAAGTGATTGGCGTATATAATATCTTATAGGTTGCAAAATGAGCACGCCGCCCATTCACAGACCATCGACTACGCTCAAATGTACAACGTCCTCAGGATCGTGAAGCTCGTCCATCTTCTATTCCTCGGGTATATCTCTGGGCTTCTAATTGTCCTGTGCGCTATAGGGGCTAAAGATTAAATGACCAGAGACAAAATAGGAAGGCAGAAGCATACAACAGTAAGAATTCACTGATAGTCACTCACCCAGCTACAAATAGATAGTTAGAAGGCACGTGGGGAGAGCGCGCAGAAGAGTGAATTACTAGTATAATTCTGAATATTGACAATCTACCAATGGTTTAGCGTCATAAAATGGGCTGGATTCTTGTGTCAAGCACGTAGTTATAGTCTAGAGAGACACAGTCACTCTCTGTAAGACTTCAGGTGGTTTTCCATGGGTCGATTGCACCGCCTGTGGACGACCTAACAACGAATAAACTGAGAAGAATTCAGAGAAAGAGCACGCAGACGTCGGAGATCTCTGATCTGGCTTGAGACCACTCCAGCAGATAGCCGAAGACTACAACGAAATGATAAAAACAGGATGGAGACATGCAAATGATTGGAATGATTGGTTGAAAAAGCGAGGGAAAGTAACTACTACAGCAGAAGTGCGCTTAACCTTAGTGATACTACGAGGGATACCAAGAAGAGATCATGAATGGACGGATGCAGAAGGATAAAGCAATTTACTTTTGGTGAACTAACGAGCCAAACAATATGAACCACATAAGTGCTGAGACACTTTAAGAAAAAACAACTTAAATTAATTTCAAAGTACTTTTCAGCCGGAAAGCCCTTTGCAACAAACCATCTCCAGTCCTCCTTTGGCTGTCGGAGCCGGTGAAGGACGGTGGCCATTTGCATTCAACGACCTTTGCAGACAATAGAGCTACTGTTTAGAGAGCTCTAGAATTTTTGGGTTGTTAGTTCCATACACAAGATGTGGCTGAACGAAATGGATAATAAACATATACTGACAAGCGGAGGGTAGATAATGGCACCATGGGTGCAACAGAGCTCATCATCGACATCACAATACTCCCCCACTTGTGAACTTTTAGCCAAAAGAACTGAATATTTAGATAGTTTGGTCGGCTTACAGCTACCGCACCGAGTTCCAGCAACGCCTCTCACAACATAACCGGTACAGCAATAGCAGGCCAATTGTCTTGCGTCAAGGTCATTCTCATCAACAGATTCATCAGCAGCAGCAAGGCTGGAGAATGCAAGGACAGCAAAAAGAATCTTGAAATTCATATTTGTATGCGGTTCTTTGTATGTGCTTGTTTATGGTGGAATATAAAGCTTCAGATCATTGGTCTTGAGTAAATGATGATTAAAACGAAGACATCAATTGAGGTAGAGACTTACCAACTGCTTTATTTGCAAAATTTGGCACTCAAGAGATGGTCTAGGTCAGCGAGTGATCGATTCAGCGGCAATAAACCTTGCATCATAGGTAGCTCACTTATGAACTTGAAACCAAGGACTGAAGTTGGTAGCAGCCTAGGGTCAGCTCCCTACTCCCTGTATTGTTATTTAATACGACGCCTGTATTACTGGCTTCAGTGACGGATATAGTTAATCTAAGGTTTGAGATTTGGTACGATCTACAAATAAGATCCCACCACGCTTCAATGCAGGATGAACATCGAGGTTAGTTTGAGATATACGGTTGCTAAGGTTCCATTGGACAGGAAGTGCCGAAAACAGAATTGTATAATCCAGAAAATCATTACGAAAGCAATTCCATGTGTAGCTTGAATACCGTACTAACGCGTCTACCTGCCCTTTCGTAAAATGGCTAATCTTGGGTCATTCCTTGTCAGAAAAAGAAAGAAAAGTAAAACAGCGTAAAGCAGCACGAACAGTGAGAAAAGGTCAGACAGTACACAACCAGTTCCATGTGAAGAATTGATGAAAATTAAAATCCCGTCACGAACAAGTTTGTGATTAAGCTGGAATTGGATGTCGCTAGGCCATGGCAAGTCAATGCAGAAACGGTAGAGAGACTAGCAACCATCGAAGTTGACAAGATTTGGGCTCGTTCTAGATCTATGAAATCAAGAATTGGCGACAATGGGCTGCTTTCGGAAATGAGATCTCCCCTTTACCACTAATAGATTCACCATGGCTTCACCTATACCTCGCCATATTGCCTCTTTGAGTATCTATGGATTACCCCACGACCCAGCAAGAGCCCATGAGCGTACACATTATGGAACTACACATGCGATACGATAACTTAGGTTACTTATGATAACTGGCGCAGTATTGTATATATTACTGTCATTTAATATTCTAGAGCGCGTTCTGGATATGCTTTGGCATAACTGGCAGAAGGATCGATAGTCTCGACCCAAGACCCACCCCGTCGGCCGCTGGGTGGGGCATTTTGAAAGTCATATTTAGTTAAGTACATGAGGGCGGACGCGTAAGAACCGTGAGGATGACGGATTTGAGTAGGATTAGGGATAGTGTAATTAACTAGATTTTGATTTGCTTGTCCTTAAATCCGCTATAATATGATGACTACGACTAGAGATGCTAGACAAAAATCAAAATAAACACGTACGGGAAATACGTAGAATTACAGAGCAAACTTGCATAAATTTTGTCATTACGAGGTTTCCTAATGTTTGTATTGTTTGCGACTGATTTATTACTGACTACCTATCTCGACCCAAAACCCGACCTATTTGTGGATTTGGTCTGGTTCGGTTCGGTTTAGTATGGGTTCTCCCGCAGCCTAGTTCTGGATCTGATCAAAACCCGACCAGTCTTTTGGCGAAGTCTAGAAGCCTTCACCCAACGGTATGTTCGTAATTTACTTCATCTGCTGTTGTCATTGATACGTATATTCTCGTTGTCATGGAAAAGTTATGTCTGGTATCTTTCTCAACTAGGTTCCGCTCATATCCGTCATGAAATTAGACTAGCGTTGTGAAATAAAGTTCGACCCGAACTACTATAGCCCGAAGACGAACGAGGAATGCGGGCGCACTACCTTCCTTAGGTCATTCGGATAAAAGCTCGGTTAGTGCCCCAATTTGCTTTCCGCTTAGAATATGTTCATAATCTGTAGTTTTGTGGTGGGTATGCTTATTTAGCGGTGTTTGAAACAGCATTTTGAAGGGAACTCTCCAAGATCAATGGATGTCTAGCTCAAATTAAGGTTTTGATAAAACTCTTGGAACTAGAACTCGATTTAGACTAAGCGATACAATGTATAGCGTCATATTTCTCGTCTGTCTAAATATAATGATATGTCCAAATCCTCCAAGTTTCCAGGCAGAATTGGTTGTGACGGTACTCTGGTGATCCAAGGATCATGCCATTTATTTCCGGTCGTCAGCTTGCCTTTCCTCTTGTTGTCTTAATATTTCTATTGAGATGTTTTTCAACAAGGCAGAAATACGATGATATTGACTATGCAGATAATATTGGTCAAGCCGATTTTTCAACAGGATCGAAGTTTAGACCCATCGATGCCGTTTACACCTGGGTCAATGGATCAGATCCTATATGGAAAAGCGAGAGGGACTTTTGGTATCAGCGCTGGGTCAAGGAATATGATGGACCGGATTTGAATATCCAAAAAAAGCCGAAAAGTGGCTCCGATGAAGATGAATGTGCTGCCGATGAGAATCATTTTCGAGACAACGACGAGCTCCGATATTCCGTTCGCTCCCTAGAAAAATATGCACCATGGATCCGCCAGATATATCTTGTGACGAACGGCCAGGTCCCTTCGTGGTTAGATCCGGACAATCCTCGAATCAAAGTTATCAGTCACTCCGAAATTTTCGAAAATTCTTCACATTTGCCGGTTTTCTCTTCCTCTTCTATTGAAAGCAATCTTGACAGGATCCCAGGTCTCAGTGATAATTTTCTCTACTTCAATGACGATGTTTTCCTTGCAGCACCTATCTCGCCAGATGATTATATAACGCCATCTGGGGTGCAAACCATCTACCTATCTCACCCAGTTCCACTAGGTGATGATGCATATCCGGAGTACTGGTCTGGAGATAATCTTCTCACTCCAGAGAGCTCCGAATCAACATGTGGGAGGCAGTTCGATGACTACAATATTGTGGATGATGGGCACGGCGGAGTAAAATGTGAGCTGCTAGTAGGGAAAGTGTTTCTCTCCTCGGCATGTGAACTGGAAGCAGAGATCCCGCAGTCTTTATTCGACGAAGTTTTGGGGGCAATATTTCTCTGGGACACGGCGACATTAATTCTACTTTGCTCTTAACCCACGAAGGTTTTACGTCAAATGACGATGAGCCGTCAAACACGACAGAGAGCATTCCAGAACTAGACACTAAGACTCGGATCAAAATTGCCGCACTGCTAGATGCTTTCTCGCAGTGCCCCAATGATCATGATTTGGTTTCTGATGCAATCAGGTCTGTGATAAAGGCATTCAACGGACGATTCAATCTATCGAAACACCTTCGGAGGGTCCCGTCTCACATGCCTCATATGCTCAACAAGCAAGTTTTGACTGAGCTTAAAGGAATATTTCCAGAGGAATTCCAGCTGAACTCAGCACACCGGTTTCGACATCCACGGGACCTACAGGTTAGCTTTGCCTATTTCAACTATCTAATCAATCGGCCCTATTTTTTGTCTTCTACACTGTGCGGGTTACGAGATCAATATCTTGACATGCACCGAGACAGCTGGCTCGAAGAAACTGATATTCGAACCCTCGAAAGCCTTCTGTACAGAAACAGTCCACCAGTAGGCTTTCATGAGTCTGTTCAAAGGTGTCTTCACAATGGCTCTGGGTTCACAAACGAATTGCAATGTCCGACAAAAGCGAGAAAAACGATAGGCTTTTCTATCAAAGACGTGGAGCGTTGCATCGATATGTCTAAGTTACGATCGCAGTTCCAAACGGAGAAGGGATATAGGCTGAAGATGGGAGCTGATGTGACCTTTCACATGCTGGGAGACGACTACCAGGCCACTATGGACCAATTTCAATCGACGAGAGACAGACGAACAAAATTCATTTGTCTCAATGACGACATGAAGAGCCCATCAATTGATGTGACACTCGCGTTTAGGCAGTTACTCGAAGACCTGTGGCCAGTGCCCTCAACCTTCGAGTTACAGACAAGAACATACGAAAGCCACAGAGAACTGTTGCACAAGGAAGCAACCTCTCCATATCTTTTTTGTCTCTTGATTTTTCTTTCTGGAAGCATACTGATACTGTCTTTCCTTTTTCGAGTCTCGGGAAGCCTGAGTAGACGCAAGACAGTTTAGAACCGGCCTGGGTTCTAGGTGTGAATGGATGTGTACGGGGGTCATAACCATTCTATGTCGCAAGTGATTGTCCATTGTACAATGTCCGATTTCAAGTCTGGATATTTATGTGTGAAGAGAATAACCAATGTTTAAGCGGCAATAGAATGCACGGAAACTAAAGCCACCAGTTTACTATTGAGCGTATACTACCTGGGTAATAGCCAATCGGCCCTCAAAGGGCTTTGCCGACCGCGGATATCGTCAAGGCAGGTATATTTGACAGGCTGCCTCAACCTCATTCCGACAGTTTCAAGGCAGAGGCTTCGGACGGAGAAACTGGGAACACCTTAAATCATTACTGGACTAGCGGTAGATCCCTTACTTCCAAGAATAGACCCTGTATTTTATATGACGGTTGTAGGACTGCATAATGTATTTTACACGAAACTACTATCTCTGCTGCGCAATTTCAGCTTCCAGATTTCTTGAGCGACAGTCAAGACTTTCCAACCAACATAGTGCCCGAGACTCCCTCCCGATGTATCGAATAGACGAATCAGGTTTTTGGCATCAGATGAACGGTATCTTGGACGTCAACAACTTTGTTACCACGCTAACAAATTAATGGACCAGACCACAGTACATGCATTGAACGCGTGACTTCTCCCATAACGCTATCCTTCCTGGGCCTTTGATCAAAGATACCCTACTTGGTCGGCCAGTCAGAGTGCCGTCACGGCAGATACTATGTCGAGTACGAGCCAGTCTGAGATAAGACTGTAGAGATCCATAATCTTACTATTTTTGGTCATTTGAATAACAGAAGTCACTAATCCAAAACAATATTTCTCTTGCCGCCACCAGCAGCAAGAATATGTAATTGCAAATTGTTTTATGGATGACAACTCGCCCCCAAGTCGGACCCCAGCCGCGACTGCGGTTAACCTGTTTTACTCCTTAAACTCAACTTCCTTTCCACTTTGCATACCTATAACAGCATAGCTAACAGGATCTGTTGTACCAGTCAATAATTGTTTATTTGTGCCCATTCTCTGAGGTGCTTACCCAGCTGCTGTAATATGACTTGTTCACCAGGTGAAAATTCAACATCGTGCATACACTTGAGCTCCACAGGATTATTCGGAGTATGATAAATGGTGATATGGTCAACTTCTCCAGTAACAGATTCCGATTTGTCAGGCTGGATCATTCTGCCACCAATTTCAGCACTGGTGTGTGTTCCCTCTTGTAGGGTGACAGGGTCCTGGTAGAAGAATGCTTTAGGCATGGTGAAGATTCGTGGTTCATTCAAAATTGGAGGTCTTCAATACAAAAAGGATATTGGTGAAAATGGAGTGAACACCTTGTGTTTCTTACGCGAAAATATCTTTGGCTCTCTATATAGCAGATTGCTAATATACTATAGAGAATAATTAGTGCCAGACCACATTCGTCATTATGATGTCTTCGATTCCATATTCTATTAAGTAGGATTAAATAAAATACGTAATATAAAGCCATCACGTAATCTAGATTACGTCTAGTTATTACGATCCATTATTAACGAAGGTTAAAATTTAGGTTAACGTTAGCGTTGGTTTGTTAGTTAGTTTATTTAACGGGATCGGTAAGCGAGTCGCCCATGTAAGGGACCCGCCCACCCAACCAACACAACTATTTGAAATTGATTTATTACACCACCAACGCCATTGATTTCAATTTTCTACCTCAGGCCACCAGAGACTCGCTCTCGGCAGGGACGGACTTACGATGCGACCAGGTACTCGCACAATTGTGGCCGATTTTATGGACACTATCGTGCTAGTGAATGGAGGAAGAAAAAGAGAACGGGACCCCTCAGGATAGTGTCACGGAAGTAGGATGGAGTCCAACAGTAGAGCAGCACCAGGTCCGCTGTACTCCCTTGACGTAAGCGAGGACGCGAGCGGTGGCCGGGAGGTTGGATGGTTACGCAAGAGACGATGTACTCAGTGATTGGAGGAAAATAGACGATGATTTTTTCGGGAGAAAGGGGGGTATGGGGGAGAGTCCGTTGTGCTTACATATCTAGTCTCCCTCGCTTTGCTCCTATGTCTACATTCGAGAATGATCACTTTCTAGCTGTCTGTAGGCTGACAGCGCTCTCGCCTAGCAGCATTAATTTAGAGCGAGCGCATCGGGTAAATAAATTCATACTCATCGTCACACGACATTTGAATTTATGATGTGGTTCCGCAGAGAATACAACAATGATGATCCAACAATGACGACCCGATGCATGGTTCATGAGCACACGAGGATTATTAGCGTTTTATGACGCGAACCGAAAACTATGCTTGGCTTTGCAAGCTCTGGTCGAGGCTTGGAGGGGTTTCTGACCAGCCGTAGCTTTGGTCTCCACTGGACTTTTGCTACTGAAAGGATTAAACCTCGCGTGATATTAAGAAACCCATAACCAGTTTTGAAGTCCGTGGAGCTCAGACCTGGTTCTCGAATTTCGTCTTTTCTTCTTACTGAGCTCAACCGTGAGCAAGTTGTTTCTGATGGTGTTCATTCCCAAAAGCTTCATTCGATCTAGCTTGGTGCATTTTCTCCTTGTCTGTCTCATCTTTCCACACTTGGCATTGAGCTCAGCGACAAGTCATGAGAGCCACCGCGGAAACATTCCTTCAGCAAAATCAACCAAAAACAGACTCCAAACCTCTCAAACCTGTCCACCGTCCTTAATAACCCTCCCTAGAGGCACATCAAGGCCCATTCCACAGATCCAGCACCAATTCAATTCTGAAACTAATTCTGATCGGCTTGAGAGGACCAAAAGGCAACAGGCCGTGAAAGAAGCGTTTCAACATAGCTGGGATGGGTATAAAAATCATGCCTGGTTGTGGGACGAAGTATCACCCATCACTGGAGGCCATAAAAACCCCCTTGGGGGATGGGCAGCAACTCTGGTCGACTCCTTGGATACATTGCTCATAATGGGTTTGGATCAAGAGTTCAAAAAGGCACTCGAAGCACTGGATGATATTGATTTTTCCACTTCAAGAGTACCTAATATTAATGTCTTTGAAACAACAATCCGATATCTCGGAGGTTTGATCAGCGCATATGACCTAAGCGAAGGAAAGCATTCGATCCTCTTGGAAAAGGCCCATAATTTAGCCGACTTTTTGTATGGGGCGTTTGATACCCCAAACAGAATGCCACACACGCGATGGCAATGGATAAGGTAGGCAGGGAAGGTGTCAACTGCGCCAAAAGCAGGCCCCTTAATCCACGACTTATGATTAGGAATGTTTTAACCAGTACATAGGACCATATTGGAGTCCTCAACACAGCCCAGTGAAAGTGCGCTCCTTGCTGAGATAGGTTCGTTGAGCCTAGAGTTCACTCGCCTTTCGCAAATAACAGGTGACCCAAAATATTTTGATGCTATTCAAAGAATTACAAACCAACTACAAAGCACCCAAAATCGGACTAGATTACCGGGTCTATGGCCGGTCTCGCTAGACGCCCATGCCTTACGCTTTTCAGATAGCTATTTCACAGTCGGTGGTATGGCTGACTCCACCTACGAATACCTCGTCAAAGAGTATCTACTTCTTGGAGCCCGATCAGATCAATATCGTGACATGTACATCTCTGCAATAGAAGGGATCAAGAAAAATCTGCTCTTCCATGGAATGGATAAAGAAAGGAAAGACATATTATTCGTTGGGAACATCCGATTTGACCCAAGATCCGGCGAAGAGATTTTTGAGTATCAAACGGAGCATCTCAAGTGCTTCCTGGGGGGTATGATAGGTCTTGGTGCCAAAACCTTTGCTCGATCAGCTGACCTATCTATTGCACGGGGACTGGTGAATGGATGTTTATGGGCATATGATCTCATGCCCATTGGAATCATGCCCGAAACTTTATATATAAGTGGTTGCAAAAAGTCAAGTTGTGAATGGGATGAAGAGAAGTGGCTCCGGGATATATTCGGATGGCCAGAGGGACAGGATATGCCTACGAGTGTACGTGAGGCTGCACGGCTGATTATTCAAGATCATGGACTACAATCACCAATACTGGAAGTAGCTGATCCAAAGTATCGTCTAAGGTGATTTGGAATACATGGTGTGGTTTATTAAGGCACTGTTATGCTGACTTTTCTACACAGACCTGAGGCAATTGAGTCTATCTTTATCATGTACAGAATTACCGGCAAAAAATCACTACAAGACTCTGCATGGCGAATGTTTCAGAACATTGAACGGTACACCAAAACCAAGCATGGCCATGCTGCACTCAAAGATACCCGTGACATACGGACAGCAAAATTAGATGTTATGGAAAGCTTCTGGCTTGCAGAGACGCTGAAATACTTTTACCTCATTTTCTCAGATCCGAACTTGATCAGTTTGGATGAGTACGTCTTGTAAGTATAGCGTCCCTTCTTCATCAGCGAAACGGAGCGCCTTGATCAGTCAATTAATACGTGATATAGTAATACCGAAGGGCATCCCTTCAAGTACATACATGTCTCTCCTACAATATAGCATTGTGGCTTTTTTATTTACATTTGGTAACGAGCTTGAAATCAAGTCATATTCTGTGAAGGGATTTATTTAAAATACTTATCTAAATAAAAAAAAAATTCTAGACCCACGCCAGCCATCCAAAGTCGAGTATTGTGGTATAGATATGTGCGTTACGGCTCTCCAAATATGTACCAGGGAAGAGCCATTAACAGTCTACCGTGGTTAGAACGGGTAGACTGCCGCTCACGGCTATCCATGCTTTCAACGAAAACGGTGAGAACACGAACACCATCAGCTTGTCTTTGAACCATCATATCCCGATTTTACGCCACCCGTAACTTGGTTTTCTTCTTGAGGTTATGTAAACCTTAATCTGTTACCCCGTCAATCATAGATATAGGCATCCGTTAACTTCCGAGCGTCAGTACACACATAATGTTACACGGCGTATTGGCTATGAATCCATTTGGTTAATATTATTTGCTCGGACTGTTAGTTGAATCTTCAACTTTGATTTAATAGGCGAAATTTCTACATTCAGTTTATCATGCCAAAAAGCAGATAAGTTATTGAAAATGATTACAGCCATTGCGAATGGAGGCTTCCCTGCTGTCCAATATCATCAATTAAGCTGGGTCTCAACAGCCACTACTTGGCCCACGGGTTCGGTAACCGGTGACTATTCTGACTATCCACAAGTTCAACCTCAAGAAATACCACTTCTAGGAGGAGCGAAGCCAGTCATACTAGACTCGCAGGTGCTTAGGCTATCATCATCATGGGATCAATCCAGTAATCCCGATAGCTGGAAATATTATATTCCAAAGCCGCAGCCCCAAAACAATGATCCTGCGGTCCACTCAAATAAGAACACTCATGAGGTTCCAACAGTGCAATCTGCCAACGAGGGGGAACAATTGCACAGCACAGAAATATTCTTACAGGGATGGCCTGGCCAAGCCCTCGACACAGTTTGTGGCTGGGGCTCCAGCGAGCAGCATACCCGGCTAGTTCGGAAGGAATTTGCTGAAATACTGAATGCATATCGTGTGAGAACGCTCAACGATGCTGGCTGCGGTGATTTAGCGTGGATGAGTATGATAGATCTCAAGGGGATCGATTATGTTGGCTACGATATATACGAGCGGGCAAATTGGGCCGAATTACGACAACGCGGCTATCGACTGGACGTTCTTGACATCACAAAAAACGAACCGCGCCCGGCTGATCTACTTATTTGTCGTGATGTTTTTATTCATTTGCCGAACGATATGATTCTCCCTACGCTAGAGCGATTCCGCCGCACAACATCCCTGCTTCTCACCACAAGCTACACCAGCGACCCAAGTTCGAGTGAAGGACAATTTTCCAACTTCAGGCGAATGAATGAGCCAAGTCTACATCACAGAAAACTCGACCTGACTCTACCTCCGTTCAATCTCGGCCAACCGCTTGTTCGCATCCCCGAAGACTCGCCCAACAAATACCTTGGCCTCTGGGATATGACCCACCCGCCGACTGGCGCGTAAGCAATGAAGCTGATCCATTGAACCTCCTACCGCTTAAGACATGCGGTAGGCTGGCCGTTGAAGGATGAGCTTTCCATGGAACTCGGGGGTTGGATTCTCTTCCCGTAGAATCGGGAACGACTCTTTTTGAGAAATTCGCGAATGGGAAATTACATATCCTGCCAAGGTTCGGATTAGATGATAGTTAAGGTGCAATTGGAGGGTGGAATGCACATCGGTTAGGTAGAGATTCAGAGACGAAAGGAATATGGAGCACAAGAGACCTATTGTCACAGAGACTGGATCTTGAAGAAGAGAGTAGATACCCTGAGAGCCACGCTTTTTGAAAAGGTTAGGTATCAAGGTTCAATGCCCAATCTGTATGCGCAATCGGGTATCAACCACTTCATGTGGCCGTAAGGCCCCTACCCCAGAAAAAGAGGCTTCGGAACCCTAAAGCCCACAATGTAATTAGGATCAAGATATATCCTAATAAATGCACACGTGATCCCATACAGCCAGGCCTGGACTGGGTCTGACCGGGTCTTCTAGCGGCAACAGATCATTGATGTAATCATCATCGAGGGCCGAAGTATAGTTCTCTGTATTTTCAACCGTATGGAGTGCTAAGACCCATGTAACTAATGCTGATAGGCTACAGGATTTACTGTTCGCTTTACCTCCTGCTTCTGTTGAGATGACCCCAAACGGAGCAACAGACGGCGCGAAAGGAAACTCCATTATATATCCATTACCTAGTCTTCTATACCGAGTGGCTATTCACTTCTAAGCGTCTCTTACTCCGTCCTTTCAACCTTGAATCATGATTAGCTCTTTTTCCTCCTATATGGACTGTTATCGTTGGCTCTCGGGGAACCAGGCTGGCCGTATCAATCTTTTCAGACTGGAAATTGGCAACCACCCCATCTGACCCTCAAAAAGGTTGGTGAAACAGATCCGGGATACATCTTTATCGGCGTCCGGAAGTACAACGAAGCCGGCACCGCGCCGACAATTTTCGACAATAATGGTGACATGGTGTGGCAGGGCCCGCAGGGGGAGAACCTAGACTTTAAGGTGCAAAAGCTTTTCGGCCAGGATGTGATCACATACTGGGATGGACAGCCAGGTGATATGGTGTTAGGCTATGGAGCAACGCATATCCTCGACAACACATACAAAGAGATCTACACTGTCACCCTGCACGACGACTTCCAGACGGCCGACGGCACAAAATTTGACTCTTACATAGATGGCCACGAGCATTATATTACGCCAGATAATACCATGCTCGTCTCAGCCGTCAATTTCACCAAGACAAATACTAGCCATCTTCATAATGGGTTGTCCACGTCGACCTCGTCAACAAGAAGGCATGGAGAGCCTACGAACAGACCGATCCGACTGACAGCGTCGTCAGCGCAACTCAAGGCAGCTTCCAACTCCTCCCATGCTCAGGAACAGAGCACATGCTGCTAGGCTACGGATCGATACCCAAACTCAAGGAATACGATCGAGACGGCAACGTGGTTCTTAGAGGACAATTTGGCAACAGCACATATGCGGCGAATGCCTACCGAATATCCAAGTCCCCCTGGAGAGCTACTCCGCACTGGGATCCTGTTCTTTTCGTCAATCATAGAACCGAGCATACGACCGATGTTTACATGAGCTGGAACGGTGCCACGGAGTACGACAACTGGGCCATTTTCTCAGTCCCATCTGAGACTTCAACGTTTCAGGAAGATCAACGCCTGCTAAACCATGAGCGAAACGGGTTTCAGATTTCCTGTGAACGCCTGTTGGTCCATGAGCGAAATGGGTTCGAGACTCACGTCCCTCTCGAGAATGTCGACGCCAAGTTCATCATTGCTGTTGCCAGAGACGGTGAGAAGGTCTTGGGCAAGTCCTTCATTATGGAATTTGCGTCATGAAATACATATGTTTGTCATGTTATCGCGGCAAATGGAGACTACAAGGTCTTGACAAGGAAGGGCCGATGTCCTTTCAAAGTTCTTACGTTAGGCTGAGTCTATTACAACCTGCGCTCGTTTAAATCAAGGATAGTAGAGTCGATAGTAGAAGCGGATAGGTCTAGATGTCAAATTTGAAGCCAGGTTGGGCTGCATCTTAATGCCAAAGTCAAGACGTTTACTAGAGCAGGGGTCAAAATCGAGGGGTGTCTTCTGATAAAATGTTGCCTTGAATGTGGATGACTTTGACTGATTCTTAAATATACAAAAGTACCTGAGCTACTTGTAGTCAATATGTAGAATGCGGTATAGATAGTGTCATGAGTATACCTTGACCCTTTATTTAGTTTATACGACCCGTCTCATTCAGACCATTCAAGGGATCTTGGGTTATTTCCCCCTTTCTCTCCTTTCTACTGGTATTTTACTGTTAAACTTTATTTTCTCTTTGTGGCCTACTATGGATGTATCCTGATTTTCTCCCTGCATTTCTCATAAATTGATCGCCTATTGATTCAGACCTATTTATTTGCCTTTTTCTTCTTAGTAGAACGTAAAGAATGTCTCAGTAAATTATTGCCACCAATAGAGTTCTAATACATTTTGCCTCCTGTCAAGAATGTGACCCGTGTGATCCCCGCGATTGACATCTCATTTTTGACATATGCCTCTTCAAATTCCTATCCTCTTCTTCAGAAATACATTCCCTCTGGTTAGCTATTCGTTTAAATATGCTCCCTTTTAAAGGCAAAAATGTAGCACAAGCTTTTAAACGTGGCCCAAAACTGGCCTAACGGTCATGTCAGACACTAGCTTCAGATGCTACGCTTTCTAGGATCTGTTGGGCAAAAACTATCTATTGGTCTTGAATGATGTTCAAACGAGGTTATAGCTTAGGAGAGTTTTCATCACCCCCTATATTTGTTTTGACCCCTTATACCGATAGAATGCCTCGTTTTGAAAATCGTCGTCTCGTCGAATGTGACTTCTGCGTGATTAAATAAGAATGCAGGCAACTGAAAATGATAGTTTTTCAATGCAAATATCGAGTTCGTTCACCTTGCATCTCTATTTTGACCTTTGAAATATATGTAACTATAGGATAATTATAGTTGAAGTAGTCTGCGTCAAAGTATTCACTATTGCACTCTACGGCCTAAGACCGTTCACCCACAGATTTTTGTTAAGCGAGGATCTAGACAGATTTTTAGAGCGCTCATAGTGACCTGGAAATGGGCGTAAATGAGGTATTTAGGGTATTTCACCACTTTCGGAGCTTACAAAAGCCAGATCACATTCCTAGGACATTTCTGTAGATTCGCCTGACTTATAGGAATGACAATGTATATGAAGCTATAGGTCTTAGTAAACTTTGCTACAAGGTGGCTTCATAGCTTGTAGATTCCACCAGTAAGAGAAAAGAGGGTGACGACGACTTCGACAGTCGTAGTATCGACTTTATTTGTTTCAAGCAAGGTAAGCAACATATAAAAGTGTCTCGATGCCGCGCTCAAGATACGAACAGATCTAACAAGCTCCTCAATCAAAATTCAACACCAAAACTCCGAAGTTTTCAGTCTGTGCGGTCCCAAGAAGATGAAGTACTCTATTATTCTCTCCACGTGGATGGCCTTGGGCCTCGTGGGCGCTGCCCCAGTTACCCTGCCTAGTATTTAAAGTCTTCTTTTATAACTTCGGGGGCCCCTTACGCTGACTATAAATGTAGCCTTGGGCGAGATTGAGGAGTTCGCAGCTGCGCCTCATTATCGGCCTCCTTACTACAAGGATCACGACGATGACCGCCATCACGACAAGAACCATGACGGGCATTTCAAGCGTGAAGTAGTTGAACATCACGATGGCCGCCATGACGAGCACCACCACGACCATGATGATGACCGTCACCATGGCAAGGACCACGACGGACATTTCAAGCGTGAAGTAGTTGAGCATCACGATGGCCACCATGACGAGCACCACCACGACCATGATGATGACCGTCACCATGGCAAGGACCACGACGGACATTTCAAGCGTGAAGTAGTTGAGCATCACGATGGCCGCCATGACGAGCACCACCACGACCATGATGACCGTCACCATGGCAAGGACCACGACGGACATTTCAAGCGTGAAGTACTTGAGCATCACGATGGCCGCAATGACGAGCACCACCACGACCATGATGATGACCGTCACCATGGCAAGGACCACGACGGACATTTCAAGCGTGAAGTAGTTGAGAATCATGACGGCCACCATGACGAGCACCACCACGACCATCATGATGACCGCAAGGATCACGATGGACATTCCAAGCGTGACATTGATGAGCATCACGACGATCACCTCGATAAGCACCATGACGAGCACCATCACGACCATGATGATGACCGTCACCATGGCAAGGATCGCGATGGACATTCCAAGCGTGAAATTGATGAGAATCACGACGATCACCTCGACAAGCACCGTGACGAGCACCACCACGACCATCATGATGACCGCAAGGATCACGATGGACATTCCAAGCGTGAAATTGATGAGCATCACGACGGTCACAACGACGACGACCGTCATCACGACAAGGACCACGATGAACACCATCATGATCGTCACGATGGATATTCTCACTAAACCTAGACGCTGCAACACCTCTAAGTCTTTATAAATAAAGACGAACGGAGATTAGTATTAGTTAGTTAAAGGTGTTAAAATCCGCTTTGTCGTTATTGTAGGCTATCACATCCTAGTATGATAGTCCTTTCCTTAGTTCCTAGACGCAGAGTAAACGATCGACCCATCTATCCTACCGGTACCCCTCGTGTACCCTATACCGGGTGAGGCGGGTCATGAGGAGGCCACCGCTATGGGCAGGCAAATAACACAGATGATACCGGGTGTTATGGCGTCGTCGGCTTACCCTCGGATGTCCCATGAAGAGCGGCCCATCTTTGTGCAGAGAATGGCCTCAGCATTTCAAGCTTACTGGCGTGTTCAGATACTGGAGCCTCGCCTGATCGGCGAGCTAGTCGCTACCAAAAGAGGGATCCTTACTATCGGACCTGACTGACACCATGGCCTTGGTGGTCCATTTTCCTCCGTCAGCGAATACCTACGAGTGTACATCAAATCTCCGTTCAATGCTCTCGAAAGATAGCAAGATATCGACGAATATAAGAAGCAGTTTCTCGAGCCAATTAGAAACTTCGTCAATAATCGCACTCACAACATCCAGGTTGCTGTCGAAAACAGCCCTATCGTCGCTATACACGCCGATATGGGCCCGCGCAATATAATCGTATCCAGCCATGAACCAAGCATCAGAAATCCAAGCTGTCATCGACTGGGAATTCGTCGCTAGCGCACCCTATGCCTCACTTCACCGAGTTAATGAGACGTTCTTCCGCAAGCCAGCACCAAACGGTTTTGGGAAGGAGTACAATCGAGCCGACGAGCTTCGCAAAAGCTTTCTGGGATGCCATCCCTGACTGGAAGTTGTAGAACGAGACCGAGTTAGCAAAGGCATCTGGAGTGGTTTAGGTTTGGCCTATTCATGAAGCCTGAGTGGCGACCAAAGGATCTCCCAGAAAATGAGGCACACGAATACTGGCGGGAAAACATTCGGGCTGTCTAGGACATGTTGCGTGAATATTCATGAGCAGACCCACATCATCACGATACCAGTGCGGCTATGAGATCGAGCGATCTTTAAAATAGCCCGACTGATCACGTGGAATCACGTGCTCCTCCCGGTGTATTCAACCACTAGCACAATACAACACCCCTTTATTTCACAGTGCTCCGGCAGGACAACTGTAAGTAGGGATATATTTTCGAGGAGGTTGCGGTCGGGAAACAGCAAAATGAACAACCACCTGCTTCCATATCCGTACAATCTATCACAGCCCCCAACGTGGCTGGATCGTGTATTCCAGCCGCTTTCCGATGCTTTATTTAGAGAACCCAAGCACTGCACGCCACAGGAACCATCGACAACGCCGATTCCTCTTCAAAATAACGGGGATAACCTCCCGCCAATACGCATAATATGCATCTCAGACACGCACAGCGCAACCCCTCTTCTTCCTCCCGGCGACATCCTGATTCATGCAGGCGACCTGACTTCCAGTGGCACCTTCGCTGAGATGCAAGCACAGCTCCGGTGGCTGTCGTCACAGCCGCATACTTATAAAATTGTTATTGCGGGAAATCATGATATTCTGCTCGACGAAGCAAGCGACCCGAAGTTTCTTACACGCGGGGGAGATAGTGTCACCGAGCGGAAAGAATTGGATTGGAGCGGCATTCGGTATCTGCAAGATGAAGCAGTCACGTTGGAACTGCCAGTCCCCGGTCTCGGAAAGCAGCAAGTGCGCAGGGTGAAGATATACGGATCTCCACTGACGCCAGAGCTCGGCCTCTGGGCTTTTCAATATCCTTCAATCCGCGACGTGTGGACCGGACGGGTTCCCGATGACACTGATATTCTGGTGGTTCACGGCCCTCCGGCTCTATATGGAGACTGTGATGGCGAGAAAGGGCCGACTGGACAAGTCAAGGTGAAGGGGGATGGGTATCTATTGCGCGAAATACGCAGGCTGAAGCCCAAAATGGTTGTCTGCGGCCACATCCACGGTGCGTTTGGCCTCGCTGTTATCGAACACGATGAAACCCAAGACATTATGAACGGACTACAGATGCGATGGGCAGGTTACAATTTATTCGGAGCTCTGAAACAGACTCTGTGGAGCAAGATAACCTCGATAAGTAACGTTGATCGCCGGGAAGAAACTCTTGTCATCAACGCCGCCGTGGCGCCAGGTGCTGGTAGAGCTGAGGACAAAAGCGCAATCGCCATCGATTTTCACTAAGCACAAGCTGTACAAGAGCAACATTTTCATCATGCCATGACCCGTAAGAAGAGAAAGGCTAACTCCGTTAGCCTCTAAATAAAATGAATATGCGGTTGCCAATGCAGAATATTCTTCGCTGCCAGCTGAACACTAGCCCTTACATCCTCGAACGACTCGAGGACTTCATCATTATCATGCGGGATCAGTAGGGTTTCTTCAGCCGCGGCACTTGATTCGTCCACTCCGGGACTGATTCGAAGATTTTGTCCTCCTTCTGGTATTGCTCCAATTCTTCGCGTGAGATGATGCTGTCCGCCTTCCGTGGCAGACCCAAGTTGATGCGCTCGTTGAACGACTCGACCAACAACGCTGGTATAGCAGCAAGAACCGCGTAGCGAGTTGTTCTCGCTTCGCGGGAGGATTTGAGTTTCTATAAGCTCGTAAGGAATGCCAAGTCCAGCTCAGTGAAAAACAGTCCCTAGTTATACCTCTCTCGCGCCACGTTGGAAGGACTGCATGTAAGGAGAAATCAATGCCTTGTGATGGTGGCGGTGGGATTAGCGCTTGCTGTGCCATTGCGCATCTGATCAACGCCGCGATACGCTTCAGCCCAGTAAGCGCTGTAAGGATTAAAGACACAATGGGTCCATTTTATTATTAATACTACATATTCCTCATATTCCTGGAACTGGGTCATAGCATGTGCCGGGAAAACAGGCGCCTACTGAAATCGCGATTCATGAACAAAGTTCTTTATAAGGTCTGACTTCGGCTGAACTGCCGAGTCTATATGTGGGGACGGGGCTGGGGTAACAAGTTGGGGTAGGCTCACACTCTAACCTCACCTCATGTTATAGTTAGCGTTTATAAACACAGACATGTCGAACTCCCTCGACCAACCTCCATCTCTGTCTGGCCCCTCAGTCAATCCAGCCAGCCGGCCCTGCAGCGATAAGAATCGTCGCGCCTCCAAAGCATGTTCCGGGTGCCGCACCCGCAAGGTCCGCTGTGACGTCCTGCAGACCGGCCGCCCCTGTACGAAGTGCCGCCTGGATGGATTCGAGTGCGTCCTGGAGCAGCGCAAGAAGCGGCGCAGGCGCATAGTCGACTCCGCGCAGAACGGCTCCTCCGAAACAACGGCCGATAAGCCGGCCAAGATGGATGTCACGGCTTCGGCGCGCTCCTCATCCGCGCGGTCGCTTTCCCAGCACGCGATGCTGCACCAGGTGCCGCACTATCCATTTTTCCGCGAATTCGCGCCCCGTAGCCAGCAGCTCCTGCTGTCGGCACGGAAAGAAGAGGAGCAGGGAGAACAGAGGACAATCGGGGAGAGCGGCGGCGAAGGGGAGAGGTTGGCGGACGATGATCTGCACTATTTGAGGCAGAAAGGGGCGCTTGAGCTGCCGGCGAAGAGGACGATGGACGAATTGGTCGCCAACTACTTCCAGGTGTTCCACCCCTTCTTCCCCGTGGTGGATAAGTATGCCTTTTTGGAAAGTTACTACAGGACGGATTATGAGGGGATTTTGAGTCGGAAAGGGCCAAGTTTGCTGCTGTTACAGGCTGTTCTCTTTACTTCGAGTGCGGTTAGTTGTAGCTGGATGTCAGGCAGATCAGTGCTAATGGCTTACAGACCATACCTGTGGGCATCTTGCGGGATAGTGGCTTCTTGTCTCGGAAACAAGCGAGAAGCCTGCTTCATCGAAGAACTCGCGTGCGGCTTGATCGCCATAATCTTCAAATGATGGCTGCTAACCTCTTTCACAGTATTTATATGACTTTGACTTTGAGGGTGACGATGTCACAACCATCCAGGCTCTCTTATTGATGAGCCATTACTACCCATCCATGGTCGAACAGAAACACACCTGGTTCTGGGTTCACCAAGCCATCTCCCTTGCTCAAGGTGCCGGCCTTCACCGCGACGCCCGCCAAGCGCCCCAGCGCAAGCTCTGGGCTCGTATCTGGTGGGCGTGCCTCGTGCGCGACCGGCTCGTCACGCTCGGCACCGGCCGCCCTATGCAAATCAACAGCTTGGACTGCAGCGTTCCGATGCTGACACTGGCAGATCTAGATGAGGAGGGCGATAGCGAGGACGGCCGTGCGGTCAAGGCGGTGTTCGTGGAGTTTGTGCGCCTATGCCAGTACATGGAGGGCGTGTTGTCTCTGCCACATAGCGTGGCGGCGACTGAGGAGTCGGTGCAGCAGCAGATTGGACTGTGTGAGACGACGTTGGCGCATTGGAAGGAGAATTTGGCGCCGGTGGCTCGGAGGTCGGAAGAGACGAAACGAGATTTGTGCACTTTATACAGGAATGTCCTGCATTTGATCTACAAGTGAGTTCCATCCATGATACACTGATTTGAACTGGCGGCTGAGATTCAGGAAGTATCGTCATCATTGCCCTTTACCAGTATCACCGTGTCCTGGAGTATGGTGGTGCACAGCTGCCATCGCCGAAAGTCCAAGCAGCGGCCCAAGACTCAACTCGTCTAGCTGTCGAGCTGATTGAGCTTGATCTCGTCAAGTTCTGCCCGACAATATGGTTGGTCCCCCTCGCCACCTCCTAGTCACATCCTGCTCTGAATTGACCCTATACAGTGTCACCGCCATCCTACCACCACTGATTGCCCATCTCCTCATAACGCGCGCGTCCCGCGACCATCCGGGCAAGTCGGAGGACTTCAACAAGTGCATAGTCTTTCTGAAGCAACTGGGCGAGATATACTGGCACGCAAGCTTCTACAATGAGTTTTTTGAGCTCGCTGCTTCCAGCTCCCAGAACATCACAGAGACGCTCAACGGTGCGCGAGATCCCCTGGTTACGTTCCTGAATGACCGCATGCCGGGGAGGCAGCAGTTTTGTAAAGTGTTGGAATCACAGAACCAGTCCAGAATTCGAAGGCGGACGCTGGTGGATAATGCCGAAAATGCGCAATCCAATATGCTAGCCTCAGATGAGGCCGGGCTGCCTGCACTGTCTAGCCCATCGATCATGGCCGAAATGCCTGACTCGGAGAGGCTTGATAGTGGAGATGTTACGTTGCTGGACCCTGGTGCCCAGCTGTTTGAGGACTGGTTGGTGGATCTTGGCTCTTTCCACAACATATTCCCGTCTGCCTAACCGGCTTAACTATCTATCACTCATGTATAAACACTTCTTGTACAGACATACCGCATCTATTCAATTAAGATCTATATACATGCTTTATAGGACACTGGGTTACAGCTTGGGCCCGTTGATGATTGCCTGCCCCTGTTCACTCGTCCAGAATGTACCAGATGGGTACTCGTACTGTGCAATAGCCTCGGGTTTGTACTCGACGCTGTAGCCTGCCTCGTATGGTGTGACAAAGTGCCCGTCCTTTGTCTGCACGGGTTGGGTCAAGACTTCTCGGAACGAGTTGATATGCTCAAGGAGGCTCTTCTCCCCCGACACGCACAGGTAATTGATCAGCGCCAGGTGCTGCGTGTACTCGTTTAGGCCGACGCCACCACTATGGGGCACGACGGGAACATTGAACTTCTTGGCCAGCAACAGGACGGCCAGGACTTCATTAACGCCCCCCAGCCTGCAGGCGTCAACTTGGCAGTAATCGATCGAGCCGGCTTGGAGGAGCTGCTTGAACATGATTCTGTTCTGGCAATGCTCGCCGGTGGCGACGCCGATGCCGTGGGGCTTCAGGGCCTTGCGGATCGCGGCGTGGCCTAGGATGTCGTCGGGCGAGGTAGGCTCCTCGATGAATACAGGCTTGTACTCAACCAGCTCGAGCATATAGTCGATAGCCTCGGGCACGCTCCAAACCTGATTAGCGTCTACCATCAGCATCCGCTCATAGCCAATGGTCTCGCGCGCGAGCTTCAGCCTCCGCTTGTCGTCCGCCAGACTGCTGCCGACCTTGAACTTGAATTTGTCCATCCCCTCCGCCAGGTTCGATTTCATCAGCTGCACCATCTTCTCGTCCGTAAACCCCAGCCAGCCCGCCTGCGTCGTATACGCCGGCACTGCCTTACTCACTTTCGCCTCCTCTAGCCTGGCGGACTTGGACCCCGCCTGCTCCTTCAGCAGCGCCAACCCCTCCTCCGGCGTAATCGCATCGACAATGTACCGGAAGTCGATGCAGTCGACGAACTCCTCGGGAGTCATGTCTGCGACCAGGCGCCACACGGGCTTGTTGGCATACCTGCCCCACAGATCCCACAGTGCGTTGACCACCGCACTGAGGCCTAGGTGGACGACGCCTTTCTCAGGGCCGACCCAGCGCAGCTGCGAGTCTGAGACCAGGTGCCTCCACGTGTCGCCCATGCTAGAGATGAGGGAGGAGAGGGAGCGGCCGACGAGGCGCTCGGCAATCATCTCGGCAGCAGTTGTGCATAGGTTGTTGCCGCGGCCGATGGTGAAGGCGAACCCGTGGCCGGAGAGGTCGGTGTTGGTCTTGAGGATGAGGTAGGCGGCACTGTAGTTGGGGCCTGGGTTCATGGCATCGGAGCCGGAGAGGTCTAAGCTGGTTGGGAATCTGAGGTCTGGATTGCGGTTAGCTTGGCCACACTGTTGGCAGGCAAATTGTCCTCACCATGAGCTTCGAAGCCTGTGATGGTGATGTCGGCGGCGGGTACCGATGAGCCTGCAAAGGTGCCATTGGCACGGTCCTGGGTAGCTGATGGCGCCATCATGAGAGAGCAATTCCTTGTGACTGTGTTAAAGGATTCGAATTGGACCGAATCAAAGAGTTCTTATAAATATTATCTGAGCTCGCAATTCTGCCGGTCCGCGCGTTCTTCCCCTCGGGCGTCAGTCCCGTCGGACAAGACCTCGCACGAACCATCCAATGGCAGCCAAAGGCCCGGCTGTTCGGCTGGAACGTGTGAAGTTATCCAGTCGCGGGAATCCCCAAAAATCTGGGGTCTGCGGGGAAGACTCCAATTTCCTGGGGTTAGCTCTGACCAATCACGGCCAGAGCATCGGCTCTTCGGCTCTTTATCTTTTTTCTCGTTAACTTATCACCTTCGGATATATAAACAATGTCGCTGCTGGTGATCCACAGTGACTGACAGGTTTTTGGTGGAAAGAAGACACGCGACTTTGCCGGAACAACAGTCAACATGGTGAGAAAGGTAAGCTGCCCTGCTTCAATGCTGCTCGACCAATTTTAACAGCCACCTAAATAGGAAGTCTACCTTTACGGCATTGCGCCGTGCACCGCCGGCTTAGCCTTTGGATATGTCAGTCAACGCGGACTACCCTACATATTGCCATAATCTAACACATCAATAGGACACCGGTTCAATGAGTGAGTGGTCCCACCAAGCAATTCCCAAGGACAACGAATGACATTCCCGAACTTCCAGGCGGCATCCTCGCCATGCCCCAGTTCCTTACCTACTTCAATCATCCGAGCAATTTCCAGCAAGGCGGTATTACCGCATCCATCCTCGCGGGCGCTTTCGCCGGCTCCCTTCTCACCGGTGCGTTCCTGGCGGATCGGCTCGGCCGCCGGAGGACGATCCTCCTGGGCTCTGCTATCTTCACGATCGGTATCGCGATCTCGACGGCCGCGAACAACGTGGCAGCCCTTGTGGCCGGACGGGTCATTAATGGGCTAGGCAACGGCTGTTTGACCATGACGGTAGGTTAACACGGACTGAGGATGGTGCAATAGGAGCTGACTGCTCGTTCAAGACAACTATGTACCAAAGCGAAATCGCCCCAAGAGAGTATGTGGCTATTCAACTCCACACAAAACGTATGTGCTCATCTGTTACAGGATCCGAGGTCGTATCATCAGCGTCTTCCAGTGCTGCGTCAATTTCGGAATCCTCATCGCCTTCTGGATCCAGTACGGCACCAGCCACATCCAGTCCGAAGCAAGCTGGAGAACTGCCATGGGTCTTCAGATGATCGTATGTCAACCCCCCGAACGGACAAAATAGGGCCATGGACAGTCTGACCGCGCTATAGGCAACTGTCGCACTACACATCACCATGTGGTTTATGCCCGAGTCGCCCCGCTGGCTCGTCCAGAAAGATAAACAGGACGAGGCCCTGCAGGTACTGGCCAGAGTCCACTCTGGAGACGATATCAACGACCCGTACGTCCAGGCCGAGATGGCCGAGATTGTGGCCAAGATTACTTTCGAGAAGAACCACCCGCCGCCTAGCTACTTTGATCTGCTGCTAGGGACACACAAGCGGCGAATGTGGCTCGGAATTGGAGTGGTGAGACTTATTCTATAAAGGATCGTGTAGGAGCGTACTGATCTGGTACAGCAATTCTGGCAATCGATGACCGGAATCAATGTGTAAGCATCACTAACCCCTTTGTACGTTGGTAATCTCACAAATGATAGAATCATGTACTACGCCGTCTTCCTATTCCAGCAGGCCGGCCTCAGCAAGACCTCTTCGTCGCTTCTCGCCAACGGTCTTCAAGGCGTCGTGCTTAACCTCTTCACTTATCCGAATATGTACTATATGGACACATGGGGCCGACGGTGGCCCATGGTCATTGGCGGAGTTGGCATGGGCATCTCCATGATGGTTATTGGCGTCCTCATGAAGACAACCGGTATGTCACTCAGTTTCAGTTTGCGGATCAACCGTTTTTGTAGTGCCGAGACTGACGAGCTCTTCATAGGAAATCCCGTGTACGACCAGTTAACGCAGAAGACGAATTTTCATTTCACAAGCTCGGCCGCTTCGCACACAGTCATCGCCTTTGTGTACATCTATGTCGCCGTATTTGCCATCACCTGGGCATGTGTCGCTTGGGTGTACCCGCCCGAGATCTTTAGCATGAGCATGCGTGGCAGAGCAACATCGATGACCACCGCCACGAATTGGTTTGTTGTGAGTTTACCTGTCGCCAGACCTCGGCCGTGACCATTTCTGACAAGATATAGAACTTCTGGTTCGGTCTATATATCCCTACTGCTATGAAAGAGATCAGGTAACTAAGCACCGCGGGCCCGATTTTATAATTCCTGGGATCATCCACTGACTCTACTCCGCTTCAGCTGGAAGCTCTACATGATTTTCATGTGTTTCTGCTTCCTCATGTCAATTGTCATCTTCCTCTTTTATCCCGAGTCCGCCGGCAAGACCCTCGAGGAGATGGACTTCCTCTTCACTAAGGGCCGCTCAGTATGGACATTCCTCGACCGCGAAGCCACCAAGATCGGCGCCCTTTTCGAGCGCGACTTGGCGCATGGCGAGGCCCTGACTGTGTTCAACGAGGATGACATGATCCTTAAAGCTAAGTCTGGAAAGGGGAGCGACAGTGCGCTTGAGGCGGGGCGTGTTGAAGTGGTGGCCGGGGCAAAATAAGAAACGACTGAAGCCATGTGCGAGTGTATTCACAGCCTTGATATATCGCAAACAACCTCCGGCTTAACTATCTAGTGCACATCCAAGTGAAAATTATACTAATAAAGTAATGCTTGGTGTCCTGAGACCTTGGAGGATGACTCTCCAGGCCAGGTTCTGTCCTTCGGGTTCCAATAGTAATCCTTGATTGATCACCATGACTTATATACCTACCCATGAATAGTATGAAAGAAATATGTCCCCTAGAAGATAGACCAGGCCGAAGCAGATTGAAAGCTACTAAAAGAGCTTCCTGCCCATTCGGGTAGCCACTGCGCCACTGCGCGGAGAAATCACTACATAGAGGCGCCGATCTCGATGTAAATAAAGCCAAGTGCAATCAATAATAGAGGCCATTTGTACCTTTGAACATTCATCCGAAGCAGCCTAAATCGGAAAACCCCCGACGAAGACTAATTAAAAGTCCCTTGTAGTTACATGCCGGAAACTAACTAAGCGGATTCGGGATGGTCTGTCAAAGACGCGATCGCTGCATTGATGTCGTGATCAGAACTGGACCATCGATCAACAAAATGCGCCCTGTGCGTTCTCTTTCACTTGCCAGGTACTTTCTGCGAAGGAATAGACTCGGCATTTGTGTGGGGTTTTCGTTTAGCTCGTATCGTGCCATTCTCCACGTGGATAGCGACTGAACGGGATGAGGGATAATAAAAGGCAAGCGCTTGCTCTCGGTACTTGTCATTGCTATCGCTAGATATTTAAGGCTCCCACCGTTTAGGGATACTCGAAATGGATGCATCACTGAAAGAGATCGAGGCCTCGCCCTCAACATCTACGGGGTCATCTGCGCGGGACGATAATTACGACGTCTATAAGCAGAACCAAGGTCTTGAATACACACGCGATGAAGAAAAAAAGTAATCCGCAAAATCGATCTGCAATTAATACCTCTGTTATTCGTGATATACATGCTGCAGGTGAGTGAACGTCATTCCGCGCGCTATTATCTGCTGACTCCTCGCAGTATCTGGACAAAAACAGCATCAATTTCGCATCTGTGTATGGTCTCAAGGAAGGAACGGGGCTAGTGGGACAGGACTACTCATGGCTCGGTGAGTTCTGTTCTCAGCTCCTCATAAAAAACCAGCTAACCTGTCAAGGCTCCATCTTCTACTTCGGATACCTGATCGCCCAGTGGCCCGCAGGACTAGCATTGCAGAAGCTTCCGATTGGCAAGTTTCTGGGAACTACCAGTATAGTATGGGGGGCTCTGCTCATGACCACGCCGGCCTGCCACAATTTCGCTGGGATTGCAGCCAACCGCTTCATCTTAGGTTTGGTTGAGGCCGTGGTTAACCCTGGCTTTGTATTGTTGATGAGCATGTGGTATACGTCCACCGAGCAGCCTCTACGATTAGAAGCGTACTATTGCACAAATGGCGTTGCCACCATGTTTGGAGGGTGAGTTCTACCTAATCAGTTTCCTTGAGACACTGAAATAACCTGGACAGATTGATTGGTTATGCCGTTGGCCATATCACCACCGGTCTTGCTCGGTGGATGTACGTCTTTCTCATATTCGGAGCCATCTCCATTGTAGTTGGGGTTCTGGCTCTCGTGCTCCTCCCGGACTTGCCTTCGACGGCCAAGTTCCTCAGCGAGCGCGAGAGAGCCATCGCGGTCGAACGAGTCGCGGTTAATAATCAAGGCGTGAAGAACCATCATTTCAAGTGGGAGCAGGTGTGGCAGGCAGCGCGGGATCCCAAGACATGGCTCTTATTTGTCATGGCTATTGGAGCCCAGGTGCCCAATTCAGCGTTGACGAGTGTATGTTCCCTTAACTTCTCTTATGAGAGCAATGACACTAACAAAAGCAAAAGTTCACATCCATCATTGTCGAGTCTTTCGGCTTCGATACACTCGGAACACAGTACCTCCAGATCCCCGGCGGTGCCGTCCAATTCCTCACTCTCCTGATCGGCGGTTTCATCGCGACCAAGTATAGCGGGAGATTCCACTCGCGGAGTGCTTGCATGATCGTCGCCAACACTACTTGTATCATTGGGTCTGGACTACTAGTTGGACTCCCCAGTACGAACAAATGGGGCCGTCTAGTCGCACTATGGCTATGCTATTTTCAAGGACTGGGATTCAGCATGAGTCTTACTATCATCAGCTCCAATATCGCCGGATACACCAAGAAACAAGTGACGGGTGCGCTGCTGTTTACAGGGTACTGCATTGGCAACATTATAGGCCCGCAGACATTTATTTCGAGCGAGGCTCCTGGCTATCACAGTGCCTATATTGCGTATGCTGTTCTTTGGGACTGGATTTGGATACACGGGCTGACAGATGTATAGAATGCTGGTCGGGTACTCGGTCAAACTGGCTGCGATTCTTGCTTTGTACATTTATATGTACCGGGAGAATAAGCGACGGGACCAAAATGCACGCAATGGTGAAATCGTGGAAGATGGAATTGAGAATGGAATGCTGGTAAGTGGAGGTGAATTATCTTGGCTGTACATGCTGGCTAACTAACCCATGATCTAGGATCAAACGGAGCTCGACAACCGGGCATTTCGATATGTGCTATAGCATAATCACGTACTTGAATACAGAATTAGGGCAGGATGATAGAGAATGTCGCCAAAGTAGTAGTAGTAGTAGTAGTAGTAGTAGTAGTAGTAGTAGTAGTAGTAGTAGTAGTAGTAGTAGTAGTCGTCAAATAGCCGGAGTCGGCTTCGCCGATCAGTGGGATTGCCGACCCCAACCGAGTTCCTCAACTCCCCTGCTTGGTCTATCCAACCCCATTGTTCTCCCGGAGGACCAAACTACTACAGATTGACAAGTGTACCAACCTCAATCATGGCCGCACGCAACACTCTCCGCCGGTCCATGCTCTACGGTACGTCCACCAGCCCGCTCTATCTACGATTCCTTCCTGCTCTTCCCCGCATTCATCAGTATCTCCGACCCCAGCTCTAACATGCTACACGACATACAGTCCCCGGATCCTCACAGCGCTTCCTCGACAAATCCCGCTCACTAACCGCCGACTGCGTCGCCTATGACCTCGAAGACAGCGTCACTCCGCACATGAAAGCGGAGGCCCGCTCGCTGGTGCGGAGAGCCATCGACCAGCCCACGCCCTTGGGTATCCGGGAGCGAGCAGTGCGCATCAACTCCGTAGACAGCGGGCTGGCGCTGGGTGATCTTACCGAAGTGGTGAGCCAACTGCTTCCTCTGTTTCTTTTTACATTCTAACAAAATTTCCCAGCTCCAATCGCCGAACCTATCCACGATCATGATCCCCAAAGTGAACTCCGCCTCGGACTTGACCTTCGTCACAGACGTGGTGAACCACGTTCTCTCCCAGCAACCCGCCACCTCCGAAGTCCCAAGGACCCCAATCTCCCTGATCGCACTCATCGAAACCGCCAAATCACTCACAAACCTATCCCAAATCTGCTCCGCAACCCCTCTCCTCCAAGGGCTCGGCTTCGCCGCCGAAGACTTCGCTCTAGACCTTAGCATAACGCGCACGCCTTCACTAACGGAATTCCTATTCGCGCGCTCTGCAATCGCAACGGCTGCCCGCGCCGCGAACCTTCCCTCAACCATCGACCTAGTCTGCACGGCGTACAAGTCTGATAAAGGCGATGGATCGCCGCCCGCCGCGCTGGAGGAGGAGTGTCGCAATGGACGGAGGTTGGGGTTCAATGGGAAGCAGTGCATTCATCCGACGCAGGTGAAGACGGTGAATGAGATCTTTGGGCCGGACGCTGAGGAGACGGTTTGGGCGATGCGTGTTGTTATTGCAGATGAGAAGGCGGCCAGGAGTGGGCGTGGGGCGTGGACGCTTGATGGGAAGATGATTGATGTGCCTGTTGCGCATAAGGCAAGGGCGATTGTTACCAAGGCGGAGGCTTGTGGGGTTGATGTTTCTGCGCTGAGGGAGGAGTGGATGCACCAGGAGCCTGAGTAGCTGCGGTGTAAATATCTAAGTAAAGAGAAGAGAGAAATGGAATGGATGATGGATAGTTCTGGATGTGTTTCTTTCCTTTCCTCCTCTATCTGACTATGCGGAGAGCCCGAAGGATATATAGATGGGTGAATACCTCTATGCTGTGTTGAAAACAGTCGGGGTTACTAGGGCAAAAACCCAAGGATGGTAACTATAATGGGTATCGTTGCACAATCGGTGTGCTGTCATTGATCCTTCGTCTCCAGATCCTCGCGCTTCAATAGCTGAATCTTGCCCATTGCCAGAGTAGGCTCGCTGGCATCTCCCTCCGTCGCATTCCCAACACTGCGAGCAAGAGATTTGTCATAACTGGTCGGATCGATCCCAAGGATCCCGCCAACGTAGCCACCGCGCTCACCCGGCACGCTGAACTCGCGGAATAGGTACCGCCATTCGTTGAGCCAGGCTTTGACGGCCTTTCCGATCTTGTCCTTGCCATTTTTCGAGTGATGTCCGGTGCCCGTGATTGCATAGACTACCCGCAACCCTTCTCGCGCGTGCTTCAGAAGGATTTTCTCCAGGTACTCAATCGCCTCCTCGGGGTGGAGACCGTGCAGATCAACATAGAGTTCTTCTGATGAATCGTCCAGGCCTGCATGATGCAAATGCTGGTTGCGTTCCTCGTACAGTTGGCGCGCTGCTTCACGATGACATCTGCGCATCGCGTCGTTCTCGGCTTGGCCACGGAGCGAGAGGGCTTTGGCGGCGCGAGCATCGTTTCGGTTCCAAGCTTGGGCAGCACTGACAGATATGGTTAGCAAGCTGTTATTCTTATCAGACACCGGAGGAGGCAATACCTTTGCAGAAATTTGTTCCGCACGGTGCCATGCCGGATTGCTTCGGTGCGGTACTTGATATATTGCTGGTTGGCTCTTCCCCCAGTCTCGAGCCAGGGGATATTTTGCGGCGGCGGGATTGACTGAGCCGCGGCGCTGTTTTCACGACCCTTGGGCTCTTTGTTGTTCTTAAATTTGCTTTTTCCAAGAGCTGGCGATGGGGACATGCGAACGACGTCCGCCAATGATGAGGGTGGAATGTTCTCTCTGCTGAGATTCCCCTCACGGTTATTGTGCCCGCCTCGTTTCCCGTGATGTTTTTTCCCAGCGTTCTTTGCGCTAACTGCGGCGAGAGTTGGAAACGCATCTTGGTCGTCAACCGACGGGGCGGTGGGATTGAGTTCCCGATTCTGATGGCGGCTGGCAGGACGGGACTGAGGGCGCGTAAGAAGCGTCATGCTTCCATTGCGTTTTCCCATTCCCGAATGCAGCCCAGGAGGGATAGGCTTGCTGCCTTGTAGAAGGTGAGGGGATGGATATCGGCCAATATATTGTCCAGCCCAGGGGTCTTCCGCTGCGGCTGACGACTGTAATGGTGGGAATGCGTCAGAGCCACTGTCTCCCTGAAACGGAGAGCCGGTTGGTGGCGATGTTGGCCGACTGCCATCTGTGACACTGAGATTGGATATAAGTGCGGACGGATCATGAGAGAATGGGCAGCCCTGGCCGGCCAGACAGTTGCCCATGACCCAGTATCTTTTGCCAACTGGTCAGCATGAAATGTGAAACTTCATTGGAAAAGGCACTTACTTGCACACATGACTTGTCAAATCATGGCTGAAGCGGCAGTCCGCCCGCAGACATTGGCCAGTGGACAACCAGTACTTGCACACTATCGGGCTCCGATTATGCCCCGAGGGCGTGATCGGGCGTGATTGATCCATTGCCATAGACTTGCCCACCACCACACGACCGTCGTCGTGCTGTTTCGGAAACACGTCCACCTCTTGATCTTGAGTCAGTGATGCGATGGTAGCGCCGAGGTCATAGCTGTTTGCTTCTAGAGCCGCTTCGATTTCATCATTTGAACGTCTATCACCCAGCACGGTGCGCAAGATATCGTGCGGGCTCATATCAGGCACAAACTCAGCCGCAGTCGCACTCAGGCCGGCTACGCTGAGCCCGCCTAGTGACGAGGTCGTGCTGTTGGCATCGTCTGCGACAAGCCAGTCGACGTTGCTATCGCTGCCAAAGTCCCCATAGAAATCGGACAACTGACTTTGATCTGAGAATTCATACGCGTTCAGATTCGGGGAGTGGGGAATAGGTTGCGCAAGGGCGAGTCGGGGTGAAGGGCGTGGAGAAGTGAACGGGGAGACGGTCGAGGAGAGTGGAGGCCGGGAAAACGCCCCGCGGGAGCTCTGCACCCACGAGGTACTCCCGGGACTGGTTCCCAGGTTGGAATGAGGCGATAAAGGCGTAGACGAGCGAGCCATCTGCCAGGGTGCAGGTGAGGCACGGCGAATCACGGTATGACGACTAGGCGGGGGGATGAGTCTGGTAGGCTGCGGTTTCGATGCCGCCAGAGGATATCCAGCACCGCGTTCTCCAAGGACGAGCCGGACAAGGTGGTGTTTGCGCGCAAGAACTCTTCCACTTTTTCCACCTGCTCCTCCTCGTCCAGGGTCTGGTCCTGCAAGATGTGCAGGCATCTCTCGAGCAGCTCCTCCGAAACCATTGTGCATGCGCGGTGTCGCGCGTCGGAAAAGGGGATGGCGTAGTCGAGACGAAGGCGGGGGGAGGACAGGGACTGAGCGCTGCGGAGATAAGCAGCGGGGGTGTGAGAGGGATGACAATATAATGCTCAGGGAGTCAGGCAGCGGGTCAGAAGGTCCGGGCCATGATCCCGCGATGATAAGCCAAAGTGGTCCAGGGATGTCGGGGGAATTCGGTCGATAGGGGGAACAGCAGTGGAAGCCGATGGCACGCGGAAGGGACAGATCGCGGAGGCAGATTACATCGCATCGGCCCTTGAGTGCGCTGATCGGGCGAGGGAAAGAGGTGGGTGGGAGGGTGGTGGATAAACAGACGGAAGAGAGGGAGAAGAAGATGAAGTGCAAACAAAGAGGGGAGTGGGTGGAGCAGGGATCAACACTATACGGCAGATACCTCGTCGACAGTATACAACAGACACATGACAGTACTTTGGCTCTGCTATACGAGGAATAGTTATCGTGACGGTATTTAACTCAATTGACATGACTAGAAAATCTCAACTCAGCAGGAGTGATCGAATGGGAGATGTTCACTCCGATCTGGTCATCGTCGGCGACCGCAATTAATGATCTCTAATGGTGATTGAGTACAGAATGGTCGATGCAATAGGTGATTTCTTACTTTGATTATTTACCCACAGTCTCTCTGGGTGCCTAGTAGTACCTAGGTCAGGCAGCCGGATATACTCCGCCACGTTCGCCAGTAAACCTGCTCCGCCCCCGGCAGCTCCGCTGACTGTTCAATCAATCAATCATTTACCCAATATCCCTCTCTTCCTTTCTTTTCATCCTCATGTCCGACCCTGCGATCTGGGCTTTCCCATGCCCTGACGGTGTTCTTCTAATGGTCTAGCTGTCCACTGGCCATTATTTTGTCGATCGCTACCTGATAATCCCGACAGATCCCTCCCCGGATCCGATCTCTCCCCGTTATTTGATCAACCACCCACCATGCCTGCGGACTACCAGTCCACGGCCCAGGCATTGGCGCTCCCGATATCCTCAGATTCTCCCTCTCCTGACGACGATGCCCAACCCCCTTGGACCCGTGCGCGCTGGTCCAGCGAACGCGCAACCACCTTCCGCGACCAGCTGATCAACCGAGGCACGGAGCTGTCCAATCGCGTATACGACCTGTGGATGCGAATGAGTCTGCTGCAGAAAGTAGGCACCGTCACGGCGGCGGTCGCAATGCTTACCTTGGCCATTGTGTTCATGGTCTTCACCGGCAAGCTCTTTCTCTGGCTCGGTCCGGTCGCGGAGAAGTGGGAGAATTCTGCCCTGGTGGGCTTCATCCTGTGGCTGTGTGTCTTTTTCGTCTCGTTCCCGCCTCTCGTCGGGTGGTCCACGTTTGGAACCGTGTTGGGGTTCATCTTTGGGACGTGGAAGGGGTAAGCCACCTCCCGCGCGCAGACCTCAGCAAAGCTAACCTGCAATTCTAACAGGTGGCTGATTTACGCGACCGCATCCGTTCTTGGGTCGACCTGCTCTTTCGTCGTGTCGCGGACAGTCCTGTCCAAGTTTGTCAACCGTATGATGGAACGAGACACGCGGTTTGCCGCGCTGGCCCTGACACTGAAATACGACGGGCTCAAGCTTCTCTGCATGATCCGCCTGTGCCCGCTACCCTACTCAATATGTAACGGAGCGGTCTCTACATTTCCGACCGTGCAACCTCTGATGTACGGGCTGGCCACCGCCATCATCACCCCCAAGCTGCTGGTCCCCACCTTCATAGGCAGCCGAGTCCGGCTCCTCTCGGACAAGAACGAGGAGATGAGTGCAGCCTCAAAGGCCATCAACATCTGCAGCATCCTTGTCACAGTCTCCATCGGGATCTTTACAGGGTGGTATATCTATCAACGGTGCGCATCTCCAGTCTCGGCTACTCCGCCTTGTTGCTAACTTTCCCTTGCGATAGAACACTCGCCCGCGCCAAAGAACTCGAAGCCAAAGAACGTGCCGATATTCGACAGTCCCTCCAAGCAGATCATGCCGCGCACCGGCCTCACGGCTCGTTTTCGGACGACTCGGACGTCAACGCTGCCTCCAAAACACTTGCTCGGGATGAGGAGGAGCGCATCGGGTTTGGTGACTTCGATGATGACCATGTTGATTTGGAGCTGGGTGATGACAGCGACAGCGACCGCTCGCCTAGGCAATGGAAGTCGAACCGGCGGTCGTACCATGACGAGTTCACGGATAATGACTCGGATGGATATGAAGGGACATCAGGCGAGGCGTATGGCCTGCACCGACATATTTCCGAATAGAATAATGACGATTGTGACGAACAATAATATTCACTCTCTATTCTATAGTCTCAATAGAACCGTCCAACAATGGACTCAATAATGGAGTAGGAAATGTCCGGTAGGGGCGGACTGACAAATACGCCCACGGAATGCGGCAACTTCGCCGTCCGTCGAATTCTCACTCGCTTTTCATCCATTCGTTCGTTCTGGCCAGACAACTTGGATGTTTCGCTCTGTTCTGACAAGTGCTGCGCCGCTGACTGCATGTAAGTTCCCGTGTGGCTTTCAGCCCTGGTCCCCCTCGAAGGATTGGCGGAGTATGCATTAATTCCTATCGGCCCCAAACCTCCCCTCTCTACCCTTGTCTATCCTATCGCCCTATGTATCTACAAATAACGATTGAAATTCTGACTTGCTTTCAGATCATCTCCGATCTCGGTCTTACCGGAATCCCTCCGTCTGCGCATGTCGACTAGCGATGTGGACTCGGTGGTTGCGAAGCCCTGACCCTTGATATCCACGCATTCGTCTGAGATATGGAGGCCTATCAATGATTCAGAAGGGATTTCATTGCTAGAGAACACCGGTTTTACTTTCTGTGCATCACTGGTTCCAAGACGTGTGAGAAGGACGACTTCCGATCAGTTTGCATGTCCTCGGCATCTACGACATCCCAGATGGTTCCATACATCGATCAATTTGCCGTAAATGGCAATATCACGGCTGATATACAAGGATCATTGCTGTCTGAACAGCCAGAGCCGCCCATCAAACGGGCGCGGACCTCGAACAGTCCTCCTCTGAACAAAGTCCCTAGCTCGGTGTCCATTAACCATCCAAAACTGCCTGAAGATGTCAACGCTACATCCTATCAGCCTATAATGAGCAACGGTGTTCAGGGTATCAATGGATCAATTCGAGATTCATATGCCAGCGGGGGCAGCAGCACGCCCCAGGAGTCGACCACGTCCACTTCATTCACATCCTCCTTTGGTACGAAGAAATCTACATCTCCTCCGACAACACCGGCAAAATCGCGCTCGACACCTCCCTACCCCTCGGGCTTGAACCTGGCGGACAGTAGTAAAGTTGACTTTTCCAAATGCCGGCCCCGGTCGTCCATCCCTTCGAGGCTTTCACCTGCTGTCTACGGCCAACAATGTGTTGCAGCCGGATATGCGTCTCGACTGGATCCATATGCGCTTCATCGCAAGGAACAGGATGCACTTCAAGACCACCTTTGCCATCTGCAAGTCACGCTCTACCTCAACATCCGGAATGGAATCCTACGGCTCTGGACCCGGAACCCTATGGTCAGTGTCACCAGGGAGGAAGCCTTGGGCTGTGCCAAGGACTACAGATGGATGAACCTGGCGTCATTCGCCTATGACTGGCTTGTCCGGAACGGCTATATTAATTTTGGCTGCGTGGAGGCTCCGATACCGCAAGTGCCACCAAAGCGCGGCAGACGAAAAGAGGGTCCTGTTATTGTCGTGGTTGGCGCTGGAGTGGCTGGTTTGGGCTGCGCAAGGCAGTTGGAGAGTCTTTTTCGTCACTACCGTGACGCAGACACCGCGCCTCGTGTTGTCCTCCTGGAGGGCCGTCGCAGAATCGGTGGGCGTATCTACTCACACCCTCTTCACAGTCTACAATCAGCAGATCTTCCTTCTGGGCTCGTTCCCAAGGCGGAAATGGGTGCGCAGATTATCGTGGGTTTCGACCAGGGCAACCCTCTGGACCAGATCGTGCGTGGCCAACTGGCTCTTTCTTATCACTTTCTCCGTGATATCTCGACGATTTACGATATAGATGGATCGCCCGTGGATGAGGTTCGGGATTCCATGGACGAAAAGCTCTACAATGATGTGCTTGATCGCGCTGGTTTCTACCGACATAACGCAGTTATCGTTCCCACTGCTGAAGGTGACCGCGACATGATTGATACGGGGCGGGAGTCGACGGTGAACGATGGCCTGACGGTACGACAATACGAGGATGCCAGAGCCGCCGGGACGATCGATTTGCTAGTCCCCAAGAAACGAGTTCGTCGCGGAGTCGGACACAAGACTGCGGATATCAAGCCGTCTGGGGATACAGATCTTGTCGGTCCATCCAAGGAGCATCCGGCGGCTTTGGCTTGCCAGTCGATGGGGTGGAAGCTGAATCCAGGTTACACTGTGAATAACACTCTTGAACTCGAGACTCTTGCGAAAGAATCTCCAGTACAAACCCTCGGCGCGATCATGGACGAGGGAGTCAAGCAATATCAGCGCATGCTTCCGTTGACACCAAGGGATATGCGGCTTTTGAACTGGCATTTCGCAAATCTCGAGTATGCCAACGCCACAAACGTCGACCGACTGAGCTTAACCGGCTGGGATCAAGACATTGGCAATGAATTCGAGGGAGAACATTCACAGGTGGTGGGCGGTTATTCACAACTACCCTATGGGCTGTATTCTCTTCCTACGCAGCTTGATGTGCGCACCGGCAAGATTGTTTCCAACATCTCTTACAATGCAGTTGGGTCTGGAAACCGGAAAGCGATGGTCCAGTGTGAAGACGGCGAGAAGTTTATGGCCGACCACGTCGTGTTCACCGGGTCTCTTGGCATCCTGAAACAACAATCGATCACGTTTAACCCACCTCTTCCAGACTGGAAGAGCGGTGCAATTGACCGACTAGGATTCGGAGTCATGAACAAGGTTATCTTGGTGTTTGACCAGCCATTCTGGGATACGGACCGGGATATGTTCGGTCTTTTACGCGAGCCTGAGAACCCGAACAGCATGGTGCAGGAGGAGTATGCGGCAAATCGTGGCCGATTTTATCTGTTCTGGAACTGTGTGCCAACCACAGGTCTTCCGGTTCTCATCGCTCTCATGGCCGGCGACGCAGCTCACCAGGCGGAGCGGACTTCAGATGCCGAAATCATTGGTGAAGTCACCAGCCAACTCCGGAACGTCTTCAAGCATGCCACTGTCCCCGATCCACTCGAGACCATCATCACCCGCTGGGGCAGTGACCGATTCACCCGCGGAAGCTACTCCTACGTGGCGGCCGCCGCTCTCCCAGAAGACTACGACCTAATGGCCCGGCAAATTGGCAACCTGCACTTTGCAGGCGAAGCCACCTGCGGCACTCACCCAGCTACTGTCCACGGCGCATACCTTTCCGGACTGCGCGCCGCATCCGAGGTAATCGAGTCCACCATAGGCCCCATCGAGATACCCAACCCCCTGGTCCCCGAGAAAGTCAACGGCAGCGTATCGACAACACCCAACGGCACCACCACGCCGGCGTACCAAAAGAGAAAGGCTTCAAACACCACCCTCTCCACAACGCCAACAACCACAACAACCCCCCTGCCCGCCAACACAACCCAAAATCCACCGAGAAATCTAAAGAAGAAGCCTACACCCAAGCCTTCTGGACCGAAATCTACGCCGAGCTGGGCCCCGCACCTCCCCGCCCCCCAAAAGCAGGCCTGAACCCCTTCCTCCTCTACCAGAAGGACTACTGGACCACCTGCCGCGAGCAGTGCGACGAAGCCCGCCGCACAGCAACCAAGAACACGAACGCGCGCGCCGCTCGCGACGAGATCCGGCACGCTCTCGGCCAGATGTGGCGCAATGCCCCGGCCGACATTAAGGCGCCATACCTTGCGCAGACGGAGGCGAATCGCAGGGCTAATACTGAGGCTTGGGAGAAGTGGAAGGTTGAGGTCACCGAGTGGGAGAGGTTGACTTATGTCGTTAAGGATCGGTGGTGTGCTGCTAATCCGTTTGAGACTTGGCAGGCTGGTACCGGTGTGTCTGGAGATGCTGCTGCTGGGGCTCAGAGTAACGGGGTGTCTCATACTTCCTGAATGTGAGGTGGAAGAGTCAGTAGCTGGTCCAATGTTGTTGCTTTCTACACTTACCTCCATACCTTGATTGATACGGATTTTAACCATGTATGAATGAATGCAGTTTAACGAGATATGCCAGCACCCACTATTGCACCATTAATTGAGCCTATTCACCTCTAGCAGTCTATAAAGAAGGCAAACAGTTCTCGGTGTGAATTTACCCGAACGAAGCTCCTTTCCCCCGCGTTTTCAGGATTTCCAAGGCTTCCGCACGGCCTCGCAGGATCTGGACTTCTCATGCAAGTGCTTGAATATTGACCGGATACTAACGGTCACTTTCTCGGGATCTTGGCAGCCGATGTGGAGTCAGTCACCCCGGGATTTTGCCCCCAGGACTCACGCACCAACCCGGGGTCATTGTAAAAAAGCATCAACCAATTGTAATTCCATTTTATCAAATATTAAATGGGCTTGCGTTGCTTTAGTATGACACCGGTCCGTTATAAGCTTTCTATTATCGACTGGAACCAAGACATGACTTGGTTCCGATTATTGCGGGGGTCCCCGTCATAAAAGGAGCTTCTTCCCATGTAGAAGAGTTCCAACATAGCGACATAACAGGCATTGAAACTATGGGCCATACTATTACATCAGAACATGTTGAGGAGAGTCAAGACAAAGCCATCCCTGGCCTGCTACAAGATCCACTCTACGAGGTATACGTTTCGAAGAGCCCAGAATGGCACCAAGAGATGAACCGTACCCTTCTTCGCAAGGTGGACATCCATCTACTACCTTTTCTTATTCTTATGTATTTCTTGAACTTTTTGGATCGCAAGTATGGCAGTTTCGTTCTCGCTTGTTTCTTTGTCACTGTGCTAATAATTGACCAGCAACCTGTCCCAGGCACGACTCGGTTCATTGGAGAAAGACCTGGGAATGGTGGACACCGATTTCAACCTCGCAACAAGCATTCTATTTGTTGGATATATCCTCATGCAGCTGCCATCTAATCTTCTTATCACTCGTGTTCCGCCTGCCCGTTTTCTGGGCATAGCCATGGCCACATGGCAAGTCTGTCCGTAATGCCATGTGTGGATTCAAGGCTCATATTCTCGCAGGGGGTCTATTTCCGCTTGTCAAGCGGCCGCTCAATCCTTTACTGGAATTGTTGTAGCACGATTCTTTCTGGGCTTCGTGGAGGCCCCCTTTTTCCCAGGCGCACTTATGCTAATGTGAGTTGCCTTTTGGAGTAATAACCAAGAGATCATCACTGACGGTTGTGTCTAGGTCGAGCTGGTATACCAGACAAGAGGTAGGTGCCTCGGACTATATTTTAATCTCTGCATGTCTGACTGAATTAGCTGGTCCATCGTGTTGCGTGGTTCTACTCCGGTAGCTCCCTGGCCAATGCCTTCGGAGGTCTGATAGGTGCTGGAGTCCTTGGAACCCTTGATGGTGCATTGGGAGTTGCAGCATGGAGATGGCTCTTCATTATTGAAGGTTGCATCACAGTCGCTGTGTCTGTCACAGCAGCGTACGTTTCTACCTGCATTCCTTTCCTTCCTTATGCTGACCATTTTAGCATTTTCCTCCCTAACTACCCGGCATCAACTTCCTGGCTGAATGAGCAAGAAAAGGCATATGCTCAATGGCGCCTCATGCATGACGCTAAAGAAGCAGATGACGCTACTTCAGTCAGCATTGTAGAAGGATTGAAACTAGTCTTCACCGATAAGAGGGTGTACCTCTTCATACTTCTTCTGCACACTTCGCTTCTCTCCCAAACCTTCCAGTACTTCTTCCCGACTATTGTGCAGACACTTGGTTATGGCAATATTGAGACATTATTACTCACTGCACCGGTCTGGATCTTAACATTCCTGGTCTCACTCCTGGTAACCTGGACATCTGGCAGGACGAACGATCGAAGTCTCCATATCGTTGCCTTGAACGTTATCAGTTTCATCGGGATCGTTATTGCTACTGCAACAACAAATACCGGCGCTCGAATATTTGCTATGTTTCTGTGAGCCTTTTTCTCCTGACTTGTAGGGTTGAGACTAACCTGCTCAGAATGCCTATGGGCGCCGTTTCGGCCTGTACGATCATCCTCGCTTGGGAAGCCAACTCATTCCCTCGACCATTGGTCAAACGATCAGCTGCGCTTGCCCTAATCAATTTAACGGGTAACGCTTCTTCAATCTATGGCAGCTACATGTGGCCGTCTTCCACAGGCCCACGGTACATTCCTGGAGGTAGTGCGACTGCTGCGATCTTACTTGTAGTGGCGGGTCTGGCATTGACAATCCGTCTTTTGCATGTCAAAATGAATAAACAATTGGAAGAAGCTGAGTCCTCGCAAGACGTTCGTCCTGCAGAGATGGACAAGCCCGACTCTCCACCAGCTGGGTTTCGTTATATATTGTGAGGTGTGGTTCCAAGACCACAAAGTTTCTGGGCTTTCAGATTGACTGTCAAACATGGGCGATCAGAATTAGCAATAGAGGGAAATTTCAACATAGGCATTTTTCTGTCCCTTGTATTCTGAGTACACAGCGGGTCAAGTAAACACTGTACCTAGGTTTTCTCTAGTCGAATGATAAAGACTGGTCATTTGGATTTGGTCAAAGGCCTCGCAGTACCTTTACCGATTCTGATAAATATGACCTATTGGTGTTAAATCCCCGATGAGCTTACAAGAAGTGCCAATGAATTGCCTCATTATTTGGACTACTTCCCTTCGTATTTGCGGGGCTACCCCACATGGATATGAGCCGATCCCCACGTCAAATAACCCATTGATTTGACGTAACATTACCGGTCAATTTCCAGCCGTAAAATGGCCGATAGTATCCGGCTCAAATTGAAAGGACAGGTACCATATTGAGAATAATGGTAGATATGAAAGGGCCATGCAACAGGAGAGGTCTGGTCTGGGCATCGATTCCTAGGCCGCATTTTTTAACCGGGTATTTGCGGACTTCATGTTGGCCTTTCAATCAAGACTCGCACGTTTTTTTGTCATCACTAATGCGCCGTTATCCACCCCGCCTCTCCAGCCTTTGGATATAAAGGTAACTGCCCTTGGTAACACTAGCTCGGTGAGCTTTAAAAGGTCGAACCATTGTACTCCTGAGTCACCAGTATTGATTGACATGAACTAAACAAGATGGACGTTCTGCTCAAGCACCCTCCACATCTCTCAGTGGCCACACTAGTTCAATATGCTGGGCTGCTACTCCTTTTTACGGTAACTGGTAAGCCATATTTGCAGTCATCACGGCCAAATGAATGATATAGAATGTTAATTTGACCCCACAGCTATCTGCTGGACTTACCGCAACAGGGGCTTCTGGACTTCATCCTCTGCCAACTTGAAATGGATCCCTGGGCCACAGGGGAAGGCCTTCAAAGGGAATGCTCAGGAGCTCCAAACCAATGGTGCCGCTAGCTGTACAGCCTGGTTCTCTCTTTACAAGCGATATGGGCCTGCCTACGAGATGACGATCCCTTTCTTTCGCATGCATATAATCAACCATCCCATTTACCTCGAACACATTCAAAAGCACAACAGCAAGAACTACGTACGCGGAAGCTTTATCCGTAATGCTTTTGGACCACTCCATAGGACCGGTATTTTCATTGTCGATGGAAATGAATGGCAATTCCAGCGCAAGTCGGCAACGCGAGCATTCAGCAAGCGGAACTTTGAAAACCACATCACGAAGTCCCTTCACCAATCGCTCGATATTCTTACTGGACTTCTGGCTAATCTGGCCAAGGAGCAAACGGAATTTGACTTTCAGGAATTGATGGGACGATTCATGTTCTGTCTCTTTCTTCGAGTCGCTTTCCATGAGGATAAGCTCGCCCGAGAGATTTTGTCAGAGGATCCCGAGAGCCTCAGATCAGTGCCTGATTATATTGCAGCATTTGATAAGGCCGCCCTCTGTGAGTCGTATTCCTCCCATCTTCAAATATATCATGGTATCTGATAAGCTAATTTTCTAGGCTTTGACCGACGGAGACGTGACCCTCTGTGGAGAATCACCGAAAAGCTGTCCGGCGAGGACAAAATTACCAAACGAGCTACGAATCTCTTCTACTCAAAGATTGATGATATTATCAACAAACGCCTTGATGCTATGCGAAATGGCTATACACCTGATCCAGATGGTGGAGTTGATCTCCTAGATCTCTTTGCCCAATCAACAACTGATCCATACAAATTGGGTGGAATGGTCTTCTCATTTCTATCTGCTGGCCGTGAGTGGTTGCAACTCCCCTCCCTCAGTTTGAGCCACCCGCTAAAGGCCTTGCGTCACACAGGCGACACAACGGCATACAGTCTTACATGGCTCATGAAGGAGATTTATCACAAAGACAATCAGCATCTCGATGCCGCGAATAAGATCCGCGCCGAGGCAGAGGAACTTGGTTTAACCAATGGCTACCTGAATTATGGTGATGCACCGGTATGTAAACATTCTGGAGCTGTTTCACTATCATTCAGTTTTGACGCATTTTCTTGAAGAAACTGCGCTTTGCAAATGCCATGTGGGATGAGACCGCTCGCCTTGATACGGTCTCTCCTGCTGGCCAAATGGAGGCAGCGGAAGACGACATTCTTCCTGCGGTGCCTGAACTCAAACTTCCCCCTCGTCATGTGAAAAAGTATGATCACCGCCCCGTCGTGGCTCCAATTGAGCTGATCCTAATGGACCTTGAACAGAGGTGATGTCGTCAGCTACCAGAATTATGTCTTGTCACGGATGCCTGAAGTCTGGGGAGAGGACGCCTCCGTCTTCAATCCCTACCGATGGTTCAAAGAAAACGGAGAAAGCGTGTCCTACAGTCCATTCAGTACGAAGCCACTCATATTTGAAGTAGCATTATTGGTTTCAAGCTTGCTGATGCTATGGCATGTAGAATACCACTCCTGGAATGCCGGGCCGCGCAGCTGTCTCGGACGCGCACTCGCAACGTACGAGGGCATTGCTGTCAGCACCGCGATTCTCCAACGTTTTGATGTCATCTTAACAGACGATTCCAAGACTTATGAGCCTCTTGCTGCCCTGAACATGGTATGATTTCCTTCTCCCGTTAGCGATTAAACGAAATGCTCATGAAATGTTCCTCGCTCGGCAGGGAATCAGAGGCGGTCTTCCAATGAAATTGAAACCGAGAACTTCTATAGTCTAGCTGATAATAATTGAGGTGGGAGCCGGTGATTATAGTAAAGCGCCCTTTGATAGCATATGTTGACGCATCGTGGGGGTTTAGACGCAAATTGAATAAACAAATTAGGAATCAATCCGCGGTAGAAGAATAATGATCAGATTGTCACAAGACCGGGTCAGTTAATGTACGCTCCGCACTTTGGCCCATTAGACCGGGTAATTCCGGCCATTTTACCAAATTCGGCAATCACCCATAGTGAGAGCGGAGTTGTATCATCTCAACTACCACAGGACCTCGAAACATCGCGCCTTCATTCACTTTTTCTGCGATCCTGATTTGCGGAGATGCCGCATTGTTGACTTCCTAATTTCGAGCCATTAGAACGTCATCATGGCAGATACGATGTCTCCGGGGAGTGGATCAATCTCTGAAAAGACCCCCTCATGTCAAGCTTCCGGATTCAGGAGAGTCTACCAGGCATGCGAGAACTGCCGACGGAAGAAACAGAAGTGTGCATTAGGAGACCCAGCCAATCCAAAATTACCTTGTCAGGCCTGTCGTAGAGCCAACTTACGTTGTGGTGAGGTGCATTGTTTTCGCCTACAAACGTGTTAGCTCACATTAGTTACAGTTCTCCCTGAGAGAAAGCGAAAAGGCCGCCCACCAAAAAGAGCAAGGGAAGAGCATGGCAATCGACCTCATGCGGTCGCGATTGACCTACGCAATGGTGGGCTTCACTCGTCTAGCCCTGCTAATAGGGTAGATCAAGTGTTCCAATCCGCCTGGCAACCATTCATGGGCTCCTCTGAGCCCGTCGTGGAGGCTGGGGATAATACCCCGATCAGCACATCCAACTCAACCAGGGATCTCAATCAAAGGAATTCTACAAGCTATGATCAACAAATTGCCAGTCATACATTGGCAACATTCCCCTTGAGGAACACATCAGACGCCATAAGGTTACTGGATCAAGCGGAGGTCAATTCGGATAATCGAGCGCAGCACATGCTAGACACGCAGCGGGGTTTAATCCTAGGTGGCACGAAGATATCTGACGAGCCGTCTTCCAAAAAAGAGTTTTTCCTAGTTCAAGAAGGACTTATTGACAAGACTACAATCTTTAAACTCTTTAGTTTTTATATGCGCACGGTGCACCCTATTATGCCCTTGATCCCACATGACAGGATGCAAGTCACCCCGGAACACGTTGTGGCCATGGCTAGTCGGGAACCTCATTTGATGGCCGCTATCCTCGTGGTAACAGCGTCTTTGGCAGGAGATCAAACTCTACATGACCTTTTATGGCAGAGAGTGCGGATCCTTTTTGCGGAGGTCGCCGTCGAGGGGGAAAATGCATCTACAGAGGTGGTTGAGGCTTTCCTGCTCCTCTCAGGTACGTCAACAATACTTCATGCAAGTGGTTGGTATTGACATCAAATGTAGAATATCCCCCAAACATGGGCCATGGCACAGAACGAGGAGTCGGAAATCAAATGAGCTGGATGAATGTCGGCACGGTAGGTCTGATGGCATAATTTAATCGATTATAGTTGAAACTGATGCTTTTCAGGCTGTGCGGCTAGCTTACTTCTTAGGTCTCGAGAGGCTAAACATGCAAGCCGAAGACGTGGATGAAAAGCCTGATCACAATCGCCATAGGGGAAAAGTGGCTTTGAGCTGTGAGAGAAATATGTTATCCGCATGTTCGAGGCGCGCTAAAATGTCTAGACTGCTACTGCCTAGACCGGCAAATTTCCATTCGGGTTGGAAAGGTATTCTGGCATCGAAGTGAGTGGCAATCCATCTTTTCCAAGGCAGTCTTAAGCAACTTTGACAACCGTTACATGAGCTTCGGATTTGAAGAACTAATCATGCCACATAAGGTCCTGGAATGACTTACCAACATCAAAACGTTGATCCCGCTGTGGATTTTCCCGAGATGCGTCATATCCCGGGCATTCAGGAAGATCATGCCGCCTATTTGCAGTGTCTTGTTCAAATGACACAGGTACTGGGCAATGCTCACGACCTCTTGTACCCTTCGAAAAGCCGTTCGGTTGCTCTAGCGAAAGCTGAACAATATTACCAACACATTGACGGCTTTGCAGAGAGTGAGAGCATACCGTCAGCGAAATTTTCTTATTATTGTTTGCTAATCAAGCTTTTAGCTTTGTCGGCTTTCCGCGACCGTTGGCAGAACAAACCGTGGCGAACGTATCCCATCAATGAGTGTGTCTGGATATCATTTGTGAGAAATGACCTCTGAGATTAGCATACTTCAACTGACAAACTTATCGTTACAGCATCATCTTCGGTTGTATATCTATTCTTTCTCCTTGCAGGCATATATGCAGCGGGTAGTAAGTGCCAACGATGGCAATCGCCCTTCAAATTATTTTCCGACAGGTTTAATGGGTACATCCGACGGACGTTTTATTGTTGAAGCTATCAATGCAGCGGTACGGTGATATCTAAACGGTTTGGTATCTCCTGCTGACCCTTCTTTGGTATTAGGCCGATGTCCTTCGATTGGCCATTGGCAGACTACAACCTTCAAGGGTCCGTTAAACTGTTCACTTTTATTTCTCGGAAAAAGTTCAGACTAACCCATCTCGCAGGCATTATCATACCTTCCTTTACGCTTTTTTCTCTTCTTCAGCCACGCGGGTGTCTTTCTTCTCAAAACAGTCGTCATTATCCCAATACCGCCGTCCCAGAAAAGGGCGATCCTTCGCTTGCTCCGAGCTCTTACACAATGTCTGTCAACAGCCTCGTCAAACCCTAAGCATCCTGCCCTCCGCTATGCATCTGCATTTGATAGACTTTTGGGGCGAATTTATCGGGATCAAGATTTTCAGACGCCAGGTCCTAGTCCGGCAGCCTCGCGCCGAATGAGTCCTGACGCCAGTGCGAGCTGCGCTGGATCCCCAATCGTCAATCAATTTCCACGCGAAAACGATCTGCAGACCCTACTTGGAAGTAGGGAGTCTTTCGTTGCAGAAAGGCCATTCCAGGACCTTGCTGCTGACATCGAAGCTCTCTATGGCCTCGAATCCACTGCGGATCTTCTGCAACCGGTCGTTGAAAGTAATGATCTGTCGTCTCATTTGCCTTCTTCTGGTCCGTTTGCCGCATTGTTCAGTGCTGATGACAGGGAGTTTTGGGACCTATTCACATCTGCGAATTTTGATTGGAATACTATATAAACAAACAGATGGTTCAAAACCGGCATTAAGTATCGGCTATTCATGAATCAACTAGTCCATCGATGCTATAATGAGACCAAATTGCCCTAATTTGCCTGTTGTCCTTTACAACAACACGGTACAAATGAAAGGGGGAAACGATCAACGTCTGAGCTAGCAATATCATTTCATCCATCCATCTATCTCGTGACAAAAAACTATCTATGCATGGGGAATTCGAAAAAGAGGACGGGCAAAAGGAACAGGTCTAGAAGCGCACGCGAGTATGGTTGAAAAAATCCACTCACACGCCAAGTGAAAATCGCCAGACATATATAAAGGCAGGAAAAGATGAAGGGAGAAATGCACTGGTTTACAGCAGCGGGTTGGACTTGTACTCAGCGGTAGCACCCTTGGGGTCCTTCTTGACATCGCCGTTAACTTCTTGCACGGCGGGCTCGACGACCGAGTGCTCCACTGAGCCGTTGGGCTGCTTCTCATCCGGGGAGTCGGCTTCCGAGATGAACTTCTCGGCTTCCAGGGCGGCGATGCAGCCAGAGCCTAGATGGTTAGGTTAGTAAATTGCATTGAAACATGAGACTCAGTAAAACATACCGGCACTGGTGATGGCCTGGCGATACCGCTTGTCCTGCACGTCACCGCAGGCAAAGACGCCCTCGACGCTGGTGTAGCTGGTGCCGGGCTTAGTGATAATATACCCGTCCTCGTCGAGGTCGACCTGGCCCTTGACCAGGGCATTGGCCGGGTCATGCCCGACAGCATAGAACAGACCGTTGGCATCAACGATCTCTTCCTGGCCGGAGACCCTATTCTTGATGCGGAGGTGGGTCATCAGACCGTTAGGCTTGTTCTCGCCAATGACCTCGGTGGCGACAGTGTTGAAGCGCACATCACACTTGGGGTGCGCGAGCAGCCGGTTGGCCATGGCCTTGCTAGCACGCAGCTTATCGCGCCGCACCAGCACGGTAACGCGGCTTCCGTACTTGGCCAGGAACATGGCCTCTTCGGCAGCGGAGTCGCCGCCGCCAATCACGTACAGGGGCTTGTTCCGGAAGATAGGCACGGCGCCGTCGCAGACCGCGCAGGCACTGATGCCGTTCTGCCAGTAGGTTTCCTCGCCGGGCAGGTTCAGACGACGGGCATTGGCGCCCGTGGCGATGATGACGGCGTCGGCGGTGTGCGCGGGCGCGTTATCCGGGCCGTCGTTCCACTCGGTCCACATCTTGAACGGCCGCGACGACAGATCCAGCCTCGAGATCGTCTCCGTGATGATCTCCGTGCCGAACCGCTCGGACTGCTTGCGCATGTTCTCCATCAGCGCCTGGCCGCCAACACCATCTGGGAATCCCGGGAAATTCTCCACGTCGGTGGTGGTTGTGAGCTGGCCGCCGGCAGCGGTGCCATTGGCGAGCATACCCTCATACAGCACGGGCTTGAGCTCGGCGCGCGACAGGTAAATGGCGGCTGTGTGGGCGCCAGGGCCGGACCCGATGACTAGGAGGAGGGTGTTAGTCTGTTGTCTGATGGTTCTACGAGTGTGGGCTAACTCACCAACGACCTTGGAGTGAGCCATTCGGGCGGAGGTAGTGCTATTAACGCGCAATGGTGTCGACAAAGGCTGCGAGAGGGCCGAGGCGGAGGGTGGCGACTGTTGGTGAAGAGTGGCGGAGGCTGCGGCAGCAGTGAACCCGAGGGATCGGAGGGTGAAAGGGAAACGACGGAACGTTGAAGAAAACAGCTTGGCGGGTGAAAAGGAAGGGCTTCGGGGGAAAACGAAGGTTATAAGCAAGGATACTGATTTTCCGTCGGTGGTGGGGAGGATTAGGTCATGGGCAGCGGACTGATTGATATCCGGCGGATGGCGTGTCCGGCTCGGCCTGGATTCGGCCTGGATTCGGCCTGATATACCACACTGGGCAATAAAAATGTTATAGCCTAGGCAATTATTCAACAATCATCTTCATAGTTAGTTAATCAACATGAATTAATCAGTCGCGGCTTCGAGAACATGTCACCTGCCCAGGGGATTAGCAAGCGCGGCAAGTCTCGACCGCTGACTAATAATAACATCCAGGGGAAGACATTGGACCAATCAGACCACCGGATCAACCAAATCCTAATGTACACTATCGTTTTCCATCAAGTATCAAATGTTCCGGGGCATTCTAACGCAGCTGATTACTGAATGTGTGGGATGGTAGTGATTAGCGGTAGATAAAGGCCCTAGATTAAAGCTAGCAACAATGTCCCGGTGCAAAAATCCTATTTCTCTGAGTTACGCCGCGAGAAGTCACTAGACACCATACTCTCACGATCCTCTGGCGTCGCAGTCACGCCTCACCCTCTTCACAATCCTCCTCCGGTGTGGCTTGCCGCATTGGCGCGCGTGTTATTTATCAAGTCATCATCGTCATCATCAAGTTCGTCCTCACTAGCATCAGCCTCAGCCTCGTTCTTCCGCCGCACATTCAGCCATTTCTTCCATCCCTTAACCACCTGTGTCGGGGGAGGGTCATATTCATTGCCCTGGTAGCGCAGCACAGGCACGAGCAGTTTGTAGGGCACCGTAATCCCAGACGGGTCCATAGGGCTGACCTCCAGGTTCAGCGTGATGGCCAGTCCCCCTTCAAGGTCGATGAAGGCGCCCGCGCCATCATCCTCGATCTTGTTCTTCTTCTTCTTTGCCGCCTTTTTGCCGAGATTGCTTGGCCGGCGGTGGAATGGTCCCGGGCGAAGAGGAGGCTGGTCTCCGCTGGGGAAGTAACTGTCGCCATTTTCCCTTGGGGGTAGCGGGCTGTCGACGCTGGCTCGCCTCTTTCCGCCGGGGCCAAAACTGAAGGACCTCGTTGGTGGCCCCCCTCCCGCACGATTCGACAGTCGACGTAGAAGACCACTGCCTGGTCTGTTGGCAGAGGATTTGTCTCTGTCTCCTCCGCGTCCCAGTGACAATGTCCGCCGGAGCATGCCCGGGCGAGGCTCCGTTGGTGGTGTCATGGGTTCAGGCGTCGCTGGAGGTGTGAAACCAGGGTTATATTCTCTGATTGAACACCAGTTTCGCCGAGGAAGTAATCGCTTATTGTTCCGAGGCTTGCCATTGACATCTTCAGTGAATATGGGGATGATATCCTCGTCCGTGTTCGAGTCCATATGGTGCACCGTACTGCGTTTGTTGAGCATGTCCGAAACGAGTTCTGTCTCGGGGATATCAGCGATGGCTGAAGAAATTACGTTGGGCATGTATCGATAGTCGCGGTCCTTGGCGACTCCCAATTTAGAGCTCGAGTAGAACTGTCCGATGGCGGCCAAGTGAACATCACCACTGGAGGAACAGCAAGTTAGCACGGATTAGTTACTAATGGCAATATTCTCTTACCTCAAGATTGTGACTCGCACAGACTTTTCTGCTGCTAGATCCTGAAGATCCTCAACCAGCCATGTTCGTTCGGACTTGAGATGCTTTGCAGTCCAGTGGTCATCAAACACCTCCACATTGCCGCCAGATCTGTTGATGAGTCCACCCAGCATTCCAGATTTGCCCAGCAATTTGCGGCTATTCATAAAGTTCTTGAGAATTGCCTGCAGCTGATGTTAGGAACGGAAAGAAAGATTTAACCCGGAAATGAGTCCATACCATTCGAGGATAAGCAACTGGAACACTCGAAAGCACAATCAGATGTTTGGTCTCTCCTTTCATGATCTCTCGGTGGCATCGATCCCACACGCGATCACATGTCGACTCGTTAAGAACTTCATTATTCTATGAATCATGGTCAGCACAATCTTCCTGAAGTTCTCCTGGGAAGACATACCATGCGTTCGGTGCGGCAATCCAGACCGAGGAACGTAACCCCGTGGCCCAAAGACATAAACAGGTTTCGGCTTTGCTGTTCAATGTAAGGACCTGGTTGAGCACCCAAAAGCCAACTGGGTTCGTCCGTCTCAGTCTCCTCTGGGACGCTGTGGTGTTGGAACAGCAGATAATACTTGAAGGCGATCTTGCCCAACCCCGAAATAACAAAGCTCTGCATGAAATCATGGTGGTAGGAGCCAAATCCTTCAAAGATCTCATGGTCATTCCAGATATTGACCATGGGAATCTGGGAGTTGACCAACGAGAAAAGTCCTTGTGAGAACCATCGAGAATAGTTGTCCAAGTAAAATTCTTCCAGCTCAGAGCGGAAGTCTGGATTGAGAGGGGTGTCGTTCCTCTCGGTGGCGTTCTTGATTTGCATCCATTGCTGGAAATGCGGCGAATCTGTGATAATAGAGTCGTTGAATATTTGATCGCCTCCTCCAATCATTACATGGAATGGTCGAGTTTGGTGCTCGTTGAGGACATCTCGCCAGAGCGGATCAGGGCCACAGAGTTGGTTGGAATCGACAGAGGGCCCAAATCCATTGCCGCTGTGGAACATGATATTCATGGACTGGCCTGCAGCAGGAACCCAGAATCCCAAGGCAGGTCCCTGGTTGATTCGGTATGCGATCCGCCGTTGCGTGGAGCTCAGTTCGATCTCGAGGGAAAATCTCCAGAACGTCACGTCTCTCGCAGCATCGGCGTACAAACGAACTCCCGAGATATCTCGGTAAACCTCCGCCGTTTCTCCGTCAACTGAGTGGATTCGATTGGAGGGTATTGGCTGCTTTGAAGCCTCGCTGCTGTAATCGATCATGCTGGGCGACATTTCGTAGATGCCATCATCGTTTTCCACGAATGACAGATCAACTTCCTCCTCGAGATGATCCACCGGTTTGACGTAGAGAGGCCGCCCATCACGGCCAACTTTCATAAGACCAGCTGTCGGGTCAACATATTCAGGCGCCAGTTGGACGCCGTCTTCGCCGCTGATCTCTACAGGCGGAGGTGGCAGGAGATCCATGGGCTGGGAAAATAGGCGTAATGTAGGTGGAGTATTGTAAGAAGAGCGGGAATCTTGCGTGACAATCATGACAGTGCCTCGCCATACCTCCTTGTCAACAGGCCCATGCATTCCATCGACCTTGGTCTGCTTCATGCCCGTGTATCGAAGCAATGGGCCGCATTTCAAGAACAGCGGGGGCTGGAAAGTCTTATGCTCGTTCACTCCTATATTATGTTAATCACATCACCTTGCAAGTATCGTGGAAGAGGGCTCCTACCTGAGACTTTCTGAGCGGGCGTCTGGTAGTTCTTGGGCAGAGCTCTGCTCTTTCTGCGGTCGGTCGTTCCGCCGCCTTCCCACCATGCCTTGCCGCGATCGGCATCAAGATGTTGGAAATCAAAATCCGAGGCACCGAGACGGGCAACCTGTGCGTTTCTCCACTCGAAGATTGGGGGTGGTGTAGGAGGCGGCACATCAAAGGACACAGTCTGCTGCTTTTTTGGCCTGGGTTGCGAGTCCAGGCTATCCTGGAATGTTTGGGTTGGTGACTGGTTATCATCTATCCTCTCTTCGCTGAGCATGGGTGCAGCTGCTCTGGGGTCCGACTGAGAAATCGAGTGAGCATTTTCGTCAGCCTTCGCCACTGGCACGCCCATTGCGACCAACTTTCTGGAAACGCCGCCTGTTCTTGCGGTTGGCGATGTTGTATCCTCCGTACGTGCATATTGTGGACCCTCAGCACGGCGAACTGCGGGATATTGGGGATTCATGGACAATGCTCTGCTGTGGCGCACAGCCGTGCCTCCAGATCGCGGTTCTGGAATTATTTCCTTTCTCTCTGGAGCTGCGATGGCGGCCGCCTGCATACTTTGCTCTGCCTGAGCCGCTGCGGCCATACTTTCCGCTTTCTCTCGCTCGGCTTTCTGGCGCGCTAGCCGCTCTCGAGCTTTCATTTCCGCTTCCTGAACCCGTGCACGCTTTTCCTCCTTGGTGATTCCAGTCAAAGTAACCTCCAACTTTTGTAATGGAGATCGATCAGACGCCCAACCACGCCGATTCTCGGCGGTTGAAGCCGTGGTATTCGACCGACTCAGCGCAGCCGGCGCCGGGGATGGGGGCGCTGGATCTTCAATCTCTTCCATAGCCCTGTCATAACCTGGAGGCAGAGGTGCTGGTGGCATACCTCGGGGTGTGTTCGATTCCTCTGGTTGCATGGGAGTAGTCTGAGCGACTGGCTTGCGAGTGGTATAGTTCATGCTTCCTGAAGGTAGATCCCGAGCCCTGGCCGAGAAGGATCGTCCTGCCTGGTGCCCTGACGACTGGGAAGCTAGAGGGCCCCTGGAAGATACGGAGCGTGTCCGTGGGACTTGTGGCGGCATCGCGGGACCATAGCTGTTCATGCCATATCCATGGTCATCGGAAGGAGGGTTCGAGCTGCCATTTGCAGCCTCGGGTGATCGACGCATTGTAGTCATTGCCATTGATTCTATCTGAATATTCTATTCGGGTCAAGTACCCTGGTTTGCGATGGGCGTTGCGGTGCGTAACTGCTTTGCGACACAGCGGGCGGCGCAACTAGAATCGAGCTGGTCAACCTCGGTCCCCACGCTATTTTCACAGGGAAGAGAGGAGGAAAATTGAGGAGCGTTTACATCAGATGTGGTCGCTCTGAGTAGCGCCTCGATTCAATGGTGCTCAGTGGTCACCATTCCGTTCTGGCCCAACCGGGTTCATGTACCTCCCAAGCGGGGGTGGCGGACGGCGGCGGTCGAGGGTAGAGGATCTCACGGTTTCGAGAAACAGTTAGAGAATTGGGAGGAGTTCAAAAATGCAATACGAATGAGAGAGAGGATGGGGTGAAACGAAAGAAAGAAAGTGTTAGGGTCGAGGAGGCTGGTCCCCAGCCACCGTTTTACTGGTTGGACAGCACTAGCAGTCATGAGCAGCGTGCGTCAGCGGTCAGATCCAATTATTTGCGGAGCACCGAGGTTTATTGCTATTAGCTGGACTATTGTTACTATCACTCTTGTTTATTCCATTTTTCTATACTTCTGTTCCTGCTCCGGTGGACCCATGGAACGGGTCAGCGGCCATCCGCAGATATGGTCACGTGATATTGTATACATCATCCAGAATTGGCATTGACATGAACACCGAACGAAATTGAGAGGGTAAGCCATTGTAGCTTGTAAAATATAGGAAACTCTGACTCTAATAGCTGCCATTCCCGAGAGCACAAGACAGCCCGACTACAGGCCCACATCAATAGCCACAGAATGAGCCTTAACAATACTTCGTCACTGATAAAATAATCAAGGATGATATTGTGAACTTAATCTGCGCTTGGATAGGAACAGCTCTTTCCCCAGCAACCTTTCACTCAGACAACAAACGAGTGAGTTTCTTCATCACCAAATCTTTCCTTCTTGCCTCCGCGTCTTTCCTTTCCAGAACGTCTCGTTGTCCGGTTGTAAGGGTCGGAAGAGGCCGTGGAACTCGATGACCAAATTTCCCTACGAAAAGATTCTTCAAGTTGCGAGCAGTAAACCCAGGAGGGGCGTGGTGGGTGAGAAATCTTTTCAAACCATGGGCATCTCGAGTATATCGTTTAAGACTGGAAACCCCTCGAAGTTCCTTCGCAGCATGCACAAACGCCACCACAAACTCTGCCCATGCCAGACACATTGTAGGCTCGGCCGCAGGAGGTGCTTGGCGAAACTCGACAGTCGACTTGCCGCCGTGATACAGATTGGTGAAGTTCCACGCAAATCGCCGGTTGCCACCGTCATTCGTAAGGTCGGCGATCTCAGCTTGGTGATTGCATCGGTCAACTAGCTCGAAGCACTTTTCCATCTTGCGGTTTCGAAGGCGTGAATTCTCTCGACGATTGTTCGCAGCAAAAGGGTTTCCACATCGACTTTGAGGAAGAAGAAGTTCGATAGCACCCTCAAAAAAGAAAATGCTTCGACAAAGCGATTTCAGCGTGTTCAGGCTCCATTGGAGGTCATGTGGGGGCGAAACGTGAACATGGAGACCACAAGAATCATTGACTTCGATTGTGTATCGCCTGTTAACAAAATGGAACAGCTGCAAGACTTCTGTTCTCCAAGTGCTTTCAGCGTGATATCGGAGGATGGGTGCAATAATCTGTGTGGGCCCTGAACATTGTAAGGAAGCCAGAAGTAGAGTACGAGCTTAGTTTGACTTACATTGATCACCTCTGTCAGGGCGGATTGTCACGTCATCAGTTACTGACCACTCGCGGTAGTCGTCCGGGCCCTCGTAAAGGCCATCAACATCTGAATGGATTCGAACACCTGGGGGGAGCCTGGAGTTGAGGTCTGTGACGAAGAAATTGGCGAAGTCTTCCAAATCTGAAAATGACCTGGTCGAGTACTTGGGAGTCAGAAGCACTTCAAGCTCAATACCGAGTTTGAAACCTCTGTCCATGGTCGCAGGGCATGAGAAGGTTTTAGGTACGGGACAGAGCCGAGGAGGGATGAGAGTTGGAAAGAAGAGTGGGGGGAAGAGAGGTGGAAAGCAAACGTTGAAAAGAAAAAAGCAAAGTAAAGTGTTTAGGATTTCTGTCTAGGTAGACAGCTTGTACGCTGTCTTCGTGCCTACATCGCCTCCAGTTTCTTCTGTCGCAGGTATTCCTTCAGACTGAACTCCCCTTCCTGCAATTCATCCAGCTTTCCATTCCACTTGAAGTAATTGCCATCGACGATTTCTTTGCGACCAATGCCAACATCTAATAACTCGATTTCACAGGGATAGATATAATACTTCTCGGTTTCATACGCGATCAGTCGATCAACGTGTTTCTGCGTCAGGATTTCGCATGCCACGCCCTCGACCGCATGGCCAGTCGGCCCATCGATAAGTGCAGGGTACGGTCCCCAGAGTCTCATTTGATAGCCGATGATACGAGCAGGACGCAGCCTGGGAGCCTCTGCTACTTGCAAAACTCTGGCCAAGGTCGATGGATCCATTAGACTGCCGTAGAGAAAGTACCATCCTTTCAGTGTGATTTCCGGGGGGTAGGGAGATGAAGGCAGGTCATCAGGATCTGTTGTTTCAAGACTGGGCTGATACGGTTGATACTGTCTATCAGCCTCTTTTTCAGCATCCGTCCTCATATTTGCTTTGTAGAACTTTCGTGCCATGGGAGACATCTGTGACAGTATTTCTTTATCCATGCTGATCTAGTAGCCAGTTAGCGACGGTTATCTTAAGTTATTACCTGCTGGCATACCTGTAGCAGAGAGCTGTTGGGGTAGTCTTAAAAGCCTGAGAAGTGTACTTGAAGTGAAGTTGATGACGTCCCAAATTTAGTTGGTTGAAGATTAGAGTTGCGGAAGAACATCCCGGTGCACGTGATTCACTTTTCAGCCTGATTGTAGCCTGATGAAAGGAGCGATTTCCTGTAACCTACTTCTTCTTATCATCTACATTTCTCTTGTCCAAAGTCTTCCCTTTCTGGCCGTAAGTTTTCCCAACAATGACCGAATTCCTCTGTTTCCTGCTCGATCCGTCTGTGCCCGAGGCGCGCTAGAGTGCAACCTCCAACCTGCCCGCTCCGACTACACCCCATCAAAAGTATTATTTTAGATTCTACCTACGGGAATTCGTTCTATGTATAAGATGAATGGTTTTTGGAATCGATTAATCCCGAATCTTCTTTGATTCCACTTCAAAAGTACTGGTAGTTGCGGTGTAAGGAGCAGTAGCTGCCAGGGTTAAGAATAACCATTCCGAAAACATCCACCACGATAACTGAAGGTTGAAGCCAGCGAGCGCCCTTGAAGAGGATCAATAATGGTTGCGATAGCCTATGATTGCCTCAGCTACCTACATAATAGTCCTCGTATAGTAACCAGCATAAAGAGAGAGCTATGAATACAGTAACAATTACATCAGAAAACAACTGTTGTACACAAACAAGCTAACCCTCCGCGTTCTTCATCAAGAAGGACTTGACAAAAGGCAGCTTGTTAATAGCATCCAGCCCCAAGCTGCGCGCCCAAGTGACGGGTCCGTTTCCAGGGACATTATACATCTTATGAAGCAGATCGCAAGTGCCACCAATTTTAGCATTGGGGAGGTACCGTTCTGAGGAGTAGTGCTCGAGCGTGAGCAAATCCCCGATATCCATGCCGTGGGAGACAGCATACTGGATTGTGCGAGAGAGGGAAGCGACGTCTGCGAGGCCGAGGTTGAGGCCTTGACCGGCGAGCGGGTGGATAACGTGCGCGGCGTCTCCGACGAGAGCAATACGAGGGGAGACATATTGGGCTGCGTGGCGGAAGCGTAGGGGAAAGGAGGCAACTGTGCCCTGTTGCAGGCCGATGGCCGAGGGTGGGATTTGGGAAGGGAGTGGCGTGTGCTGGAGGCGCCAGGATAGCTCGTCTTCGTGGGATGAGATCTGCTCTGTGGATGTTGCACGGTCCATGCCCATCATATACTTCAGGTCTGTCATAGATAGACGGAAGGCTGCATTGACCATAGCCAAGAAGGCGGGCGCCGGCAGCGATTTCAGGTACGCTGCGTGCTCGGGTGTTGTCGACCAGACGAGTGTGGCGTGGTTGTTTGGCAGCGGGAGCAGGGCGATCGGACCACCCAGCGCAGGTAGGAACCGTTGATAGGCTGTGCGCATGGATGCAGGGAATGGCGGGACATCTGGTTCTCCAAGTGCCAGGGTCGCAACCACGCCGTGTCGATTGTAGTCCCAGCCGTGGGTGGAGATATCGGCGAACGAACGGACAGGACTATTGATACCGTCTGCGCCGACCAGCAGTCTCGCAGCGATGCGGGATGCCGGCTTGGTACTCGCCGCGGATCCTGTCGGTGCGACAGAGAGAACAGGCCAGGCCGACAGATCGGGTCCGTCGGTGTGGTCGGAGCCATTCTCAATAGATGCGACGGTCATGTTCTCAAAGATAGACAGGTTCTCGTCGCCCGAAGCAGCAATACGCGCCAACAACCCACGAACAAGATTCGCGTTCTCGGTCATGGTTGCGACATTCGGTAGGTCCTCGAACGGAGACGTCTCCATAGACCAGTCAAAGGATATGCGCGACCCGCTCTCGCCATCCCACACCTGCATCTCCTGATAATCCTGCACGCGGTCGGTGTCCAAGTGTTCCCATGCTCCGATGCTGCGCAGGAACGACACAGACGAGGGCGTCAGGCTACTGACCCGGTTCGAGAATTTGGTCGGCTCCATATCCCAGGATCGGGCTTTTTGGAGGTCCTGGCTTTCGACAAGGGCGACCCTGAGGTTCGATGTGATGGGCGATGCTCCTGTGAAACCTAGTATTAGCAATCACCTTCCAGCTTTAATGTCTTTTGGTTGACGTTACGGAGTGCAGCCACTAGCCCTAGGCCTGCTGGCCCGCCGCCGACACAGACGACGTCGTAGATGTCGGGCGATTGGGCAAGCTGGGACCTGAATCGTCGGCTGCCAACGCCATGTCGGCATGACGGGCAGATGTATGGCCGGAGGGCCCTCGAGGCTAGACGCATTGTGATGAGCAATATTGCTTCGAGGAGTCGGAGCTTCGGGAGTCGAGAAAGACGGTTTGCGGGTGCAAACAAGACAAACACAATCTATACCACAAGCACAACTACGGCCAGAATAAAAAGATAGAGAAATAATTTTGAACAGGAAACCGGAGCTCTCTATGTTCTACCAAGGTTATATGCCCAGGAATCTGAAGATTTTGCCAACATAACACAGGCGGCTATGCCACACCAAGACCAAGAGACCACGATGTATCTACCAGAGCATCAACTAGTATATAGGCAGAAATATGTATTTATACACTGGGCCAAGACACGCTGCAAAATTTATCATCATTCTACTCTACCTGCGTCTATAAATACACTCATCAAGCCTCAACATGTTCCTCCACAGGCTTCTCCTGCGCCTGAGCCCCGCGAGTGCGAGCGACAGGAGACTCATCGACATCCTTCCGCTGGCTCAGCTTAACCACCTGCCTAAAGCTAGAGTGATTGGCGAACAAGAAATCAATGCTCTCAAGAGTCCGTCCCGCCGTCTCCGGGTAGAGGAAGTACACAACGGGCATAGTCGCCCAGTTGAGAATGCAGAAGACAATGTAGAGCTTCCAGCCGATATTCTGGATCCCCACGGGCGTGATCTCAACGACCAGGAAGGTGATGAGCCACTGCCAGATCACCGAGAGGGCCGCACCGCGCTGGCGAGTGCGCAGTGGCAGGATCTCGGCCGGGTAGCACCACATGTTTGACATCCAGCCCCAGGTGAAGAAGCCCTGGAATAGGTAGAGCATTGTTATGGCGGCGATGCCGTTCGCTTTGCCCCCGGCCATGATGCAGAGTCCGGCGATTAGTTGGCAGGCGCCCATGCCGAAACTGCCGAACATGAATAGTTTGCGTCGGCCGACTTTGTCGATGATGAACCTGTGTCAGAATTGTCAGATGTGCTCTGTTGAATGAAAATTCAGTTGCGATGCGATGGCTCTTACCATGGAATGAAGGAGGCAACCAGGAAGAAAAGCTGGAGACCACCGGACAGAAGCAGTGATTGACGAGCGTCAAGCCCAACACTGTGAACCATGACATAAGGTGCATAGTACGTGATGATGTTTGTTCCGGTAAATTCTTGCAAGGCCTGGGCACTGCACGCGATGGCAACCCGCTGCCAGCCCATAATGCCGCCATCCGTGAAACAATCTTTCCAACTGCCGGACTCCTCAGCCTCGAGTTCAATAGCCTCCTTGATCTCGGTATACTCGAATTGAATATTCTCATCCTGAGGCTGACCGTCGCGCAGCAGACAGAGAACATCCAGCGCTTCCTCGGGTCTGCCCTGGCTCGCCAGCCAACGGGGACTTTCTGTGACCGGCATCAGTATCTCAATCCTTCAACACAGCACCAAGACAAGAAAAGACCAACTCACCAGGCAGGAAGAAGCACATAGCAATCAAAAGCAGCGCAAAGACAATCTGAAACGCAATTGGAAAGCGCCACTGGAACCCACTCGTATACCCGCTGCACCCATAATCAATCCAGTACGCAACAACAATACCAACAATCAGCGCGGACAACTCCATAGCAACCGTGCGTCCCCGAATCGGCGCGGGCGTACACTCGCACTGCCAGACAGGAACCGCACTGGTGATACCACCCATGCCGAGGCCCGTCACGATACGGCCAACGATCATCTGCGCCTGGCCGTAGGATGTGCATTGGATGACGGTGCCGATGATCAACCAGACGCTGCCGACAACGATCAGCATGCGACGACCGAGTCTCTCGCCCCATACGGCGGAGGCTAGAGCGCCGGCTAGACAGCCCAGCTCGTAGACAGCTACGATAAAGCCTAGGAGACTGGGGTTGGGGTTGCCCATTGTCTCGAGGAAGATTGTGTCGGTGGTTAGGCCTGAGAAGACGCCGTTGTCATATCCTGGACCAATTTAGAGATAGATTTAGAGCCGAAAGGAAAAAAAGTAAAGGGACGAAACTCACCGAAAAGGAGGAACCCCGTGGAGCAGGCCAAGGTGACGGCCATCACCAAGGGCATTCCGCGCAGGCCCAGGGACGAAACCATGATGATGAAGATGGAAATGATAAGAAGCCAGGAAGTACGGTATGAGAAACACGGATCCTCGGGGAGGCTAGCTATTTAATTGACCGCCCACTCGGCCGCCAGGCCGAGTCATATGTTATTCTATCTCCGCATTCGCACCTACCCCGAGTTGGAGAGCGTGGGGGGATGAGCCGAATCTTGGCCGGATAGCGTGGGGGCTGCAAAGCTTGTCTCGGTTCCTTGTTTCCGTGAACGACGTATGACAATGGGGGAAATTGTCGGCTATTCTGGTTAGAGGGCATTATGGAGTGAGTAGTACGTTGGGTAGTATTGACTGCGAATAATATGAAACAAGCTAGCTTCCAGTCATGATAAAAAGAAAGAAAACAGCCATTTGGTCCAAAACCCCCCAAAACTGGATTGATTCATTGGTTTGACTCTTCCAGCCCCATGTCGGGCTCGCTCTCCATCTCCGCAATAAAGCGCTCCCATGTAGACAGCACACCCTGGTAGAACTCGATGTGCGACTCGGCAAAGCTGCCAAGGGAATCCCGGAATTCGACCGCCTTGATGCGCTCGAAATCCGCCACTTCGCGAATGACCTCCTCGTCGAACATCTCCGAGGTGGTTTTGGCAGATTCCACCTCGCGGGTAAGTTCGTCGATGCGCAGCTCGAGCTTGCGCACCCGCTCCCGGCGGGATTGCTCGTGATCCACGCCGCGCATGTCCTCCATCTTGGAACGGATGAAAGACGCCGGGGAGGAAGTCAGTGGGTTGGTGGCATAATACGCAGCCGGGTTGGCCGCGAGCGTGTCGCGCTCGGCGACGGCTTTGTTGCGGTAGTCGACCAGAGCTTCAAAGTCCAGTTGCTTCTGCTCCCGGGTTTTCAAGAGGTTCTTCAGCGACATGATGTAGGCCTCCATGTCCCGCAGCGAGCCCAGGTAGTTCTGGTCCGTGTGGTTCTTCAGTCCGCTCATTCCACGAGCCGTCTCCTCCACCGACGCGGCGAAAACATGCAGTGGCATCTCCACAGCCGGCTCTAGCGGGACGAGCTTCCGGAACTGCGTAGCCAGCTCTGTGTAGTCCGTCTCCAAGTCGGCCTCGCGCCGAGCGACCCGTGCCACAGTCTTCTCCACATGCGATAGGTCCTCATCCAACTTGTCTGCCTTTTCCCGCACCTCGATGAACCGGCGATCCGGCTTATGCACCTTGGTAAACGCGTTGACGAACGTGTCCGTAAAGTTATCGAATATCCCCGCGCTCCCGCTGTCGGAGCCCGTGCTTGTCGACGTCCGCGTCGAGTGCAGTCGCATATGCGCGTTCCAGTCCTGCGACTCCAGGAAGATGGTGAGCAGGGGTGCCCGTCGGAGCACCGGATGCAGGGTCAGACGCTTCAAAAACCGGTGCAGCGACCACGCCCGTCTCGACGTAAACTCCGGCCCGAACCGGTCCCCGCGCACGTACTCCATCTTGTGCTTGTCTGGCAGCGGAGGCACCGCGCATGCCGGGTATTCGCGATACAGCGTCTTGTACAGGAAGTAGAAATCCGTAAACCGCCGACGTACTTGGACTTCGGGCTTCTGAAATGACTTGAAATCGGTCTGTGGGTAGAACCGGATCCCGTTAGCTTCGCCGTGTTCTTTCCAGAGGTTGCCCGAGCATGACCAGGCAGCAGCGGCGGCGACGCAGAGAGATCGCTACTCACATGTGTTGTAACCAGATATGAAATATATGCATCTTTCCCCGAGCCCTCCTTGTGCGGCGATGACACCTCGCACTCAAGCTCCCCCACGTCGACTGCGTCAGCCTGCGTCCCGACCGGCGCTTCGTAGGCGGAGCTCATTCTCCGCTTGCCATTGACATCGTGATCAAATGTATGCGGGTCTTCCACATCGGTTCCTGAGGTCGTAGGCCGTGACTGGTCGCTGTCTGGGTGCTTCCAGCTGACGGAGTCGAAGTCATCTTGTTCCATCGTGGGGAGGGGGAGGTGTTGGTCGGCCGTGGTTCAGCCGGCGGATGTCTGATTATCTATCCCCGCCAGAGGTGATCCCAGCAGAGGTAAATGTGTCAGGCAAAAAGAGAGACAGGAAGAGCTGAAATGTGGGTTGTATGGAGCTGGGGTGGACTGAGGCTGGGGAAATGAGAGAGGAACTGGTCGAGGGCTGAGATAAGACGATCGTCGTCCCAAGGCGGCAACGTCATCTGCCCCAACCCATAATACTATAATAAAACATTTCCAACAACAACAGAACAACAGTTTATTTATCATTCCCAGATTGGAGAAAGTCGCTAATCTTTCTGTCATTCATGCAGCAAAGTTGGATATACACAGATCCAGCCCCTCTAGACCGGATTTACTCGATCGATGCTTCATACACTCAACTCCCATCAACTAAATGCAACCAGATAACCAGACCCTAACGCTTTTCCGACAACAACCCAGTACCCGGCGAAGCTTTTTCGGCTGCGTCTTCGTCCTCTTCCTGGACGTTAGCTAACCGGTCGCGGTATGGCACATCGTCGTCGGCATCACTAAACACCTCCTCGTCGCTTTCCCCAGCGAACGCATTGTACAGCTCGCCGCCGCGACGCGTCCGGGAGCCGCCAGTCATCGGCTGCAGCTCATCTTCATCTTCGATCATCTCAAACTCGTAGTCGTCGTGTGGGTTGGTACGACGGCGCTTGAGTCGCGAAATCTGGAAATAAATGCCCAGCCCAATACAGAACATAATAATCATGCCCAGAGACGCGTAGATCCAAACTTGCGTCATCTTTGAGGCCCCGAAGGATGGGAGATACGGGGAGAGTTTGGTTTCGTCGGTGCTAGTCGGGGAAGCCGTCGCGTTGGTCGCAGGGCTTGGCGTGACAACATCCTCAACCGGGCTGGGGTCTGTTGGTTTCGGCTGTGGAGGCTTCTTCACGGGCCGGTCGATGTGGTCTTCGGGGCCGGCAGGAGGGTTAGTCTGCACTGGGCCTGGCTCGATGCTAGTCGTGGCGACATGGGCCACTTCGTAGGGATGGTCGTCATCGTGTTCGGTGGGGAGCGGGTGCAGAGGCTGGTTGTTCCCATCAATGGCCTCGCCCCAAAGGTTAAGCCGCCAGTCAGTGAAGACACCGGAGAACTCGTTGACCTCGGTGTCCTTGACGATCACGGTCCACACGCCCACGGCAGACTCGCCCCTAGGAACACGGTTAGCCAGAGAAAGACAGATAAAAGGGAATAATACATACCAGTGAGCAACGGACATGAACGTCCAGTCGACATAACCGACTGGCTCCTCGTCTCGGTCGCGAGTAACACTGAGATGGCTAACAACTCCCCCTGGGCTGCGCAGCTCGACGCTGAGGTCGCCGCGCCGAGTATGATTGACATTCATGGTCACAGTAACATGCTCCAGTCGCTCAAAGTTGGCTTTCTTCAGCTGGTCCTCCGTCACTGTATACCGACTGATCAGTCCCTTCTGGCCCTGAGGGATTTCGTGGTGCACCCGCTGCCACGGCGAGTTGAACCATGCCTGTGGCTTCACGAGCTCCCACTCGCGGGCGCGTTGAACCACCGCATACGCATCAACCTTCCCAAACCCCCAGAGGTGACTGAATTTGCGTCCAGACGGGGTGGTCTGCCAGCTGCCATCCTTCTCGTTGACAGGCACAGCGGTCTCCACGAACAGGTACTGAACATCACGCCACGTCAGCTCCGGCCGCACACTCAGAACCAGCGCCGCCGTTCCTGCGACCAGGGGTCCCGCTGCCGATGTTCCACCGTGCGAGCTAATGCACTGATTAACACCAACATCGGTAGTATGGATGGCCTCGCCAGAACCAGTGCTGTAGGTGACCACCAGCTGAGCCGAGCAAGCCTCTGAGTAAATCCCATGCTTCCCCTGCCAGTCGATGGCTCCTACAGTGATACTGTAGATGCTGTTGGTGTATCCGTCGAAATTGCAGTTGTCACCGTAAGGGGCACCGTTGCCGGCGGCAAAAACGAAAACCGAGCCTTTACCCTGGCGACCCTGTTGCACGCCGTTGACCATCGCTCTGCGGATCAGAACGCCCGGGCCTTCCATAGTGCGGCCGTCGTCCATCGGTCCCCATGAGCAAGAGTAGATATCATTATGTTGGAAGGCATAGTTGAGGGCCTCGGCTTCGTCATGATCATCGATCGGTGCAGACAGGATCCGAATTCCCGCAACTTTGCTGTCATATGCAACGCCAACTCCACAGATATCGTTCTTCGACGCCGCGACCTCACCCGCACATCTAGTGCCATGTCTGTCGTCACTGAGTTGAGGACGGGGCTCCGGGGAATGTGCATTATAATCCCACGAGCCCTCGGGGTAGTAGTTGGGACTGAGATCCTTGCTCTCCATGTCCAGCCCGTCATCGATGATGGCCGTGATCGCCCCATGGCCCGTCACCCCCTCCAGCCACAGTCCGGTCACATTGAGAGAATGCTCCGGACGAATAGTATTAAAAAGATGCCACTGCTCTTTGAAAATTGGATCGCGAATATCCAGGGTGGACATGAGATCCTTTTGGGCAGCAACCGCGGCTTGATCTGGCTTCTTGTCGGCTCGTGGTGTCAGGTCCACCGATGCCGGGCGCGGAGGGAGTCGCTTCTGTAGCCGTTGTCTAGGAGCATCGAGCCGATGCGACCACAGAATTCCGTCTAGCGCATCATCGTGGATCGCAGATTCGCTTTCCGACCGTTGCTTCAGCTTTCGTTTCTGCTTCAAGTCGGCCAACACAGAATCAAGGTTCTGGTCCCGTGGCAAGGAGAATGTATGGTGGCCAACGAGTTCGCCGATCGGTCCTTCATGGCGTGCGCCCAGGAGTTGTGCAACGTGGGAGGGGGAGGTGGCGTCGTCGAGGTGGAGGGCGAAGAAGTCGCGTGTGTCGGAGGATCGAGGATGCAAGCTAGCCGTAGCCGCGCCCAGGAAGCCCAGGGCCACGGCGATGCTGCCGGCGATGCGCATGATAAATGCGACGAGTGTGTGGTGGTGGTGCGAGGCGAGTTGGCGGAACTCGCTCTCACTGTGAAGGTGGTGATGGACGGGAGGTGGTTGCCATGAACGGGTGCCTCAGCTGCTATTCAATGGCAAACGGAGGAACGGAAGACGACAGAGGGCAAGGTGGTTGTAGCATCAAAGAATAATGTATGAAATGGGACTGCCACAGGAAGAGATATGAATGACAGAGAGAAAGGGGGCTAAAAAAAAAAAGATATTCAGGGAGGAGATGAAGGAAAGGAATCAGGAGAGAGCGAGTGGGTGATGTGATCGTGTCGATCTGCCCGACCGTCCTATTGAGCCCCGATTTAAGTCCTGCGAGCCACCCGGGGCCAGCCACTGTTAGTCTTTTCTTTGTTGGTTTCACTTGGTCTGCCTGTCTTGCTCGAATGCTGATGCTGCTTGAAAGACCACGTTTGCCGCCGTGGATGGCTGACGTGGTCGAGGCTAATGTGGTACTTGGCTGGGAAGTACCGGTCCGGTGATGAGGCCTTGCATGGGTACCAGCCACGCAGGTCACTCGGACCCTGCATGGCGCCCGACTGGATGATGGTCAAGTAAAACATCCATGCGAAGGCTGGGCTGTCCTTGCATTCGACATGAGAATGAGACAACCCAACCTAGTAGAAAATACTCCAATGTGAAACATACTTCCCGTGTCCAGATATATATCTCGAGCCGCCCACTTGTTCGAATAACCAGAATAACCTCAAATGAGCTTAAATAGTTAATCCCCATCCAACACGGTCAACCGGAACTGGCAGCTATGAGAGCAAGTGTTATTCATTCTTTGAAATAGCAAAAAGACCAGTGCATATTTAATATTAATAGCGTTCAAAAAGCAGAAAAGAATCAGGGGCAATGCAACCGTCCAAACAGAGAACGAAACCAGGAAAAAGCAATCGCAAATTGTGAACCCCCATGATGATGCCGTATCTAATGCAAAAGACAGGAAAGCAGAAGAGAACGCAGACCAACGCCAGATCTCGCAAAGAAGAGGCGACCAAAGTTCGTCGATGGAGACTCGGGAGCTTGCGCGATAAATCTACGAAACAATGGAAAGTCAGTACTACCGAATAAACAGTAGTCGAACAAGGAGCATACAGATCTAAACAGTCCTTTGCGCCGGATCCTTGGCGGAATCGTCCTGGAGAAGAGCATCAAAGTACTCGAGCGGCATGGTGGGCACAAGTAGCTCCAGCGCAGTGGTGATCCGCTCGTGCTTTGCCTCAAAGCCTGCCAGCCGCCGATGAATATTGTAGAGCTGGATATTTGTTTGTTGGAGCAAGTGATTGGTGACATCCATGCGCTGGATGAGCTCCGCAGCCCACCTGGGGAGAGGAGCGACTAGAGGCTGCTGCGGGTTGTTTGAGCCGCTGTTCATAGTGGAGGCACCGCCAAACCCTGGGACAGTTGAACTTGACGGAGGCATTGTCGCGAGGGATTGAGGGTGTATCAGAGTGGGGGTGAGAGCAGGACGGTGATTGCGTTTATAGGGTATAAACTCGGGGCCGAGCTGATCTTCTAGTTGTTAGCTTGCAGAGACCAGGAAATCTGCTGGAGATACCTCTGCGGTCCAGCTGCAGGAGGGAGAATGCAAGACAGTGGCTTCACAGGGATTTCTTACCTGTATCTGGGTGGGTGTGGATGTTGAGAAAGGAATGAGAGCGGCGGTGTTGGAGGTGAGAAGGAGAGGAAACCAGTATGCAACCAGGAAAACAACCTCTACTCTCCGGTGGTTGCAGAAGAAAGAATCCGCTTCCCTCTTCCTCTTCCTTGTGAAACTCGGCTTCTTCTTCATCACCAACAGACTGTCACCAGATACCTCAATCCAGGTATTATTCTTGTCCTCTCAAGAGAAGGGGTGTGAATCGGAGTACGGATCGGGCTAAGAAGGATACGCAGGATGAGAAGATGAAGGAGGATTCGAGACACGGCATAGGTTATCAGATGCAATGAATTGGGTATTCGCGGGTTCCGCTACAGTCCATCTTTTCCATGCTTATTGTATCCACTTCCCGGTCTTTCTCTCGTTTTTATTTCCCGATATTTCCCATCTGGCTCGCCGCTTTCATTGACGAACCGAAATCCACGCTCGAACCATGCAGACAAAAGAAATCTATATTTTCAAACCCTGGCCGGGAAATCAAACGCCCGCGTCTTCTGTCTTTGGCGTCTCGCTGACCTGCACATCCTGCAGCTGCTGCGCCAGACCCGAAACAGGGCCGGACTGTGTCCGCGCGAGACGGGCTTGCAGCTCGGGGATGAGTGAGCCGAGCGGGACTTCCACGCCTTCCTTCTCCGGGTGGCCCTTCGGCAGGCCCATCTCCTTGATGCGAACCTTGCCCGCGGCCAGCTCGTCCTCGCCCAGGATAATGCCAAAGGGAATGTCGCCATCCTCGACGGTCTTGAATTGCTGCTGCGGTCTTGGCTTCAGCTTGTAGGCGAATTCGGCCTGAGTTATGTGTTAGCTTGCTGTTCCAATCTTGAGACAGAATTTGCTCATGCTCACCCTGATACCCGTGTCCCACAGTTGCTTGCAGATATCCATACGCTCCTTCAGCATGCCGGTGAAGCCCTTGCCGCCAAAGGCCATGACGAAGACATCCACCTCGCTCTTGCGGAGACCCTGGGTGCTCTGCTCGCGCTCCAGACGGGCCTTGGTGATGGAGAAGATGCGGTCGACTCCGAACGAGATACCGACGCAGGGGATCTGTGCCTTGGGCAGGAACATGCCAACCAGATTATCGTACCGCCCCCCGGCGGCGATGCTACCGACGCCCAGAGTAGGGTCGTTGGACCGGTCGTCGTCCTCGAGGTTCTTGGCCTTGTCCTTCTTGCCGGACTTTTGCAGTTTCTTCGCCTCCTCGGGGGCATCTGACTGCACCGCGGGAGCAGAGCCCTCCGTGACAACCTCGTAGATGACACCGGTATAATAGTCCAACCCGCGGGCTAGGGACATGTCGAAGGAGATCTTGTCTAGCACGCCGAATGCGTCCAGATAATCCATCATCAGAGCCATGTCCTCCAGACCCGCCTTGGCAGACTCATTGGCGAGAAGAGCCTCGTCCTTGAGGAGCGAGTCAAGCAGCTCGCGGCCACCCTTGTGCATGACGTACTTCTCGATGCGGTCCGCCACCTCGCCATCCAAACCCTTGTCATTCACCATTTCCTTGCGCACATCGGCCCACGGCATCTTGTCCAACTTATCAACCGCACTGGAGATCGGCCGAATCAGTGTCTCCGGCACACCGCAGACGGCAAACACGCCGTCAAGAATCTTGCGGTGATTGAGCTTGATGGTGTACCGGCCCTTCCATCCCAGCTCCTCAAAAACCTCGCTCACAATGCGCAGGATCTCGGCGTCGGGCACCATCGGGTCAAAGGCACCGGCAATGTCAAAGTCGCACTGGTAAAACTCACGCATGCGGCCTTTGCTGACGGCGGGCTGATCCCGGCGGTACACCTTGGCAATGTGGTAGCGTTTGATGTTGCGGACATCCGCATTCATGGCGAGCCAGCGCGCAAAGGGGACCGTCAGGTCGTAGCGAAGGGAGCAGATCTCGCCGCCCTGGTCCTGCAGGTCGTAGATGAGCTTCGAGTCCTCGCCATACTTGCCGGCCAGGATCTCGCGCAGCTCGAAGACGGGGGTGTCGAGGGCGGTGCCGCCGTGGCGCTTGAAGACGTCGGCGATGGTGGTGAAGATGCGGTCCCGCAGGAGGGCGTCGGACCCGGCCCAGTCCTTGGTGCCCTTGGGGGTCTTGAGGTTGAAGGTGTTCTTGTCCTTGGGCATTGTGTCGGCGACGGAGGGAGTGAGGGAAGAAAAATGGCAGCGGGGATGGATTTGCTGGTGGGGGGTGGTGGTGGGGGCACGGAGATTCTTTTGATTCGAGACCGGCTGCAGTCGAGGTTGGCTGGGAATTGGTCGGATGGTCGGGCGAGAGACACCAATGGAGTCAATGGCTCGTCGTGCAGCACGGAGTGAAGGGAGAGACGGCATAAACAGAAGGAAAGACCGAGAGAGAAAGAACAACGCACGGGACTGAGTCAGAAGGGTGCGGCTTCAAACAACAATTTTCGGCGGCCTGAGGCTGGCATCGGGCGGAGTCAGTTAATCCGGGCGCCGAAGCAAGACACCTGGGACTTCAGGCTCCCACAATTACCCGAAACAGATGCAGGAGGATGACAGGCATCCATTTTCTCCCCCACACGCTTGAATCCCAGTAGAAAACGCCATCCGCGCGTGATGGAATCATCTCCTCTCTTGACTCGCTTGTTGTTCTAGTGATTTCCGGCCGACCCCCTCCCCCTTACTCCGCTGCCTACGATCGTTATGATATCAGTTTCGGTGGGGACCGAATGTGATCTCGATAGATTCCAGTCTTTCGTACTGGATATGGTACCATCCTGTCCCTTCCCTTGTCCGGAAGAACCATGACTCGGTTGGGACTGCTGCATCTCCAAGCGCCTTGACTCCGGCAAGGGGGCATGCATCACCATCCCGGAGTATCACAGCAGCCACCCATTGCCCCGGGGCGCCATTGGCGGCTCGCAGCAGGCAGACGAGACCTCCTACCCCCTCCTATCCCCTCCTATCTCCCCGCCTACATGCACCAAGCATATACAATCATCCGATCTTGCATGCCCAGATGTAATTCATCCGTCCTGAATCCGGCCAGACGGACTCCACCGCCACCTTCCCCACGCTCTCGGCAGTCATTGGCCGTTAGGCCACGCCATTCGAGGGGCGGACACATGGCCCGTGAGCGAGCGCGGGCACCCGCCAATAACGACATTGCTAGGGGTGGTGGTCTGTCCGCACTGGAGAGGTTGAGGGCGAATGCGTCAAACGCTAAGCGTGGGGAGAATAGCAGAAAGCGGCCAGCGAGAGCGTGGCAGGAAAATCGGCGATTGGCCCAGTACCTGCCTTAGGCAGCTCCACCGTGACTAGACTTGATGGGGGGTGCGGAGTGTTAGGGATGTTCTGGATGTTTCGGTACATACGAGAGTCCAAGAACAATAAGAACTAATCGTAAAGAGAGAAATATTAATACGGGAGAAAATAAGCAGACCTATAGGACTAACGATAGGACCGGAGACCTGCTATCTATAGTGCCCTGGCATCCTCGCTCACGCCCCGGGCCCACCTCCGCTCCCAGGCTCCTCTCCTCCTCCGCCTTGCCCGGGTCATCTCATCGTCTTTCGTCCTCCTTCCTTCCCTCTCTCTCTCTCTCTGCTCTTCCCATCCTCCTGTTCCCTCCTTTTATTCTCACTCCCTCTACTCTGCCTGTTCGCCAAACCCTGGTACTCTGCCTCCCACCCCTTGTCTCACTCCCTCTCCGCCACCCCACGGACCGCAGCCCGGAACCCTAACGGCAGCTCCGTTCGTTTCAGACGTCTCTTGCCCGCTCAACCCCCACCCTCCTCCTCAGACACTCTCGCGACTCCCATTGATCTCCTTGGCGTTTCCTCCCCTGCCCCTCGACTATCCGCAGCCCCGATCGGCCCCGTCACACCTCTTCCTCCCGTCGCATGTCTCCCGCTCTCATCAGAGCGTAATCGTCCGCGACTGATTTGGTCTCTGGCGGGTTATCACCCAATGCAGCGGAGTGCGACCACCAAGAAACACTGAGTGATCATAATGGGGATCTTCAATAAGCCTCGGAACAATGTGGTAAGCAATCGCCACCGTGCATTGGCAGCCCTGCTGCTGTCGCACAGCAGGTCCCCGAGACGTCTCCTGAGACTTGTTCCTCGTAGGACAATTCTGATCAGGACCGCTGCTGACGGCTCACTTGTTTAGGCTTCGCAGACTCCCGCAAACACGGCAACGCCTGTCAAGAAGGACCTGCAGGCGCCGCAGATGACTCCGCTGGAGAAGCGGTTGCTGGAGATGGGTGCGATTCGTGAGGATGGGAGCGACAAATTCTTTGGCATGGAAAATGTGGGTGGTGGGTTCTGTCCGAGAAACAAGAGTGCTGCTGACCTGAAGTGCGCCTAGTACGGAAACACATGCTACTGCAACTCGATCCTACAATGTCTCTACTATTCCGTTCCGTTCCGCGAGGCCGTGATTAACTACCCGCGTCGCACCCCATTGGAAAGCCTCGAGGCGGCCCTGGCGAGCAATTTGCGCTACCAGAACCCTAACGCACACCTGGAAGCAGAGGCGCAGGCCGCGAAGCAGAAGAACACCACCCCATCACCGTCCGCGCGCCAGGCCGGCGTGGCTCCCAACCAACCACAAAAACCCGAAGACAAGGATTCACCAGAGTATAAGAAGAAGGTGGCACTGCAGACGCTCCCGCTCCTAGAAACCAAGAACAACGCGACTAGCTACGGCATGTCGGAATCTCTCTTCACCTCACTAAAAGATATCTTCGAATCGGTGGTGGGCAGCCAGTCGCGCATCGGAGTAATTCGACCACAGCAGTTTCTGGATGTGCTGCGGCGCGAGCACGAAATGTTCCGGACCGCAATGCATCAGGATGCACATGAGTTCTTGAATTTGTTGCTGAACGAGGTGGTGTCGAATGTCGAGACGGAGGCGACGAAGCAGACATCCTTGCCACCCGCGGACAGTACGGATTCCACGGAGCTGACGACGGGTAGCACGGGCTCGAAGTCCCCCAACACGACGAGATGGGTGCATGAGCTGTTTGAAGGCACGTTGACCTCGGAGACGAAATGTCTGACGTGTGAGAAGGTCTCGCAGCGTGACGAAGTGTTTTTGGATCTCTCGGTCGATCTCGAACAACACTCCTCGGTCACCTCCTGTCTACGAAAGTTTTCGGCAGAGGAGATGCTGTGCGAACGAAACAAGTTCCATTGCGATAATTGCGGCGGTCTCCAAGAGGCGGAAAAGCGCATGAAGATCAAACGCCTGCCGCGGGTGTTGGCTCTGCACCTGAAGCGTTTCAAATACACCGAGGACTTGCAGCGACTACAAAAACTGTTCCACCGCGTGGTGTATCCTTATCATCTACGCTTGTTCAACACGACGGACGATGCCGAAGACCCGGACCGGCTTTACGAACTTTATGCGGTGGTCGTCCACATCGGCGGTGGTCCGTATCATGGCCATTACGTGGCCATAATTAAGACCGAGGATCGTGGGTGGCTGTTATTTGATGATGAGCTCGTCGAGCCCGTGGACAAAAACTACGTGCGGAACTTCTTCGGTGACCGGCCTGGCCTGGCATGTGCCTATGTCTTGTTCTATCAGGAGACGACACTGGAAGCCGTTCTGCGGGAGCAGGCCCAAGAGGACCAGGCGGCTGCCGCGGCCGCCTCGGAATCTGGTGATGCTACAGCGAAGCCAAACGGTAACCCAGTGACCCAGGTGCATAGTGCATCTCAGGTGCCAACCGATGATCCCAACCGTGGCCCTCCTCTCAGCAAGATACTGACCGCACCCAACATGCCCACTCACACCGAAGTCCCTGAGCCTACCGTGTCTTCGCCAGGACCCGCTCAGGTGCCGCTGCCACCGATCCCCGATTCACCAGCTCCTATTCTGAGCCCAAAGAAAAGTGACGTCCAGGCACGGAAGGAGAGGGCACGCGAAGAGAAACGTGAGGAGAAGGCTCGCAAGGCTGAAGAGAGGGAGAAAGAAAAGGAGAAAGAGCGGAATGACAAGCTCCGCCGCAAAGAATGGGAGATGCAGCAGCGGCGTGAAGCTTCAGAGCTCAAGTTAGCTCTCGAGCTGAGCAAAGCCGACGCACCAGAGGTTGCCGCAGAGAACGGATCGCCGAGGAAGTCATCCAGCTTTGGCTTCCTCAAACGCAGCAGTCGCAGTTTCAGTCACCGGCTAGCAAAGGATAAAGAACCACGCACGTCCACCTCGGAGCTGAAGATTGGCCCGGTCCAGGAAGCAGCACCAGTGAAAGAAGAGCTTGAGCCGATTGCTGACCAGCCGCCGGTGCTCCCGTCTGTGTTGCCACCTCCTGTGCCTCCCAAGGATAACGCGCCGCCCCTCTCCGTCTCCAAGAATGGCTCTCGGCCGGAACCCACCATGACCAAAGAAGTCAATAATGGTAATGGCAGCCACAACCACGAGAAGCACCCCCCGCGCTGGAGGTCATTCAGTTTCAAGAAATCCTGAAAGCCATATAATCTACCTACTATTTGGGAGCTTTTTCTTTCTGTCTGTTTTGCCAGCTTCCCAATTTCTCGAAGATACCCCTATCGGAACGAACCCTGCACATACTATGCGCAACTTTGCTTCTTGCACATATCTACACCGACGTGACGTGATTGATAGCTTGCGTCTTGATATGATATGATATGATAGGGACGGGAATTGTCTCTCCTGTCCGGCGCAAAAAGAGGCGTTTTCTGGGATTTGTTGCAATCTTTCCATCTCTTCCCTATCTATGTCGGCTGAATGGGAGATGGAGCTACTCAGGTGTACATTGGACTTTCTTTTTTAATTCTGTGTTCTATCAGCGAAACATTGTCCTCCACGCTTTGCATGCTTGTGCTTTTCTGGAGTGTGTTCTTTCTGGAAAATTAGCTTGGACAAATATTGATATCCGAGTTTGCTCTGCTTCTGACTTTAGTTTCGTGTCGATGTAGTAGCCGTACGATGTATGATATGTCAACAGAGATAGTTGACTACGTACTACGATCTCTTGCTCCGTATTAGATCAGTCCGTTTTTACTGCACCGCATTGCTTTCTTTCTGTGGGTATATATACAATGGGAATGAAAAGCGCCAGACTCAAAAAGAGGCCACCGAGAAAGAAACATCAGGTACCAGGATAGGATAGCTAGCCACTTTCCACACACAAGATCCAATAAATTAGCAACACCCACATGCAGACAAACATCATTCCGCGCACTGAACTTGAACGTGAACTTGTTTACCTCTAGTTTTGAACCTCTCCCGGCATGCTCCTTTCTCGTGTACATCATTACCGCGTGTCGTGTGATAGAATAGGGGCATTGATTGTAGGTGTATGTGTGGAGATGACTGTCTGCACACGTAAACGGGGGAAGGTAGTGGCAGCCGCTGAAGCGAGGAGGAAAGAAAGACAGCAATGTCTGACGCGAGATATGCGATAGTTGGAGGTCATTCTGTTTGAGATTCTGTTTGTGGTTGGGGCTCTGCTGAATGGGAGGAAAAGATCCGGATAGGTGCGTAGATAGGGCTGAAGATGAAGATGACGATAAAGAGAAGAGGAAAGGCGGGTTTTATCCGAGGATTAGCTCGTATGCGATTATCACGGTGTTGATGACGATAAGGGGTACTGGATGATAGATAATGTGGTTAGCATGCTATTGTTGGGAAGAGGTCCTTGCTGCTGCCTGGTTGTTTCTGTCCGGGACGGACACTTGGGGTCCCCTGCGTGCTTGCTGCAGACTTTGTGGATTTGAGGAGCGAAGAAAAGGAGGAGAGACTCACTTCGCATCACTGTGCGCACACTGGCGATCAGATTGACGGACTTGGCCTTGACGCTCGTGTTGTCGTAGGACGCGCCGAAGCCCGGCTCAGCAGCCTGTGTGCGGCCCCATCCGACTGCAATGTGTATGTTAGATATGTCTTCTTGAAAAATTATCGTTCCAAGGCGTAGAGGGGTTTGGTGGCAGGAGAGGCAGTGGGTGAAGGGGGGAAGGTGGACGTACTGCGGGCAAGGAAGCGATCCTCGGAGAGGACGGCGATGGCGTTGATGATGAGGATGGTGACTAGGATCGAGTTAGCGATGAGCAGGGAGCACGTAGAAAGAATACACACCGTAGACAAGCTTGCCCAGCCCGAAGAGAAACATGGTTGGTGGTTGGAGGGGAGTAGTGAAGGGGCGAAGAAGTTGTTGGTCAGTGACGGAGATGCAGAGGTGAAAGCCACCTCGCCCGCAACCCACTACATACAAACAACTACAAACATCAATGGCAGTCAGTCAGTCCACCCCCGTCCATATGATATATCCACAACACAGCAAATACTAAATTATTGAGCAGTCAAGGCATTTGTCGTGTTTTCAACACTCATATCGCTTCATCTCCTAGTGGCGCCTTACACCAAGGTCGAGGAGAGCTTCCACATCCAGGCTGTGCATGACATCTTTATCAACGGCCTACCTAGCTTCCCAGGCTTCGGTGGTGCCAACAACACTAGCATCGCTAAAGATGCCTATGATCATTTTCAATTCCCCGGCGCCGTGCCCCGAACAGCCATTGGCGCTGCTGTGCTCGCCAAGCTGCTCAGCGTCCTGCCCGAGGGCTGGGTGGTGAACGGGGCGGACCAGCAATTCCTGGGTATGTATTTCCTAAATGGAACATCACAGATAAACCTAACAAACACGCCACAGCTCGATTAATTCTGGGCTTATTCAATGCCTTGTCCCTGACTGTGTACACCCACGGCCTACAGCGCAGCTTCGGCCGCGTCGTCGCGACCTGGTACACGGTCCTACAAGCCAGCCAGTTCCATCTCATCTTCTACGCCTCACGGCCCTTGTCGAACACATTCGCCTTCGGATTAACCACGCTAGCCTTGCGCTTCCTCCTCCCCAGCGCAGGAGGCTCTGCGCCCCCGCCGCGCTCCTCGTCCCGTCTGGCGCTGTTCCTTCTCACCGTCGCAGGGGTGATCTTCCGCTCCGAGCTAGCTCTCCTCGTCGCCGCGCAAACAGTCTTCATGCTCCTAACGGACCAGATTAGTCTCATCCCCGACGCTATCCCCGCTGGCCTGGCCGGGTTACTCGTCGGCGTGGGCGCATCAGTGGCAGTCGACTCAGCATTCTGGCAACGTCTCGTCTGGCCGGAACTCAATGCGTTCTTGTTCAATGTGGTCTCAGGCCAGTCATCAAAATGGGGCACGCAGCCATTCTACTTCTACTTCTTCGCCCTCATGCGCCTCCTCCTCAACCCGCTGACCTACCTACTCTCCATCCCCGTCTCCCTACGCCAGCCCGCAACTAAGCGCTCCGCAGCGGCCCTTCTCGTGCCCTCGCTAGTCTTTGTCGCGCTGTACAGCGCCCAACCGCACAAGGAGTGGCGCTTTATCGTCTACGCTGTGCCTCCGCTAACGGCCTCCGCGGCCCTGGGCGCTGCATATCTGTGGAATCACCAGGCGCGCTCGTGGTTCAATCGCATCGCTGCATGGGCCATGGTAGCTGCTACGGTAGCGTCGTTCTGCACGTCGACGTTCGTACTCCTCCCCGCCTCCGCGGTGAACTATCCAGGCGGATATGCGCTACGTCTCCTCCATGAATCTCAGGAGAACTCTACTTCACCCAACAACGCAACCGTCTACCTAGGCAACCTCGCCTGCCAAACAGGTGCAACGCGCTTCCTCCAGCGCCCTGACTGGATCTACGACAAAACAGAAGACTCAGCCGCCAAGTCCACCCCCGCCTTCTGGGAGACCTTCGACTACATCCTCGTCGAAGCAAGCAGCGACGAATCCTACCGCGACGCAGACGAGACGCTCCTGCGCGCTGCGCTCCCATCTGCGCAGTGGGCCACTGTCGCTGTTGCGGAGGGGTTCGCTGGCGTTGAGCTTCTAAGGCCGGAGGACCTTGCTAAGGGTGCGGTGGAGGGGAGAGTGCTCCGTGATCTGATGGGGGAATCGGCTGTCGCGTTTTACGAGATTTTGCGGGAAATGGCTAGGACGATGGTTTTGTGGGGGTGGTGGGTTGAGTTGAAGGTGAGGCCGAGGGTTAAGGTGTTGATGCGGGTGAGATAGATATAGATAGAGGTTGGGAATGGGAGTAGTGTAAATATGTATTCATTCATGCAATGTGTTTGCTATTCGTGCTTGTGTACACTACAAGCCGGCTTCAGATAAACCATGAGCGCGACGTTATTATTGATCGGAGCCTCCTCAGTCGCGTTCGCTCAAAAGCTCTGGCGTTTACAAGCTCTTTCGAATGGCTCTGCCGCTGGACGCCTTATTTATCTTTATACCCTCGCTTACTGTTAGCCGTCGCCCCGTTAGGGCGCCCAGTGCGTACTGACGCGCAGCCGGATATATCCAGTGGCATATCGGTCCACCGTGCCATTGTTCTCGTGTGCAGTAGTGCTGATTATCCCGAAACCATTTCCCGAATCAGCTAGTTTTACGTATTTACAGGTCAGCAAGCCAACTCCGTCTTTTTATTTAACGCACCTTCTCCCCGTCACCAGCGATACCTATCTTTATGCTACTCAATTTCATACCTCGCTGTTAGACTCCCTCGTCGTCGCTCTAAGAAGATGCAATCCTCACCGTCACTGATCGAGCTCGCCAAGAGCATTTTGGAAGATGCTCAAACAATAGATAGTTTCATATCTTCGCATAACCTTCCCCAGCCCTCTTTTGCCGCGGACGGCGTCAAAGACTTTCCTGTGGGCACCGAGCATGCCGATATCCATGCCATCCGGCACCGGCTTATTGATGCAACAAAAGAGCTGCGGGACCTTATTATCGGTCCTAAGGATACTATCAAATGGATGATCATGAATGTCAGTAATCTGAACCCAGTGAACCACGATGATTTAAATCCCTGGCTCTGTTCTGTCACTTCTCTAGTGGAATGATCGAAATAAATCCTCATTCAATGGTTTCCATTAACGCTCCGTTGGCAGGACCACACCCTCGCAGCCAGCCTGCACGCCATTTCCCACTTCAAGATCGCCCAGGCTGTTCCAAAGGAGGGATTGATCTCTTTCGCCGAACTTGCCCGAGCTACCGGTATCGCCGAACTAGACGTTGCCCGCTTCGTCCGCCGCACAGCCATCAACCATATCTTCGTTGAGCCGACCCCAGGTCACGTCGCGCACACGGCCACCTCGGCCCTTCTATCTGCGGACCCCCAGATGCAGGCCCTAGTTGCTCATATGTCCGAAGAGGCCTTTCCCGCGTCAGCTAAGATCGTAGACGCGCTAGAGATATCTACTGGCCGCGGAGAACCGCGCGAGAGTCCCTTTGCATTGGCCTTCGGGGCAAGCTTTTTTGAACGGAAGGTGGAGCAGCCAGAAACGATGCAACGGTTTGGGCTTGCGATGAGCAGCTGGAGCGAAGGGGACGGGACCAGTCAGATGCGCGATTGCTACGACTGGGCCTCTCTGCCTGCGGGGGGTAAGGTTGTGGATATCGGCGGCGCGATGGGCCATATATCGCTCGGCATCGCAGAGAAATTCGAGAGCTTGGAGTTCGTTGTTGAGGACCTGCCACCAGTGGAGGAGCAGGCGCGTCATCTAGTATCCTCGTGTCCAGAGACAATCTCAAATAGGGTGAAATTCTTGCCTCACGATTTTTTCCAGCCACAACCAGCAGAGGCCCGGGCAGCAGATGCCTACATTATGCGGTATATCCTCCACGACTGGTCCGATACTTACGCCAAGAAGATTCTCAAGAATGTCTTCGAGGCGATGAGGGAGGATAGCAGACTGATCATAGCCGATGCGGTGATGCCGCCGGCGGGAGTGATACCTAAGTGTCAGGAGGAAGTCCTCCGGAGTTTTGACATCGTGAGTAACAATGGATCTGAATCACATATTGGACTTTAATGCATCAATGGCTGATTACCGTCTCAGAGCATGCTTGCGCAATTGAACTCCCAGGAACGGACACTGGAGATGTGGAAGGAATTGATTGCGGAGTCCGGTGGCGGACGATGGACTATCACTGATATTGTTAACCCACCGAAGGGCGAATCTATTACAATTCTTGAGGTCAAGTCAGCCTGAAGACTTCAGACAGGGGCAGCGATCGAGAAGACGGAATAGTGTGTTGGGCTATAGTCGTCTCTCCCTTCCACACGGCGCTCTACCTCTTCTCGTGCCTGTTTCTCTTCTTTCCCAGCTTTAGTTGTTCCTCAAGCTAACGCCGTAATTCAACGATTGTTTCCTCCATCCCTGTGAGAACAGAGTATTTCAGTAGATAATCGAGGGACTCAAAATGATTCCCACAAGGTAGGTATTATACCACCACTGTTTGTGTCAGGGAACAAACCGTCGCAAAAGACGAGATGCGGGACTGCGCATCTAATTTGTTGATCTCGAGCCCTGATTACTCATTGGATTACTCTCTTTATGCCTAAGGCATCATTAAGTTCGGGCCCCCGAGGCGTTTCGTGCTGAGATTCGGAGGCACGCTCATCGTCTTGACAGAGGATTACACTAGTAATCTTCTTGTGCGTTGAAGAGTTAAAATATTTCAACGTCTTTAAGCATGAACGCTGAGTCTCCGCCAGATCTGAGTGACCTTCCCCCGCCTCGGACACCAGTTCAACTTCTAGAGGAAATGTGTAATGTACACTACAGACATCCACGTCTCCAGCTTTCAGACATGGCTAGAATTTAACCTCTCCTGCCCTTACGGGACATCTGTCCGCATACGTGAATTCCATTCGATGATGGTCGAAGCAATTAAGCGGGACGATACCGACCTTATAATGGAGTTTCTTGGTTATGGTTTGCCGATTTCTCGTCTCTATCTAGAGGAAGCAATCAAATCGAAGGCGAAGGATACCCTTGAAGCTTTCTTCATAAACGGATGGAATATCAATCAGCCGACTGGTGATCTTTCAACCCCCGATTCTCGTGTAAGTTCGAAGAAGCTTAACACCGGAAATAAAAATTGATAATGATCTGGGCTAGTCATGCGATTCAGGACGAAGAGATGACGACCTGGCTCCTCGACCGCGGAGCAGACCCAAATGGACAATGTAAAGTCGACGACACTCCGCTATCCTATGCTGTCCACGCGGGCCCTATTTCGATTATCAAACTGATGTTTGACCGTGGAGGCGACATTCACAGAGGCCAGCTTCTTCATCGTGCAATTTATCGAGAAAACGATGTTATTGAGGTTTTGACTATGCTCCTCCAGAAAGGTGCTCCTTTGAACGCAATAATGTACCAGGACCATGAGTTTTCTCAGGTAATTCTCGATTGCCTAGGCCCTGGAACCGCTTTACATAGAGCTGCAGAACTGGGAAAAGTGGATGTTGTTCGCTACTTGCTTAGCTGCGGAGCAGACACTACTGTTCTCGATACAAAGGGTCGTACTGCTCTGGAGCGTGCAGAAAGCCAGAATCAGGCGGAAGTTGTCGAGATGCTGAAAGCTGCAGCAAACTAACATATTATGTTTAATGAATTGATTACATTCGGTGACTCCCAGCATTGCTGGGGAACGGCTGATCATGATTCTCCTTGATGTTTTTTGAGGCAATGAAATGGCGTGTCCAAGTGGAGGTGCTCCAAGGAAGGTCAAAATTAACCACCTCAACAGACCATTCCACCCCAAGGATGGCTTGATCAAATTTCACCACACATTACATAGATCACAAAAGCCCTATTTCACCACCCAAAAAATGACCCCCTTTGAATTTGAGTCCCGAGCCTGGTCGCACGAATACAAACTGACGCGGAATCAAGGATCAGAGTAGAGCACCATATTATGGTCCAGAATGAGATGCGGGACGGACAGCAACATGGCTTAGCATTTAGTTTGTGAGGGCTGATAGTTAATTTTGAGAATCCATGCGAATATATGACAAGACAGATCAGAAAAGTAGCCAGGATGTTTCAGACAAGTTACAGGAGTATTGGGATTCCATACTGTAGGATTTCCACGGGTACTGTATGACCCAACATTGGCCCGAAGTTGACCTGCAAGGCCCTTCCCCGACCCGATACCCTTGCAAGGCCCCCCACCTAATCCCTGTTAAAGAAAACCCCGACCCGAGCACGACCATAAAACCCCAGGCGCTGCTAGGAGCGGAGCCTCCTAGTAGAAAGAAGAAACCAGGGAGAACTTGTGATCACCCCGTCGCTTCGCTCCGCCCTTCTTCTCGTTCTAGCTCTCTTAAACTTGGCCTCATTGTCTTCGGACTTCTTCACCATGGCCGCAGTATACGAGCGACACATGTCGCGCAATGACCAGGAGTTGGCCCGGTTCGTCTAAGTACTGCACCCCATGCATACTCTATCTGATGTCTATCCATTTAGGCTGAACGGACAGTTCAATCTTCTTACCGAGTAAGGCAATATGCCTTTTTTTTCCCCTCCAAAATCTCTACTCATGCTATGCAGGAATCTGGGCTACCATATTCATCCAACTATTGCAGCTCGCCTTCCTGAAAATGCCCGAATTGCCGATATCGGGACAGGAACCGCTAATTTCCTTTTCAAAATTGCCCCCTCCTATCCTATGAGCACGCTGCATGGTTACGACATCTCCCCTTCCTTTTTCCCATCTGAAACACCAAGCAATATGAAGTTGTCGATCCTCGATGCGCGCCAGCCTGTCCCCAAGGAGCTCGAAGGGACATACGACCTGGTCCATGTTCGCTTAATCACTATGGGGCTCTTGGAGTCGGATTGGGGACCTGTAGTTGCCAATCTGAGTCGCTTGCTCAAGCCAGGCGGAGCCTTGCAATGGGAAGAATGTAACTTCCTGGCTGCGACACAGCACGGCTTCTATCCGGAATCGACGTTTGGGGCTGTGCATACTATCGAAAAATTGCTCCTCGATACATTCGCCTCTTACTTCAGGGTAGGGTATAAAACCTTGCCGGACGAAATGAAAGCGGCTGGGTTGACCGAGATTGGAATGGAAATCGTGGGATCTGATCGTGTCAAAAGCACTTTGGGGCCTTATACGGCGAACAGCATGTGCGTATGTTTCCAGTGGGCACGATCAGGCAAAGATCCAATTCCATTTAGTAAGGAGGAGTTGGATCAACTCGAGGCCCAGGCGTTTCGAGATATCGCCTCTGGAGGGTATGTGCGATTTGATATCCATGTGAATTGGGGATTCCGGCCACTGTAAACGCCCATACGGCTTCTGTTAGCAGGAAGCCTTTCCTATTTTCCTAGTCTACTGCTTGTATGACACAGTATGGATATGATTTCAGCGCCATTAAGATGAGGGGAGATGCTGAATACAGTTGCAAAGATGGTAACGGATATGGCTGACGATCATACCAAACACATAATCCCCCGCAATGTGGACGCTCTCTCTCTCTGCTGTGCGTATACTCTCCAAGTAGCAAGGAAGCATGTCAAGAATTGAGGCTCTCAACTTGGATGTCAGGAGACCCCCGGCCTGGAACCACTGTTGGCATTGGATAGGGCTTTTGCGTCACTATGGAGGTCGACTAAAGGGTAGCGGGATCTAGTTATTTTTAGATGTGATTTTTAGCAGCTCCGCTTTAGCCTTTAGCTTACCAATTTTAGTACTGGCCGCATTCTTTACAGACCTATATAGCTCCTTGGCTCCTATAGTAACCTCTGTACGACAAACTGCATACTCAAGCACTTCAACCCGAGAGATAATGACAGACGCAAACAGGGTATTGTATTATGTATCATAGAGAGGCAAAAAAGATATGTCCAGACAAAGCATGTAGAAGCAAATCAAATCTACATCCCACCCAACTTCGCAAGCCGCTTCTCCAAATCCCTCACCCAAGGCTCAACCGTCTCGACATTTTCCTTTAGGGCCACCTCACCCTGCGCCATCTTCTCTTCAACAGCAACTAACCCCTCACGCCACTGCCTAATCTCTTCATCCATCTCAGCTTGTCGCTTCTCCAGCGCATCCAGCTCACCAGCCGCCTGCGCCGCGCCGGCATGGCACGCGCGTAGAGAGCGCAGACGCTCCAGGACACTGGGGAGTAAGGGGTGCAGAGACTGGATGGTCGGGAGGGTAGCGTAGAGAGCGTTGATCTTGGCTGCGTGCTCGTCGTCGACAGGGCCAAAGGCCGAGGCAGAAGCGGGGTCAAGACCGTCTTCCGAGGTGGACGAGGCGATCCGAGCGGCTTGAGCTGCTTTCGCGGAGTCGATCGCGCGGCGGCGCGCGGAAGCGAGCGCCTCGGCGTCTGTTGTTAGTTTGCGGACGCGGGTTGAGAGGGCTTCTAGGTGTGGCGTTGTTAGTCCCGGTACGGCGGAGGCGCCTGAGCCCGGTGGCGCTGCGCTGAGGGCTGTGGTGGAGCCTGGGTTCGTGCCGACTAGGAGGCCCGTTAGGGCGGAGAGGCGCGCGGAGAGATGCTCGAGTGCTGGCAGGACGGGTTGCAAGGCTGGCGAGGAGGTCCCGTCTGCGATGAATGGGTTCGAGGAGCTGGAGATTCCCATCGAGGACTCGATGAGGGCTAGGCGGCTGTCGAAGGCTGCGGCGTGGGAGAGTATCCCTGCAGAGGGGGGTGCGGGCGCTGGAGATGATATGGCTGCATCCCCTGGTTTTGTAGATTGTTTTGGTTGTTGTTGCGATTGTGATTGCGATTGCGAGTCGGATGCGGATGCAGAAACAGCGGGACGGGTATCAGAGGCTAGCTTTTGAGAGAGCAGCGCGGCAGCTGAATGTGAGGAGGCAAGATCACCCCGCGAAGAGGCATACAGATGGTCGAGGGCACGGCTCAGTTCGGCGACGCCATCACCAAGCTTCTCCTTCTCCTCCCCGGACTTGCCAGCAGCAGAACCCCCCTCCGCCTTCTCCGCAGCAGCGTCAGGCCGATTCTCCATCTCAATCCTAAGATCCTCAACCTCCCTCCTCAGCCTAGCCAAACTCCTCTCCACACCCTCATCCTCACTATCACTCAGATCCCCAACTTCCTCGGTGCCATCCTCGCGTCTCCGTCTCTGACGACGGCGACGGCTGTGACTCTTACTCCGGTACGCGGACCGCTTCTCGGCAATGCTATCTGAGAAATTGGCCTTGCGGGCGTCCACGGCCGCGCCCTCGAAGTGCAGACGCGCTTGGTCGGCGTTGACGCCTTCGCGGTCGATGTCGGAGGCTGCGTCACCGTTGTCGGAGTCTGTGCGGATTGTGGTTGTCTTTTTTATTGTCAGTTTTTGTTTATGGAGGGAGGCACGTAAATAGTTAAACTCACGGGGACGGTGGATGCTCCGTCCGTTAGGTCGGGGGGATCGGTTTCGTAGATATCTGGGGCGGAGTCCTGGGTGGGAATGAATTAGGAGGGAATAGTTGAAGAACTATAGAGTGCAGTCTTTGCTCACCAGATCCGGGAGCCCGGCGTATTTCTTGTTGAAGGCCATGGTGCTGTCGTTGTGTTGGAGTTACCAGATTCAGGGTTGTTGATGGATACATGTCAGGTGACTATAAGGGTCATTGCCTCAGGCCGTCAGGCAGCCGTTCCCGCAATCACAAGCCTCCGCTTGCCTCGGGAGGGGAGAACACAGGGGAAGAATGACGCACTATTTAATTCTTCCCCTGTCCGTCCCTGAAGAACTCCCGTTCGTCCTCTGCAATTGCCTCTACTAGCTGCTTCTCTCCATTCGTACCCCTACACACTACCCTGAACGAACTCCCCACCACCCCGCATTCTACATACTCCCCGCAACCAACAATGGCCGCTCCCGCCGATATCACAATCAAGAATCTCAATGGCGAGTGGGTGATGGTACGTCTAACCCCCTCCCAGTCCCTGAACTTCGCACTAACTGTGTAACAGGACGCAACCCTGTCCGACCCCGCGGACCCAATCCTCGCTCTGGTATGTCCATTCCTGTCACTCCTCTCCATATCCCCCAATACTAACACCCACCAGCAAGGAATGAGCTGGTTCCTCCGCAAAGCCCTCCCCTACGCGACTGTGACCCTACACGTACACTCGTACGCCGACCCTGATCCCGCCAAGAAAAGCGTGTACCACATCGACATCGACCAAGTGATCACGGGCGGAATCACTGGCAGCTCCGAGCACCGCGTGCTAGACTGGGAGGAGCGCGAACACGTAGACAACATCTTCGGTACACTGAAAGGGCGCTCGCGAATGCTGCGCGGCACCGAGGTTGATGGCGCCGTGCGCCCAGCCATTGAATTCCAGACCAAGGTCGGGGAGCCGGAGGCGGATGCGCGTGTGCAGAAGTTTTTGCGGGGCGAGACGCTGATTGATGGGTCTAAGGCGGATGGGTTTGTCGTTGATGATAATGGCGAGGGAGACGAGTTTGGAGAGGGCAAGGGGTTGTGGATGCAGAGCTTTGTGAAGAATGAGGAGTATAACTGGACCGGGGAGCAGATTTGGGGGTTTGAGATTGTTGATGGCGAGAGGAGGCATACGCGGCGGGTGGCTGTTGCTAAGGACGGACAGGTTGAGCTTGCGAGGTTGGTTTATACTTTCAATGCGAGAAGGGTGGAAGGAGAGGAGAAGGGTGAGGAGGAGCTCGAGGTTGAGTACTAAGATGGTGGAGGGAGGATGATGGGTTGTTATTAGCTTAGCTATCTTTTAGTTGCGATTTGCTGGTCTCTTGCTCAATGATGAGACGAATGTAGATCATACTATTATGCCTTGGTGCGTAGGATATGTTGATGTAATTGCTAGATGTAGGCGACTAGACTATAGAATCAAGTATGGATTGATCTCAAGAGAGCATATATACACACAGCGCAATGGACATCTCGGTCCAGGCAAAGGAAAATCATTCTTTTGGATGATAATTTCAGAACAAGACAAATCATCATGGACAAACATTGCTTCCCACTCTACGAGTGAGTCGGCATCACCACGCTCGCCTTGGTGCTGGTCGCATCCTCACTGCGCCAGTGGCTGGTCACCGTCTTCTGCTGGGTATAGAACTGCAGACCAGGTTTGCCGTAGAAGGTATTCGCACCGCCACCGGCAATACTCTTCTTGTTACCAGTGAAGGAAAACATTGGCAGCGGCACAGGGATGGGTACGTTAATACCCAGCTGGCCAGCCTCGATATCCTTCTGGAAGCGCGAAGCAGTCGGGCCCGAGCGCGTGAAGATAGCAGCGCCATTGCCGTACTCGTTCGAGTTGATCAGGTTGATGGCGTCGTCGAGGGTGGGCGCATTGACGCAGACGAGGACGGGGCCGAAGATCTCTTCGCGGTAGCACCTCATGTCTGGTGTGACGTTGGTGATGATTGTGGGACCGACGAAGTTGCCGTTGGGGTAGTTCTTCGGCTTGTAGCCACGGCCGTCGAGGAGAATGGTGGCGCCCTCCGCCTCAGCGCTGGCAATCAGATCCTCGATGCGCTTCTTACTTTCCGGGCTGATGACAGGACCCAGGTCTGCGCCTTCTTCGAAGCCACCGTTGACGTTGAGGGCTTTGGCCCGCTCAGCGATGTCAGGTAGCCACTCCTTTGTCTCGCCGACCATGACCACCGTGCTGAGAGCCATGCAGCGCTGGCCGGCAGCACCGAACGCAGCGCCGACAATGGCGTTGAGCGTATGGTTCTTGTTGCAGTCGGGCAGGACAGCGGCGTGGTTCTTAGCGCCCAGGTTAGCCTGCACGCGCTTACCGTTCGCAGAGCCACGGGTGTAGATGTACTCGCCGGCCCGGTTGCTGCCGACGAAGCTGATAGCCTTGATGGCGGGTGCGTCGAGAATGAAATCTACAGTCTTCGCGGACCCGTGGACGATATTGATGACACCCGGAGGGAATCCGGCTTCCTTGGCCAGTTCGGCTAGGATCATTGCCGCGCCGGGATCCCGCTCAGATGGCTTGAGGACTAGGCAGTTACCAGTCACCGTTGCGATGGGGATGCACCACAGGGGAATCATGGCAGGGAAGTCTGAATCATCAATCAGTACTTTTTTTCATTCTCACACAAGATATTCGCGGGCAACTTACTGAACGGGCAGATAGCGGCCACAACACCGAGCGGCTCTCGGTAGCTGCGCGTCTCCATATCCTTAGCCACCTCCAACACCTCTCCGGTCATCTGAGTAGGGATACCGCAAGCGGTCTCAGCAACCTGGAGACCACGCAGGACATCGCCCCTGGCATCGGCAAACGTCTTGCCCTGCTCGAGGGTAATAGAGGAAGCAAGACGGTCCCAGTTGGCACGGATCAAGCTGACAAACTTGAACATGATCTGCTGCCTAGCCATGATGGAAGTAGCCCGCCAGGCGGGGAAGGCCTTCTCGGCTGAGCGGACAGCCGCCTGCAGTTCCTCATCGGTGCTCTGGGGCACACGCGTGACGAGGTTGTTGGTGGCTGGGTCGTGAAGGTCGATCCAGGTCGACGCCTTGGAGGGCACAAACTCGTTGTCGAGGAAGTTGGCTGTGTCAATAGGGTTGGCGATCGGCTGGTGGTCCGTCGGGTATTCGGTTGCGGTTGTGGCAGCCGAAGTAGTTCCGCCGTTGAGCTGCCGGGCTGTAGCGTGGAGTCGTCGAGTAGCCGTCAGCGAGGCAGGAGAGGAACCGGTGCGTGCAGCCATGTTTGCTATGGCTGGAGTGGTAGACTTGGTGGTGGTGGTGGTGAGAGAGCGGGCAGATACGGGGGTGCGGGGAGTGGCGGCGCGGAGAGCGGGGAGGGCACGAGCCAGGGACCGACGGGCGGCCATTGTGAGAAGAGATGGGAAGGATGAAACAATCAGGTAGGGCGAGATAGAAAAGGGGAGAGAGAGAAGAAGAAGTGGCGAAGGGAGAGACTATAAGCTGTAGTGGAACACCCTTCGAACGGGATTTACCCCAGGGCCGACAATAACCACAGGACATCAATGTTCCCCATGATTACATAACTATCGGGGCTGGTCGATAAGGACTCGGCGAGAACAGCCAATCAGGGAGCCCACCGTGGCCGAGACAGGAACATGAGGAAGTAAACACAGATCAATGACGGGGAGGCAGGACTTTCCGAATGGACCGCGGCGTATTTAGCTCGACTGGTACGGCTGGGCACGATCCATGATTAGTCTACAATGGGAGAGGGACTGGCCGACCCACATCGGACAGGTGGCCGAGAATGATTGTGGTGAATACTGGCACTGGGGAATGCAACTCAAATTCACGCCTGGAACTAGATACTACTACATCCCGAAAGAAACATCATCAACATGGAACAGCAATCGCTGTGTGCGGTTTTATTGGGTAATTCATCTTTTTTCCCTTGCTCCCCCTAGAACGAACAACCCTTTACTCGGCAGACGACCGCGTGGAGCGCTTGGTCGCACCGCCCTTGCCAGTGTCGGCAGAGGAGCTGGTGGCCTCAGCCTTCTCCTTGCCGCCGGCCTGCTTGTCCTTCTTGGCCGGGGCCGGAGCCGGGCTGCTGGCGCCGATGGCGCTCACGATGATGAAGACCATGGTCGCCAGGATGGCAATCAGGCCGCCGGCCACCTCGGGCACGGCCTTGACGGCCTCGACGGGGTTCTCCTTAGCCAGGATCACGAACTGGTCGACCTTCTGGAGAACGAAGTTGACGGGGTCCTCCTTGAAGCTGACGCTGGGGCCCTGCGCCTCGGGGGTCTCGGGCTTGGGCCGAGTGGCCTCCTCCTCAGCCTCCTCGATGGGGAACTTGACGTCGAAGGTCTCCTTGCGGAGCTTCTCGGCGTCCTCGACGGAGTGGCCCACGTAGATGTTGTCGAACAGGATGTCGTTCTGCATGGTCCAGATCTCAAAGCCAATGGCGCCCATGGGCTCGAAGTTGGCCGGGGTCTTGTCCTCAAAGTAGGCGGGGTTGGGGATCTTGCGCGGCGCCCAGACACCCTTGTAGGCCGGGTTCTCGATCAGAGGCGCGGACCACTTGCCCTTGTACTCGGGGTTCTTGATCATGGGGGGAGTCCACTTGCCGCAGCCAGAGACCTCGCTGCACTTGGGGTTGGGGACGGTGGGCGGGATCCAGTCGCCATCCTCCTCCTCATCCCAGTCCTCGGGCTTCTCGGCCTCGGGGTCGGGGATGCTGGTGGGCTCGTCCACCAGCCAGTCCTCGGGCATGGTGGCCTCCTCATCGACAATCTCGAAGGGAGCCTCCTCGTCCCAGTCCTCGGGCTTGGTCGCCTCTGGGTCAGGGATCTGGGCCTCATCAACCCAGTCGGCGGGCTTCTTGTCCTTAGGGTCATCAATCTCCTTCTCCGGGTTGACTGGGGGGTGAAGTGCTCGAGGAGGTTACCCTCGGAGACGGACTCCCCGTTGACCAGGATCTCAAAGGTCTGGTCGGGCCTGACGATCAGGGTGTACAGGGAGGTGACCTTGGAGGTGCGGGCGACGGGAGGGGTCTTCAGGTGCTTCTCCTCGTACTCGCCGGTCTTGGGGTTCTTGTGACGGAAGATGAAGTGGACCTTGTTGGTGGCACCGCACTTGTCGGGACCGAACATGATCACGTAGGGAGTAGCGTTGGAGAACTCCTCCTGGTGGAGCTTCTTGTTCTCCTGGAGGAGCTTCAGGTAGGCGCCACCGCAGACCAGGGAGTCTGTAAATTACCGGTTAACCGACGGGCCAATTGTGTGTATGGGGGAATGTGCGCGACTTACTCTGCGGCTTGACCTCGTACTGGACCACGAGGGTCTTTCCCTTGTTGTCAATCTTCTTGGGGAACTTGGCGGAGATGGCGTGATGGGCAGCGGCGTTCTTGACGACCAGGCCCTTGTCACCCTCCATTCCCTTCAGGACGGTCGGCTCCTCGACGGCCCACTCGCCGACGTAGGCCCAGTCCTCATCCGACTTGGGGTCATCCTTCTTGGCGTTGGAGGCCTTCCACCGGGACTCCCAGCCCTCGGTGAACTGCTCGAGGAAGGGGGCCTTGAGGGTAGTCGGCTGGGGAGAGTGAGTGGTTGACTCGTGGGGGATGCCATTGGAGGTCGGGGGAGTCACTTACGGTGAAGGTGGGCTTGTCAATAATATCATTGGTAGCATCTGGGGCAGCCTCCTCTTCGGCACAGGCATAGCCCATGAGGGTAGCCGAGGAGACCAGCGCCGATGTGAGCGCGGTGGAGAAGCGCATGGTGAAATGAATGGAGTGAGGAAACAAGGGGAAGAAATGGGAAGCGCACAGCACCTGGGGGAGAGACGAAGTGACAGCGTGAAGGAAAGCGGAGAAGCGGAGGTTATATACTCGCGCGAACAGTGAGGTGGCCTCTTTGGCTGCACGCCCAATCAGGTTAGTGCGCCCTGGCGGCCTTCGATCTACTTCTACCGGGTATAGTTACACTCACTACGACCCTACAGGGGGCAGAAGAATAATCAGAATAGTATTCCCGGTTCAATCAATTGATGTAATTGTCCTTGTTTTCATTCGATTCCATCCGCGTTTATTATGTTGTTTCTCTGCTGGACCACTGTTCCCGCTCGGCGGTCACACCACACCTTCCTCGTCGCAACACCTCCCCACCAGCGGGTCTGGTTTAGATTACCATCTCCCCTCGCACCATGTCCGACACCACCAACAATGACCATCTGGTCCAGTCCGCCGACCCGGAGCACCCGGCCAACCTGATCCCTGACCTCTGTCGCAAGTTCTACAATTGGGGCTGGGTCACCGGCACCGGTGGGGGCGTAAGTACCGATTTTGCAGAGCCAGCGCCAACCAAGGGGCCGTGAGCGCTAATCATGATCATGACGAATATCAGACCTCCATCCGCCAGGGTGACCACATCTTTATCGCCCCCTCCGGGGTACAGAAGGAACTGATCCAGCCGCACAACATCTTCGTCCTCCAGTGGCCCACCAAGAAGTACCCAGCCACCGAGCGCAACTACATCCGCAAACCGCTCAAGCTCAACCCCTCGGCCTGCACGCCGCTGTTCCTCACGGCCTTTGAACAGGGTGCCGGCTGCTGCATCCACACGCACTCGCAATGGGCCGTCCTGGTGACGCTGCTGGTGGAGCGGGAGAAGGGTCCCGATGCCTGCTTTGAGATTAGCAGCATCGAGCAGATCAAGGGGATTCCGCGCGGCAAGGGGAAGGGCATGCTGGGCTTCTTTGATACGCTGCGGATTCCCATTATCGAGAACACGGCCTTCGAGGAGGACCTGACCGCTGGCCTGGAGGCCGCCATGAACAAGTACCCGGATACCTATGCGGTGCTGGTTCGTCGACATGGAATGTAAGTGCTGGCTGTTGGTTAATATGTTCTGTTCCCTCTAATTGTGCTTTGCAGTTATGTCTGGGGAGACAATGTCGCCAAGGCCAAGACCCAGTGTGAGAGTCTGGACTATCTGTTCCAGCTGGCGGTGGAAATGCACAAGCTGGGCCTTCCCTGGGTGAAATAGATATGATATCCAGCTTATGAGCATTATGTGTAGATGAATATGACAGAGTTCGGTATACCGTCTAAACTGACTGCGGATAAGTTGCAAACCGGTCCCAATTTGGCGTGATTTATAGTCTCCGATCTATGCCATTTGGTGAATGTGCGACACGCCACTACGGTTGTCTATTGTCTCTACAAACTTCGCTTTGCTGGGGTATACTCTAATGGGACATGAAACCGAGTTTCTTTTCTATCGTCCTCTCGGATGCTGCGAAATATCGCAGATCCCAATGGTTCCGATCCGCTTCAGTATGCCGTTGTCGCTTGTACTGGAGGAACTGCACGAGGCTGTCAATTGGAGGCATAGTCTGGGTCTACGACGAAATCCATCTTTGCACGACGGAATATTGTCAGGAATACAGGCTGGCTGTATACCATCTAGCTCGGTATACCCTACCTTTATCTGGCATCAGGTGGACGTAAGAAGGATGTGTCGTTCTGAAGCTATGGTACGGGCATAAGAATAAGACCAGGTGCCGTAGACTGCCAGGTGAGGAGGGCCTGCTTCCTAGTTATATACTTCCCCAAACAAGCAGCCTGAGCGGTCAGCATTTCTGCCATCCCCATTCCCACCCACCGCCCACTCCGCTTGACCTGCTCCAGCTCTACGAAGCCAACTCCCACCTCCCCGTCCAGCTCTTGATCGGTTCATATCATTCTCTTGATTCCCATTGACGCCCATTCTGTCTCCGTCTAACCTGCCTGCTTCCGGCAAACGCCATGGATCTCGACTCCGGTGACTCCCCATGGGGCGGTAGGCAGTCATGATACCACCTCTCTGCTCCCCAAGCTGACTCGCGTTCCAGATGAGCCCTCGCACTTCAAAAGCGACCAGGCCCCGTCGAAGCCAATGACTGAGGAGGAGGGTGTGTGATTTCCAGTCATTCCGTTTAACCCATCAACCCTTCACTAACAGCTCCTTACCCTGTAGCGACCGCCCAACTTCAGGCCGACAGCGGCCCCGCCGTTCGTTCGCCGCCCACCAGACGAGGCCCGCGAGGAACGCGCAAGATTAGTGCCCAGGCCACACGACTAGAAGCCGTCGATAACACCGTTGATCCGCTCGGCCCGCTGGGAGAACCCCCGTCCGAGACTACTCCAACCGCCGATGAAGCCCCAGCACCGCCTCAGAAGGAACCGTTCGCTGCACGCGGTACGCGCCCACTTTCGTCGCCCTCTCAAGCTTCTAGTGGGGGAATAGGAGACTCGGTCACTCTAGAAGAGGATGGTGGCGGATTCCGAGGCCCCCCGCCCGTGCAACTGCCGGTGGATGCTGAGGGCGCAAAACGGCAATCACAGCCTAGTGTCAGTGTGGAACAGGCCGCGAAGCCGACATTTGACATCAACGTGGGGGATCCGCACAAAGTGGGAGATCTAACAAGCAGTCACACCGTCTATCAAGTCCGGACAAAGGTACTGTACATTTCTTCCGTGGGGGAATGGTCAATGGCTGACAGTTTCGGGGTATGTTTAGACTACATCCAAGGCATACCGCGTGCCTGAATTCGCCGTCAGCCGGCGATACCGCGACTTCCTTTGGCTTTATAACTCTCTACACAACAGTAACCCGGGAGTGGTTGTTGCGCCTCCGCCCGAGAAGCAGGCTGTTGGCCGCTTCGATACGAATTTCGTCGAGTCCCGGAGAGCTGCGCTTGAGCGGATGCTGAACAAAATTGCGGCTCATCCGATCCTCCAACATGATGCGGATTTGAAAATCTTCTTGGAGAGTGAGGCGTTCACCGCTGATGTCAAGAACAAGGAGAACCGGGAGCCGGATATTGGTCAGAGCAAAGGCATGCTGAGCTCGTTCGGCATTTCCGTCGGGGGAGGCGGCAAGTTCGTGGAGCACGACGATGTGAGCACACTTCACCCGATCCCAACTGCCATTACTGACATCTGAATAGTGGTTCCACGACCGCAAGATCTATCTGGATGCTTTGGAGAACCAACTGAAAGGGCTGCTAAAAGCCATCGATACGGTAGTTGCGCAGCGCAAGGGTCTTGCCGACGCCGCGGGCGACTTTTCGGGTTCCCTTCACGCCTTGGCCGCGGTCGAGCTGTCTCCCGCGCTGTCCACCCCGCTAGACGGGTTGTCAGAACTGCAGCTGCGCATTCGCGAGCTATATGAGCGTCAGGCGCAGCAGGACGTTTTGACGCTCGGGATCACGATCGACGAGTACATCCGCCTGATTGGCAGCGTTAAGATGGCATTTTCACAGCGGCAAAAGGCCTTCCACAGCTGGCATGCCGCCGAGTCAGATTTACAAAAACGCAAGCACACGCAAGATAAGTTGCTGCGCCAAGGCAAGTCTCAGCAAGACCGACTGAACCAGGTTAATGCCGATGTGGCCGATGCGGAGCGCAAGGTCCACCAGACACGGCTTTTGTTTGAGGATATGGGTCGCTTGATGCGGAATGAGTTACAGAGGTTCGAGAAGGAGAAGGTAGAGGACTTTAAGTCTGGCGTGGAGACATTTCTGGAGAGTGCCGTCGAGGCTCAGAAGGAGGTAGGCTATATTTCTCATACCGAAGTACGTTCTCATGGCTAACAAACATACACTGCAGTTGATTGAACTTTGGGAGACATTCTTATTGCAACTGGACGCCGGCGAAGAGGGTCTTCCCTATTACGTCCCTCCATCGACGGCTGGCGAGAGCGGCGAGGGATCTGCCCCGGCGTCTGCTAGCGGCGAACCAGCCGCCGTGGCCGCGGAAGATGAGTCGTGATATCCGGTTGCCCAGTGCTTTCGGATCTTCTGTACAAAATACGAAGCTGGCTCCTGTTTTATTCTGCGGTGGATCCGTCTTTTCAACTATCTTTATGTCACGGTATAACTTGATGAGAGTCGAAGCGAGTTGTTGCGCCTTTATCTGTTCCACTTGATAATCTTCATCCAAATACCACTGTTGCGATTGTCGAAAAATACTCTTGCGGTGTAGAATACGTAACGAATATACAAATGATGAGAATTTATTTGATGAGACAGTATCAACCCAATTGATATAGTACAGCCAGGAACAAAAGAGAGAAAAAAAAAAGACACCTTATTTCTTCTTCCCAGACCCCGACCCAGGCCCATGCTGAGGCTCATCCTGCCCAAATGAACTAATCAAATCCAACAAGTTATCCTCCTCCTCCTGATCGGCCTGCGCCTGCGCCTTGGCTGCCCTCGCAGCCTCTTCATCCGCCTTGGCATCGGCGGCAGTCTTCTCCCCCTTTGCACCTGGAGCAGCAGAGGCAGAGGCAGGTTCTGCAGCCGGCGAACTAGCATCCCAACTGCGACCAAAGCGCGCGCGGAACGCAGCTAGTCGACCGGCCTCATCCTCTTCCACATTCATCAGCTTGCTGCTGGACGGGTTCCACAGGAGTGAGTTGCGCGTGTCGCGCGTGGAGCGGTAGACGGGTGCTGGCGAGGTGGTGCGGTGCGTGAAGGTGCTACCGTCCGAGAGGGTGATTAGTTGCGTGAAGGTGTAGGGACGCTTCGGGCGCCGGAGGAGCGTTGCGTGGCGGCATTGAGAGCAGATGAAAGTTGTTGCGGCGCCGGTGGTGGATGATGATGAGGATCCGGGGAGGCGTGGTGTTGTCGTGGTGAGCGTGACCACCGTGCGGCGGAGGGGGATGTGCATTGACATTGCTGTCTAGGTGGCGTCAACCAGGTGACGAGAGGAGTTATCGGGGGTTGGCAACGCGATTATTGCGCGGCGGAAGAGAAGACGGAGGTGTTGAAGTTTGAGCCGCTGGCCAGGAAAATTACGTAAGCCTGCCCGTTTTGAACTTCTTGCGGGATGAGAGCTCCGACTCTTCGTTGGATCCTAACTGACAGAGCTGCGATATGGATTGGCCGTGTCTGGGCAGTACTTGGGTTTGTGATCTGACTGTCTCTCTCTGTGCTATCCCCTGAGCCATCCCCTGAGCGTCTCTTGAGAGCTCTGCCCGCTTTGATCCTCGGCGGGATGAAGCTCCCACTTCCGCGAGGCGCGGTCTGGAGTGAGTTTCACAGTTAATATTGCACCGTCGGAGCTTGTACTAATCGTCTGTTCTAGCAACACAATATCTGAACTCGTGGTCTCCTACGTACCTGCGGTCTTCCATCTCCCTCCAAGCCGATGTTGATAGCCGCCAACCATGCTGCTCTCGCCGGTATACCAGCGACGCCGCAGCGTCCTTACAAGGAACTAGAACCGCACAACAAACAAAACCTCCTACTCCGAGCACCCAACACACTACGACCACTACCGCCTCCTCACCGTCATTACCTGATCAAGTCCGCCTCCTCATGCGCCGAGTCCCGTACCCCGTCGCTATCATCACGGCCACCGACCCCTCCGGCCCGCTCGACACAAGCGCATTCCGCGGAATGACCGTCTCATCCTTCAATACTGTCACTCTCACTCCGCAGCCCGTGATCTCATTCAACGTGCGGCGACCCTCAGAGACATTAAACGCCCTGCTCGCCTCGCGGCGGTTCTTGGTGCATTTACTATCCCCGGGCCCCGCGACGGCGACACTAGCCCGGGACTTTTCAAAGGGGAATACAACTCTCGCGTCCATGCTGGGTGGTCACGGGGAGTTTGAGTTTGAGGGGTTAGCTGCTGATCCCGAGATGGGGATTGAATCGGAACGACCGCTGCCCATTCTTCGGCGAAGACATGCTATAAAAACAAGTGTTGACTTCCCCTTCGTGTTTGAGTGTGCCCTCCATGCAAACCAGATCGATATTCATGATCATTCGATTGTTCTAGGGACTGTTATTCGCACGATCCAGAGCGTCGATACCGCACTGGCCTCCACCGAGGGCGATTCGGAAGACCTGCCGGACCGGCTATGTTTGACGTATGCGAACACCCGATTTTGGAAGATGGGTAGTCAGATCTGAATACCCTCTCTCCCTCTCTCTCTCTCTCTCTCTCTCTCTCTCTCTCTCTCTCTATACATATTATGCACGAGGCTGTACCATATAGACGGATAATGTCTGGCACGTTTTGGCTCGCTCTTCCCAGTTCAGTGCTCACCTTTCCCCGCCGAGTCTACATCAACACCGTCTGCTACGGGATGCACAAGGAATAATGAATTTCGCAGGAATGATTGACTGCGCTATTGTGAAACTGTCAGGGGAGCTGTCAGGCCTTTGGACGGTGACGGGATGGATGTCTGAAATAGTAAATCCCGAAGCCTGGCTGCTTAAAGCCCACTTAATTTTCTCACGTTTCTCTCTCTCCAGCTTTTCGACCGTTTCCCACGACCTGCCAGACCTTTGCCCCGAGAGATCTATTGTGGACTTAAATTACTGTAGAGATCAGGAGTCATGCGACAGTCGTACATAAGGCCCTTGTACTTTTCTGTGGGTGACATCTGACGAAGTGAGAATCCTGCCGAGTTTCCCGCAACCCCGTTGGATAGATCAACCATTGATCCCCTCTGCCCAGCTTTGAGATAGTGCTAATACGAAAGCACTTTCGCAATTTCTTTTTCTGCTATCTGTGGATTGGCATTTCTCATTCAGCTTAACGGTGCTCAACTCAAGAGGCTTGCTTCGCTAAGGGCGACGTGTAGCGCCATATCTTCCGCCAGCTCATCCGCGTACGGTGACAACAAAATGTCGATCCAGACAATATCTCTTGCAATATCAAGCATGTCGGATGGCGTTGGTATATCCATTGTGCGCATCTCTTCATGGATCTCCCGCATGTATACTCCTCTTCCGTCACGGTGCTGTAACAAAGCAACGGTGACGAGAGCCCAACTTTTCAGTTCAGAGTACCTTTTCCCCAATATTTTCACACTCTGAGACATAAATTCAGCAACTCTGGCCTGTAGTTCAACTCTCTCGCTCGCAGAAATAGCAAATAGTTCTTTCAACTTAGACATAAGCATAAGACATGCCAGCCGCACCATCTCTCTCGCAATTAGATCTTCCAGGTTAGCCATGGTCTCGAACCCAGTGGGGAGCCTCGGCATAGAGAGTAGAAAGTGAATACAGGGGCCAATCAAGCTGATTGCATCGATGTCCCTCTGCCAGAATGTTGTGGAGTGGCTATTGGTGTTGATCACATCAGCAATTGAGGAGATCATTCTTAATGCCTCGCCCGCTGGAGCAATCGTGGGCGATATAAATTGGATGAGCAAGCCTTGTAACCTAGGGGGAACCCCTCTCAAAGATCTGTTAGATGTGCCGGCAAGATTTGTTGGGAGATAAAATCGCGGACGGGAGTCGAAAATCATGGCACCAGCTAGATCGTATCTTTGTGAGGGGCAGTCAGGAATCTCTCCTAGGAAACAAGAAGAATCAGAGTGCTCACAGCAGTATGAGAAGAGACATGCGATGTCCGACGTTGGCAAATCCGCCACGTAGCTTCGCTATGAGACTTAACCCATTCATGTGGACACTCCAGCCATCCCAATCGCAGTGTCTCATCTATGAAAAAGAGGTTAGTCAAGAGCTGATAGCAGAGGTTGGAGGACATACAGCGAGACAAACATGGGCCAATATGTTAGCAATGGCCCCTTCACTAATACCCTCCTCAAAGCTATTGAGACGTCGTCTTAATAGCACAGTTGAGTCTTTATAGTGACTTAAAACCTCCGGGCTTTTGTTCGGACTATCATTGCCATTGATCTTATTCAAATAATCAGCAGCATTGCCGAGGGTCACGTGGAATGCCCCGGGGTCGCATAATGCTACTTCAATCCAAACACTCCTGAATGGCTGATAAGGGGCTGTATAAACTATTATAGAGCAAGAATCAATAGATGGAATGAGCAGGGACGCAAAGTTAAAGGTTGAAACTCTTACAAAAGTGCATAAGCTCGAGCACACGCATATCAGCCTTAACAGGGAAGTTTCCGAGCATAGCCAGGCTTCGATTGGGCGAAAAGCTTTTTACTATTGCGCCGCGGAGCTGAGAGTCTTCGTAACTACCCAACTCCGAGGAAGAAGTTGGGGTGGCTTGCGGAGTGATCTCTTTGCGTCGTGGGCGCCTCCGTCGTTGGCCTATATCCTTCATAACATGACGACGGATCTCTGTTCGAACCTCTTTTTGCTGGCGTACGTCATCTGGATGAGATAGGTTTACGAACTTGAGATCCCGAGTGGCTGAAGTTTCACCTGTCAACTTTCTTACCAGCACTCGTGATCGATCTGGGGAACAAGCGGGGATAATATGCGCCTCCTGCGTTGGCAGTACAGCACCTCTAACCTCCCAATCCATTCTGCTTATTGTCGACTTGAGTGATAGGATCAAACGGTTGGTCCAAATATCTGCAGCACGTCGCATGTGTTCACCTCACGTTCAGACACGTTGATAGCGTATTTGTCAGCAAGATGCGGCGTAGGCCGCTTGTAATCCACTCGCGTGTCTATAATTAGTTAACTACAATTCCCTTACCTACAGTAGAATGTCTATGAAGCGGGTCTGCTCATCTCCAAGCTCTCATTTCTTGATATGAGATGGAAAATATATTCAACAACCACACGACACGGGGGGAAATACTTGGTCAGAGGTACCTGATCCATCATGGAAATATCAGACTCAAGCAGATCTCCAACAACAACACTGCAATTGCAAGTCAGCCTTTGTCGAGAGAGTTTACGGTGTAGGAAATGAGCGTATGGAAGATTGGCCACAAGTCATTGTGTATACAGTATTCTCTTTCTTTGGGCTAGAGAGAAGCATAATCTTCCAATGCTCCAGCAGGTTTCTTTGGACTGAGTAGCAAGATCCATTTGAAGTAAAGTAAGTGGTATGATACATGATACCAAACCCACACACCCTCCCTCCTTCTTCTCCTTTCAAACGTAATGGTAACACTCAGTCAGACTTCAAACGAGTGTGAGAGACAGCGCTCAGCAAAAGCTAGAATCAGAGCTGCTCAATCCATTGGATGGCAGTCTCAGGCTCCAATCGGTACTGATACTCAGGATTCACAAAAAAATTGCGCACAATTCCCTTCTTGTCAACCAAAAATGTCGCAGGTACCGGAACTTCCAGGTGGTCACTGCCGTACCGCTGGTTCCAATCCACACCAAATTTGTCAAAAACAGTTCGCATAGATTCGGGCTGAGCAAACAAGAGGCCGAGCTGTTTTGCCAGCTGATTGTCAACGTCCGAAAGTACGGGAAATTTCAATGACAGTTTCTCGGACGTGGACAGCGACTGATCAGGTAGCTCCGGAGACACAGCTACCAAAGTAACACCTCTCTTGCGAAACTCATCCAGGTGGTTTTGGAGCGCCCTCAACTCAAGGTTGCAGAAAGGACACCACTCACCCCGGTAAAAAGAAACCAGGATGGGCCCTTTCGCCAGGAGCTCGTTCAGCGTCACCTTGTTGCCGGTCGCATCACTCAGCTGGAAGTTTGGAAAGGCACTCCCGGGCTGGATCGCTCTTGCAGGGTCATAGGTGTTTTTGAAACTGCCGACTGCGTCTGTTATGACGGAAGACACTTCCTTCGGGGCAGTTTCAAGAAACTGGCTGTAGGTGGAGGACAGTTCTTTGTTGAGGGCCATCTTGCTAGTCAGGCCTTTGGAGAGCAAGAGTAAAAAAGAATAGACGGAATGTAAGTCTGGCAAAGGGAAGATAGATGGATGTTGTGATAATGCAACGAACGGCATTGTCAGGAGGAGAAAGCACATATTTAAGCACTCTAGATCGACTTTACAAATTCCAAATCGAATTCGGTATTATTAATTCGAAGGCCGAACTCCGATATTATTCAAGCCCATGGAATGAACTAGACATTTTCCTACCGGACAAGGCAGAGAACCCAGTGAGGCGTAAGCGCCTCGTTGTGAGGGAGACAAGCGATGAAGAGGTATGTCCCCGATTGGGAAATAAGTGAGCATTCCAGCCTAACCTAATACGGACGTTGGTCCTGTAGCCTAGCGTGTTTTTGAGTTTAATCGCGAGATTTAAGTTTATAGTGGAGCTCCCTCTGTCTTCACCGGATGCAAGAAATCAAATCAAATGCCTCTGATAGATGAGAAATTAAATGATAATACAGTCGAGCCATGTTATTTCTGAAAAATTTCCACATAAAATTCCTTGAGATGAATACATTATTACCAAGCGATCGACGACAGAAAAGGCAGATTATAAATCAGGAAGCCAGGAAAACACCTTGGCTATCTCTCATGATAAGACGTCCCACCACAGCTCAAGAGTATAAGTAGCTATGTCAGGTCTTGATGAGTTTCGAGTTTTCAGCAGTACTACTAATTCCATCGTTGGAAACTCAGAAAATCGAAGTACTTTCATTGAAGCACCAACGTTGTCAGCTCTGGCTCCTACAAGAAATATTTCTTCTGCAATGTCACGACTGATCGTTATTCTTGGTATAACCGGTGTGCAAGTATGTTTAAAACGCTCAGTATACAACTACTTTTGAATACCTCCCCGTTTACTGACCCAAAATCTGCAGGGCAGCTCCGTCGCCGACGCCTACCTTCTAAATGCCGGTTGGAAGATTCGCGGCGTGACACGCAATCCTGAGTCTGATAGCGCAAAAGACTGGGTGTTAAAAGGTGTGGAAATAGTCAAAGGTGACCTTGATGACGTGGCGTCTTTGAAGCAAGCCTTTGTGGGCGCCGACATTATTTTCGGTGTCACCGACTTCTGGACAATCTTCAAAGACCCAGAAAGCCAGAAAAAGAAGAAGCCCAGTCAAGAGCTGGTTGAATACTGCCATGACGTCGAGTTACAGCAAGGCAAAAATATTGCCGATGCTGCGGCGACTGTCCCTTGCCTTTCCCGATACATCTTCAGCTCAATGGCCAATGCGAAGACATCCAGTAACAACAAGTTTGCCCAAATATATCACATGGACTCCAAAGCAGATGCTGCCGTTTATGCGCAGAGCCTCCCAGCCCTCGCTGGAAAGTTTTCACAGGTCCAGGCGCCCATATATTTCCAGCTCCCCTGGGAGTGGGGACTTCCTACAACCCCGAAGAAGGTAAGAATAAGATAATTGTCTTCTCTGCATCTGTTTTGAGTACTTCTAGTGGAATGGGAGCTAATTGTTCGTTGTATAGACAGCCGACGGCACCTGGCGGATGGCAGGCATCGGCCCAGGTAACAAGGGCATTCCATTCGGACACGTCCGCAAGGATCTGGGTCAATGCGTCAAGACAATTGCTGAATCTGAGCCTGGTATCAACTTGTTCGCTGTTGGAGAATACTTGTCCTGGTCCGATTACCTCCGAATCTTTTGCGAAACGCAAGGTTTAGAATACGGTGGCTATGACGAGCTTTCCTACGACAAGTTCTGCGAGCTGCTTCCCGGTGGACTTGGTCATGAATTCGCTCACAATGTACTGTTTGCATTGGAGTTTGGGTACGAGGGTATCGATCCTGCAGTAGTACGGCCTGAAACGGTATGTGGAGGTTTCACTCGAGCTCGTTGCCGCTCAGCGACATTAACGACTTTTCTATAGTTTGGTCTGAAGATGACTTCGTTCCGTGAATATTGCCAGGAGACTGATTTCTCAGCTCTGAAAGATAACAAATGAGAGGTCTAGTGGATATACACTCGGGCCACTGAAACGTACTCTGCCATATGTGATAGTATTGGATATCATAGCAGTGAACCCGGAATAACTTGCGGGTCCAATTTATCAAGCAAAGAATCATATCTGGGTTATTGAGCTTTCTCCATTTTTCTGAGATAAAAGGTGTATATATTTACGATCTATCCACGGCGCTATGCCATACCGCTCTTAGCGCCGATTCGTCAAATCCTTTCATATTCAAATTCGCAACTTGGCCCAACCAACCACAAATAAAAACTATGGAGCCCGACAACGGTCTTGTCTTCGTGAACGTAGTCCATCCCGATGAAATTCACACGAAAGACATGCAGCGAACAATCCGGAAGCGCGTCATGCGCGACATTGGTCGCTCGCGACGAAGACAGAAACGCCCCCCGGCCCTGACATTCGCCTGGCAACCGACCAGTATCTCCCCTGCTCTATGCCTAGAATCAAATCCGTTGCCCGTGGAGCTAGTCCCGCGAGCTCGCGAACTGATTCACTTCAGTATGAACCTCACCGACCCTCATCTCTCATTCAGAACTAACCGATATGCAGTGCACGCCGAAGCCGACTATCAATATCGCCCATTCCGAACAGTCTGGTTCACCATGTCTCTGCATGACCATAGCGCCTTCAGGCTGGCCATGGCCAATGCGGCTATGTTTCTGGATGAGAAGCACCACCCCAAGACCTTCCGCTACGAGCACTGCCATGAAGCGCTGAAGTACTACGGCCAGTGTGTTCGCCAGATCACAGACCGGCTTGCAGATCCAACAGACTGTACCAGCGAGGGCGTGGTCACCACAATCCTCGGACTGATCTGCCACGATGTCTGTTCTTCGCACTCGCTTTAATTATCTATCTGTCTAGGCGCTGATATTCTGGAACAGTTATACGTGGGCACATGGGACCGCTGGGCGTATCATATTCGTGGCCTGGAGCGAATATTCCGGATCCGAGGCGGGTTTCACGGTTTAAATAGGGATCTTCACCTCTTCGCTTACTGGTTCGATGTTATGGGCTCCGTTGTTCAGGATAGTCCGCCGCGTCTATCTGGATATCCTTCTCCTTCCAACATTCCAAATGCGCGACGGGATGCGCCCTTCAAAAAGATACTCAGTGAAGTATACGTGCACTCTGAGGATCTCGCGCTCGCCATCAACCGAATCGCTGCTGTGTCTGATTTTGTGAATGCCTATTATCATCGACCCCGATTCTGGAAACAGGAAGATGATCTCAGTCCTCTCAGCGTGCTGGGTCCGGCTACTCATATATTACTGTCCTTGCCACGATTCGATGACTCCGTCAATTCAAATTCTTTTGAATTCGTTCATGAAATGACACGTCTTGCTTTGCTGATCTTACTGGCGGGGCTGAAAAGAGCTTATGCATTGGCAGCAGTGGAGATGGAGTTGCTGCAGAGCAAATATTCTCGTCTGCTTCGCGGAGACGTGGCTGGTAACTCTTCATTTATATTGCCCAGTCTGCAAGTCTGGACTCTTGTGACTGCTGCAGTGCTTCAAACTCCAGGCCCAGAAAGAAGTCTCTACATCCAGGAGATCTCTCGACGTATGTCTGCCCTTCACCTCGCCGACGGCTCGGCTACAATCGACCTTAGTCGCCAGATAGTCTGGATCGAAGTTCTTGGGCAACCAGATACGGTGAATGCTTTAATATCCGAAATTGACACTGCTCACTTCACAAGAATAAAAAACGAAACACCATGACCAACTCCAACTTAACCCCCCGTGATACCACCACTAACAGAAACAACCTGCCCCGTAATCCAGCGACTCTTCTCCGACACCAAAAGCAACACCGCATCCGCAATATCAGCGGTCGTCCCAACCCGCATCTCCGCCCTCGTCATAGGGACGAGCATACTATCAATTTTCTCAGCTTGCTCTTTCGGCAAGGCACCCGTGGCAACAGGGCCCGGCGAGACAGTGTTGACAGTCACGCCATGCTCGCGACCCAGTTCCATGGCCATTGAATACGTCAGCGCGTCTAGGGCTGCCTTAGCGGACCCGTAAACGGCGACTGGCGCCATGCCCAGCTTCGAGGCGATGGAGCCGATGTTGATCACCCGCCCGCCGCGGGGCATGTGTGGGATAGCAGCTTGCAATACGAACAATGGTGCATATACTATTGCGGAGAATATGGTATCGAGGGATGTTCTCGTTGCTTGCAGGGCGCTGTGGGGTGCGCCGGCTGCGGCGTTGTTGACTGCCAGATATGGTCAGTTCGCTTCACTATACAACAAATATCTCTTCCGGAAGCCAGAGTGACCTTATAAAGGACATTCAAAGAGCCCCGAGAGGAAATAGGATGGAGGGTTATGGGTTCACCCACCAACAATATCAACATGATCCACCCCGAAAGCAGCAAGCGTCTCATCCACCAACCTCTGCGCCCCCTCAGCCGTTGTCACATCTGCCTGCACGACAGTAGCATCGCCGCCCTCATCAACAATCCGCTGCGCAACGCCCGCTGCACGCGAGGCGCTAGCATCCGCGACGTGGTTGATAGTCACGCGGGCACCATTACGAGCCAGGGCGAATGCAATCCCGGCGCCGATGCCAGTTTCCCGGCTAGAGCCCGTGATGATGGCGACTTTGCCGGCTAGGGATAGGGTGTCTGGAGCCATTGAAGCGATGGAAAGCTACCTCGATGTGTGAGATAAGTTCGTAGGAGTTTAGACAAGGGATCAGAAGCATAGAATGGAAATAGCAGTGAATTGCAAAATGAAAATGAATTGGAATTGGGAGGGAGCAGCGGGCATGATAGGCCTATTTAAGTCTTTTTCACTTTCCGGGGCTTCTGGAGCTTGAAGAGCCGTTCAGGCGACAATTGCCCGTCGTCTTGTCGGGATGCTGGTTATAGATGGGCTGAGGCGCGCTAATCCCGATTAGAAAAATGGTGGTGTCCTAGGTGCATCTGGCTACATCTCGCTAGCCCCAAGTGGCTAGTTGCCTGCCAGAAAGGAGATTAGTGTCATCCTAATATTATTGGGGGGCGAAATTAAGTACTCGTTACGAAATTCGGCATGTATTACGAAATTTGGCCCGAGTTAGGTCTTCGTTTTTGGTCTTAGGATGGATGTTAGGATGCGGCAAATCTAAATACTTGCTGGACTTGCTAGATACCGTGGTTAAAGTCTAACCCTAAAGATACGAGTCAAAAAGGAGCAAGCTTTCTACGGGGACGAGAATGTATATAGAAACAGTCTTATTTTGTATCCAGAACAGAACTGCCATTCATCTCACTTGAAGCCGATCTATCCGAAAGATGTCCCATCGGGAGGTACCTGTGTCATCACCCCAGGCAAGAGACGGCCAAATTCATGGCCAGCCACATTTCCAGAGTGGCGAGTCGACAAGACATGACCAGAAGAACATGGGCAAGGCAAACGAGGACCCGAGCAGACGAAACCAACAAAAAGGTGAACGATGGAGCGGGAGCGCACGCGATTGAGAGGTCGACCGTTGGTGTAACCAGGAGTCTCGCGCAAGAGCCACAGATCACTTAACGGCGCGCCGGACTCGAACGGCCACTTCCACTCCCGCTAACGCCGCTGCCACTACCAGTTCCACTTCCCCGGCTTGCTGCACGCTGAAACGGGCTCAGGGCAGGGCGACTGCCTTGACTGAGAGACCCGTTTCCATCGGACCCAGGGCTCTTCCTGTGTTCGGCGAGTAGCTCGGATAGATCAACCTGGAGAGGAGGAAACCGGTTGTTGGCGTCGTGGAACTCGGGCTCGTATTGACTGCTGCGATTGGAGCGATTGGAAAACGATCGATCACGGCTGTTGACGACATCCGACCCGAAGTACGAGTCGCCGAACGGAGACACCGGAAGCTGGGGCGGGAACGATGGTTGAGCCGGACTCGCTGGCTGCGACGACGTGGCGTGAACAAGGGAGGACACATTTTGCAGAGGGCTCGACCTTGCCGGCGGGAAGCTAAGTGCCAGCAGGGACCGGCCATTGAGTGCAGTCGTCGTGGACAATTCGCTGGCTTCCGGGGGTGGGTTGGTGCCAGGCAAATTACCCTCAGGTGTAAGGGGCCCCGTTTCCAAGAGCATCTGCTGCTGGTGCTGCTGAATGGACTGCTCAATGCTAGACGCCTGCTGCCAGAGATGACTGATACGCATCTGGTGATCCTGCACGGAGTGGGTGATGCTGTTAAATTGCTCTTGGAAAGTGGCTTCCAACTTGGCATGGTCCTGCTCTCTTGCAAACTGCTCTGCCGCACGGCGTTCTCTTTCGTTCAACCCTTGCGCGTTGGCCGAAATGATGCGCTCGTACTGCTCGTTCAGTCGTGTGCGGCGGCTTTGAAGGCGCTCGCGCTTTTGGATCGTCAGGTTCAACTCTGACTGTAACGATTGCACTTCCTGGTTGGCAACAGAGCGCGCAGAAGCTAGGTCCTCCTTGGCTGCATTGAGAAGTTCGAGCTCGCGCTCAAACTCGGCCTTTTGCGCAGACCACTGCTCCATCTCTTCCTCCGGCACGGTTTCCAAGTTATCGAGTTGAACCTCCAGCTCCGCAGTAGCTTCCTCCGTCTGTCGAATGTTTCGCTCCAATTGGAGCGACCGCTGCTTTTGTCTGTTTTCATCTGTACCGCTTTGGAGTCGATGGTTGTAGTTCTCCAGTTCCTTCCGGATCTTTGAAATCACGACTTTGTGGTCGCTCTTTGCCTTTTTGAGTCTAGAGCGCTTTTCATTGAGTTTGGCCTCTGCGTTCACAATGGAGTTTTTCAGCGTCGTCGTAGGGGAAGAGGGTCGGTAGGGCGGCTGTAGGGGCGTCGGGATCGCAGATACAACTATTCAAGACTGTGAGACACAATGGAGGAGTAGACGTTAGAGGCGTGAAGCTTACCTTGCTCTGTGTCAGCTGGCGCAGGAGTCTTGACGCTCATGACGCAGATTTCCTCGTTCGTATCACTGCGAAGGAATGAGCAGGTGTAGGCACAGTTGGGTGCAAGCCCGGAGATCTCGCCCCGCCACTGGACCACACCCGCTCCCTTGGTAGTATCCGAGACCCTGCATAACGTTGCCGTGGCCCACAAAGCACCATTGACGCAGACGTAAAACGGGTCCATTTCGCCTTCCAGACGGCCAGCCTCGCAGGCACCTGAGACAGTTGGATCATCGGCGGCAAGATCGCCCGCGGCAAACTTAATGGAAGAACTGTCCACATCCGTAATCCATACCAAGCCATCGTCGAGAGAGACACCCTGAAGGTCCTCCTCAGTCATTGTAACCCCACGAGTTGTCTTGGACAATGTCCGCGAATGTTCGTATTCTCGCATGACCGTAACTTTTGTGCTGGCGAGGGCGGCCCAAAACGGTTGACGGCTTCGGACCTGGTTGGCTTGTCGTCTGCGTTTCTTTGCGGAGGTCAAACGATCCTTGCCCTCCTTGCTGATCATGAACTGGCCATCTGGCCCGACGAAAGAAGATGAAACACTGGCAGCAGATTCGAGTGCGGAGTCGGCCTGGGTTTGTGAACCAGCCGACGCTTCGGTGTCCCCGCGCTTGCCGGTCCGCGGTGGTGCAGGCGACCGATTTCTAGCCATCGAGCGTCTTGCCATCGCAGTACCCGCTTGTGCAAGGATGTGAACAGCAAGAAGGCTGCGAATCCAACTTGGCGATGTCTGTCCTTCGGAGCGTCGGAACTCCGCGGGTAACAAGTGCGAGTATTGAGACAGTAGATCGGGGCTGAAGAGTTTGGCAGAAACAAGATGCCCCATCACAAAATCTTGTATGCCTTTGCTGCGAATGATATGAAGGAGCAGAACAATCCCGACACAGAGGGCATTGCCCCCGCCGTTCTTTCCGGTCCCTCCGCCACCGAGCGTGATCGCGACTTGAACATGTGCGAGATCGATGGCAAAGTTTTGCGCCCATGTCCACATGAATAGGCCCCAGAATAGTAGGCAGAACCCATCTGCAGCGATCATCGTTCCCAGAGAGGGCGTGCCGGCCGGACCCTGGAAAATATCGAAATTGGACGACAAGGAACCGGCGGCCGCACCACTCGGGGGCATGAAGGTCAGGGAAGCGAACAAGAACTGAACGAGGGTAAGGACCATTGGCGGAAGTTGTAGGAGAAAAATCAAGATGGCGATCGTGTCGTACATGGGGCACGACTTGAGGATGGTCGAAGCGAGCTGCAGCGGGTTGATTGACGCGCTAGAGCCCGACCGTTTCGAGGCTCCATTGCGAGAGGCGTGGCCGACGATACTGCCATTCTGCGGCATCGCACCGTTTCCATTTGCTTGTCCACACGCCATGTCCGCCACTTTGCCATGCCCATTCACCAGCCCACGCACACTGTCATCCACCCTTGTCCCATCCGCGCCTTTGCTTGCCGCGACTGCCGGAAACGTCCCCGCCGAGTCGCTTGTAGAACGAGACGAAGACAGATCGAAGTGAGCGGACGCGCCCGGGCTTGCAGAACCGTTGCCAGGGTTGCCGTTCAGCTGGTTGCTTGACTTTTGCTTGGTTACTTTCTTCCCGGGACCGACGAGGCCATTGTCGTGCCGATTGTTCTGATTCTTCCTAGCCGCAGCGGATGAGCGCGGCATGGACGAGGGAGCCCGAAACCCAGGTCCGAGTCAGCTTGGCGGGATGAAGCCAAGGACTTGGACCAGGCAGGAAAAGAGGGCCGAGGAGGGGGCGGAAAGAGAAGGAAGGTGGGAGAGACGGGCGATCTTCCGGAGAAGCAGATCGGATGAAAGGATGGACGAATGAGGGAAGAAATGGGAGGGAGGGAGGAAAGAGAAAAGATGAGTCGGAGGGAGAGGAAAGAAGAAGGTGGAAGCAATCGATTGAAGCGAAGAGAACGGGCTGGTCACGGTACGGTAACGGGGCTTGCAGATCACCCAAATTTACCGTATTCTGTTACTCCAGTATACAGTAGGTTCACTTTTTCTTGTTTGATTCTTGAATCTCTTCTTGCAACTGGGAACGCCGTGCTGAATGGCCCGATTTCTATCATCTGCACTCTCTTTCTCCCTCTGTTTCATCCGCATTGTGCGGTCCTGCAGGGTTGATCGATCAGGAATGCTCCAGGCAAGGCCGATACGACGTGATCAAAAGCCAAGCTGCTTGCTGCCGGACAGCTCAGCAAGAGGACTCGTCACCTAGACGATTCATGATCTTACCACAACTGGCTACGAGGCCGCCTGGTCATGCAACGCGGATAGCTACGTATCGGCCAATCCCCGTCGGGGCCCCCAATAATATCGCCTTTCGGTGACTGGTCCAAAAAAAGACTCTTAGGCAAACTAGATTTGAATTCAATCTCCGGAGTTTCGGCTCCTCGGTTCCATCCAGTTGAGATTGCGCGAGGCTGAAATTTGCCAGGATACTTGAAACGGAGCACCTGTCTCCTCCGGGCCCTTTTTCTCTGTCTCTTAAAACAATCATATCAGACCAACTCGACGATCTACCGTTCCGTGCCCCGTGTGCTGCGGGGTTATCCTTGCCTGGGATGTGCAGGCCGATCCATGGGCTACGTATTCTTCACGATGTGTACGGCACGATTCGTGGAATATCTCATTGGCAGACTTATTACAATCCAGAACCCCATGACTCCAAGATAGAATTGGCCCCAGACCGGGGGATCTTCACGTGCTCGGCAACTGAGCTTTCTCGCCAACATGGCCGTCCGCAACGGGCGGCCCACTGAGTTCCTGCGCATATCGGCTTGTGCACAATAAAAGTCGAAGAGACAGACAATCCATACGAATGCTTTCTGTCTGCCCATATCCAGTACGGAGAAACGGTGGGAGGCCGTATACTGGACATGGTATCACCATGTATTCGATGCGTTTAGGCAGATAGCTGACCAACTCGCCCACTATGAGCATTACGGGAATCTCTACGAGTGATCTAGTTCACCGGTTGAGTCCAACCCCTCCTATTCCGTACTGGTCGAACTATCTTTCCAATTACGCCAACCGCCCTGGCTTGGCATAAGGGTTTCCATGCCGATCCACTCTGATTGTAGTATAGATCAACACCCTACCCAGGCTTGATCTTCTCCCGTTTCGTTCACGCATGCGAAATCATGTGTTTTGTCTGGTCGATCTAGCACGCCATTGGCATTACAAACCAGTTGTCGCAAAATTCAAAGTCACTGCCCGCCCCACGTCTGAACAGTACCAAGCCTTGGATCGGAACCGATAAAAATGGTACAACTAGGAAGGTTTCGCCGGTCGATCATTTCGCTCTTCCTACTCGTTCCGGACACTCCTCGGCCCAGTGGTTTGCCTTTTGCATCGGCTCGATCACCGACAAGGCGATCTCGATAATGAGTCCGCCCCTCCTTTCTGCCCTTTCCAAGGTGTGGCGACAGCGACAAACGGTCTGCACAGTGACGGTCCTTCCCTTCACCCTTTTGCGTTAGTGTATGCACCCTGAGCCCCCACTTAGCGGATCAAAGTATCTGTGACATGCCAGGGATTTGGCTTTCACTTTGGCTACGTTACAGGAATTTTTTTAGAGTCCACTAGGATATCCCACGGAAAACGTGCCCGATGCGCTGCAGAATCCGAAGTGGACACAGGGCCAGCGGCTCAGAGCGGTCAAGACCCGAGGTCGACCCATCCAGACCCTCGGAACCTGCTCATCTATATTTAGAGAGAGAACGAAAAATACATAATAAAAAGAGAGGCATGGCCCGCGTCAATTATCCTTGGTATGCTATCTGGCAGCTGTCATAAGTTCAGGATAAAACGAGCTATGATGAAACTTCTCAAATTTGAAACAGAGCCGGCTCCACACACGTCTCAGACCGTGGACGGTTTCTCTGACATACCTACTACCTGCACAGTTAAGTTTTGTATCATATCTTGTTACCAATCGACATATAATTGGATCCTCGCGAATATAGAAGAGCCACATCAATATACTGTTCATTTCAATTTAACTTGTCTCTCTCTGACAAGGTCCTATTTGATGCCTCGAAAATATCCAGTGGTATTGTGTTCTTTTTCTAGTCCTCCAGCTTCGATACCGTTGGATCCCACGCAACAGGACTGTACTCGCTGGTCTCAAGCTCTTGAACCTCTTCGGGTGTCAACTTGAAGTCAAAGACGTCAGCATTGGAGGCGATGCGCGACGGCTGTACGCTCTTGGGCAAAGGAACGAGGCCCTTATCCAGACTCCAGCGAATGAGCACCTGGGCCTCCGTTTTGGAATACTTCTCCGCCAGCTTCTGTAGTGCGGGCTCGTCGAAGCGTTTGCCACGCGTAATAGGGCAGAAGGCCTCAATAACAACGCCGCGCTGGGTGCACCAGTCGAAGATATCCTTACGCGCCACCCATGGATGCAACTCCACCTGGTTGACGCTCAAGATGCCGCCTTTGCCTTTGCCACCGCGTTCGGCCTCGAGCTCGGCTATATGCCGCTCAAGCTCGTCGAGGTGGTGTACACCGTAGTTGCTGACGCCGATGGAGTGCACCTTACCAGCTTCGACGGCCTCAACAAGCTACGAATATGTCCTGTGTCAGCACGAAAAGAAAAGAATAGCCACGAGAGAAACACACATACCGCCTTCCATGCACCCTTGCGGTTCTCAGAGCCGCCCCAGGGCATGTGCAATAGCATTAGGTCAATGTAGCTGAGCCGAGACTCAGCCAGGGTTTTGTCGACTGTCGCCTTGGCTCCATCATAGTTGATGTTCAAGACCTTTGACGTGAAGAAGATCTGATCCCGGGGGATCGATGATGCACGGATGGCCTTGCCGCAGCCGGCCTCATTCTTGTATCCCGACGCGGAGTCAATCTGCATTGATGAGAAAGGCACAGACGAATATCTCAGCGATGTGTGTTTATGCTCAAATTTGTGCACTGGGAACTCACATGGCGGTACCCGACTTTGAGCGCCTCGAGACAGCATTGTTCTGTCTGCTCCGGAGGACTGAGACGAATTCCAGTCAATACTAGTAAAATAAAATATGGAAGAAAAAGAATCTTACGTCTTGTAGACCTGTATTTAGAGGGCATCGTCTGTCAGCCAAATGACGCAGGCACCAGGAATCTTGGTCCGTACCCCGAATCCCAAGCGGGGCATCCCATAGCCGCTCGGCAGCTTGATCTTGGAGCTAATTGTATGGGCCATCTTCAGGGTGAGATGTCAAGTTGAATCGCCGAAGGAATAGGTAGCAGTCCGGGGTCTTTATGGAAGATGCCGTCGGTCTTGGGTTCGGTGTTAATCATCCGCTTTAACCCCATTAGTTAGTCAATTGCTGGTTTTGGTCTTTTAACTCCTACATCCGCCATTAGTCACGACCGCCCCCGAAAGCTTGAACAATGTGAGATCATAGATGTTCGGACTTCAATGCAAAAACCTCCTTCAATATTCTCAGGATATTATTTAGGGAAGGCCCATCATGGTTTTCAAATTTTTGCGCCTACTATGAATCATTCACAGCGAACCAAAATCCTCGCAAAATATAACGTATGGCCAGAAATTGTTTCTCTACTATGTAATTGTAACAGTATTCCTAGAGCTTGTGGACTAGATAGCAGGACATGGTGACATACGATCACAATGGAGAAATAAGCTTGTACTAGTTGAGATGCTGAGAAACGAACCTGTAATCGGCCTCGTATTCACACAATCGACTTGCGGTATGTCCCGGCTATTAGCGTTCTGCCTAAAAACGGTAGATGAGTACGAGAAATTGAAGAAAAGGACTCGGAAAAACAATAGAGTTTCAGGGTCTCAAATCCGCAGCGCATGAGGGGCCAGTGAACGCTAAATAGTTATCAGGAGACACTCGTTTTCGCTCGCGGGTTTCCGTTCCCTGTTCCCGGGATTTGTCAACTACCCAAGACTCTGGAGTAGTTTCCGACGCTGAATTTCAGCCTTGAAATCTCGAGACTCACTGTCAGGCATGTTCTCACCTGTTTGAGTGGCGGCGTGGAAAAATCCCGCAACGGATACGCGGCACACTAATATACGGTCAGATGATGAAGATTGCGATCTGCGAAGCATAAGCCTGTCTTTATATTTTCTCCTCCTTGTCATTATTGACCTCACTTTCCGCTGTCAACCTCTTGAGCGTTTCATTCGCTGAGTGGATGGTCTGTAAGTGCTCACAACCCCACCAAGCACTCTTTCATCATCACCGGGCACCTAATAGAATGAGCGGAACATAGCAAAATAACACTTGTTCTTTAGCGCTTCAACAATGGCGAGCCCAGCGAAAAAGCAGAGGGAAGTCCCCGCCTGCTTTACCGATACCCATGGTGTGGTGACAACCACTATGAATGACCTGCCCGGCTACAAAGTCAAGAATGTACTGGGTACAGTCTACGGGATTACCGTTCGCACAAGGAACTGGGGTGCGGATCTGGGCGCGGTTGTTCGGTCAGCTGTTGGAGGCGAGCTTCGATTTTTCACTAATCTGATGTATACCTCTCGCGAAGAAGCTATGGAGCGTTTGGTGGGAGAGTGTATGAGCAGAGGTGGCAATGCGATCATTGCTGTGAGATTTGATGTTGCGAGTTTCGGGGCCTGTTCGCAGATATGTGCGTATGGCACTGCTTGTCTAGTTGAGAAGATTGAGGAGGAGACGTAGGTCTAGGTTTTGTGTGAAGAGTTCATTTAGTTCTGGGCACAGTCCGAGCATTCTTTGCCATGTGCAGTATCTAGCATTTTCAATTTGGTGATCATTATCATGATCGGCCTAGGAGGGGTTCAAAATATATAGTATCAACGATTCCTTTGGATGATAACGTACATGGCCACGCTGAAAGCATTATTGCAACAAAATGACTCTTAGACAGATACTGGACAATGTCCCAGTGCGAGTCCAATGTTTCTCACTTTGATGGGAAAAAGCGAAAAGCCACAAGCTTGCATCCATCAGGCGAAAACTCATCCACTTCAGTAAACTCTCGAAATGGCTCAAAGCCCGATCTCAACAGAACTTTCTGGCTTCCACCGTTGCTAGGTTCGATAAGGGCAATGACCTGCTCTGGCACCCGACCCTCACCCGTAACCATGGCTTTCTCAACCCTAACCTCCTGCTCTGTCCGGGGCAATCCTCCCCAGTACTGCAGCCAGGCACCCAAAAACTCCGTGGCAAAACCTTGGCCCCAGAATTCCTTTCGAAACATGTATCCCACCTCGGGCCAGCCGTGCTTGGCCCGGTAGACGTGGCAGCCACCCTGGCCGATAAGCTCGCCCGTGCTCTTGAGGCAGATGGCGTAGTTGAGCGTGGCTGTGTCGTTTGGTGGGAGAAATCCGTTCATAAGTTCTCTGGTCCTCTCGATATCTTTGTCGATACAACCGGCGGTGGTCCATTTCATTACTTCTGGTTGTGTTCGTAGGACGTACAATGCTTCCAGGTCAGTTGGTTGGTTGGGCCGGATGAGCAAGCGGGCTGTGGTCAATGTGGGCCGCTCGCTGATGCTGGGAAGAGGCAATGTTGGCAGTGAACACCGAACGGTCACGAAATCGTCTGGCTCGTTCTTATCCATTGTGTTGCCGATATATCTGTCTGGGAGAAGTCCAAATATGACGGGCGGGCCGCTGAGTATAGTGTGCGGGTTGACAAGCGAGCCGCGACTTTTTCATTCCCGAAACTGACACATTTTGAGTCATAACGTGCTCCTGGAAGGATAATGTGCAATACGCGGCTCAAATATATACAGTTCACAAGCCAATATAATAGACTTGAAACAACTTCCCACCCTTCTATCGCCAAAGCCTCACGACGCAGATCCCGTATCCTCGACGGCATCTGCGCGATCCCAGCTCTCAACCTCCAAAGTCCTAACGCGACTCTCAATCTCCAGAATCCGTTGCTGCCACTCCGCCTTGGCCTTCTCCTGCAGTTCCCACATCTTCACAAACTGATCTAAAATAAACGGCGGCAGCTCCGGTGTCTTGCGGTTCTTCTGATAGTCGTAGGTCACGATGTCTTCGTGGCAGCGCGCCGCAGGGCGCTGGCGGGCCTCGGACAGGATCATGACTTGTAGCTGGAATGCGGACTCGGATGACAGCGACGAGGAAGGGTTGTGGACTAGTTTCTGGTAGACGGTAATTTTATCCGGCGAGGTCATGGGCTGGTCGTTATTAGAATAGCCGGAATCGGTAAACAACTTTAACCGTCACTACCGGGGTTTGGGAAAGACATCTCACAAATTTATAGTCAACTTTGATGCTTCGGAGGATCAGTCCGATCCCTGTGGAATTGAGCAGATTCGTCCATTCCTTTTTGTGCGCTGGGTCGATGTGGATGCCGATATTGCGTGTCCAATTCACGCGTGCGGACTCGGCGTATCGCACGTAAGTGACATTATTAACGTGCCCTGCAGTGTGGCCAAATCAGAAACCTTGTGGTCTAGTAAACGGGAAGAAAAACGGCGCATACCCTAGTTTTATCAATCAGTACTCATCATATAGCGGCGCAAAGAGGTGCTTACCATTACATCCTAATAGTCCACCAAACACCAGTATAGTGTCAGTAACTAACTCTCAACGAACGTGAAAACAAGAAGAAAAAAAAGAAAATCATACCATCTCCCCCCACACAACATTATGCCGATACAGACTGCACCGCTTCTCATCGGTCAAGAATCCCTCGCTCCCGGCAATTAACTCGCGCCAATCCCTCGCCAGCTGCTGTAAAACGGAGCCCGCTTCGTAGACCCGCGCGGAATCCAGTCCAAACATCATGCACCGCCCTATGCGCCGCTTCATCATTGTAAGCCATCGTGGATCGATCGTGTGAGGTCTTGCCGGCGGGTTCGCCGAGCTGGTCGTCGGCGCGCGGGCATCCTGCGCTGCAGATGTGGTCGAGAGGATGCGGCGGGTGCTAATTGGGCTGATAATGGACCGGGAGAGGTGTCGTGGGAGGGTTGACCGGGGTATCATTGTCGCTAGGTGTGTGTTGAAAGGAAAAGTGAGGGAAGGTGAGTTGGTTCGGCAGGTTCGAGGAGACGGAGCTCGGGCCATCGGATGGAACCCCGCGTGAAGAGTGCAGGTATAATATTTTACTTTAAAAGAATACCGATAGGATGTTGAATGATATAATAAATTTACTATATTACTACCTATGTGCTTGTAACTACCACTGTCGAGGCTCATGTTGCGCCCCATTCTCCGCATTCCTACAAATCGCCGACAACCACCGCCTCCAACTTTCTCCTCACTTCCCTCCCGCAACCACCTCGGATGGACTAGCGATGACCAACCCAGAGCTGCGGCGGCAGGTGATCAACATCTACAAAGGTATGTCGATAGTCATAGCATCGTGACTGGACCAAGACGCTGGATCGGTTAGTTTCATGATGGGATGGGCTGACAACCCACCCGGTGGACATACAGAGCTCCTCTTTCTAGGCCGCGAATACCCCCAGGGGTACCAGTGGTTCCGGACCCGGCTCCATCGCGCGTTTGCAAGCCAGGCTTCGCTACGTGATGACGAGGAGATCCGGAAGGGGATCAGTAGGGCGGAGTTTGTGAAGAAAGGTTCGTTATATATGACTGCCACCCACATCCACGGCGATCGGGTTGCTAAATCGTTTCAATGTCGATATCCAGAAATTGAAACCATGTAAGTGAAGACATTCACTTTTCTACTCGGTCTCGATGCAACTCGAATCATTTGTGCATGTCATTTTCTATATACAAGTGTTGCCCCGTTCTCTGTGAGATATTTCTGGGTCGATACATCGGCGAGAACACACCACCGCCACCATTTATCATAGATCATGGCATCGTTTTTTCTCTCCTCCTCTTCTGCGTTGGGTGTGCAATGGACGCTGACGAGATGATTATCAAAATCCAGGTATTACCTGAAGCGGTACCGGGCGCTGAAACAGCGCTACGAGGATCCTTGAAGCGCACCACCACCACTAGTTACCTCGGACGCGTTTAGTCAATCCTCCCGTATTCATTGAGATCGGGTTGGGGTCGTGCATGTTATATCGAAAAATCCAGAATGACAAGAATATAAAAATAGTTTAAAAAAAATTGGGGTATCACCAATATGAAGCGCACACAATGGCCAGCTGTTTTGCTTTCGTCCGCCGGAACACCGATTCAAAGAGACTGTTCTTTTTTGTTTTCATTTCTTGCGTCCCCACCAGGCACTCACTTCCAGGCACTCCCCGCTCGCGAGGCCACCTTTCTGGAGGAGGTCGGTAGTCATCGAGGCCCACCATCGGTCCCACTCGTCACGGCCCTTGCCGCTTGCTTCCATGAGCATGGGCTCGAGTCCCTCGATCATTTGGATGACCGTCGTAAGGGCAGTTCGTCGAATAGACAGCTGCTCCGCAGTCAGGGTCTTGCGGCCGCGGCCCTTGGAGTCCTTGCCCTGGCCCTCGCGCTCCCAGCGCACTTCGCCGAGCGGAATAGCAATGCGGCGACTGTCGACCTTTTCCAACACGTCCACCTCGGAGTTGAAGGAAAGGCCGATAGTGGCGCAGGGTAGGGCGCTCAGTCGGCGGCGGTCGAACGAGCTCTCGATCCAAGAATTGTAGTCGATCAGGTATTGGTTTTGGGCGCGGGTAAAGGGCGTGGCTGAGGAGAAAGTGTAGGTGGCCGTGGCGTCGGCGATGTCCTGATCCTTCGAGGCGAGCTTGCGGGCTGGCGCGGGGTTGGGGAGCAGCGAGCGAAACACCCAGTCGGAATCCCACACCTCTAAGATGCCACCGGATTTGAGCACTCGTAACGGTTCACCCAAGCCCGAGGGGATCTGCGCGGGGCTGGACGCGCACATGCCGGTATCCTTGATAAAGACAAAGTCAAAGTAGTCGTCGGGAAACGGGAGGCGGGGCCGTCGAAGATCGTGGCGCTTGAACTGCCAGTTCATGCCCTGTTTGCGCAGGTCGGGAGCAATGGAGATGATATCAATGCCGACAAAGCCGACGTTGGGCTGGCCGCGCCGGGCAAAGTAGTCGTGACACAAACCCGACCAGGCGCCCGAGCCGCAAGCGATCTCCAGGACGCGCTTGGGCGGGCGGCTGGCCAGGTGGGGATTGCAAAACGGGCCGCCGAAGACGCGCAGCAGCATCGCCGTGCGCAGGGTCTGGCGGTGGATCTCGGGCAGGTCGCATGGTAGTGGATAGGAGAGGTCTGGGTCCCGAAAGTAGGTGCGGTCACCCTGGCGGGCGAGCGGGTAGGACGTGTAGTCTGTGAGGGAGCCCAGGGAGGACGAAGAGGTCGCCGCCAGGGCAGTCCCCGTCGAACTAAAGTTGGAGTGCACGTCCGAGCCGGACGGCGTCGCGGTGCTGAATGTGCTGCCCGTCCCTACCGCCATCATAGCATCCATAACCACTCATCGATCGGTGAGGCTCAGTGTGGATTGCGGATGGGGTGCATTATTCTCGGGGGAAGTAATTGGGGTGCCTCATGAGCAGGGAGACATGGCCGAGGGAGGAACGGATTTTGTTTTGGACGGGAGCTGAGTTGGGTCGGGCGCAAAAGAAGTGCAGGGAAGAATCTTCTTGCTTTTGTTTCAGACTCCAGAACAATGAAAACTCCTGGGAACCATGCAAAGGAAGAAGGCGAATGCAGAGAAAAGTCACACTATCGAGGGGGTGGAAGAGGGGGAGGCTTTTCCTGGTTATTATTCTTGACTGGACTAGTAGTAGGCTTGGTTAGTCAAAAGTCCTCGACGGACCCCTGGATCAGACAGGATGGATCCACTTTGGGCCAGACGGGGGAAGTCCTACTAGACACCTAAGACATAGTTCGATGTATAGCGAATTCACTAACAATTAAACTCTATGAGATACATAGTACTGGGTATTGACCCTTCACACAGCTAACAGGCAGGGCTGGCCCAGTCCTGCGAGGGCTAGTCGAAGGGGGGTGCCGGACTATGGATCCTTGGCTGATGGTTGACATCATGAGTCTGTCTCGGACTGGAGAGATGGCCGGAAATGGACAACTCTGCCAGCATTGGCCAATGCCTGACTATGGAGTACTACAATTAACTCGCCATAGTTAACGGTAGACGAGAGACACTTCTACCGATCTGACAATAATAGCATAGTCCGGAGATCCTTCTGGGGCTAACCTGTTTGACGGGCCAGGCACGCGGTCTGGACTTTTGTTCCCTCCTAACCCTGGCACTTGGGCTCCAACACGACAGAAAAGTGTCCTGTCAGATTATCCGGAGAGCTCGGTTAACCAAGTTAGTCACACGATACACTTTGTACCTTTTCTTTTCCTACACGTTCCTTCGGGGACCGTTTCAACGCTTCCCCGTCTTGGCCGGCAAAAGGCACTGAAACTAAAACCCGATTCGATTCACCACTGCCGGTCTACTAGGAAATTGAATGGACTGCTATTTATCCGCAAATTGAGTTCTATAATCTCTCTATCAAGTATCCAAAACAATACTACCTACCCGTTGCTCCCCGCGTTTCATGATCAAATGCACCACTACTACTCACCTACCAACAAGATCTGCCACAATGGCATCAATATGCCCAGCCGCCATACTCAAGTGGCCTGCCTTCTCAAAAAAGTGCGTCTTCGCACCGGGCATCAGCTTCGCCGCCTTCTCCGCCATCTCAAACGGCGCATTCTGATCCAACATCCCATGCCACAGCCTCACCCCATTCCCATCTATATCCTCCACCCGAAACCCCCAATCACGACTACTAATCAGACTCAACTCCGTGGCTACAGGCATACCACCCTGCCGAAAGGCGCCGCGTAGCGACCCCACCCCCGTAGCCCTAACCCTTGCGTCCGCCCACGCCAGACGCTCCGCCCCAGGCCGTCTCGCCATCGCCCCGTCCATCGTCTTCTCGAGCACAGTGGGATCTTTATCTCTCGCTTTCCGCCCAATAAACCGGTCCAGGACAGCCGCCATAATGAATCGCGGCACCCACCGTCCAACAGCGAGCACGACTTTCAACTCTGTGAGCATCCCCTTCACTCCAAGGTTGGTTGGGTACATGGCGCACATGAGCGCCACGCCGCGCAGTCGGCCCCGGCCCTGCTGCGCGGTGACGTCTGGCGAGCTGCTGTCGACGCGCGGGATGGCGTGCGCGCAGGCGAGGGCATATGGCCCCCCGCCTGAGGCGCCGAGGATGGAGAATTGAGGGATGCCAAGGTGGTCTGCTATCGCGAGTACGTCGGCTGGCCAGTCTAGGAGCCGGCGCTCTGGGTAATGCGTTGACTGATCCATGCCAGGTCGGTCGATGGCGATGCACCGCGCATTGTGCCGCTGGAGGAGCGCGGTGCTGAGGAAATTGGCTTCGTGGGAGCAGCCTGGGAAGCCGTGGAAGTAGAAGATTATCGCGGGCGGTTTGGTGTCAGAGTCAGTTGTAGTAGGGCGCTCCAGGGGCCCGCCGTGGATGGTCCATGCTAAGATGCGGCCTGATGGGAGCGTGAGAGTTTGTTTATTCTCGAGGTGGTTACGGTTCCCCATCGCAAGAATCGGAGTTCCTGTTTGTTGTGGATTTCTCGAATTTCACGCTCTGAATAGCGGGCTCTTCATTTGTGTCGCCGATTGAATCTCGTCTCCTCAAGCTCCGTATATACTCGCCCCGAATCACTGGGGCCTGGAAGCAAAAGCGTCCCCCCGCGTCCGGCCCCCTAACTTCTCCGTAGTCATGTCCGTCAACCCACCATTCGGAGAAAGAATGTTCTGCTGCGTAGTTACGTGGCAAATACAGATCAGGCATCCATGGAAAGGTGGCGTTGGTGGAGAGAGCAGACATAAAAGACGACATCATACTTGAGCGGGAGATATTCCAAGACATGGGATATAGAAAAGCACCAATTATCAATCTGGATAGGTTGTAAAGACTGGTCTGCTGACTGATATGATCCAGAGGTGATCCATAGTATTATAGAACTTAGGTAGTCAAGGCGCTGCTTGTATGTTACGATGCTTAAAGCGTGCATTGAGGGTTCCTTGAGGAAAGAGAGAATTGATAATGTCATATGACAGTTAGCATTGCCAGTTTGAGTGATTCGATCCACAGGGTGTAGCCTTGACTATGGGCTGTAGTTAATCCATTGCCTAAGCTATATTATATATAGTTTAGCAATGTGGGTAGATTCTACTTAGCACAGGGCTCGCCGAGTCTGTTCACTCGCTTGAGTGGATAGTAAATTCCCTGGATATACATATTCGTCCCACATGTCTTTACTTCAGTGCTTTTTATTCTTCTAGCTAGAAGTTTATGTAGACTATCCATGCATCGTTCATAACTACTCAATAGAATTAAGATATGATCGTTGGTCTGTAGCTCGCAGCCATGGGGAGTAGAGATAATCTTCCTGTGTAAACCATGAGGCTTGGATAAAGATCTTCAGGATCCCTTAACTAGCCTAGTCCGTCGAATACAGAACTACAGTACAGCTACAATGCACCCAAATGAAGAAGCCACAATCTATTCTCAGCAGAAATTGCAGATAAGGAGGATGGCGACAAGAAGATAGAGGGAAAAAACAACATACAAAGAACAGAACAGACACAACTCCCTGCGCCGACGGAAAGAAAATCAACAGAAAAGCAAATTCGTCGCGGGCAAGAAAACAGCGCCCTGCGGCCTGGCCACCTGTTCCACCCAGCACAACACCAGCACCAGCCCCATAAGCGTCATGAATCCGTCACAGATGCCGTGAGAGATTAGGGGAGATGAAACCGAGATCTCGAGACAAAGGCAAAGACAAAGGAACAACCCCAACAGGAAACAAGAGGGACGAAGGAAAGAGTCAGATGGTGGGACAGGGGAGGTAGAGGAGAGGCAGGATCAAAGCATGAAAGAGGAGAAGATCGAGAGTGCCACGCCGGTTTGACTACTTCCAACAAACCCCAGGGAGAGGTGAACACAAAAGTCAGTTCGACGAGGCAACGAGGAAAATGCTCCGA